TTATCATATGAACCTCTGATTGCAAGAGTTTATGTATTTGATTGTCATGTCTCTTACTCAGATTTGAAAAATGAATTCAATGTTGCTATTGAAATAACAGGTAGTAATAACGAATCATATATTTCGTTAAGTTAGTAAATTAATCCTATATATGAAATTCCTCTAAATGAGTCTCTTCTTCCTAAAGAAACTCCATTATTATTTACTGCCTCAACTGGTAGTTCGATAATAAAAGAAACTATTAATCTAAAATCTAAAATAATTGATATTAAATTTTTATAAAAAAATAGATTTATAGGTTTGGATAATTAAATTAATGCAAGAGGTTTCGATAGAAATATAGAGGACGAAGTTTTGAGTACTATAGGGATTACTTATGAATGGCAATGCAACAACTTAAATAATTTATAACCTTGTAAAACTGATGAAAACTAAATTATGCAATTCCCTTCAAGAAGAATAGTCAATATCTTTGCTGATAGTTAGAATACAACTTTAGTTTTCTTTGCAAAAGCATCTAAAGGTGACAGATGGACTGTAAAAGAATAGTTGATAGTTATCACAGATTTTAACATCGAAGAAGAATTTTATATAAATAATGAAGATCCATAAAATTATATTAATGCAAATGATGAAGTGACAATCTTATTAAAAAAATAATAAAAGTATGCTTTTATTATTCAATAACATAAAATTTTGTAGTCTATGAAAATATCTGGTTTATCTTTAAAATTTAGATTAGCTGGCTTAACTACTGATTTTAAAAGTCCTGTCTACATTTATTTGGTACCAGGTAATGAATCTATAGCTTTCAAACTGAACGAATCTCCTCAAAAAGTTTTTTTGTAAATAGAGCCATTAATAGGAGAATCTCTAGATTATTTTAATTACACTCTTTCCAATCTTTAAGCTGGAAATTCAGTAAGTTTCTATTATTATTTTGAAAATTCCATTCTTGAAAATGATGTAAATGCATAATCTATAATTAATGGAATACCATTAATTACAAACTCTAAAGAAACATCTGGATCATTTTAGCTACCAAATGGAATCACAAATAATTCAATTTCAGTTTTATGTGAGATATCATCCAATTATGGGGCTAAATCTTATTTGAAATAAGATGTTTATGTGGTTAGGAAAAATTATGAGATGTAATAATTGTACCAATCATTCACTAATAAAACAAATTTAGAAGATTTATAAAGTCTTCATACTATGATTGCCCTTATCTAATTAGAAGAATAGTAGGTTTGCTTGAAATAATGCTCAGGGGTTGGGTCATGTGTAAATAAGAAATGTTAATGTCCACCAGGATATTATTTTCCTGATTGTAGTGGAAATTAAGAATAATAAATATAATTCAATAAATTTATGACTGATGTAATGTAATAATTAATCAAAACGCCAATAAAAAATAACAACGACATGAAATTATTTAGTCAATCTCTTTACTTTTTAACATAATTTAGTTCTAATAATACAATAAGTTTAGAAGATTGCTCAATTATATTACAATCATATATTTAGAATACAAATTCTAGATTAGAATAGATTAATTAATATTCAATAAATTTACAATATTAATCAACAGATGATTTTAATTATTCATAAATAGACATTCGCTCTTTAATAAATAAACAAGATTTACACACAGCCCTTAAAAGCACAGTTTTTATGTGGGAAAAGACTTTGTTTACCTCAGGCTCAAATGTCTATTAGTTATAAAATCATCTAAATAATTTCATCAATAATATCATTGAGTTAACTATCTTTGCTTTAAGCCCTGATGAAAAAATAGATTTTTCAATAGATACTGCATCTATAACAATTTAAAAATCCAAAACTCTCACTTATAATTCTAGTAGAATTTTATAAGAAATCAATAATGAGAATTCAACTATTTATGATATAGTTTAGGCGATTTACATTAGGAACTTTTATGCTTTTGATGGTTATTTCCCATATCCATAGTAAATTTATCCATTATATGTATATTAAATCAGATATTCAAACCGAAAAGAAAAAATTGACTTAAATTAACCTATCTCATATCAATTTGGAATTCAAAATGATACTACAAACTTAGTTTGTTTATAAAGAAATTCTAAGACTTATGAATGGTTTGATTAAGATTGCACAATCTCTGAAATAAATTCAACTTACTATTGTAATTGTACTTCTCTCTCTCCTACAACTATTTGTAATGACTATAATTTTCTTTATTAAGGTACTTAAGGATTCCGAATTAATATTCCAAATATTTTTTATATCATTTACATTTTTTAATTAATAATATTAGGAATTTTTGTTAGCAAATCAAAAATGTAAGAGAATGAATAATAAACTGAAAATACTAAATTTGGCCGTGTTTTTTAATTAGCAAAAAATAGAAAAAAGAAGATAATTAATACCTAAGTTTATCCTGTTGAACAAGAAAAAGACACTCGAGAATTAATAACAAAGCCATAAATAAGCAATTAAGATGGCAAAAATGATAAGTTTCATTTTAATCATTTCTGGGTACTCAATTTTAGCTTATCCTTAGAAATACCATTGCTTAACATAGTTAATATTTAAATAATAAATTTACTTAAGCCCATTCATGAGATCTCTTTTAATATTATTAAGATGGAATTCAGCAGTGATTATTGCAGAAGTTTTATGTTTATTTTAATTTGATTACGAAGTTTCAATTTGGATTATACTTGCATCAATTATAATAATGAGACTTAGTGAAAATTTCCTTAAAGTATATATGATTCTTATTTTTAGAAATAAATAAAATATGTTTTTATCATGAAACAAATTATTGTGGTTATAATCATCAAAATCCTAATATTATTACTTTTGGTATTCACAATATTATGTGAATTATATTTTTATTTAATGATAGAAAACTAAACAAATTTTGTATTTTTATTTATTAAATTTAGATATTATCTTATTGTAGTGCAATATTAATTGATATCCTTTTACTTGATATAATAATTTTTAGCTCTAAAAGATTTTTAGGGGAAAATAAGAAGAAAAACATAAGAAAAAAGATCAAAGAGCTAAAATAGCTTGCAAAAATTCAATAGTAGAATGAGTGATTAAAACATTGAATGTCATCCATCTATCAATTTTCTTTATTATATTTTATGATATTCTGATTAATATTTTAGTTATCAATTTATATTTATTCTAATTATTTAGATATACATAACTAACTTTTCTAATTTTTTAGATTTTGATTTAATTATTTTTTTAATATTATAAATTATAGTTTTTTAATAAGAAATGATAATATTTGCCTTAGTTTATTACAAATTTTAAGTTGTTGTAATTATATATTAAACTTAAATTATATTTTATATTTTTAATCTTAATTTATTAATTTGAAAAGATTACTCAATTCTTTTAATTAAGTAATATCTTTTTTTTATTTTTACTAAACCCTTAATTTTGCAAAACAATCTTTATAGTTCTACATTCATAAACTTAATTCCATTTAGATCTGGGATAAAAATTTAGAATACACATTTCTCATTGTTTCTACTTATTTATAATTAAAGCAAAAATTGAAAATAAATAGGTCAAAATATTTATTTTTGCATTAATGATTAATTAATCAAATATAACATCTCGTTTTAAGTTAGAATATAACTTATATTTTGAGGTGAAGCACGTATGTATACCTTTTATAATTCCACCTAATTTTGTAACAATGAAAAATATTGATTATAAATTTCATAACTTTGGAATTATTCCAACATTTTTGTTTTCTTGCAGATAAAAAATATAAGGACCATTGTGTTTAAGTTGTTGTAATGAATTTTATTGTAAAGCACGAAACAAGATTAGTTATGATTTTAGATTATGGTCAGGACAGTTATTTTAGATAATGCTAGACCATTTTTGGAGTTTCTAACTCCTAAACCTAGTTGAGTAAACTTAAAACTTCATTCATTCTATTATTTCACTAATAAATAGGTGAGATCTATCATGCATCTGAAGTGCATCAGAGTAGAATGTCATTTTTAATTCTGTTCGTTTTTTTCACATATTTTAGTTATTCTTCGTTCTAGATTTTCCCTTCCATAATTATTTTGAATCTTAATCTTAGATCATTTAATTAAAGGATTTTAATTAATTTTGTTCATAATCTATCTGTCCAATATTTAAATGTCTTTTATAATTCCCTATCTTTATGCATTCTTTCTATTTTTCACTTGATGATGATAATTTAGGTTAGAATTATGTAAATAATTGTTCGATTACTTGTAAAAAGATATCAATTAATATTGCACTACAATAAGATAATATCTAAATTTAATAAATAAAAATACAAAATTTGTTTAGTTTTCTATCATTAAATAAAAATATAATTCACATAATATTGTGAATACCAAAAGTAATAATATTAGGATTTTGATGATTATAACCACAATAATTTGTTTCATGATAAAAACATATTTTATTTATTTCTAAAAATAAGAATCATATATACTTTAAGGAAATTTTCACTAAGTCTCATTATTATAATTGATGCAAGTATAATCCAAATTGAAACTTCGTAATCAAATTAAAATAAACATAAAACTTCTGCAATAATCACTGCTGAATTCCATCTTAATAATATTAAAAGAGATCTCATGAATGGGCTTAAGTAAATTTATTATTTAAATATTAACTATGTTAAGCAATGGTATTTCTAAGGATAAGCTAAAATTGAGTATAAAGAAATAAATAAATCTCTTAATTGATATCATATCTTAGATTTTATGACTTATTTATTAACGATTATTATGATTAAAATATAATAATTATAAAATTTATTAACCAAACAACCTTTTTATAATAGTCAAGATGAAAGTTTGACACTCTTAATCACTCAAATATCTTATTACTGCAATCTATTATGATGCAAATTAATTAGTAGCTTAATTTTCAATTATGATATTTTGGAGGTTTGGTACTATTTATTCACCTTAGATTTTTTTTTTTTTCATTATTAAATGTTTCATTTAGTATTCTTAATTATCATTAGCTATATAGCTTATCCACAAACCACGTTTTAATTGGAAGGCCCTTTGCCGTTGAATATTGATTGTAAAATATCAAGTTCAAGTAAGTATATTTCAAAAAGTTATAAGTTGAAAATGGATTAATTGGAAATCAATACTTTTATAATTATATGACTAAAAACGGAACCCTTTTATCTTTGGATAAGATCACATTTCATATGTGGATGCAATTTCATTCAGAATTAAAATCTGATGCAAGATAAATTATATTTTGTTTTTTTGATGGCAATAAATCTGTATGAATTTTTATATATTTAGAATATAAATGTGATGCTGTATTTTAGAATAGAAAATGATCTCACCTATTTGTATTTTGAAAACAAAATATAAAAATTCAATTCTACCATTAGGCAATATATTAATAGGTAAATATCATTTTAAATTATAAGACAACTCAAAGTATGGAATCATCTATTAGTTTCAATAGATAAAAGTACCGAAAATACATTTATTAATCTTAAATTTTTTACTGTTACTGATAATCCTTAATTATTTCAGTCTACTGAAACCTTAACAAATTAAAAGTATATATTCTCTTAAATTTTAGGATACCATATAATTTTGGTTCCCGCTCAAGAATTACAAATGAAAAAATTACAGAAAAAGATATCAAGGCTTGCATAAATATTGCAAATTTTTATTATATTAATGGGTGGGCAACTATGGATACAGAGTTCTATTTTGATTTTGATTTACAACTTAAATTTGCATTAAAACCATATTCATAGAATGGAATAATTGTAAGTAATATATTTTCTGACATTGTTTTGAGAAAGTAGACAGAATATATTGAATATAGTGGGAGTATTGGGATAAATTTGTATAAAAATACATAAATAGTTTATAATTTTATTGAATAATTGCCAACTTTAACAATAATTTTTTGGGTGAAACCTTAAAATATCCTATCTTCATTTTAATTTTTATCATTTACAGATGATGTATTATAAGAAACAAGTATAGGTTTTGGAGTTAATAAGTTTTATAATCTTCTGTTTTACTAAATTTATAATAAAACCCCAGTCTGTAATTTAACTTAGAATATATGGAATCATGTTACAATTGGAATTTTGGATATTAGTTTTGATGATGATTTTGAATAACTAAATTAAAGGAAATTAATGAGAATTTTTATCGATAATGTTTAAAGAAACTTAACTGTTATAACAAACATTAAGCCATATAAAAGATTAGTTTTAGGACCTGTATTTTTGGATGATTAAGGATTAGAAATAATTGATATTTAAGATATAAAAATTTTTAAAGGATTTGGAATCAGATAAACTTTAAATCATGATTGTTTGATATTTGTAGGCGATTATTGTGCATTTTGTAAATCAGGCACTCATTATTGTAAAGAATAAGATCCTAATGATGATACAAAAGTCTATCCTTGTCCAGCAGGATATAAAGAATAATAAAATAGCTGCTCCAAAATAATCATTCCAAATTGTCTCAGATTGTCATCATCTTCATTATCATGTGATATTTGTGAATAAAATTATGCATTAATGAATGGTTAATGCATATAAAACAGTGTAATTTTATCTTCTCCATTCAAATGTTCTGATTAAAATGCACAATTTTGCTCATTCAACTAAACTTTAAATGTTCTAAGCAATACTTTAGATGAAAAACAAGTAAGTAAATAAATAAGTAAATTATGTACTAATAATTTATATTCTTCTTCTCAATTAAAATGCACTGGAGCAGCAGTGTCTTCATGCTTAAAATCTTAATTTAATAGTAAATGTACTTAATGCAACAATAACAATGTATTAACTGAATTAAAAGAATGTAAATCTTCTTGCTCAACTAACTTACGATTTATAGCATCAAATAAAATTTGTGTAGGTAAGTGTGAAAGATATTTATTCAATCTTACTTTTCCAAATGGTAAATAGAATACAAATTATTACTGTAATCCAGCAATAAATTGTACAGTTACCGAACTTGATATTGGTTATTACTGTTTGACAAAAGAATAATTTTAAACTCCTTAAAAAATTACTTACTTAAAAGTAAACACTCTTACAACTACAAAATGCCATAGTAAATGTTATTATTGTTTTGGACCTCAAGAATCAAATTGTTTGAAATGCTTTTAAAATTTTTATTATAACCCTTATATGACATCTTGTATTCCAGATTGCTCTATAACTTAAAATAATAAATTCAATTTTAATAACAAATATAATTGGACTTGTGAATTAGAATGTCCAACTTGGTTATATACAGAGAATAAAAATTGTGTTAAAGAATGCAGCGTTGGATATAAATTATTTTAGAACTAATGCCTGAAAGCAAATTTAATTGATACATATGAAGTAGTATAAGAAATTCCTGACGAAGTATCACCCAAATCAATTGTTTTACTTTAATATTGTCCCTAATTTTGTAAATCATGTACTAGCGATACATTTTGTACTAGTTGTTTATATCAGTATCCAATGGATTAGAATATGTGTGTTAAGTCATGTTATCCTCAATACTTAGAAATAATAGATAATGTTAGTTCCTGTAGAACATCTTGTGATCCTCAAGATTTAATTTATGAGAATAACAATATTAATGGATATCAGATTAATTAATGCTTTAAGGAGAAATGTGGTACTATAAGAGCCAATAAAGATTATTAAACTTTTCTGCATCAAACTGATACTCATCGATGTATGTATCCATGTGAGGATGGATATTATGGTAATACCTTACTCTTATAATGTTTACCATGTAGCCATACTTGTGCTACTTGTGAATAAAGTGCTATCTTCTGCACTTCTTGCCCTTACTTTAAATTTTTAGATTAAAATAATTGCTATGACTCTTGCTAAGGTAAGTTTTAAAATTATTTGGACTTTGTATGTGAAGGATCATGTTCATCAGGATATTAAGTGATAGATCAATCATTAAGTATANAAGAATAATAAAATAGCTGCTCCAAAATAATCATTCCAAATTGTCTCAGATTGTCATCATCTTCATTATCATGTGATATTTGTGAATAAAATTATGCATTAATGAATGGTTAATGCATATAAAACAGTGTAATTTTATCTTCTCCATTCAAATGTTCTGATTAAAATGCACAATTTTGCTCATTCAACTAAACTTTAAATGTTCTAAGCAATACTTTAGATGAAAAACAAGTAAGTAAATAAATAAGTAAATTATGTACTAATAATTTATATTCTTCTTCTCAATTAAAATGCACTGGAGCAGCAGTGTCTTCATGCTTAAAATCTTAATTTAATAGTAAATGTACTTAATGCAACAATAACAATGTATTAACTGAATTAAAAGAATGTAAATCTTCTTGCTCAACTAACTTACGATTTATAGCATCAAATAAAATTTGTGTAGGTAAGTGTGAAAGATATTTATTCAATCTTACTTTTCCAAATGGTAAATAGAATACAAATTATTACTGTAATCCAGCAATAAATTGTACAGTTACCGAACTTGATATTGGTTATTACTGTTTGACAAAAGAATAATTTTAAACTCCTTAAAAAATTACTTACTTAAAAGTAAACACTCTTACAACTACAAAATGCCATAGTAAATGTTATTATTGTTTTGGACCTCAAGAATCAAATTGTTTGAAATGCTTTTAAAATTTTTATTATAACCCTTATATGACATCTTGTATTCCAGATTGCTCTATAACTTAAAATAATAAATTCAATTTTAATAACAAATATAATTGGACTTGTGAATTAGAATGTCCAACTTGGTTATATACAGAGAATAAAAATTGTGTTAAAGAATGCAGCGTTGGATATAAATTATTTTAGAACTAATGCCTGAAAGCAAATTTAATTGATACATATGAAGTAGTATAAGAAATTCCTGACGAAGTATCACCCAAATCAATTGTTTTACTTTAATATTGTCCCTAATTTTGTAAATCATGTACTAGCGATAAATTTTGTACTAGTTGTTTATATCAGTATCCAATGGATTAGAATATGTGTGTTAAGTCATGTTATCCTCAATACTTAGAAATAATAGATAATGTTAGTTCCTGTAGAACATCTTGTGATCCTCAAGATTTAATTTATGAGAATAACAATATTAATGGATATCAGATTAATTAATGCTTTAAGGAGAAATGTGGTACTATAAGAGCCAATAAAGATTATTAAACTTTTCTGCATCAAACTGATACTCATCGATGTATGTATCCATGTGAGGATGGATATTATGGTAATACCTTACTCTTATAATGTTTACCATGTAGCCATACTTGTGCTACTTGTGAATAAAGTGCTATCTTCTGCACTTCTTGCCCTTACTTTAAATTTTTAGATTAAAATAATTGCTATGACTCTTGCTAAGGTAAGTTTTAAAATTATTTGGACTTTGTATGTGAAGGATCATGTTCATCAGGATATTAAGTGATAGATCAATCATTAAGTATATATGCATGTGTTTAAAGTTGTGGATCTAAATATCAAACTTTTTAATATTCTTTGAATAATAGGTGTTATGAAGAGATGCCAGAGGTAGGAGCATATTGCGAAGGATTTAATTGTTATAATTGTAATTATAAATGCAAAACATGCTCGGGTCCAAACTCAAATTAATGTTTAAGTTGTAAACCTAAATCATATTTAAAAAACAATGAATGTATTAAATAGTGCTATCCATAATTTAATGATAGTTTAAATTGGAAATGTGTTGATGTATGTGAATAATCTATAAAAACCTTTGGTCGAGAAAATATTAATGGTAATTCTGTAATAGTTACATATTGTTCAGTAACTTGCTTGTTTAAACAATATTAATTCAAAGAAATATGCTATGAATTGAAACCTTCAGAAACATACTGTTTAGATAGAAAAGACTATTATTTTTGTGATAGTTGTGCCTCAGTTTGCAAAGAATGCCAAAATGCTTACTCTACATCATGTTCAAAATGTTCCCCAGGTGCTTATATACATGGATCTACTTGTTATACGGATTGTCCAAGTATTGCACCTTATAAAGATTAAATCACTTTACAATGCGTTTCTAGTTGCACTTATTTTGCAGAAAATGGCTCTTGCGTTTATTAATGCTCTAATTCATATTACTAATATCCCGCCTTAAGAACTTGCTATTAAATGGGATGTCCTATGGGAACTTATAATCTATAATATACAAAATTATGTTTAAGCTGTTACCCTGGATGTGCAACATGCAAAAACGGAAATTATAATGGATGTTTGACATGCTCAGTTGGTTACTTTATGAATGGAGGGACAACTTGTATTAATTCTTGCATTATTGAACCTGATTTAGTTTAAGATTGGGTTAACGGTAAATGTGTTTAATAGTGCCCTTAAGGAACTTATATAAGAACATTAGATAGTGGAGCGCTTGCTTGTACTGAAGATTGCCCCAAATATTATTATTCTAATATTTGTGTTTCTGCATGCCCTAGCTAAACCTATTTAGATAAATAAATTTGCAAAAGTTGTGCTGGTCCATGCTCAGAATGTTTTGGTGTTAAAATTAATGAGTGCACTAAATGTGATCTTGGCTATTATAGAGATTAAACAACATGTTATTCTGTTTGCCCTGATTATAAACCTTATGCAAATTTAGCTGACTAAACATGCGTGGCAGCATGTCCAGACTACTTATACTTGAAAAAAAATTATTGTTTTAGTCCTTGCCCTACATTTTTATACTATTATGAATTAAATGGTAAAAAAGAATGTGTAGATTAATGCTATTCTAAATCATACTTATGGCTTGGTAAATGCTATGAATGCAATTCTATATGTAAAGAATGTTTTGGACCAAATAATGGTAATTGCTTTGAATGTGAACTTCCTTATTTTTTGAATGATTAGACTTGCTAAAATAANGTGAATTAGAATGTCCAACTTGGTTATATACAGAGAATAAAAATTGTGTTAAAGAATGCAGCGTTGGATATAAATTATTTTAGAACTAATGCCTGAAAGCAAATTTAATTGATACATATGAAGTAGTATAAGAAATTCCTGACGAAGTATCACCCAAATCAATTGTTTTACTTTAATATTGTCCCTAATTTTGTAAATCATGTACTAGCGATAAATTTTGTACTAGTTGTTTATATCAGTATCCAATGGATTAGAATATGTGTGTTAAGTCATGTTATCCTCAATACTTAGAAATAATAGATAATGTTAGTTCCTGTAGAACATCTTGTGATCCTCAAGATTTAATTTATGAGAATAACAATATTAATGGATATCAGATTAATTAATGCTTTAAGGAGAAATGTGGTACTATAAGAGCCAATAAAGATTATTAAACTTTTCTGCATCAAACTGATACTCATCGATGTATGTATCCATGTGAGGATGGATATTATGGTAATACCTTACTCTTATAATGTTTACCATGTAGCCATACTTGTGCTACTTGTGAATAAAGTGCTATCTTCTGCACTTCTTGCCCTTACTTTAAATTTTTAGATTAAAATAATTGCTATGACTCTTGCTAAGGTAAGTTTTAAAATTATTTGGACTTTGTATGTGAAGGATCATGTTCATCAGGATATTAAGTGATAGATCAATCATTAAGTATATATGCATGTGTTTAAAGTTGTGGATCTAAATATCAAACTTTTTAATATTCTTTGAATAATAGGTGTTATGAAGAGATGCCAGAGGTAGGAGCATATTGCGAAGGATTTAATTGTTATAATTGTAATTATAAATGCAAAACATGCTCGGGTCCAAACTCAAATTAATGTTTAAGTTGTAAACCTAAATCATATTTAAAAAACAATGAATGTATTAAATAGTGCTATCCATAATTTAATGATAGTTTAAATTGGAAATGTGTTGATGTATGTGAATAATCTATAAAAACCTTTGGTCGAGAAAATATTAATGGTAATTCTGTAATAGTTACATATTGTTCAGTAACTTGCTTGTTTAAACAATATTAATTCAAAGAAATATGCTATGAATTGAAACCTTCAGAAACATACTGTTTAGATAGAAAAGACTATTATTTTTGTGATAGTTGTGCCTCAGTTTGCAAAGAATGCCAAAATGCTTACTCTACATCATGTTCAAAATGTTCCCCAGGTGCTTATATACATGGATCTACTTGTTATACGGATTGTCCAAGTATTGCACCTTATAAAGATTAAATCACTTTACAATGCGTTTCTAGTTGCACTTATTTTGCAGAAAATGGCTCTTGCGTTTATTAATGCTCTAATTCATATTACTAATATCCCGCCTTAAGAACTTGCTATTAAATGGGATGTCCTATGGGAACTTATAATCTATAATATACAAAATTATGTTTAAGCTGTTACCCTGGATGTGCAACATGCAAAAACGGAAATTATAATGGATGTTTGACATGCTCAGTTGGTTACTTTATGAATGGAGGGACAACTTGTATTAATTCTTGCATTATTGAACCTGATTTAGTTTAAGATTGGGTTAACGGTAAATGTGTTTAATAGTGCCCTTAAGGAACTTATATAAGAACATTAGATAGTGGAGCGCTTGCTTGTACTGAAGATTGCCCCAAATATTATTATTCTAATATTTGTGTTTCTGCATGCCCTAGCTAAACCTATTTAGATAAATAAATTTGCAAAAGTTGTGCTGGTCCATGCTCAGAATGTTTTGGTGTTAAAATTAATGAGTGCACTAAATGTGATCTTGGCTATTATAGAGATTAAACAACATGTTATTCTGTTTGCCCTGATTATAAACCTTATGCAAATTTAGCTGACTAAACATGCGTGGCAGCATGTCCAGACTACTTATACTTGAAAAAAAATTATTGTTTTAGTCCTTGCCCTACATTTTTATACTATTATGAATTAAATGGTAAAAAAGAATGTGTAGATTAATGCTATTCTAAATCATACTTATGGCTTGGTAAATGCTATGAATGCAATTCTATATGTAAAGAATGTTTTGGACCAAATAATGGTAATTGCTTTGAATGTGAACTTCCTTATTTTTTGAATGATTAGACTTGCTAAAATAATTGTCCTCAGTTTTATGATTTAACAGACCATGTATGTAAAGATGCATGTCCTGTTCATTTAGTAATTTAAGGAGTTAATTGTTAAAATGAATGTGATTCTGGATATTTAGTCTATAATTAAGTTTGCGTTTAATAATGCCCAAAATTCGCATATCTTGTAGATGATCACTGTTATGATTGCAATTTATTTTGTAGTTCTTGTTATGGACCAACGGCTAATGAATGCTATTCTTGCATAGAAAATTATTTTTTAGATGAATAAAGTTGTAAATCAGTTTGTCCTTTATATTATAATAATGAAACTAATAAATGCATGGCAGATTGTAGTAATATGTTTGAAATAACAGAAAAAAAAGAATGTGTTTCATCATGTCCATCAAATTATATCATCTGTTAATCTAAATGTGTTTTAGTTCTATAAGATGGATATTATTTAGATGGCAATTAATGTTAATAATGTGACTCTAAATGTTCAAAATGTACTTCAGCAACAGTTTGTTAAGCTTGTGCCAACAATTTTTATCTTGAAATCAATTCTTGTGTTAGTTTTTGTTCAAATGAATATTTATTTATGGATCCTATTTCAAGATCTTGTGTAACTAAATGTCCTTCTACATTATATCATTTAGAATCATATGGCAAAAGATTTTGTGTAGCTGACTGCAATTATAAACTTTATAATCAATGTGTATCAGCATGTCCAAAAGGAATGTATTCAAAAGATAAAGTTTGCACTTAATGTCCATAATATTGTGAAGAATGTGAATCATTTTCAAAATGCTCAAAATGTTTATTTGGTTATTATTTGTAGAATGAATAATGTAAACTCAGTTGCACAATTGGAAAGACTGATAGAAAGAATATAAAGTGTGTTGATGAATGCGATGCCTCTTTATTTGAATATTAAAATGAATGTTTAGAAAATTGCCCTACTGATCCAATTCTATATAATAATAAAATGATATGTGCTCATAGTTGCCCATAAAAAACATATTAAAATTAGTAAGAATGTAAAGATTGTAATTTATCATGTGCATCATGTATTGGGCCTTCTGATAAAGATTGTATAACTTGTTCTGATGGATATTATTTGGATAATCAAATTTGTTCATAAACATGTCCATAATTATATGATGAAGTTAATAAATAGTGTGTTCTTACATGTCCTACTAATCTCTACTAAGATAACAACAAATGTGTAGCAATTTGTGGTATTTACTAATACATTAATAACTGTGTTAGCTCATGTCCACCATTAACTTATGTTTAAAATTCAAAATGCTATGATTGTTCTGAAAATTGTAATGAATGCAATTCTTTAGGATGCTTCAAATGTGCCCTTGGTACATATTTAAATGATGGCTTATGTAATAATTATTGCCCCTATTTTTACAATGAAGTTAATAATAAATGTGTGTAATTGTGTCCCAAAGATACTTATTTATATATTGATCATTGTTATTCTCAATGTCCATTAAGTACTTTTTAGTATAAGAATGAATGCCTTTTAGCATGCCCATCATTAACAGTGTTATTGAATAATTAATGTCTATAATGTCCTGAAAGATGTTTAATTTGTAAAAGTGAATATGAATGCTCTAAATGTGAAAGCCCATATTTTTTATTCAATGGCTCCTGTGTTATACATTGCCCATTATAAATACCATTTGAAGACATTACTAATGGCTAATGTGTATCTGCTTGTCCTCCAGAAGCTTATGAGAGGGGATATGAATGTGTAAAGGAATGTAATTTAGTCATATACTAAAAATAATGCCTATAAAAATGTCCTACTGGATATTATGGTAATGATTATTGTAAACCCTGCCGATTAGAATGTAAAGCATGTTCAAGTTTTGAAGTTTGCACAGAATGTAACGATAATTTTTTTCTTGAATTTAATTAATGTGATACATTATGTACAAAAATTAAGGATATAAAATCCAAATCCTGTGTCGACACATGTAATTTATTTTTGTATAAAAATGTTTGTTACGAAGCTTGTCCTTAAAACACTTATGAAAATATAAATGAATGTGTCTTAAATTGTGATGATGGTTATTATGGTTCTTAAGACTATAAATGCAAAAAATGTTCATAAGAATGTGCTAGTTGCATAAATGCTTTAGAATGTACTAAATGTAATATTGGATATTTTCTTCATAATAAAAAATGTTTGGATTAATGTCCAGGATAATTTTTTTCTAACCCTGTAAATAATGAATGCTCAACAAAATGTCCAATATAAACATTTACATTTTAGAACTCATGTCTTTTTGAATGTCCTTCTGAATATTTTAACGATATGGATAATTATAAATGTGTAAGCAATTGTGGATCTTAATAATATTTAAGTAAAAAGAACTGTTTAAAATGTGCAATAGAATGTGATTAATGCACTGGAAGAGGAAACAATAATTGTATCAAATGCGCAAGCAGTTTTCAATTAACTGAAGATGGCCTTTGCATAGGCAACTGTAAAGATGAATATTATAAGTCAGATAATTCATGTCAAAAATGTCTACATAAATGTTAAACATGTGAAAATGGAACTGATTGTATCAAATGTAGAGGTACAAATAGAAGCACTTAAGATTGCTCTTGTTAGAAAGGTTATTATGATGATGAATTTTATGATGATTGTTAAAAATGTCCTTGTGATGAATGTACTGCTATTGATAACTGTCTTATATGTAAGAATAATCTATAAGTTCCTAAATGCTCTTGCGATAGAATACTTAATGAAGATTGGTGTATAACTTGTCAAATAGCAAAGGTTAATATCTATTTCACTGATGACCTAAATTAAATAATTGTTTATTTTGGTTATTTGATTTCTGTTAATTTAATCAATCCATTTTAACCTTCAGATTGTTCTTTATGGTTTGATAATTCAGAAATTTTTGGTAAAAATTCCTAATGCTATTTATCATGGAACAGATATGCTGTTCATATAATTTTAAAGCCGTATGCATCTGTTAACATTGGAGACAAGTTAAGTTTTAAAAACTCCTTTTATAGAGATATAGACCAAGGCATTTGCGATGGTTAATTTATTGAATAATTTATTGAAAATAAAGTAAAAGAACCTTAAAATTTGTAAAAACCTTATATCCTATTTGATATCCCTTCATTTGTTAGTACATGCAAAATTATATTTATCAAATAAATCCTACTACATGGTACTGGTTAAAAAATCTAGAATGTATTGTCTTGGACTCTTAAAGAAATGGAAGATGAAGAATAATATCTACAAATGGATGCATTTTTAGCAAATCAATAAAATGAAATTACAATTCCAATTGGAACATTGTAACCAAATGTCACATATACAATCACAGCTAAATATGTTAATTTCTTGCAAAGAGTCAATTTTACTACTTTTACATTTACAACCCTTCCAATTTAAGCTCCTTATGTGTTTTTATCATATGAACCTTTGATTGCAAGAGTTTATGTATTTGATTGTCATGTCTCTTACTCAGATTTGAAAAATGAATTCAATGTTGCTATTGAAATAACAGGTAGTAATAACGAATCATATATTTCGTTAAGTTAGTAAATTAATCCTATATATGAAATTCCTCTAAATGAGTCTCTTCTTCCTAAAGAAACTCCATTATTATTTACTGCCTCAACTGGTAGTTCGATAATAAAAGAAACTATTAATCTAAAATCTAAAATAATTGATATTAAATTTTTATAAAAAAATAGATTTATAGGTTTGGATAATTAAATTAATGCAAGAGGTTTCGATAGAAATATAGAGGACGAAGTTTTGAGTACTATAGGGATTACTTATGAATGGCAATGCAACAACTTAAATAATTTATAACCTTGTAAAACTGATGAAAACTAAATTATGCAATTCCCTTCAAGAAGAATAGTCAATATCTTTGCTGATAGTTAGAATACAACTTTAGTTTTCTTTGCAAAAGCATCTAAAGGTGACAGATGGACTGTCAAAGAATAGTTGATAGTTATCACAGATTTTAACATCGAAGAAGAATTTTATATAAATAATGAAGATCCATAAAATTATATTAATGCAAATGATGAAGTGACAATCTTATTAAAAAAATAATAAAAGTATGCTTTTATTATTCAATAACATAAAATTTTGTAGTCTATGAAAATATCTGGTTTATCTTTAAAATTTAGATTAGCTGGCTTAACTACTGATTTTAAAAGTCCTGTCTACATTTATTTGGTACCAGGTAATGAATCTATAGCTTTCAAACTGAACGAATCTCCTCAAAAAGTTTTTTTGTAAATAGAGCCATTAATAGGAGAATCTCTAGATTATTTTAATTACACTCTTTCCAATCTTTAAGCTGGAAATTCAGTAAGTTTCTATTATTATTTTGAAAATTCCATTCTTGAAAATGATGTAAATGCATAATCTATAATTAATGGAATACCATTAATTACAAACTCTAAAGAAACATCTGGATCATTTTAGCTACCAAATGGAATCACAAATAATTCAATTTCAGTTTTATGTGAGATATCATCCAATTATGGGGCTAAATCTTATTTGAAATAAGATGTTTATGTGGTTAGGAAAAATTATGAGATGTAATAATTGTACCAATCATTCACTAATAAAACAAATTTAGAAGATTTATAAAGTCTTCATACTATGATTGCCCTTATCTAATTAGAAGAATAGTAGGTTTGCTTGAAATAATGCTCAGGGGTTGGGTCATGTGTAAATAAGAAATGTTAATGTCCACCAGGATATTATTTTCCTGATTGTAGTGGAAATTAAGAATAATAAATATAATTCAATAAATTTATGACTGATGTAATGTAATAATTAATCAAAACGCCAATAAAAAATAACAACGACATGAAATTATTTAGTCAATCTCTTTACTTTTTAACATAATTTAGTTCTAATAATACAATAAGTTTAGAAGATTGCTCAATTATATTACAATCATATATTTAGAATACAAATTCTAGATTAGAATAGATTAATTAATATTCAATAAATTTACAATATTAATCAACAGATGATTTTAATTATTCATAAATAGACATTCGCTCTTTAATAAATAAACAAGATTTACACACAGCCCTTAAAAGCACAGTTTTTATGTGGGAAAAGACTTTGTTTACCTCAGGCTCAAATGTCTATTAGTTATAAAATCATCTAAATAATTTCATCAATAATATCATTGAGTTAACTATCTTTGCTTTAAGCCCTGATGAAAAAATAGATTTTTCAATAGATACTGCATCTATAACAATTAAAAAATCCAAAACCCTCCCTTATAATTCTAGTAGAATTTTATAAGAAATCAATAATGAGAATTCAACTATTTATGATATAGTTTAGGCGATTTACATTAGGAACTTTTATGCTTTTGATGGTTATTTCCCATATCCATAGTAAATTTATCCATTATATGTATATTAAATCAGATATTCAAATCGAAAAGAAAATATTTAATTAATATAACCAATCTCATATCGATTTGGAATTCAAAACGATACAACAAACTTGGTTTGTTTATAAAGAAATGCTAAGACTTATGAATGGTTTAATTAAAATTGCACACTCTCTGAAATAAATTCAACGTACTATTGTAACTGTACAACTCTATCTCCTACAACAATTTGTAATGACTACGATTTTATTTATTAAGGTAATTCAGGATTCCGGATTAATCTTCCAAATATTTTTTATATCATTTACATTATTTAATTAATAATATTAGGAATTTTTGTGAGCAAATCAAAAATGTAAGAGAATGAATAATAAACTGAAAATACTAAATTTGGCCGTGTTTTTAAATTAGCTAAAAATAAAAAAGTGAATATTATTGGAAACTAAGTTTATCCAGTTGAACAGGAAAAGGATACTCGAGAATTAATAACAAAGCCATAATTAAACAATTAAGATAACATAAATGATAAGTTTCATTTTAATTATTTCTGGGTACTCAATTTTTGCTAATATTTTTTTTAGAAATACCATTGCTTAACATAGTTAATATTTAAATAATAAGTTTACTTAAGCCCATTCATGAGGTCTCTTTTAATATTATTAAGATGGAATTCAGCAGTGATTGTTGCAGAAGTTTTATTTTTGTTTTAATTTGATTACTAAGTTTCACTTTGGATTATACTTGCATCAATTATCATTATGAGAATTAGTGAAAGTTTCCTTAAAGTATATATGATTCTGATTTTTAGAAATAAATAAAGTATGTTGTTATCATGAAACAAATTATTGTGGTTATAATCATCAAAAGCTTAATATTATTACTTTTGGTATTCACAATATTATGTGGATTATATTTTTATTTAATGATAGACAACTAAACAAATTTAGTAATTTAATTTATTAAATTTAGATATTATCTTATTTTGGTGCAATATTAATTGATATCCTTTTACTTGATATAATAATATTTAGCTCTAAAAGATTTTTAGGGGAAAATAAGAAGAAAAACATAAGAAAAAAGATCAAAGAGCTAAAATAATTGGCAAAAATTCAAAAGTAGAACGATTGATTTAAAAATTAAATTTTATCTATCTGTTTTATTATTTTTTATGATATTTTGATTTATATTTAATATGTTTTGTTGTGTTTATTTGGTTTATTTCGAATTTTTAATTGTTGTAATTATATATTTATCATAAATTATATTTTATATTTTGGAATCTTAATTTATTTTTTTGAAAAAGATTACTCAATTCTCTTAATTAAGTAAATTAATTACTATTCAATAATTTTTTTTTCTTTCTCTTTACTTAGCAGTAAATTTTTCAATACAATCTTTATATTTCTGCATCATCATTATCTACATGAAAACACTTCCATCTTACAAAAATTTCCAGGGATAAAAATTTAGAATACAGCTACTCATTATTTCATTTTTCTAATAGTTGATATGTAATATATCATAAAACTATCTTCCATATACAAATTATCTTTTATTTTATTAATTTACAACTATTATTCTTATTTTAGAGTATTAGGATATTAAATCTAGATATTAATATTTTCTTCGAATATTAATTTTTCTATTAATTTTATTAATATGCTTAAATAATGAGTGTTTATTAATAAATTCATATGTATAATTATCCATTATCTAATATATATCATATACCCATATATATTACCTTTAATAGTATTATTTTATTATTAATTATTTGAATTATTTTAATGGATATTCAATTCATATTAACTGGTTACATCTTATTAATTAACCTTATAGAAAGGCGATCTTGATCTATAGAATTTTTTTTCCAATTATTCTTTTCCTAATAGTTGCCTAAAGTTTTCTCTTTTAGAGAATATAGAATTCATATTTTAATTCTGACTGTTAAAATTCAAAATTGAATTCATGATTATTAATAATAATTAATTATAATAATATTAATTAAAATTATAATAATAATATCAATCGATCAAAATCTCTTTTTTAGTAATAATCATTATAAGTTTATTGAATGAAATTCCCCCCAACTTCATCAATAATGTTACATATTCTTTATTCTAGTTATACTTATTTTCTTTTATCGTAGTTCTTTTTTTCATTAAGTTCTAAATATCTTAAATTATATTAATTTAATTTTCATTAAGATAAATGATGATAATGACAAATTTATTCGTGCTATTGACATTATCTTAAAGGTGATAAAAATAATTACTAAGTATTTTTTGGGAAGTTTAAATATTATATAGCAACCTTTGGTATCTTATTAAACTTTTTTATTATATTGTTGTTTGAATCCCTTTTATTTATTAAATATTCCATTTTTTATTAAAGTAAATCAAATTTGACATTTTTATCATTAATTTTAAACTAGATTTCATTAATTATATGAAAACCTTTTAATCTTTTTAAATTAAGTTTTTCATTATAGGAAATAAATATAAGAAATAAGGTTAATAAAAATTTTTTCCCCAATTAAAATTGATCGGATATTTTATTAAATTATCGTGCTAGATATTTGAAGCTTTATTTTATTAATTTTAATTCAGTTTAATTGTTCCTTCGTTATCAATTAAAACACCAAGAAATTTATAATTTTATAATATTGAGATAGTATCTTCATTGATCTAAATTTCATCTTCCCAGTTTTTGATTTTCATTAATCCACATTTAGAATAATTTATAATTAAATCTAATTCTTAACTTATTAATTATATATCCTCTATTAATTGTTTTATATATTTCTTTTTTATTATAAAAGCCATATCATCTGCATATAAAAACATATTAAAAGCTGTTCCTTAAATATAATTTGTTATTAATTAAATCTGTATATATATTGAATAAAAGTGGCGATAGGCAACTACCTATGGTATACCATTCTAAAATGAATATTTAGGATTTTTATGATTAATATATTACCAACTCATTAGAGCTTTTAAAAATTCTATATCATCCTAACATAATATTTACTTTTCTTTAATATAATTGAATAGATTTATTAAGTTAGTTATGTTGTATGCAGATTTTAAATCAATAAAATAAATTATTAATTTTTATGATTTTTTTGATTATTTAATAAACTTAATTAATTTATATCCAGATAAAAACCATATTAAGCTTTTACTATATTATTTTAACAATAATCCTTAAGTTTTTAAAAAAATCTTAATTCTAGCCATTTATATAAAGGGCTTTATATTATAATAGGTCTAAACTAGTTTGAAAATGGTAATAATAATAATAATAATAATAATAAGAATAATAATAATAATAATAATAATAATAATAATAATAATAATAATAATAATAATAATAATAATAATAATAATAATAATAATAATAATAATAATAATAATAATAATAATAATAATAATAATAATAATAATAATAATAATAATAATAATAATAATAATAATAATAATAATAATAATAATAATAATAATAATAATAATAATAATAATAATAATAATAATAATAATAATAATAATAATAATAATAATAATAATAATAATAATAATAATAATAATAATAATAATAATAATAATAATAATAATAATAATAATAATAATAATAATAATAATAATAATAATAATAATAATAATAATAATAATAATAATAATAATAATAATAATAATAATAATAATAATAATAATAATAATAATAATAATAATAATAATAATAATAATAATAATAATAATAATAATAATAATAATAATAATAATAATAATAATAATAATAATAATAATAATAATAATAATAATAATAATAATAATAATAATAATAATAATAATAATAATAATAATAATAATAATAATAATAATAATAATAATAATAATAATAATAATAATAATAATAATAATAATAATAATAATAATAATAATAATAATAATAATAATAATAATAATAATAATAATAATAATAATAATAATAATAATAATAATAATAATAATAATAATAATAATAATAATAATAATAATAATAATAATAATAATAATAATAATAATAATAATAATAATAATAATAATAATAAAATAATAATAATGGTAATAATATTAATACATAGTTATAGTTGTAAATTTAATGCATTTAAAGCAGAGCCGACATAAAATCTGGTGAAAAGATTTCTTAGAAAAAACTCAAAATTAGGATTCTAGATGTAAGTTTTTATAAGGAGCTTAACCAATATCTTTATTACAAATGTAAAGGAAATAAATTAAAATGTATAGGAGTTTAAATGAGATTTTCATAAATTATATGATTGAGTTGAGTGAAAATACAAGTTTGTATATTAGTAGTAATATATTTATACTAGAAATTCTTAGTATTGTAATTTACATTTAAGAATTCATAAAAAGGGTAGCATATAATTTAATATAATTTTTTAATCAAAAAAACATTGGATTGTATTGAAAAATTTACTGCTAAGTAAAGAGAAAGAAAAAAAAATTATTGAATAGTAATTAATTTACTTAATTAAGAGAATTGAGTAATCTTTTTCAAAAAAATAAATTAAGATTCCAAAATATAAAATATAATTTATGATAAATATATAATTACAACAATTAAAAATTCGAAATAAACCAAATAAACACAACAAAACATATTAAATATAAATCAAAATATCATAAAAAATAATAAAACAGATAGATAAAATTTAATTTTTAAATCAATCGTTCTACTTTTGAATTTTTGCCAATTATTTTAGCTCTTTGATCTTTTTTCTTATGTTTTTCTTCTTATTTTCCCCTAAAAATCTTTTAGAGCTAAATATTATTATATCAAGTAAAAGGATATCAATTAATATTGCACCAAAATAAGATAATATCTAAATTTAATAAATTAAATTACTAAATTTGTTTAGTTGTCTATCATTAAATAAAAATATAATCCACATAATATTGTGAATACCAAAAGTAATAATATTAAGCTTTTGATGATTATAACCACAATAATTTGTTTCATGATAACAACATACTTTATTTATTTCTAAAAATCAGAATCATATATACTTTAAGGAAACTTTCACTAATTCTCATAATGATAATTGATGCAAGTATAATCCAAAGTGAAACTTAGTAATCAAATTAAAACAAAAATAAAACTTCTGCAACAATCACTGCTGAATTCCATCTTAATAATATTAAAAGAGACCTCATGAATGGGCTTAAGTAAACTTATTATTTAAATATTAACTATGTTAAGCAATGGTATTTCTAAAAAAAATATTAGCAAAAATTGAGTACCCAGAAATAATTAAAATGAAACTTATCATTTATGTTATCTTAATTGTTTAATTATGGCTTTGTTATTAATTCTCGAGTATCCTTTTCCTGTTCAACTGGATAAACTTAGTTTCCAATAATATTCACTTTTTTATTTTTAGCTAATTTAAAAACACGGCCAAATTTAGTATTTTCAGTTTATTATTCATTCTCTTACATTTTTGATTTGCTCACAAAAATTCCTAATATTATTAATTAAATAATGTAAATGATATAAAAAATATTTGGAAGATTAATCCGGAATCCTGAATTACCTTAATAAATAAAATCGTAGTCATTACAAATTGTTGTAGGAGATAGAGTTGTACAGTTACAATAGTACGTTGAATTTATTTCAGAGAGTGTGCAATTTTAATTAAACCATTCATAAGTCTTAGCATTTCTTTATAAACAAACCAAGTTTGTTGTATCGTTTTGAATTCCAAATCGATATGAGATTGGTTATATTAATTAAATATTTTCTTTTCGATTTGAATATCTGATTTAATATACATATAATGGATAAATTTACTATGGATATGGGAAATAACCATCAAAAGCATAAAAGTTCCTAATGTAAATCGCCTAAACTATATCATAAATAGTTGAATTCTCATTATTGATTTCTTATAAAATTCTACTAGAATTATAAGGGAGGGTTTTGGATTTTTTAATTGTTATAGATGCAGTATCTATTGAAAAATCTATTTTTTCATCAGGGCTTAAAGCAAAGATAGTTAACTCAATGATATTATTGATGAAATTATTTAGATGATTTTATAACTAATAGACATTTGAGCCTGAGGTAAACAAAGTCTTTTCCCACATAAAAACTGTGCTTTTAAGGGCTGTGTGTAAATCTTGTTTATTTATTAAAGAGCGAATGTCTATTTATGAATAATTAAAATCATCTGTTGATTAATATTGTAAATTTATTGAATATTAATTAATCTATTCTAATCTAGAATTTGTATTCTAAATATATGATTGTAATATAATTGAGCAATCTTCTAAACTTATTGTATTATTAGAACTAAATTATGTTAAAAAGTAAAGAGATTGACTAAATAATTTCATGTCGTTGTTATTTTTTATTGGCGTTTTGATTAATTATTACATTACATCAGTCATAAATTTATTGAATTATATTTATTATTCTTAATTTCCACTACAATCAGGAAAATAATATCCTGGTGGACATTAACATTTCTTATTTACACATGACCCAACCCCTGAGCATTATTTCAAGCAAACCTACTATTCTTCTAATTAGATAAGGGCAATCATAGTATGAAGACTTTATAAATCTTCTAAATTTGTTTTATTAGTGAATGATTGGTACAATTATTACATCTCATAATTTTTCCTAACCACATAAACATCTTATTTCAAATAAGATTTAGCCCCATAATTGGATGATATCTCACATAAAACTGAAATTGAATTATTTGTGATTCCATTTGGTAGCTAAAATGATCCAGATGTTTCTTTAGAGTTTGTAATTAATGGTATTCCATTAATTATAGATTATGCATTTACATCATTTTCAAGAATGGAATTTTCAAAATAATAATAGAAACTTACTGAATTTCCAGCTTAAAGATTGGAAAGAGTGTAATTAAAATAATCTAGAGATTCTCCTATTAATGGCTCTATTTACAAAAAAACTTTTTGAGGAGATTCGTTCAGTTTGAAAGCTATAGATTCATTACCTGGTACCAAATAAATGTAGACAGGACTTTTAAAATCAGTAGTTAAGCCAGCTAATCTAAATTTTAAAGATAAACCAGATATTTTCATAGACTACAAAATTTTATGTTATTGAATAATAAAAGCATACTTTTATTATTTTTTTAATAAGATTGTCACTTCATCATTTGCATTAATATAATTTTATGGATCTTCATTATTTATATAAAATTCTTCTTCGATGTTAAAATCTGTGATAACTATCAACTATTCTTTGACAGTCCATCTGTCACCTTTAGATGCTTTTGCAAAGAAAACTAAAGTTGTATTCTAACTATCAGCAAAGATATTGACTATTCTTCTTGAAGGGAATTGCATAATTTAGTTTTCATCAGTTTTACAAGGTTATAAATTATTTAAGTTGTTGCATTGCCATTCATAAGTAATCCCTATAGTACTCAAAACTTCGTCCTCTATATTTCTATCGAAACCTCTTGCATTAATTTAATTATCCAAACCTATAAATCTATTTTTTTATAAAAATTTAATATCAATTATTTTAGATTTTAGATTAATAGTTTCTTTTATTATCGAACTACCAGTTGAGGCAGTAAATAATAATGGAGTTTCTTTAGGAAGAAGAGACTCATTTAGAGGAATTTCATATATAGGATTAATTTACTAACTTAACGAAATATATGATTCGTTATTACTACCTGTTATTTCAATAGCAACATTGAATTCATTTTTCAAATCTGAGTAAGAGACATGACAATCAAATACATAAACTCTTGCAATCAAAGGTTCATATGATAAAAACACATAAGGAGCTTAAATTGGAAGGGTTGTAAATGTAAAAGTAGTAAAATTGACTCTTTGCAAGAAATTAACATATTTAGCTGTGATTGTATATGTGACATTTGGTTACAATGTTCCAATTGGAATTGTAATTTCATTTTATTGATTTGCTAAAAATGCATCCATTTGTAGATATTATTCTTCATCTTCCATTTCTTTAAGAGTCCAAGACAATACATTCTAGATTTTTTAACCAGTACCATGTAGTAGGATTTATTTGATAAATATAATTTTGCATGTACTAACAAATGAAGGGATATCAAATAGGATATAAGGTTTTTACAAATTTTAAGGTTCTTTTACTTTATTTTCAATAAATTATTCAATAAATTAACCATCGCAAATGCCTTGGTCTATATCTCTATAAAAGGAGTTTTTAAAACTTAACTTGTCTCCAATGTTAACAGATGCATACGGCTTTAAAATTATATGAACAGCATATCTGTTCCATGATAAATAGCATTAGGAATTTTTACCAAAAATTTCTGAATTATCAAACCATAAAGAACAATCTGAAGGTTAAAATGGATTGATTAAATTAACAGAAATCAAATAACCAAAATAAACAATTATTTAATTTAGGTCATCAGTGAAATAGATATTAACCTTTGCTATTTGACAAGTTATACACCAATCTTCATTAAGTATTCTATCGCAAGAGCATTTAGGAACTTATAGATTATTCTTACATATAAGACAGTTATCAATAGCAGTACATTCATCACAAGGACATTTTTAACAATCATCATAAAATTCATCATCATAATAACCTTTCTAACAAGAGCAATCTTAAGTGCTTCTATTTGTACCTCTACATTTGATACAATCAGTTCCATTTTCACATGTTTAACATTTATGTAGACATTTTTGACATGAATTATCTGACTTATAATATTCATCTTTACAGTTGCCTATGCAAAGGCCATCTTCAGTTAATTGAAAACTGCTTGCGCATTTGATACAATTATTGTTTCCTCTTCCAGTGCATTAATCACATTCTATTGCACATTTTAAACAGTTCTTTTTACTTAAATATTATTAAGATCCACAATTGCTTACACATTTATAATTATCCATATCGTTAAAATATTCAGAAGGACATTCAAAAAGACATGAGTTCTAAAATGTAAATGTTTATATTGGACATTTTGTTGAGCATTCATTATTTACAGGGTTAGAAAAAAATTATCCTGGACATTAATCCAAACATTTTTTATTATGAAGAAAATATCCAATATTACATTTAGTACATTCTAAAGCATTTATGCAACTAGCACATTCTTATGAACATTTTTTGCATTTATAGTCTTAAGAACCATAATAACCATCANTGTATATGTGACATTTGGTTACAATGTTCCAATTGGAATTGTAATTTCATTTTATTGATTTGCTAAAAATGCATCCATTTGTAGATATTATTCTTCATCTTCCATTTCTTTAAGAGTCCAAGACAATACATTCTAGATTTTTTAACCAGTACCATGTAGTAGGATTTATTTGATAAATATAATTTTGCATGTACTAACAAATGAAGGGATATCAAATAGGATATAAGGTTTTTACAAATTTTAAGGTTCTTTTACTTTATTTTCAATAAATTATTCAATAAATTAACCATCGCAAATGCCTTGGTCTATATCTCTATAAAAGGAGTTTTTAAAACTTAACTTGTCTCCAATGTTAACAGATGCATACGGCTTTAAAATTATATGAACAGCATATCTGTTCCATGATAAATAGCATTAGGAATTTTTACCAAAAATTTCTGAATTATCAAACCATAAAGAACAATCTGAAGGTTAAAATGGATTGATTAAATTAACAGAAATCAAATAACCAAAATAAACAATTATTTAATTTAGGTCATCAGTGAAATAGATATTAACCTTTGCTATTTGACAAGTTATACACCAATCTTCATTAAGTATTCTATCGCAAGAGCATTTAGGAACTTATAGATTATTCTTACATATAAGACAGTTATCAATAGCAGTACATTCATCACAAGGACATTTTTAACAATCATCATAAAATTCATCATCATAATAACCTTTCTAACAAGAGCAATCTTAAGTGCTTCTATTTGTACCTCTACATTTGATACAATCAGTTCCATTTTCACATGTTTAACATTTATGTAGACATTTTTGACATGAATTATCTGACTTATAATATTCATCTTTACAGTTGCCTATGCAAAGGCCATCTTCAGTTAATTGAAAACTGCTTGCGCATTTGATACAATTATTGTTTCCTCTTCCAGTGCATTAATCACATTCTATTGCACATTTTAAACAGTTCTTTTTACTTAAATATTATTAAGATCCACAATTGCTTACACATTTATAATTATCCATATCGTTAAAATATTCAGAAGGACATTCAAAAAGACATGAGTTCTAAAATGTAAATGTTTATATTGGACATTTTGTTGAGCATTCATTATTTACAGGGTTAGAAAAAAATTATCCTGGACATTAATCCAAACATTTTTTATTATGAAGAAAATATCCAATATTACATTTAGTACATTCTAAAGCATTTATGCAACTAGCACATTCTTATGAACATTTTTTGCATTTATAGTCTTAAGAACCATAATAACCATCATTACAATTTAAGACACATTCATTTATATTTTCATAAGTGTTTTAAGGACAAGCTTCATAACAAACATTTTTATACAAAAATAAATTACATGTGTCGACACAGGATTTGGATTTTATATCCTTAATTTTTGTACATAATGTATCACATTAATTAAATTCAAGGAAAAAATTATCGTTACATTCTGTACAAACTTCAAAACTTGAACATGTTTTACATTCTAATCGGCAGGGTTTACAATAATCATTACCATAATATCCAGTAGGACATTTTTACAGGCATTATTTTTGGTATATGACTAAATTACATTCCTTTACACATTCATATCCTCTTTCATAAGCTTCTGGTGGACAAGCAGACAAACATTTTCCATTAGTAATATCTTCAAATGGTAATTATAATGGGCAGTGTATAACACAGGAGCCATTAAATAAAAAATATGGACTCTCACATTTAGAGCATTCATATTCACTTTTACATATTAAACATCTTTCAGGGCATTATAGACATTAATTATTCAATAACACTGTTAATTATGGACATGCTAAAAGACAGTCATTCTTATACTAAAAAGTACTTAATGGACATTGAGAATAACAATGATCAATATATATATAAGTATCTTTAGGACATAATTAAGCACATTCATTATTAACATAATTGTAATAATAAGGGCAATAATTATTACATAAGCCATCATTTAAATATGTTCCAAGGGCACATTTGATGCATCCTAAAGAATTGCATTCATTACAATTTTCAGAACAATCATAGCATTTTGAATTTTAAACATAAGTTAATGCTGGACAGGAACTAACACAGTTATTAATGTATTAGTAAGTACCACAGCTTTCAACACATTTATTGTTATCTTAGTAGAGATTAGTAGGACATGTAAGAACACACTATTTATTAACTTCATCATATAATTATGGACATGTTTATGAACAAATTTGATTATCCAAATAATATCCATCTGAACAAATGATACAATCCTTATCTGAAGGCCCAATACATAATGCACATGATAAATCACAATCTTTACACTCTTACTAATTTTAATATGTTTTTTATGGACAACTATGAGCACATATCTATTTATTATTATATAGAATTGGATCAGTAGGACAATTTTCTAAACATTCATTTTAATATTCAAATAAAGAGGCATCGCATTCATCAACACACTTTATATTCTTTCTATCAGTTTTTCCAATCGTACAACTGAGTTAACATTATCCATTTTATAAATAATAACCAAATAAACATTTTGAGCATATTGTAGCTGATTCACATTCTTCACAATATTATGGACATTTAGTACACACCGAATCTTTTGAATACATTCCTTTTGGACATTCAGAAACACATTGGCTATAAAGTTTATAATTGCAGTCTGCCACACAAAATCTTTTACCAAATGATTCTAAATGGTATAATGTAGAAGGACATTTTGTTACACAAGATCTTGAAATAGGATCCATAAATAAATATTCATTTGAGCAAAAACTAACACAAGATTTGACTTCAAGATAAAAATTTTTGGCGCAAGCTTAACAAACTGTTGCTGAAGTACATTATGAACATTTAGGGTCACATTATTAACATTAATTGCCATCTAAATAATATCCATCCTATAGAACTAATACACATTTAGATTCACAGATAATATAATTTGATGGACATGATGAAACACATTCTTTTTTTTCTGTTATTTCAAACATATTACTACAATCTGCCATGCATTTATTAGTTTCATTATTATAATATAAAGGACATACTGATTTACAACTTGATTCATCTAAAAAATAGTTATCAATGCAAGAATAGCATTCATCAGCTGTTGGTCCAAAACAAGTACTACAATATAAATTGCAATCATAACAGTGATCATCTACAAGATATGCGAAAGTTGGGCATAATTGAACGCAAACTTAATTATAGACTAAATATCCAGAATCACATTCATTTTAACAATTAACTCCTTAAATTACTAAATGAACTGGACATGCATCTTTGCATACATGGTCTATTAAATCATAAAACTAAGGACAAGTATCTTAACAAGTCTATTCATTCAAAAAATAAGGAAGTTCACATTCAAGGCAATTACCATTATTTGGTCCAAAACATTCCTTACATATAGAATTGCATTCATAGCATTCACCAAGCCATAAGTAAGATTTAGAATAGCATTAATCTACACATTCTTTTTTATCATTTAATTCATAATAGTATAAAAATGTAGGACAAGGACTATAACAATAATTTTTTTTCAAGTATAAGTAGTCTGGACAAACTGCCACACATGTTTATTCAGCTAAATTTGCATAAGGCTTTAGATCAGGGCAAACGGAATAACATGTTGTTTCATCTCTATAATAGCCAAGATCACATTTAGTGCATTCATTAACTTTAACACCAAAACATTCTGAACATGGACCAGCACAACTTTTGCAAATTTATTTATCTAAATAAGTCTAGCTAGGGCATGCAGAAACACAAATGTTTGAATAATAATATTTTGGGCAATCTTAGGTACAAGCAAGTGCTCCATTATCTAATGTTCTCAAATATGTTCCTTAAGGGCACTATTAAACGCATCTACCATTAACCCAATCTTAAACTAAATCAGGTTCAATAATGCAAGAATTGATACAAGTTGTTCCTCCATTCATAAAGTAACCATCTGAGCATGTCAAACATCCACTCGAATTTCCATTTTTGCATGTTGCACAACCAGTGTAGCAACTAAAACATAGTTTTGTATATTATAAATTATAAGTTCCCATAGGACAACCCATTTAATAGCATGTTTTTAAGGCGGGATATTAGTAATATGAATCAGAGCATTAATAAACGCAATAGCCATTTTCTGCAAAATAAGTGCAACTAGAAACACATTTTAATGTAATTAAATCCTTATAAGGTGCAATACTTGGACAATCAGTATAACAAGTAGTTCCATATATAAATGCATTCGGAGAACATTTTGTGCATGATGTAGAGTAAGCATTTTGACATTCTTTGCAAACTGAGGCACAACTATCACAAAAATAATAATTTGTTCTCAATAAACAGTATGTTTCTAAAGGTTTTGAGTTATAGCATAATTCTTTGAATTAATATTAATTAAACAAGCAAGTTACAGAACAATATGTAACTATTACAGAATTACCATTGACAATTTCTGGACCATAAGTTGTAAAAGATCCTGTTGGGCAAGCATCAACACATAACCAATTTAAACTATCACTAAATTATGGATAGCATTATTTCACACATTCATTGTTTTTTAAATATGATTTTGGTTTACAACTTAAACATTAATTTGAGTTTGGACCTGAGCATGTTTTGCATTTATAATTACAATTATAACAATTAAATCCTTCACAATAAGCTCCAACAACTGGCTACACCTCATAACATCGATTATTTAAAGAATATAAATAAGTTGGATAGTTTGATCCACAACTTTCAACACATGCATATATATTTTATGATTATTCTATCACTTAATATCCTGATGAACATGATCCTTCACATTTTGAGTTCAAATAATTTTCATATTTACCTTAGCAAGAGTCATAGCAATTATTTGAATCTAAAAATTTAAAGTAAGGGCAAGAAGTGCAGAAGATAGCACTTTATTCACAAGTAGCACAAGTATGACTACATGGTAAACATTATAAGAGTAAGGTATTACCATAATATCCATCCTCACATGGATACATACATCGATGAGTATCAGTTTGATGCAGAAAAGTTTAATAATCTTTATTGGCTCTTATAGTACCACATTTTTCCTTAAAGCATTAATTAATCTAATATCCGTTAATATTGTTATTCTCATAAATTAAATCCTGAGGGTTACAAGATGCTCTACAGGAACCAACATTATCTATTATTTCTAAGTATTGAGGATAACATGACTAAACACACATATCCTAATCCATTGGATACTGATTTAAGCAACTAGTACAAAGTGTATCACTTGTACAAGATTTACAAAATTAAGGACAATATTAAAGTATGTCAATTTATTTAGGTGCTACTTCATCAGGAATTTCTTTTACCGTTTCATATGTATCAATTAACTTTGTTTTAAAACATTAGTTCTAAAATAATTTAAATCCAACACTGCATTCTTTAACACAATTCAAATTCTCTGTATATAACCAAGGTGGGCATTCTAATTCACACGTCCAATTATATTTATTACTATAATAGAATTTATTATTTTTTGTTGTAGAGCAATCAGGTATACATGATGTCATATAAGGGTTATAATAAACATCTTTAAAGCATCCCAAACAATTTGTCATTAGATTTCCATAGCAATATTTGCAGCTTGAATGGCACTTCTGATAAGTTTTACCACAGAAAGTAGTAAAGCCAACTACACTTTAATCTTTAGGCAAACAGTAATAGCCAAGATCTAATTCAGTACTTGAACAATTTTTTGAAGGATTACAATAGTATTCCGATCGTGGATTTCTTCCTATACAAGTAACTTTAAAGAAATATCTATCGCACTTACTTACACAGATATTATTTGGTCCACTAAATCGTAAATTAGTTAAGCAAACAGGCTTACAATCTTTGATTTCAGTTAATGTATTGTTATTATTGCATTAAGCACATTGACTTCTAAATTAAGATTTTGTGCATGAAGGCACTGCCAGTCCAGCGCATTTTAATTGAGTAGAAGAATATAAATTATTAGAACACAATTTGCTTATTTGTTTATTATCTAAATCCTTGAGAATTACATTTAAAGCTGAGTTGAATGAGCAAAGTTGTGCATTCGAATCATCGCATTTGAATGGGGAAGATACAATTAAAGTTTTTAATTAACATTAACCATTTATTAATTCATAATTCTATTCACAAATATTACATGATGATGTTGATGTTGAAAATCTGAGACAATTTGGAATGAGTATTTTTGAGCATTTATAATTTTCTTCTTTATATCCTGCTGGACAATGATAGATTTTTGTATCGTCATTAGGATCTTATTCTTTACAGTAATGTGTGCCTGATTTACAAAATGCACAATAATCGCCCACAAATAATAAACAATCATGATTAAAAGTTTATCTTATTCCAAATCCTTTAAAGATTTTGATATCTTAAATATCAATTATTTCTAATCCTTAATCATCCATAAATACAGGTCCTAAAACTAATCTTTTATATGGCTTAATGTTTGTAATAATAGTTAGGTTTCTTTCAACATCATCAATAAAAATTCTCATTAATTTCCTTTGATTTAATTATTTAAAATCATCATTAAAACTAATATCCAAAATTCCAATTGTAACATGATTCCATTTGTTTTATGGTAAATCACAATATGGGGTTTTAGTGTAAACTTAATAAAATAAAAGCTTATAAAGCTTACTAACTCCAAAACCTATACTTGTTTCTTATAAAACATCATCTGTAAATGATAAAAATTAAAAAGATGATAAGATATTTTAAGGTTTCACCCAAAACATTATTGTTAATGAGGGCAATTATTCAAAGAAATTATACACTATTTAAGTATTTTTATAAAAATTCATCCCAATATTTCCACTAAATTCAATAGGTATTGTATTCTTTCTCAATAAAATATCAGGAAAAGTATTACTTACAATTATTTCATTCTATAAATAAGGCTTCAATTCAAATTTAAGTTCCGCATCATAATCAACATAAATCTCTTTATCCATACTTGTCCATCCATTAATATAATAAAAATTTGCTATGTTTAAGCAAGCTTTTTGATCTTTACTACTAAACCCAACTAATTTTTCATTTGTTATTCTTGAACGATCATTAAATTTATATATTAATCTAAAATTAAGTAGAAAATGTACTTTTAATTTATTAATGTTTCAGCATACTGAAAAAATTAAGGATTAGTTGAAGTATCACCAGTTAAAAAAAATTTAAGATTAATAAAACAATTTTCGGAACTTTAATCTATTGAAACAAATAAAAAGTTCCATAATTTATTTACTCTATATATTTAAAAGGATAGATAGATACATAGCAATTTTTAGTTTTATGATTATCGTATTGACTTTTTAATTTTCTAAATATAAATAAGTGCCATCAGCTTCTGGCTTATAATAAAGCATCAAATTTATGTTCTAAATTTATAATAATTCTTACAGGTGATTATAAATTGCCATCAAAAAAACAAAATATAATTTATCTATCTTTCTATTGTGGATCTGAATGAACTTGCATCCATAAACTAAAAGTAATCTTATTTAAAGATAAAAGGGCTCCATTTTAAGATAGGTAATTATAAAAGTATTGATTTCCTATAAATCCATTCTCAACTTGAAATTTTAAGAAATTTACTTACTTAAACTTGAGACTTTGCAATCAATATTAAGGGGCAAAGGGCCTTACAATTAAAGTTTGGTTTAAGCATAGACATAAGAACAAACAACCAAGAAAAAAACTAAATGAAACATTTAATAATGAAAAAAAAAAAATTTGAGCTGAAGAAATACCACCAAACTACTTAAATTATAAATTAAGAAAATTATTAAGATCAATCTAATAATATTGAATTAATATGATATAAGAAAATATTGATATCCATCCTTAAGCCTAACTTTAAAGAAAAGTTGTTTGGTTGTCAGATTTTATGTCTACTATTTATCAATAATAATAAGCACACATATTTGATCATCGAATTCATAAACTCTCAAATTTCATCAGTTTCTTTAAACTCTGTAATAGTTTTTGGCGGAAACTAAAGTTAAAAAATGTTTTTTATTATTTCATTTATATTTGCTGAGTTTCATTAATTAATATTAAAAAATTATTTTTTATTAAGCTCATTATTTATACCTTAAACCTTATTCTTAGGTGTTGTAAAGTTTTTTGTATTATTTCCTTTTTTATACATGACTGAAAGTTTATAAATAATAATTAATTTTTAATTGAGTCGGTTTTAATAATAAGAATATCTTCTTTTTGAATCCTCTCCTCTTTAGATTTTAAATTTCAAATTAAATTCAGTTTCTATCTGAACTAACACGAAAAAGTTATATTTTATTACTAATAAAGCATTTATGATTTAACATATAGTAATTTTGAGCTCTAAACGAAAAATATTAATTTCTACGAAAGATAAAACGAGCACAAAATATGAGATAATCTCGTATTAAAATAATTAATAATGGAATTATTGCGAATTACCTGACCATTTGATGTTATCTTCTTCACCATTTCAAATTTACCTTCAAGAACTTCACGTTTTTATTATATTTTTTATATTTTTGTATAAGAACTATATCTATATATACTAATTTACTATTTAAATCCTTTTTGAATTAAACATATTTTAGAGATTAAGTTTTAACAATGGAAATTAAATTTAGTAATGCTCTTAGAATAAAAAATATTACATTTGGCTTTCAATTAGCTAATTGATAAATAATTCATATATTTTTAAGGATTTGGAGTCTGTTGTTATTTATTCCAAAAATCCAAGATCAATTTATATATTAAATTTTAATCTCGAACATTCTATGTATAGACTAATGTACTTTAGCTCTAAATTCGTCATTTTCTAAAATATTTGACCTTTTTTGATAAGTAGGAGAATATTAATGTTAATAAAAAGTAGCTATTTTTAATTTGAATAGTTCATTATGATCTTCATATATGATCAAGTTATTACACTTTAATTAAGTAAATTATTACTATTTGATTATTAGACACAAAATATGATAACAAATTAGGAATAATTAAAGGGCTAAGTAATTTTTTATTTAAATGGTGTTGTTTGTTTAACTTTTTTTTACAAATTTAATTATAAATATATTTAAAATTACATGATTAAACTAACTATCGAAAAAAAGAATAATAAAAATATGGAGGGTATAATATGATCAATTTCTTATATTTAAGAAAGTTTTCTTTTTTTATTTTAAGTGAATTTACAGAGTAAAGTATTTACATATATTAGTACTATTGATTGCAAATTAATTAGTATATAATTTAAATAGAATAAATTAATAGATTTTTGATTCTTATAGTAATCTATTTTTAGTGAATAACAGCTTAACATATAAAATTTAATTATATGGCATTTTCCTTATTGATATTATTTATTTTATTAATAAATAATATTAATTTAGTATATTATGACATCAATCATTGTTTCAGAATTTATTTGTAAATATAATACATGTTTGAGTTTAATATCATTTGAAAACTTGATATATCAATTTTTATTATTTTATTGCATAATAAATATTTATGATAAAAGTTTGCTTTTTTTAATAACGTTGATTAATTTTATTTGTAAATTTTAACAGACTGTTTAATGTAGCAACTTAAAATAAGCAATAGTAAAGAGAATTAAAATAGAGATCTTAGTAAGGTAGAATAGAGAATTTAGCTTTTAATGGAAGAAAATTAGAGATTGAATTAATCACTCAAAACAAAGATGGAAGAAATATAATAATTAAAAAATGATAATAATGTTTAATTAATGGAATTAAATAAATTTAGAGGTTTAGATTGTGAGTAGAAGATTTTAACAGAAATTATTCTTGAAAAAACAGGTGATTGTGATAAACATAAAAGAAAATTATTAAAAGCTGAAAAAACAATAGCTGATTTAGAATAAGAAATTAGTAAATTAAAATTTGAAAAGGATTAGCATTCTAAATAAATATTTGAATCATAAGCTTAAAATATGTAATTAGATTAAGAAAGATTAAAATAAATAGATGAACTGAAAATAAAAGTTAGAAAATGTAATTAAGGTTCAAATGATTAAGTTGATTAATTGAAATTTGAAATAAATAAATCTTAATTAGAAAATGAATCTTTGAAAGTTTAATTAAAATAATTATAGGAAGAAAATGTAATAGTTTTTTTATATTTTTAGATCTCTATTAAAAAACATTTAGGTTGCTTAAGTGGTTATATAATAGAAAATGAATAATTAAGAAAAGAAAATGAAAGTTTGAATTAAAGTTATTAAGCTTTATTAGCAAAATAATGAAATCTTGATTATCACTAATTTTTTATTATAATTATTATTAAATTTATTTTAACTCTCTAATTTTAAAATTTAATAAGGAAATTTATTTATATTATTGAAATATATATACAAAAAAATCAATAAACATATACAAAACCATTTTCACATCCTATTAAAATCCATCCTTCTTCAACTATCATTTCATAAATTCCTGATTTAGCTTAAATTACTTTGTAATTGTGCATTTATCTTACATCAAATGTAACTATTTTACCATCTAAACTAGAGATTTAGAAATGTTGGTATTAAAATAAAATTTTTGTGATTGAATTCTAATTAAAGATAAGTTATATATTACTTTGCACAAACATAGTTTTTCTATTAATTTCATTTAATTCCAATTATAGATATATATAGAACCTGACATATCTCCTGCAACAATAATTGGTTAATTAGTTCCAATAAAACATAATTCAACAATACTATCTCCTAAAGGATCACTTTTACCAATAACCTAATAATTAGATTAGAATTTACTTTTCCATCTTCAAAATTGATAAATGCAATAGTTGAATCACTACTACCAGTTGCAATGATTGGTTATTTATGATGTTATACAAAACAAACAACATCATCCTTATGATAATTATGTTTATGTGCAACTGCACTTATTTTTACAACTTATTCAGAAGTATTTGGTTTCCAAATTCTAAATGATTGATCAGCAGAACCACTAACAACTAATTTTCCATCTAGAGTGAAACCACCACAAGTAATTTCTGCTTCATGGCCTGCAAATACACTCATTACTTCACCATTAACTCCATTCCACATCCATAAAGTAGAATCTTAGAATCCTGCTAATATAACATTTCCTTTTGGATGCCATTTTAATACACTAGGTTCTGTTTGACTTCCATCAAGTATTTTTTCACTCATATCATTCAATAAATAAATATAAATCTTTCCTGTTAGTATACCAGCAGCAACATATTTGCCATCATAACTAAAATCTACTAAACCTACAGTTTCATCATATTTCTTTTCAAATATTATTTTTTGAGTAGAAAGTTTAATAATTTTTAGATGATCATCTTCAGAACCACTTGCTATTGTATCTTTTGAAACAGGATTCTAAGCAAAAGTGCATATAACTTTATTATGAATTTTCAATTAGGCTTTAGATTCATCAATTTTCCAATTAGGATCAATATGATTTTCTTCAATTTATTCTAATAATTCAGGCTATTATTTAATCATTTATTCTTCTTCTTCCATTATTTTCTCTTCCTATTAATCAACTTCTTTTTCTAAGTCTTCTAATTCTTGATTATCAACTTCAACTACTTCACCTAAATCATCTTCCCATGCATCACTCCTTTAACTAGCTGTATCATCAAATTTCATAATCAAAAAGCCTTTAACCTGTTCTTCAGTGATGGTATTAAAATTCTAAATTTATAATAACATAATTTATTACAATCTTTTCGAATTCTTCTGAAACATCAATAATATTATACTACTTGTATTCTTCTATTATATCAGGATTTTATATTAAATTCATAGCATATTTCATAGGGAATGCAAAATTCAAAGTTTTATCTTGATTTCTCAATCTAAAATCATATAATCTAATTTACTTTATAGTTTAATCAATCAATTAAATATGTCTCTCTTAAATCATTAATTCTTTTGCTAATGCTATTTCTTATTCTGCAGAATGCCCTTCTTCATTACTCAATTCCCAGAATTATTTCTCATTAATTGCTTGCTTTTATTTGAGTAGATGCAAAAATTATGTCAAAGGATCGTGCTCCATAAATTAAAATAATTAAAAATACTTAACGATTATATACATGACCTCTATTTTCTAATTAGATTAGGAATATAGAATACTATTTGAGTAAATTATGGGAATGCTTGATTAATTATCATCTATAAGTTTAGAATTTGTAAGCTCTAAATTAACGTTTCTTGAAAAATACTCTTAAACTTTAAAAACTTCATAAATGGATGCTAGACAACATAGAAATAATTAAATAAAAAATCTGATTGAATATGTTAAAATGAATTCCAAATCAAAAGTACGTTCTATGATTCATTCCCCATTTAATAGAACATTTCATCATCATAATTCTTTGGATATGTAGGATATTCATATAAATGAAAATATCTCTGTGATACCTAATTCTTGTGTCTCATAAAAATGTCTAAGTGATACTAAACTTTTCCATACAAAAACTATTAAAAATATACTATAAAAAATAGTATCAAAGAAGAATGATTCACCTTAAAAAACTTTTACAGATCCCCTATTAAAATTACTTGAAAATGCACTATCTTTATTAGAAACACACTAATAATACTATTAAAAAGATTATAATGAATTAAAGAAAGAATATGATGAATTACTATAAAATAATCCATAAATAATGGCCAAAGTAAGTTTACAGAATAAATCAATTAAAATTAAAGAAAATTTGAACTCTCTAATAGAAACACAAAAATCGTTCAAATCTTATCTAAATTCTATAATGTGAATGATGAATAAATAAAACATATTACTTGTTTTAAGATTATAGTATTGTTGGATTTACTAAATTAATCAATAGTATATAAAATAATTTTACATAAATGTAGCTTATATTTCTTTTTATAAATCTTATTATTCTCTTATTTTTGGGTATCATTTCCTTATTAATTTTACTAATTTATATATTTAAAAAACATAATTAGTATGTATGAACTTCTTATTAATTATTTAAATATATATATATAATCATTATCAATCCTGAATTATCAGCTCAACAACAAAAAGGCTAATGAGAAATTACACACTTAATGAAAATAATAAATATATTTTACATCTCTTAATTATCAGCTGCTTATGATTTAGTTGAAATAAATATTTCTCTGTAATCCATGTCTTCATACCATCATTTTACGCAATCTTCATAATTCTAAATCTTATGAATCTTTCAAATCTGCTTGATCTCCAAAAGAGTTTATTTATTGTCTAATGAAAAGATATAAAATATCATATAAACACCTTGGTAAGTATTGCTAAAACAAAGAATCATTTTTTGGAACTTTTAGAACAGATAGTCTAATTTACTATTTAAATAGCAAATATTCATTTTTTATATCTATCTGGCCTCAATATTAAAATATTTATTAGATGTTAAACTTACTATAATTAGAAACTAATGATAACACTTATTTCAAACTAGTTGTTTAAATTTAATAAAATTTCTATTGATAATCAAATTATAATTTAAAATTTGATAAAAAATTATAAATTAGCACTACACTCTGGTGCTATTTTTAAAACCGCTCTTTATGGTATCGGATTTGAATTATTTGGGAAAGACATATTTATTTACTAATATTACTTCAAATACAATTTTTCATTCAGATGAAACACTACATTATAGACTTTAACTGATTTATATTTAAGAATATTTTACTGATCAACATTATTATTTTAACTGAAACATATATTATATTTCTCGTCTTTATATCACAATTCAATTAATCTTTTATCAATATTTTGAAAAATATCGATTTCAATTCATAATCTTCCCAATCTATATTCTATATTCTAGATAGTAATTATGTATAAAAATTTGCTAAAAGCCTGAGAAGTTATATAATATATATTATTGAAAAATTCATAAGATTCTAAAATTAACTTATATTGTTAAAGAGGTAGAATAAATGAATAAAATATTAATTATGAATTAGATAAGTTAAATCATTTAATTAATGAACTTCTTCATGAAGGAATTTAGACTCAAATGTATAAACTTAATATATTCATATAGCCGTTTTATTCTAAATTTTAGATCATTGCAACCATTTAATCACCTCTATTTTTTCATTTAAGAAATATTGGATTAATAAAATTAAATATTTAATTAATATGTTAATATAAAATATATTCTAAATAAGGAGCCAATTAGATTTCCTATTTCTATTTTTCTTTTTAATTCTTTCTTCTTTGTTATCATAAATTAGATTAAGATAAAAGTTTAAATACTGCAATTTTTAAATGTCTTTGGAAGTTAAATATTAATATTTACAGCAAAATTAACATTAAGAATTATTCTTTTTTACAATAAGGATCTATGTTGTAGATCCTTATTGAATTTTAAAATATTATTTTTAATTGTCTTTAAATTTCTTTAAATTTGTGAACCAAGATTAATATATAAAATATAAATTTCATATTTTGTTCTTCTGAACTTTCCATATCAACTCCTAACTAGTTTCATATTTTTTATCAAATAAATCAACATCCAAACATCGTTTGCTTAATTGTTTCTTACAATTTTATTCACTGTAGCTTTTAGCTCTTTGGCTTGATATCTTTATAGAATTTGAAAATTTTACTTAATTGACAGTATCGATTGGCAATTTAATAGAAACATTAGTATTTTAGAATTGATATTATTTGATATTTTTTGTACTTTAACTATTTAAATTATTTTAAGATTAATTTTATGTTGGTTATTATTACTACAATTGTAAATGCTATTATGAATTCATTATGTTGATATTGTTAGTGAGAATCTATTGTTAAAGATTATTATTTGCTCCATAACATGATTTTGATGAAGCTCTGTTATTCTCTAATTATAGTTATTATTATTAGTAATAATTAAGTGGTCTTTAACTATTCTATGTATTTTTTTAATTACAACTTAAATCATATTATCTGTGTGATTAAGTAATAGAATCTGATGATAATTTCAAATATATTACATCTAATATTATTTTCATTAGGAATCATCAAAGATGATTGATTTTCTTCAAGTACAGTAGATAATTGTGGTTAATCAAAATTACGTTTAGATTCTGGTCTATTAATAGGATACTAATTTAAATTATTCTCTTTATTAGATTTCATATCTTAAGAACGAGTTGGTTTATTAAAAGCAAATTATTTATTCTCATAAGTGTTTTTAGCACTTTGTGGATGGAGATCTATTTATTGATTCTTTTTTTGCATATTTTTATCAATAGACAATTACATTGACTTAGGAACAGATAAATATAAGTCATCTCTTATTGGATCTTCTAGTTCCTTATTAATACTTTCGAAAGCTGAATCAAATGGAGTCCCTTACAATTACATGATAGAAATCTTTATAATATACAATTAATATACCTTTTTAGGATTATTAAAGATCCTTGAAAAATTTTCTGGTTTTATGTATTCATCTGGTTCAGTTTTAGTTGGTCTAATTGGAGATAATTTAATCTAGTCTTTTGGTTAAGAATATTAGGATCTTTATTGCAATTATATCATCAATTGTTAAAGTAATGCAGTCTGTATTTAAATAATTTAACAATACGTTGGACTGATTTTGTTTATGTGTTTCTATGCTAATCTCCATTAGTTAACTGAAAATTTAAGTCCACCCTTGGAGTGTTTACTAAATAAGATGCACATCATTAGATAGAGAATCCAAGTTATTAGAACGGTTTTCAAACAATCCTACTTATGAGTAGCCAGACATTTGATTGTTAAAAATAAAATTAATTATCATTTTGTTTTTATTACTTCTTTCATAATCTAAATCAAAAATGAATGATAATCCTTTTATATCAATATTAAACTAATATAAATTTATAGGAAATTTAACATAAGAAAAAGTAAGATCTATTTTTTTAATTTAATTTATGTATATCTTATTTTATAATAATTTATGATTCTGAATTAATTTTATTGTACAATAAACATAAACATCAATCTTTCTTTTCTTTACCATCTGTTAATTCTTATTTTGTATCTATATCCTAAGCATAACCTGCATCCTAAAAATTAATTATTAAAAATTACTAATCTATTTGGATCTACTTTATAGATTCTTCTTTGATATATATATATAAGAAATATTATATCATCTCTAAAACAACTTAATCTTTTTAACCATGGCATAGTTATTATAAATGCAAATAAATCATCAATTATAGTGTTCAAAAATTTGTATATCATTGTTCTCCATGGTAAATGAGCTACTGATTTTAATTTGTAATTTATAAAAAGTTAAGGAGTCATATTTATAAAACCAAATAAATAGATAAATTCAACCAAACTTTCTATTATAAAAGAATAAATTCCTTTGTGTTCTTAGTAAATCAAAGCATAAATAAGATAACCACCAAATAATGGGATTGATAATTTATATAAGAATTTAGCTGCTTTTTAATCATATTATTAAGTTTTAGATTCATATGATTTTTAATGCAAAAATCGTACATAAGGAAACACATTTATTAATTTAAATTTTGTAGTTTTTGTGATTTTCCATACCATCAATCCTAATTCAATAAATTATTAAACTATAATCAGATATGATGTTTCATTATCTAATAAATACAAAGTAATAATGACATCAAATACAAAATTTGTATATAATGCTCTAATAGAAATACCTTCTTATGAATTCAAATTCTTCCAATATTAAAAGTCATTCTTTATTGCTAATGTAGAAAATATAGTATGCAATAAACTAACTATCATAGTAAGTGCAACCAAATAAAAATTAGTTTCAAAGAGCATCTCTTTAGTATTATCTTCAGCTATTTCATCATACATATCCATTCCCAAATTCTCATAAAATTTGCCTGCATTTTTCAAGGAATCAATCATATAATATTTCCAAGAATAATAACAATTAAATTCTATTGGAATTTCATAAGTTTCATTTTTTTATATTATAATGTGATCTTTCTTTCTTAAAAAATAGTTATCTACATCTAGATTTGGAGTATATATAAAACCTTCGTCTGTTCTTTTAAATTGATCTAAATTATAAATAATTATACATTTAATTTATGGTGGAATTTAATTTTTTGGGTAAGAACTTGTATCATAAACAAATAATATGTATTATTTATTTTTAACATGCCATTCATATTTTTAATTTGTTGAATTTTCTTCAGGTTTATTTATCATATACTCATCATGTTTATCAAATAATAAATTCTTTTTCTCATTCTATTAAACTTTCATAAGCTTTGTTAATGAAAAACTAGAACTTATATTAAAGTTGCTATTTCCTAATTCAATGTTAAAAAAAGGATTTTAAAGTAGCTTCGATAATCTATATTTATACTTCCTCTCCTGTTAAAGTAATGTTCTTAAAAATTATTGTGTCTTTATTATAAGATAAATCTAATTCTCTTAGACTCCAATCAGTAACATTATTTGATATTGTTAAATTGAATAGATTATTTTAGTTTAATATGTTAAAATAAGTATCTACATTAGAATTTGATTGGAAAAAAGAAACCATGTAATTTATTCCAATAATTGTTAAAATTATTCTAAAAAATCCTAAACCTCCTTATTACTAAGCTAGGTTCCCTTATTGAGCTTAGTTTACATTCCCTTGAACTTAATTGTTCATTTAAACTTTCAAGGTTTAATATAAAAATTAATATATTATTTTACCTTTATACAGGAATTTTTGGAATTATATGTATAAGAAAGCTCATCTAATAAATATATTTGAAATTTTGATTATAAATTTTGAATTAAAATTTCTAATTCTTTGTGAAGATATTTTCTTATAAAAAATTTAATGGGATGTACATGTAGCAGTAAAAAAGACTAATCTCCAAACAAGACAACTTAATCAGCACAATATGCTTCAGCCTAATTATTTGTTATAGCTGAAGCTAAAATTTAAAAATTCTATAGACCTCATCAATAACTCTAAAATGTACTTATATTCACTATATAAATAGATCTCTAATAGTACAATTTTAACAAGAAGAAGAATAAATACGAAGATAACAGATCTCAAATGTTAGAAAACTAAATGAAAGTTATTGTTATTTTTTTTGATGATTTTATCATAATTATTCTTTCTATATCCTATATATATTGTATTCAAACACACAAAAGAATTTGAAGTTTTGGAATTGGAAGAATTCTAGTTTAACTTTTTAGTAGTTTGAGTAAGTTATAATTCATCCTAATTTGTGATCAATATTGCTAAAAAGGTTAAAATTTTAAGGATAATATAAATCATTTGTAATTTTTAGATTATAACAAATGCTTCTAGTCATTTTTACAGTTAATCAAACTATATTACATAATAATAAGTATATTAATTATCCATAAAAAGATTTATAAATATAGTAATCCATGTCATTTCTATATACATTACTTTTCCTCGAATTATGAAAATATAATCATGTTCAAAATTTAATTAGTTTCTTTAACAAGGCAATACGAATTATATATATTAATTAAATCTTTTAATAAATTTTTATTATTAATTAATAATTTAAAATAAATATTACATTTGATAATCGTAAAGTCATTAAGCCTAACTCTGTATTAATATTATATCGTAATAAAAGATTTTCTTATTTATTTTTATTAACATACTAGTTAATATTCAATTAATTATATTCTTAATTATTAATCAAAACATTATTTTAGAGCTTTAATTTTGATCATTTGCCATCAAAATTTTCCATAAAATGAAAATTCAAATTTTTTTATTTTTAAATATTTACTAATGAAAATCTTGAATTATAAGAAAGAGTATATCTATATTTGAATATATATAATTTTTTAATAATGAAATTAATAGCTTATTAATAAATTAACTCAACTGCTCATCTTGTTTTATTTTGCTATTAATATTTTATTCGATAACATAAAATAGACTATCCTTTTTAAGCCAAAAGCAAGAAATCGAGTTTCTTTTGACTTAAAATTATAAAGTGAATCTTATATTTTTCCTTATTGTTTTTAATCTTGTACTCTTATAATGTCAGATGATCGATATATCATTATACCCATGAAGTAATTATACAAGTTGCTTTGGAGAATAATAATTTTACAATATTTTTCATATATTATTAGTATTTTTTATATAATTTTATCTATTTTCATTATAAAGTATTATAAAGTGATTGGTGACTATAAATTATATTTTTTCATTCTTTCTTATAATTTGTCTATTACAGTTTAGTTATCTTGATAGAAATTTCTTGAATTATATATTAAATTTTATTTACTTTAAGATTACTTTATTAATAGTTTCCCTATATTATCAAAATCAACAGCAAAAACCTTTCTTAAAATATTTGTATTTTAACCTCTCTTTATAATTTTTTAGAATGAAAATCAATAAAATATTAAATAATATTTTTATATTTAATAAAATAAACATTTAAATAAATTAATGTTATTTCAACCTTTTTATAAACTTAAATTCTGTGTTATTTCTTCATCATCTTCAACTTAAGTAGCATTGAAATTATATATGATTTCACCAGCAACAACAAATGAAAATCCAATCACCTCTATAATGATAGCTCCAAGTCTCACATTTTCCCAATGATAATTTGATGATGAAGTACTTAATGAAATTATTAAAGATATAATCCATATCATCATAATTTTAGCAACATCCACTAATGCTCTAGTAACACAAGATAAATATTTTGTTACTGTCTGACACATAGTATTGTAAACAGAAATTGATAGAATACCAAAAATTATAGCAAATTAAAGAAGAGCACTTTAAGAAAATTGCTGAAAATAATAATCAGCTCTTTCAAAATAAAACTCTCCATTATGTGGAATACAAACATTATCAAGAACTTAAGGACATTTTGTAAAAGTCAAAGATATACATATTATTGTATATATGATCAATCCCCACATTCCCTCATAACCAATAAGTTCCAATTAATGGATGAAATAGGTTTTATAATACTTTTCTTCAATTGTGTATTAGAATCCATAAAGGAAAATAGAGAATAACATTAAGAATATTGAAACTATTTATTTTTTGAAATCCTAGAATTATTATATATATAAGTACTTCTTATTTTTATTCTTCAGGAAATACAAAACCACTTATGCCAACAATAGCCACTCCTACTAAAACTAATAAACATCCTTATATTTCTTTGGTTGTATACATTCTCTTTAACATCAATCTTGATAAAATGGCAGATGTAGCAATAATTCCACATGTCAATATAGAATTAACAGAAGGTGGTAAAAAATTTAATGATATGTAGATACAGAGTGCTCCAATACTATCACAACAAGCAGGGATGAGTATTAAAAATATGTTAATTCTTTTTAATCCATTATTATTAGCTTCTTGATATTAATTTTTATAAGACTCAGTACTTTTGACATAAAAGAAGGCAAGTAAACATAGAAATTCAGCAATAAACATAGTAAATGTTTACATAAAAGGATGATTAAATACTCCATAGGTATCTTCTTAATCAACAAAAACTATCTGACTATTTTACAAATTAAAAGCTTTTTTTTGTATATCATTAATTACTTATTATTGCCAATGATCCAAATATTACTAAAGCAGTTAATAATATAGATTTCTTAGTTTAACTCAATTTAGACATGTAAATAAAATGAAATATCTTTATTTTTAATTTGAGTTTACCAATATATGTTTCTTGGTAAATAAATATAAATTGTAATTGAAAATAAAAATAAAAATATTTTTTTTTCAATAGAAAACTCTCAAATTCTAAAATACTATGAATCAATTTAAAAAAGCTGAAAGTTCTTCATTAATTTAAAATTACTATATGGCAAGAGAACCTTTGTTAAATGAAAGATAAAAATATTTCAATTCTATTCTTCAAAAGTTATAATTGAATAATGATGATTAAGGACAATTAAAAATGATAATTGATTAAACAAATTAAAAATTAGAATTACCCAATAGTTTGGATTTAAAATTTGCATCATCTATTCCATCTATTATTGATGAATAAATTTAATTTTTAATCATTAATGAAACAATTGAGACAGATTCATTAAATGTGGAATAATTGCAATATCAATGTATTCCTGATTATAATGTGATATATTCCTTCTTATGGAAAGATAATATGGAGAGAGTAGATTAAATATATGAATATTTATTTAAATAAATACATGAAGAATAAGATGTTTTAATTTATTGTAAAAATGTCAATGAAATATAATCATTTGCAAATATATTGGGATACTTAGGTTAAATATAAATTAGGTTGACACCAGAATTTAATGAATTATATTAAAAACTTGATTAAAGAAAAACTTAATAATACAATCATGTTATTTATTTACTTATTGAACCATAATATTTGGAATCTTAATGTATAACTCTAATTATCCATACATAATACAGAGAAATTAGAAAACCATACATAAAAAACAGTATCATTTATTAAGATCAATTATTATCAAGACAAGATTTAATAATTAGAGAAATACCAAAATCTAATTAATTTGGAGTATAAATTGTATACAATTTTACAAATGAAACTTATGTTACTCTACCTCCAAAAGAAGTCAAATTAGAATTTAATTAATAAGATAATCATATTGAATAATTTGATAAATCAAAAAATAGTGCTATTATTAAAGGTGCTTTGAATAGTTCAGGTATGTTATTATAATATAAACCTAATTCAAATTTAACTATCAGAACTAGTCAAATTTGGTCAAATAAGGGTGATGCTTATTCATGGATAGAAATAATAGATTAACTTGGATCTTTTATCAATTCAATTCTTCTTAATACAGATATAGATATAAATTAAAGCATTTTTGAATTTACTTAATTAGAAAAGTGGTGTAATTAGAATCTAATCAATCTATATAAAGGAATACTAATTCTTCTTTATGTTTAGTAATTTTCTCAAAAATATGTAAAATCATTAAAATATTATAGAATTGTCCTTAAATTAATATACTTAATTTTGGTGCATTGACTATGGCACCAATTAGAAGATCATCGAGTATGTAAGTAGTTTAAGAAGACAAACCATAAGTTGAAGAATTATTAAAATTAAATTTTCCTGTTGCAGAATTAAGAGAAGATAGATTATATTATATTTAAGATTAAAGTTTTAAACTAAATTAATTTTGCATTTAATAATAAAAAGGAAGATTATAATAACATATTCATATTTTAGCTTTAAAAGAAAATTCAATTTTATGTCTCCATAATAAAAATAGAAAATAATCTATGAATCAAAAAGAAATAATATTTAATAATGTTTGTAATGCAATTTTAGAGGAACTATGGAAAAATTAAGGAATTGAAATAACTGAATTAGAAAATAAATATAATTGTTCAATAGAACCAAATTTAAATTTGAATTTAATATCAATTTATTCTGATGATAAAATAGATATGAGTGAATTATAAGCAAGAATAGATCAAATTAAAGAAAATCTAAAAACATAAATTATAGAGATCAAACATATAAGTGGAAAAAAATTAATTTTTTAGAGTGGAGCCATCATTAGTGAATGGATAAGGTAGCATGAATCTAAAGAGTTTAAATTAGTAGGATTACCACCAAAAATAACAGAAAAAGATATTAAAGAATTATTTGAAGACTTTACTGTTATAACTCATCTTAAATTAAATTATTTCGAAAATGAAACTTAAGCTTAAATTGTTATTGAAGATAAAGATGACATGCCTTATATTATTTAAGGATATGATTAATCAGAGTATTAAGATAGAATTATTAGTGTTATTACAGAATAAATTAATGATAAATAATAATAAATAATTAAATAATATAAATACATTTTGAATATAATATGGTATGCCAAATTATGTTCAGGAGTCTGTACTGTGTTATTTAATGAAATGTCTTAAGCTAAATAATGTTTAGATTAATTTAATAATTAGTTATTAGAAGGAAAAAAAATTAAAATTACATAAATTGATGATTTCACTTTAAAATTTTAGAATTTAAGTTCATTTACTACTGAAATTGATATTCTTATGTTGTGTGGTGGGAAAAAGCATGTAAAATTTATTGATTTATAATCAAAAATTCTATAAGAAACTAAGAATGATTATTCACAAAGAATTATACATTTAATCAATAGAAATATTGAAAGAAATGAGAAAAAAGATGTTGATTTCAATCATACTCACTTGATTAGAAAAACAGGAGGAAAAAGAAAAGCTAAAATTCAAATTTCGAGTATTCATACTATGTAAAAATTATTAGAAATTTTAAATGGACAAAAAATATAATTTGGAGTAAATTTAGTGAAAATAAATAGTTAAGGTTAATATTATTAATTTCATAAAATTCCTATCCAACTCAAACCCCATATTTTAAACATTTTAAAGGAATATGAAAAATTTAATTTTAAGGTTACTTTCGAATAAGGAAATCAATAAAATAAAATGGAATTAGAGGTTATCATTCGTTCATAAAATATATTAATACATTAACAATTAGATCAAATTTTAACTAATTTCCTTTAAGGTTATAAAATTGAATTGAAAAATAATGGAGATTTTCTTTTTACTACTTTTGGATAGAATAAATTAAAAGACTTTGAAAAAGTAGATGGAAGTATATATTTTATGATTGATCAATATAAAAAAGTGATTCGTGTATGTTGTTAAAAAGACAAATTAAATGAAATTACTGATTATGTCAATTAAATTACTTAAATAGTTGTTTCTCATAAATTAATTATACCTCCAGGAGCAATTAAATAATTAGTTGGGTTAAAATGTTAAGGTCTTGATAGTATAAAAAAACAATTTAATTTGATCTAGATAAAATACAAATAACTGAGTAAAGAATTGTATTTAGAGGGATCAGGTTAAAATATATAAGATGCTGTTGCTTGTATTGAATCTGTTGTTTCTTAAGAAAATTTAGAAGGAGAAATAGATCTTAATGATGTAAAATAAGCAGAATGTCCTATCTGTTTTGATAATATTAAACATAGCTATTTATTATAAGGTTGTGGTCATAAATGTTGTTTAGAATGCATTTCTCTACATTGTAATAGTGTTTTACAAGATGTTAAATTATTTCCTGTAAGATGTCCAGTGTGCAATGAAAAAATGATTCTAAATGATATATTGTAAATAATTGGTTAAGAAAACAAAGATACTTTGATAAATTTGGCACTTAATAAATTTATTTAGGAAAATAATTAAGATTTAACATACTGTTATACTCCTGGATGTAATAATTTTGAATAAATTTAATAAAAAGATAAATCAATATGTTGTTCAATGTGTTTAAAATAATATTGTTGTTTATGTAAAGTAATTATTTAATATATGAGAGGCTTTAAGACATCCTGGTTTAACATGCGAGGAAAATAAGATTGGTGATTAAGGATTATTATTAAAATTAATGAAAGAATAAGATATTAGAAAATGCCCAAGTTGTTAAGCCTTAATATAAAGAATTGATGGATGTTATAGAGTAACTTGTTCTGTCTGTAAAAAGAGTATTTGTTGGAAAAATAATAACAAGGGTGTTCCTTGTATGAAGGTATTTAAAACATCTTCAGAATGTTATGAGCATTTAACAAAAGAACATGGTGGTTATTGGTGATTTGATTCTTTTTAGATTATAAATAATATTTTGAGTTTTTTCTTTGAATTTATATAATTTTTTAAATCTTTAAATTAATCCAAATTTAAAATGAATTATAATACATATGCATTATAAAATCTTATAAATAATAGATTTATAGAATATTTATTTCTTATGACTTAGAAATCAGAAAGAGAATAAAGATAGAATATTTAATTTTAAATTTAGATGAATGTTATTATTTAAATGATTGATTAAGATAAAGAATAAGACAATAGTTCTTTTTAAAGATTAGCTAATATATTGTAAATAGGTTATCATTTACTTTAATTTTTATTTAATATAATAAATGTTTTGCTGTAGTAAGAATGGGATTTAACAAGCTTAGAGGAATAGGATGACGAAGTTTCGTTTTTCAGCTGAAGAGGTTTAGGAATTGTTTAGAAGGTAATTTTTATACTATAAAATATAGATTTTAGAGAATGACTAATGGATCTAATTTTTTAACAAAAAATCAATTTAGAGACAATATGGGATTACTTGGTCTTGAAACAGTTTAGGTATTGAGTGATTGTTTATTTTAAATAATTGATGAAGATCAGGATGGTAAAATTTAGTTTAATGAATTTCTTGCTTATTTCGATAAAATCACATATGGTTCACAAGATGAAAAAGCTGAGATATCATATAAATTGATTGATTAAAATAGAAAAGGTTATTTTACATTAAGAGATTTTTAATAAACAATGCAAGCTTTGATTGATTCTTGGGTTGTTATGACAGGAACAGCCATAACAAATGAAATAAGAGATCATCTAGAAAAAAGAGTTGCATATATATTTACATAAATGGATAAGAATAATGATGAAAAAGTCTCATTTATTGAATATAAAGGAATTTTATCTAGTGATCCCTCTTTACTTGATATATTTGAATTTTTAAGGAAAGGAATAACTATTTCTATTAAAGAAGCAACCTTAAAATAAGATTAGATAGTTTTGAGTGAATTTTATTTAATTAAGGATTAAGCAGTAGACTTATTTGAATTGATGATAGGGTTAAAACAAAATAGATATTCAGCAATTGTATAAGCAAAACCCAATCTAATTTAGAGTTTAATGTTTTGTTAAAAGAAAATGTATTATTAATGTATCTATTTAAAGGAGAACAAATACAAATAGTTAATTTGGAATCTAGTATTTAATGGGAGAGGAAGTTGATGCTCTATCATTAAGAATGTCAAGTACTATAAATGTGAATAAGCCTCGTCAATAAGGAACAGTTTAAACCAGTCAAATCATATAAGCTAATAGTTAAATTTGTCCTTATATACATAGAGGAGATTAAGAGATACCTATAAAAATTGATTACAATTTATAATCGAAAGAAAGTGAAGAGACTTTGGATCCAGAATTGACTGAAGGATTAGAAAAGATTAATAATATGACAGATGATTAAATTAAAGATAATTATAAAGAAGCTTTAATTAAGATTCACGAATTAAAATAATAAACTTAATAATCTTTAGATAGATTAGAAAAAATGTATTAAAAGAAATTAGAAGAATTCAGTATCAAAAAGAAAAAAGATTTAGAAATAGCTGAAAAAAGAAGAGCTACTATTGCTAATATAAATAAAAAAAGAAAAAATGCTTTATCTGTATAATTTGGACATCAAAATTGGAATCTAGTATTAAATATGATGATTGGTATATAAATGGCAGTGAAATCTGTAAATGCTTTAAGTGATTATGAAGTTACATTAAAAGATTTTAAATTAAAATACTATTTTGAACTTATGCCAAAGAGAACTGGTAATGAAAAAGCAACTTTTAAAGTATGTAAATTCTTTGATTATGCTCCTTAAGTATTTAATCACATAAGAAAAATGTTTTTTATAGATAATGATAATTATTTAAGTAGCATTGGACCTGAAACATTATTATCAAGTATTTTAAAAGGAGATCTAAGTACTCTATCAGAATTAACATCTAGTGGTAAAAGTGGAAGCTTTTTCTATTATTCATAAGATGGTATTTATACATTAAAAACTATTTCAAAAACAGAATTTACTTTTATGAGACATATCTTATACAATTATTTTAAACATCTTAAAGATTATAGATAATCATTAATAATTAAGTTATTTGGAATGCATAAAATCATATTAGATGATAAAAAAATACATTTTGTCATAATGAGTAATGTATTCAAAACATCTCATGAAATTAATATAAGATATGATATAAAAGGGAGTCTTCATTAAAGAAAAACTCCAAATAATGCAGATTATACTGTAGCTAGAAAAGATTTAAATTTCTTAGAATCTCATGAGAAAATTAATATTAAAATGGATAAGTAAAGTGAATTACTCACATAATTGTATAAAGATGCTGATTTCTTTGCTTAAAATAATATTATAGATTATAGTCTTCTTTTGGGAATTCATGAAATTAATTTTCTTCAAACTACTTCAAGAACAGACATACCCTAGGAATTAGAATAAGAAGATATTTCTATAATTTAATCTAAAAATAGTGATAAAATTTATTTCTTTGGAATTATTGATATATTGACAAATTTTAAGTATTAATCAGATATATATATATTAGCACTAAAAAGAAAATAGAATATTGTTGTAAAAGATGTTTTTAAGGTCCTGATATTTCTGCAATACCTCCTCATCAATATGCTGAAAGATTCAAGAGATTCATAACTAATATGTTTAGAAACAATATCTGACTAAATTAAATTTTCTCAATTATAATCTATATTAATTATAAAACTAAATTATAAATTTATATAATTTTATGTAATCAATTCAATATTTAAATAATGTTTAAACATATAAATTAAATAAATTAAATAAAACTAAATTATGTTGTTTTTTATTATTAAAAATTCACATTTATAAAGGAAAGTCCATAAAGTAATTAGACTTTTTGATTTGATAACTACTCTTTTATTAAATTAATGAGACCTATAAAATTATTAGTATTTTCACATATTTTATAATCCAAATTTAATATTTAAAAAGCTTGTAAAAATTTTGTTAGCAAATTAAATTTAGTAATATACTAAAACATTCAATATCTAAATACAAATAAAATAATTTAGAATCTCTAATTAAGATTCTTTAATTATAAGCATTTAATCAAATAAAGGGTTTGGAATCCTGAATTATATTAGAATGTAAAGTTTCATTAGAAATATTGAAAATTTCATAATTAATTTTGGATTGATATTATATTATCTTTAAAAATGGAAAGAGTTGAAAATTATGATACTTGATTTGATTAATTAATCAATATATAACTAAATAATCTAAGTTATGGTAGTATAAAATATTAACGTAAGGTCAACTAGTCTTATTATAACTATTTATTATTAATTCCTAAAAATTTTTAATCAGAATAGAGTTTAAGAAAAGTATAACTGTTCAGAAATAAAAATGATTTATTTATTAAAATGGTTATCAGAAATATCAAAAAAAAAAATTATGATAAAATATAGTAATGGAGAAGAGATAACTCTATGGATATAATTTGATTATTTCTACAATGATTAAACAAATATAGAGGATTTCAGAATACTCAATAAGTGATATCTTATATGCTGAATAATGAAGAATTAAATGTTGTATTCAAAAAGCAAACTGCTTAATTCTTAATGAAGATATCAGAACTGTATATCTAGATGAAAATCTCATTGATATGGCATAATTAAAATTTTATTAAAATCATTGTATAATCAGAATGTAATACTATGGTCGAAAGAGTTTTTAGAGATTATAAATAACTATCATAATTTGAAATCTTAAAAAACCAATTTGATGTGATCAATAAAATAAAATTAAATGTCATTAATAATGAAGATCTATTTATAGAAATTGAATAATTTACTTACTCTGATCAATTTAAATTAAAATAAAGTATTTATTAAATAAATTCATTTTTCTAATCATGAATGATATTTTTGTCTGAAATAGATAGCTATCAAATATTAAAATTGAATTATATAAGAATATATAAGAATATATAAGAAAGCAAAAATATTCTGTTATAATTAATATATGTATTCCTTTATGCATTAAGTTCTACTCTCAAAAAAATCATATTTAAAATTTGGAAATGAAAAAGCATTTAAATACTTTGATGAGATGAAAAAAAAATCATTATGAATAGTGAAATCTCATCTAAATAAATAAAAGGATCTACCTAATATAATAGAATTACTATTCTTAATTAGAGATGATAAATTATATTCCTACATTTTTATTGGGTATATAAAAAAAATAAAATTTTATACTTATATATTAGTTTATACTCTAGAAAACCTTGTTATTTTTATACCTGCAATTAATATGAAGATTACATCACTCTCTGAGCACAAGTTTACAATCGTTGCAAAGTAAATAATTAAGATTTATTTAATTTTTGGTTTATAAAATTTGGCTGTATAGGATTTTTTAATTGACAAAAAATGGCTTAGTTTAATTAGAATTTTAATTGTAAATGAGTGCAAGGTACCATAAACAAGACTAGAAATTCGACAAGGAGTTCTTGGCTATTGTAGATGCATTTGGAGGCAAAAATTGCACAAGTTGGACTTAGGTAGCAAGGAAATTTGAATTATAAACAGGCGAAAAAGTATAGAAAGCCAATACACTTCGATATCGTTGGGAATAATTAACAGGATATTCAGAGAATTTTACTAAAGAATAACAAATTTAACTAATAGAAAGTGATATTAAATCAAGAGGAGTCAAAAGATAAGGGTTAAATGATTTCTATTAATTAACAGGAATTAAGTATTTAAATATAAATTGATTTTTAGATTATATAAGGGAAGATTTTGTAGAATATCTTCATAACATATAAAATAAGCAATTCAATCAATTGATGAAGTATTTGCAAAGGAAAGGAAACATAGAAGATGTGGAAAAAAAGATGCAGAATTTAGATTAAAATTATCACATTTAAGCATTTATATATTATTAAGAGCTAAGGATACTTTGACTTCTGAAGGATTTAAATAGAAAAATAAAGGATTAGATCCATTTGAATAATATCTTTGTTAATAATTAATAGAAGCATCAGACATTTGTGAAAGATTATATTTAATGCATGCTCGTGTATTTTAAGCAGATAGAGTGGATAGATATTAATCATATATGAAAGTAATCAACAGAAATTAATACAGAAAGTTAATGTTTTATATAGAATACTTAGATATTCTAAGAAAAATTAGTGTTGAATAATGTACTAATGATACTATNATGAATAGTGAAATCTCATCTAAATAAATAAAAGGATCTACCTAATATAATAGAATTACTATTCTTAATTAGAGATGATAAATTATATTCCTACATTTTTATTGGGTATATAAAAAAAATAAAATTTTATACTTATATATTAGTTTATACTCTAGAAAACCTTGTTATTTTTATACCTGCAATTAATATGAAGATTACATCACTCTCTGAGCACAAGTTTTTATAGGATTTTTTAATTGACAAAAAATGGCTTAGTTTAATTAGAATTTTAATTGTAAATGAGTGCAAGGTACCATAAACAAGACTAGAAATTCGACAAGGAGTTCTTGGCTATTGTAGATGCATTTGGAGGCAAAAATTGCACAAGTTGGACTTAGGTAGCAAGGAAATTTGAATTATAAACAGGCGAAAAAGTATAGAAAGCCAATACACTTCGATATCGTTGGGAATAATTAACAGGATATTCAGAGAATTTTACTAAAGAATAACAAATTTAACTAATAGAAAGTGATATTAAATCAAGAGGAGTCAAAAGATAAGGGTTAAATGATTTCTATTAATTAACAGGAATTAAGTATTTAAATATAAATTGATTTTTAGATTATATAAGGGAAGATTTTGTAGAATATCTTCATAACATATAAAATAAGCAATTCAATCAATTGATGAAGTATTTGCAAAGGAAAGGAAACATAGAAGATGTGGAAAAAAAGATGCAGAATTTAGATTAAAATTATCACATTTAAGCATTTATATATTATTAAGAGCTAAGGATACTTTGACTTCTGAAGGATTTAAATAGAAAAATAAAGGATTAGATCCATTTGAATAATATCTTTGTTAATAATTAATAGAAGCATCAGACATTTGTGAAAGATTATATTTAATGCATGCTCGTGTATTTTAAGCAGATAGAGTGGATAGATATTAATCATATATGAAAGTAATCAACAGAAATTAATACAGAAAGTTAATGTTTTATATAGAATACTTAGATATTCTAAGAAAAATTAGTGTTGAATAATGTACTAATGATACTATTGTATCTCATCCTTTGGTACTCAGAAATATTAAAAAGAATAAGGAAACATTAGTATATAAGAATCTAATTTTGGAAAATGATTGGAGTTAAAAATATTAATGGTTTAATGAATGTACATTAACATAAATATAAGAAGAAGAGTTTTCATTATTACTTAAATCTAGTAATAGAAAATCTAAATAAAAAAGTTCATAATGTAGTGTTGATCCTTCAGAAGTAGATGATTAAAGATAAAATAAAAGAATTGAACTCAATAATTTATAATTTGATTTCATTCCTAAACATTGCTAAAAGGTTTATGCAAAAATCAATTCTGGTAAAGCTAATAATAAAACTGAAAAAGAATACAGAAAATTCAGAGGTCATTTTATTAAACCTGGAGATACCAGAACAGATACTAGATATACTAAGATTTTCACTTGTGATGATGATTCTGAGTATGATGCTGATCAGAATGAATAAGAAGCTCAAATATAGGCTTCTTCTAGGTAAGAAAAATTATAAATATTATATAATGAAGCTTTCATATCAGTTCCAAATAAGAAGAAATAAAATTAGAATATCTAAGACATAACATAGAATAATTCTTGATGAATTTTATCAATATAAACAATTAAAAATAATATAATCAAAATTCATTTATTTTTTCTACTATTTAGAATTTCTTCTCTAATCTTTATAATTCTTTCTTAAGTACTCAATCTTTCCTTCTGTTTACTCTTACTTTTACCATTTTCTCTATTTATTTCAATTTTATCTATCATACTTTATGCATCTCTAGAGATACCTAATTAAATATTATCTATATATACTTCTATATAAAAATTGATTATCTTTCAAACATTATTCAATTCTTTCATTTACTTATTCTAACTCATTTAATTTTAAAATAATTCTATAAATTTCTTTTTCATTTTAATTCTAAATTTAATTGTAATGAGTCTAATATTTAGATCATTTATTTAACCTTTGCATTCTTTCTTGCTCTTTTAGTTTCCTCCTTTTTATTTTATAAATAAATCTCTTAGAATTTATTTCCAATAATTGCTACAGGAAGTGAAAGTAATAATACTCCAAAAATTAGACTCAACACTCCAATAAATTTACCAAGTAAAGATTTAGGAACATAATCTCCATATCCAACTGTTGTTATTGTTATGATTGCCCACCATATTGCTTAAGGTATATTTTAGATTTAACTATCTTCTACAAACTCTTTTTCTGCAAAGTACATAAAACTAGATATCAATATCACACCTCAGAAGTTAGAATAAATCAATACATATCATTGTAAAAAATAGTAGTAATGAGAGTGCTTGCATACTTTCTGATAATCCTCTTATTAATATCTATTATATTTATTTATCATATACCTTCACTCCTAAAGAGAAAGTTGAAAATTTAAAGATTCTAATCAAGCGAAGAACAATAAGCATTCTTAATACCTTTATTCTAGGATCAACCTAAACATCAATAAGATACAATATTTATTCTATTATAGAATATATTAATGCAAGTATATCAACTAGATTAAAAGGTTCTAATTAGTTACAAAATTACTTTTTAAAAATTCAACCAATGTTTCATCAAAAGCATTATAAGAGATCAGTCTAAAAACATATTCCACTAAAAAATAACTACTAACTCCTGAATTTGCAGTTACCCAAATGTCTATTATTCCTAATTCCTTTTCAGTCTCTAAAATAAGTAATATAATATCAAGTGAAATTATAAAGATAGATAAAATTGATAAAAAAAATGCCTATAATAATTATTTTCATACTAGCTTATTGCATTCATAATCATTCAGAATTATGTAAATTTTTTATTATATTTACTTTTTCTTCTCTGATGAATATTCTCCTGAAACTGTTTACCCTATTTAAGCCATAGATTTTCCAGATTTAATTGTTTTATATGATTAATCATCCGAGACTTGATTCATTATTTTCTATTTTCCTTCAAAATAATAATAATAATAAAATGTTGCTGTATAAGAATTATTTTTACTTTTTTTTATGCTTTGCAAAAAACCAAATCTATTTTTATTGAATATAAATTCAATTTAATCATAGATTGTTCTTCAAATGCATAAGAACTAAAGGAATATAAATAAAAATATTTTTTGAAAAAATATCAAATAAAAAATTATTTGAAAAACTAAGTATTAAATTTCCTCATTAATATATTCTTGATATAGGTATTAATTAACATTTCAACTTCTAATAGTTTATAATTCAATTATCATGTAATATGTTTTGGAAGTGAATTCAACTTTTAATTAATACTTATAAATTTAATATTAATGAATTTTTAATAATATATATTACATTTAAAAATAAGTATAATAAATTTTCTAATCTTAATGAATTATAATATTAATTATGTAAATTTTAATTTGAATGATAAACTGTTCCCAATACTTTATTTTCATTTAAATTATTAATATAAATATTACCTAAGGAGATAGATTTTCTTAACCTTTCACCAGTAGAAATGGGTAGATTATAAATTTAGATAAGCAGCATAAATCTTAGAGAAATTCAAATAACTAACTTCTTAATTTTTTCTTTTATAAGATGTTAATGATTTTCAGCAAATTTATAAATTAAAATTAATTTTTTTAGGAATAATATTTTTTCTATTTTTTTTATGTCATTATTTAACAAAAATTATTAGAATTCGTTTTTATTTTCATACAAACTATACTGTATGATGAATTACAATATATTGAAAAGCATTTTAATAACATTATATTTTAAACATCAAATCAAGTTCACTTCTTAGATTTCTTTTGCTTTTCAAATGTTTCTCTTAATTTTCTATCATTTCTTTGAATATTTTCTAATATTTCTTTATTTTTTTGTGCTAATGGAATATCACCAACCTTCAAAGCTTATAGATCTGATCGATTTCTGTGATCACTTTCTAAAAGCTATTTATCCATTTTTATTTTATGAGGAACAACATATCTATAGTCCCAGTATCTCACATTATCAAAATTAATGAAACCAATATATGTTCCAAATACTGTGGAAACTTTTTAACCTTTAAAGTTAACATCAGCCTAAAAGAAATCAGATGTTCTTTAATATGAAAAAGGCTTTACTTTTTTTTAACTTTTCCGATATCAATGATACATGAAAGACCATTGGCTTTGTCAGTGAAGGTAATTTTGTTTATAGACTCTTGTCTTAATTAACCAAAAAATGTGCCACTATATAATTCATTTGGAAAATCAAAATCAATTTTTTATCCATCATTGAATTCAATTGTTCTTTTGCCTTTATTAATAATCTAAATCAGATAAGAAATATACAGTAACAGAATTTAATCCTGCTCTTCCTTCAACAAGATAGTATCCATAATATTTATATTTTTTATTTGGACCAAAAACCAAGAAATAACTAACAGGAGGATGATGCATAATTTATTCACAATAGACTTAAGTTCCATCATTATAATTGGCCTAAAGTGTCTCTCCTAGAATTGGATTAAGCTTTTATTAGAATAGGTAAAAATACTGGTTTTAAAAAGGTATTGGTCCAAAAAAATGAAGATAAAGTGGCTGTGATTACAAGTTTGAATCTTTCTAAAAAATCTGGTGTCATTGTGGCTTTTGTTATATACAAGGGGAAAACAGATGCTATTTAATAAATAATGATTAGTACTTCCATGAACAGATGTTTCTAAGGCAGTCTTGGGTATCATGACTCTAATAGGGAAACTTACTTTAGTAAGATTTAAAGATCCTGATAATATTTTTTTCCCAATTTATTTAACCATTTCCTTTCCTACACTTCTTGCTTTGCTTACTACTTTCTTATCTGCACAAATTCTGCCTCCCTTTTCATATCCCTCTGGATGACGAATTTCTTCATCATTAGGAAAATATTTAAAATTGAGCACCAATTATAGTATATCATCACCTGGAATGTCATGGTATCCAACATATTCTAATTTATCAGGATCAGCAATTCCTTCATTTTCTTTATCTTATTCTTGAACTTAAGCTATTGGATCAAAGCCTTTAGCCTCTAATTCTTTATCTTCATTTGTAACAACTTATGTTTCATCCTAATATAATTCATAATATAAAAATACATCAACATAATCACTTTCATCTTTTTCTTCTTATTAAGCTGAATTTGATTCGGGCTTCTTCTTTTTGAACCAACCAAACATATGCTATATATATTTAATATATAATAAATTTATTATCAATTAATGGTATTTGATATATACATTTTCATTATAAATCTATATTTATTTCAAATATTATAGAATATAATAATATAATTCTTATAAATAATTATAGTGACAAATCATTAGAATTAAATTAATTGAGATACATAATTTGAATTAAAAGATACCAATTCTTGCAGTATATTTTTGATTAAATTTTTAAATGTTTTTTCAGCTTCAGGTATTTTACTAAAATCTGTTTTTTTAAAAAAGTTCAACCATTCAATATTAACATCAAGAGGGATTTTTAATTGTTTTGCTCTTTATTTTAAGATTTACTCTCTTGAACTGATATTATCTTAGACTCTTTATAATCGATCATTAAATTCAGTTAATTTCTATTTATATTCTACTCCAATCTCTTTACTTATTTGAATAGCTTCTTAACTAACCTTTAAATTACTTTATGTTGAATAATTAAATCCTTTTTATTTAAAACCAAATGATGTAATTGTCGATTCATAAGAGCAAGATTATCTAAATTTAGATCTAGGCATTAAATTAGATTCCTATAAGTATAATGCCATTAACTCAACTTCTTTTTCTTCAGAATTCTCTTATTTTAATGTGTTGACAGAATTTAAAATAATTTCAAATTAATAATTACCACCATTCTCTAAAATATCAATATCTTCTGTTTTCTTCAGTTTAGCAATTTCAGATGAATTCTAAGATTTAACATCTGAAACTAATCTTGCAATTTTATGTTAAATTCCTAAACATTCAAATTCTACTTCAAAAAACCATTAGGGATATAACAATCTCAATTTATCCAATTTTTTATCAATTTATTAATAGAAATCAGAATTAGAAATAGATTATTATTCTACTAATTATTCAATAATATTATAGTCTAATAAAGTTTTCTCAAATCTAAAATATTCTCTATGGCCAATCCAATGAACATTGTATTCATCTATATCTACATCTAAAGCAACGATTACATATTGTTAAATTAAATCTTCATCATCTTCTAAATTTAGATTTCTATAACTCAATTTTAGAATATTCTGTACATCTGTTGTTAATGTGATTTAACACCAAAATCTAATCATATATCCTATTAATTTAAAATGAGGATAGAAATTAGAATCATCTTTTTAAATATTAAATTGTTTTTCATACTTCATTTGTAATAAATCACATTATAAATCATATGAATTTTAAAAGGTGTTCATTAATTTCTAATATTAATGATATAACTTTATATAAAGTCTTATATTATGAGCATATTAATTTTCTTAATAATTCTCCATAAATAATTCATTATAAAATTAACATAAATGAGCAATATTATAAAATATTACGCAACAACTTTCCAAAAAATGATTTCTTGGAAACAAAGAATTCTTTTGTCTAAAAAAATCAACTACACACCATTTCAAACATATAAGAGAATGAAGATCATGTAATTCTAATGTAGAATTAAGGAAATTAAATTATTATTATTCTGGAAGACCATCAAAATGTTCTCTAGATCTTATATATTTTGGTAATGATAATGCCAATTAGAACCATTCAGATGTATACTAAGATATTGGATCATTCTAAAGAAGAGCCAAAGGGTCAGTGAATACATTTGATTCTTTTATTTAATTAATTTAGGAAGAATGGCTTCTCCTTTCCTGCCATCTTTTTTAAGGATATAGTATTAAACCTAAATTCTATTAATGTCTCAATTATATGTAATGATTCTGACAAAATAAACATTCTAAATTTGTTTTATTTATTCCTGTAATCTCTTTTTAATCATACTAAAAAAGGTTTGTGTCCTAATCCTTTTTTATATTCTGCATTGAAACATTTTGAGATTAGTCAACCTTTTACTAGTTTATCCTAATCTATATACCATTCCTTTCTTCTGGTTCCTCAGCAAAACATTATCCTGAAAAATTTCCCATTATTTAATTAATTCATTGTAGAATGGTTTTATAAAGTATATATTAGATTTAAGGAATTTCTAAAAATATCATTAATAAATTTGAATTTTCAAGAATTCAAGCTTTCATTCAATTAAATCAACTCATAAAACCGTTTGAATTTATCTCAATACTAAACTATATTTATATAAAATCAGTTTAAATAATTATATTTTCTAATTTATAAATTAAACCAATTATGTGAAAAGAATTTATGATTTTACTTTAATAAATCTTATTGCATTTTATGATAAAAGCTATATAAGTTTTATTAATATAATAAATCATTATGCAGATTTATTAAAGCTAATATATTCTTGATATTGTTTTTATGTTAACGATGGCTTAACTTTATTAATTGCAAACTCAAAGTCTTCTTTTCTAACTGGCCTTATATTTTATGCAGACATAGCAACTATTGCATTTTTATCCTCTCTTAATGGTTACATACAAGCTTCCTTAACTACAGCTTTAATATCACTTGCAGAATAACCTAACTAAAAAGATCATATTACCAGCTAATTTTTCGCATATTTTATCTAATGCTGGATCTAAAATAGAATGATTCACTTTAGACATAAGTGATCTAACTAATCCTAATCTAGCTTTCTAATCTGGCTAATCAATTAATATTTTAACATTCTAATTATTTTTATTTTATTACAAATCTTCTTAAAACAGCCCCATCAATATCTTAAGGTCTATTAGTAGCTGCTATTAAGAAAATTCTGTCTTAATCAGTTGTTTGCATTCCATCAAATGAAACTAAAAATTCAGTTTTTAGCCTTCTACTTGCTTCATGCTCCTCACTTGATCTGCTTGATAAAATAGAATCAATTTCATCAATAAATATTACCTAAATAATATCATTTACTTAATACTGATGGTTAAAATTGAAATGCAACCTTAAACAAAGTTTTCATCAATTTTTCTCCTTCTCCAAGATGTTTTTATACTAATGTTGAAGCACTAACATTAAAAAAACAACATTTAATTTAATTAGCTACAGCTTTTGCCAATAAAGTCTTTCCATTTCCAGGTGGCCCATAAAATAATATACCTATACATATTTTATAAAAAATTAACCTTTTGGAGGTGCTCTAATTCCTGTGAAAATATCAGGTCTTAAATTTGGCAAAACAATAACTTCTTCCAATTAATTTTTAATGCTTTCTAAGCCTATAATCTAATCAAATGAAACATCGCATTTTCTTATCATCGCAGTCTCTATTATTTATTTACTATAAGGATCTTATGAAGCCTTATAATTTAAAATTCTTACTAAACTTTATTAAATTTGCTCAACTTTCTTAGTACAAATTTCTGCTGTATTAATTGCTGTATTAATGGCTTTTATTAATTATTAATATTCATTTTGATGTTCTTCTTGGTTTAACTCTAAATAAAATGCTTTATTACTTTTTTATTTTATCACTGGTAATAATATTTAAGAACTGTTCACTAAAACAACTTTAGCCATAGAATATTATTGATTCTCAAAGTATTTCATACCTAATTCTATCATCTTTTAAGCATTTTTAATTTATAGATTTGGATCTATTTAAGAAATCTATGCTTCCTATTTTTGAATTCTACAGTTTTTAGTTGGCGATCTGGATTTATTATTTTGTTTTTTATCACCGTTTAAGGCTTATTTTATAGAATTCCACATAAAGTGATATATATATATTTATATATAAATATAAATATCAAAATTTATATAATATTAATGATTAATAAAAATGGATGAACTAAAGCAAGTTATGTTAATTTTTAAATCAACTATTGTTTTGCTTACTATTAGACATTATCACATAGTTATTATGTAAATAATGTTTTTAATAATAAAGAAAAACAATAAAATACATTTAAATTAATAGAATTAACTAATTTATATTAGATAATTGATATAAGAAAATTAAATTAAGTAGTACAATATGCAATATTACATTAAGGTTTAATCGAAATTTCATTTTTCCATATAAAAACAAAAGAAAACAAAAGGAAAAAAAATATTTGTTTCCATCCAGTACTTTTTTATATATCATAATAAATTATCCAATCCTATCTTATCAAAGTATCTATTCAACTTTTGCTGTTATTTTTGATAAGGATAAATGCAATAGATAATGGAATAATTTTCTATTTCTAAATATCAATAAATACAGAATTTTCTGTTAGATATATTTTATCTTACAGAATTTCTGTTGTTATTTCATAAAGTTATAAGGTAAATCATTAATATGGCTTAATATAAGAGTTACTTAAGTAATTCTTTGTTCTATCATAAACATATTTGATATTTAATTGATCATCCTTAAATTTATTAGAATGATTAATTTGTAAATTAATGATTTATTACATACAGATGATATTAGATTCTATATGAATTCTCCCAACGATATTTTAAATATATATAAAGGAAATGAATAAACATGATTATATTTATCAAATGATTTCTTCAATAGTCGAATGTTAAAGATCACTATCCAGTTAAAACATGTTGTCAGTATTTATCATTTCAGGGTTAATAGAAGGCAATTTGAACTTTGACAGCATTTTATTATAGGGGAACATTTAATCCAATTCTTCAATCAAGATAGGAATGTATTTAAGATAGTTTTATTTAGTTTCAAGGCAAGTTATCTTTTGATTTCCTAATACAGATTAGGCTGCATAATCCTTAAGAAATTCTTTCCACGACTCTCGAGCATGATTCCTAATTAATTCCTAATCATGGATTAATAATTCTTGATTGTTGAAAAGCTCTTTAAGATCTCCTAGTTCAAATTTCTTTTGCTAAGATTTTTTTTTTGTTTTGAGGTATTTCAAGTAAGTGACCACTTATGTTAGTTTTCTATTCACAGACCAATGATAAAATTAATTCATAAAAAATGGTACTACTCTTCGCTTTAGTGTCCCTAAATCAGATTTCTATGACCTGATTTATTTCAAGTCTTCTACAAATTTAAGAATAGGTTCTAAAATTTGCTTGTCAATAATTAATAAGACCTTTTATTCATTAGAATTATCTTAACTTAGATTTATTTCTTGAATCATTTAAAAAATGTAAAAATTATTATCTTCATTTATTTAGTATTAAGATTTAAAATCTATAATATTTCATATAGATTAAATGGATAATATTTTAAGATAATCTACTACCTGAAAACTAAAATTAACTTAATTCTATAAGTATAAGATGTTTGATTTTAAAGAATTATCAATAAAAAAATTCCTAATTTCTTCTCATCCATTGAAAGTAAATATTTATCATGTCAGAATATAATAGATGGTTTTCTATATGTTTTTGAATTGTTTTTAAAAAGAATTTAAAAGTCTAATAATTAATTTACACTTAGCCTACTTAAATAATTCAATATCCTCTAAAATTGTTTTATTAATATCAACTAAAGTTCTATTTCTTTACAATCTTATTTTACAATTAATTTATATTTAAACTTATCATGTTTATTAATTGATGCTTAAATAATATGTTTAATTAATAATAAAAAAAATAGTACATAATTATTTATTGAAAATTCTGAAAATTAGATGATAAATAATAACTAATAATCAATAAAGTCCAGGTTTTTGTGGAGGTAACCATTAAACAACTCTAATTTATACATCTTTATGAATCCTATAAAATTAAGAAATTTAGTACTTATTTAATAGCAATTCCTTAAATTGAGGTATTTTGCACTTTAATAAATATACAGTTTTAACTAATTCAAATTATTCATCTTAAGATAATTATGATAAGTTTTAATCAATATTATATATTAATTCTTCTGCTTTAGATTAAAGTGCTTTAACAAATTCATGATATTAATTAGGAACTTTAATTGAAATCATTTCATATTCTTTTAATTTTACTTGTATCTCTGATAAATTAGGTTTGCTATCTTAATATTATTAATTTAACTTAGAAAATAAATATAAAAATATACATTTGATGTATAAATATCGTCAATATCTTTGAAAATAGCCAAAATTTCAGCATTCCATTATTGAAGTTTAGTAATTTGTTATCTTAGTTCATTTAATTTTGGAAGTGAAAACTTTATATCAGTTTGTTGTATATGATGCTTAACTTCTTTTTCAAATTAATTTGCCAATTATTCATATTATTCAAATGTTAATTATTATCTTAATTGTTACTATAATTAACTATTGAGTTCAGCTTAAACTCTTAACATTTAAATAGTTTTTACAATTTAATGATCAATTTCTGAAAGTTATTCTGGGTATTTTTCTTTGATTTACAAATATAATTATTCAGTTTTCTCTTATTATTATTTTTTTAATTATTTGGTTTTGAAAGTAGCTTTGCTTTGTAGTAATTCATTTGCAGTATTAAAAAATTCTCTTTAACTTATAAGAGATAATAAATTTTTAGATTATGGTAATTGAATTGGTAACCATTCACTTTCAGAATAGAGAGCAATTAATTAAGGAAGATCATAATTTTTATGATCCTCATATCTTATTCTCCATTCATCAACCCTTTGTTCTAATAATTCAAGCAATTCCAGTTCAACCAATTACGCAGGTAATTTTTAGCCTATTCTAACAAATTCTTTAAATTCATCAATTGTTGGCAATAAAAATTGACCATAAATATATTCTCCTGAATTAGGAAGTATATTTTTATCAAATTATATTTTATGTTTTTAATAATCTTCATATAGATCACTTTCTGGATCAATATATTATTCCCATAGATTTTCATTAAGAATTAAAAATGGAATATTATTTTTCTTAAGGCAAACTAATATGATATATTAAAATTACTTCTGCAATTATACTTATCTGAATTTTATTCTCTCTATTTCTTAATTCCCATGCACTCATAATGATACCATTCTTCACAATTGTCACAATATATCATAAATTTAACTTATTATTATAATTTCGTATGATAATTGTAGAATTATTCAACATTTTTTTCATGTAAACTTTTTAAAATCTAGAATTCTGTTATAGCTGATTCCCCTCCTTATCGACATGTACAGTAAATCTCATCTTAGCTATAAAGATTCAATAATTCTTAAGATGAGTTTTTGACTTAATCCAAAAAATTAGAACTATTACATTCAACTTCTACATTAGGAGATGCCTTTCTATTGAATCCTTTCTTATAGCTTCTTTTTTAAATAATTGGTTTTTTTAAAGCTTACATAACAGGATCAGAATTAATACAGTCATTAGGTGAAGATCTAAAAGCCTTTCCTAATGGAACATTTGCATCATAAAATGCTATGTTGTCATCTCTCATTAATTTTGAGACTTATTTTACTCTTTTAGAATGTTTTAATGATTAGCTTTCTTGATCATAGGTAGGTTATGATTCTTCTTAAGATTTATTTTTTAGTTTATTTATAGACTTTTATGCTTTCTTTTTAATATTAGATTAAGTGGACATTATTTAATATTATTATTATTAATTAAATATTTAAGATTATTGTTATTATTATTATTATTATTATTATTATTATTACTATTATTATTACTATTATTATTATTACTATTATTGTTATTGAGCAGATTTGGACATCTTAAATTCTTAAGGTTATAACTATTCTAGATATTCAAGAAAAGGCTTTAATTTTTATATCATTATGATATTTTTTAATCTTGGGATGTCATTTATCATTTCTGATGCCATTTACATCCAATTATTAATTACTCTGAATTTTTTGGCCATTACATAAAATTATGGCATAAAAACTTCAGAATAATAAGATACTTCCTTTACACTTAATACAGATAAAGCTATTTAAGCTTATCTATTTATTATAACCAATTTCTCAATTGAACTAACTAATTCTTGACTAATATAATTTTTTTCAATTCCTTAAAGTACAAGACAAAGCAATTCAGGAACTTTGAAATAGTAGAGTAAATCACCTGTTAAAGAATAAGTTTCTGGTTATGATTCTGTATCTTTTCCCTTTTTTTTTTTCTTTTATTATTATTAATCATTTAAATTAGTTATTTACATCTACCATTATTAATATTATTATATCCAATCTTCAATTTACTTATTAAAATCATCATTTTAAACTTCTCGCTAATATTCCTTCAATCTTTAAATTCGTATTGGTTATAATTTCTTTAATTTATTTTCATCTAATTATGTCAATTATGCTAAATAACTATTAATTGTATTTTGAAAGTTTAAAAAGAAATTTTAAGCTATTTTGGATAATTTTATACCATCTTTCTTTTTTTTAATTTATGGATTGTCAGCATAAATTGTTAACATTTCCTCTTTCAAATATTTTATTGATTCATCATTCTTTAAAGCTTATAAAATTGAATCAAATAATGGATCAGATGTAGCAATTGTTGATAATATCCAATTTACTTTTTAATGAGATGCATGTAGACTCTATAATTCTTTAATTATTAATTCATCAACAGGTAATTTCAAAGATTCATCCAATAAAATTTTTATTTATTCTTAATTTTATGTTTGAATAGCTTCTTTTGCATCTTTTTTCCATTTTTCAGTATGCTATATTAATGCTTAAATAATCTATAAATCTTTAGATCCACTTAAAAAAGGAGATTAAAACTTCTATAATTTGTCAATTTGGTCTTAAGTATGTTAGTTACCATTTCTTTATATATATATTCTACAAATAGTATCTATTCCATCAATTTACTAACTTTAATCGTCATTTACTCTTAAAGTTTATTTAATCATATAAACTTAGGCATGCCAATCTAAAATCTATATGATGATGTCTCTAACTTTTGTCATTAATGTTAATTCCTATCTGTATCTTAATCCTTCCTTAAAGAGTTCCCACAATTTATAAAATGTTTTATTTTAATTGTTTTTTCTAGTTGATTAGACTTATTTACAATCAATTAATGAAATTAATTATTCTTTCCAAATTTAAATTCTCTCTGATATAGATTCAATTTCTTAAACTTTTTCTGGGTCTAATTAATTAATAATATCTGATGTTGGATTAAAAAGAGTATTTGGATATTATTACAATTCAAAATTTTCATCATATACATCAATAAGTGTAATGTTTTAATGATAAGATATAATTTCATCAGCTAATTAGTTCCATTCTAATACTCTTAATGTTTAAGTTTATAGAAGTTTCAATTCATCATTTATTATTCCTCTATTTAATAACATTAATATTTATTAATTTGCAATTTGATGTTACCTTTCAGACATTTTTAATTTAATAGAATCCAATATTTAAGAATAATCTATCATACTTTATAATCTTTCTTGGACATCTAAATAGAAAGGACAATCTAACACTTCACCTAGTAATTTTTATTACATTTCAGGATCATCTATTTATTATTTAGCTTTTTCATTCAATTCCAAGGCTTATTAATATAATTCATTAAAATAATCAAAATCATCACAAGTCACTATTAATTTTAATATCTAATGATTAAATATTCCTGCTTAGGATAATGTCATTTTTTCTGTTTTTTCTCCTTAATTTGATATATATTATCCTAATCTAGTTTTAGTTTATTAAATCTTAGTAAATTTACTTATTTTTTCAACTAAATCTAATACAAATTCATATAATCTTTTATGTAATTATTCAAATGCTTTTATTTCAATTGGTAATAATTTATATTCTTAATTATAATTTGCAAGGATTTTTAATTGAACTTTTTGAGACTGAGAATTAGAAATGAGATTTTCAAATATTTCATCAAAATTATCAATATCTTCAACTGGTATTGGTAATTTCAATAATTTTTAATAAAAAATTTCAGATTTTTACACTTGTTCTCTTAATTATTATATTTCTGGTGTAATAATTGGAATCTATTCCTCGAATTTTTCTAAATATTAACGTAATTTTTCTAAAGTTTATTTTTCTTTTAATAATTTATTTATTTATTTTTATATTTGTATTGATGTTGAATGAATTTATTTTATTGATTCAGGAACTTCATATTTTAATTATGATCCTTGTTCTAATAAAGTTTAAAGTTATGTTAAATGTACTTTTTATTTGCTATTTATCATATCCATAAGATCCTATTTCCATTTATTTTGTTGCATCATTTTATCTTCATTCAATTTGCTAATGTATAATTCAATTTTTTCATTCATGTATTCATTAGTGAATTATAATGCATGTCTATGTTTATATTGATTATAAACTAATAAACTTGGAAATAACAAATAAAACTTTGCTTTTATTATATTATAGTCCATTGACTTTAAAAACATTAAAGCTCTTTCATTGACTTATTCTTAAGTGATTGATAAACCACTCAAAATTAATCCATCACCACTAAATCCTTTGCTTTTCTTTTTTGGATCCTCTGCCATTTATTCATCGACTTAGCTCAAAATTAAAGATTATGCAAAAAGTAAATAATCATCAATGTTCTAAAGCCTCTCAATTTTTTCTGTCTAAAACATCAAACTTTATCTCTTAACATAATAATTTAAATTTACATGCTTAATGAATTTTTCTAAAGTCTTTTCTGGTTTCTCAGGAACAATTGCTTAGCATTTCTCATCAACTATAATCATTCTTTTAGAATGCAGGAATCTATTCTGTTGATGAACCTCTTAAACCTTACCATCATTTTGTTCAACTTCCATAGCATCATCCATGAAACTCATTTTCTCTTTATTTCTATATTTTTATGAATGATTAGAATAGGCATTATCAAATAAAAACTCACATAAATTTATCATTAAATAAGATTTAAACTACTCTCATACCTCTAACAGATTGCTAGATTCATCAATCCAAAAATAACAATCAAGCATATTCAATTCAATATAATCTTCATCCTTATTCTAAAATATCAACCTAAACTTAAAAATCCTTTGTTCTGTAATATTTTCTAAACCCAAAGAAATGTATTTTAGAATATATTCATCATCAAAAGCAGTTAATCATAGTTCAGATGATAAATATAAAAGAGCTGTTTACATCTTCAAATGTTAGAATAAGAAATCTCAAAAATATAAGATGCTCATAATATAATTCAATTAGATAGACTTTGAGCTCTAGAAAAAATAGAAATTTATAATGATTATTAGTACATAGAGAAAACAAAAATAATCTAAATTTGGCACTCTTAAAATAAGTGTTTTGTATGTATTATCCCTTAAGGAATTACTGTTGTTTATATAAATTGATATCCTTTTTTATGAGAATGTAGGGTTTTAAGTTGTATACAGTCTAATTGTAGATATATTAAATATATGAATTAATTAATTTATTTATAGCATTATAAATAATTATTTTAAAATTCATATTTTTTTCAATAATTTTACTTACTTATTTTGTTGGAAAATAATTAGATTTATTCCAATAGATGATCCGAATTTTTGTATAATTACTTAGATCTTTTGAGATCAAAGGTTGTTTCATCAAATTATAAAAATTATGAATTTTAGGTGATGCAATACAAATAGCAAAAAATTAAGTGGGATATTGCATTAGTAATATTATTTTTTACTTTTGAAAGATAATTTGATAATTATTCATAGAACAGTTTATTAAATTATTATTCTGACATTTTTTAAGCAAATATATTTTAATTATAATTAATTAACTATTCTTAGAGAAAGTGTAATTAATATATAATTCCTTCAGATAAATTAACCATTTCCCTATACTATTCTTCAAGAATATTGTAGTCAAGCTCATATTATTTTTGCTATTAATAAATTTATCTATTTTCAATTATCATATTGATAATATTTTCGCATAACTTTTATAATTTTAAACACAACAAAACCATTATATTAGGTGATTAAAGAAATTATATTAATTCTTAAAAAGTGTTTGAAAAGAAGTACATTTGATTAATCTTTTCATTAATTTTATCTATTTCTAAACTTAATTTATTCTTATTATCTTCTTAAATCTTCTCTAATTCAAAATTCTTGAATTCTAATTTTGGGTAGTGTTAAACTTAAACTATTTATGGCATTTATTAATGACCAATATTATTTTTTAGGTTTGCTTCTATTTCACCACTTTTTTCATTATAAAATTCTCCATAATCATCAAAAGAAATTCTATTAGATTGTAATTGTATTTTGCTTATTAAACCTAAGAAGATGAATTAAATGAATACTAAAAATAGGTCTATCAAAAGCTGGATGATTTATTAAATCTTTAAAAGATATTCTTTTTTAAGGATCAAATTAGAGCATCTAGAACAAGAGATTTTGAGTTTTTTCTGATACTTCAATTTTGTTTTTCTAAAAATTGATATTTGCTAAAAAATATAATATATATTACGTTGATAATCTTATAAGTAATCTTTTTATTTAAATGGATATCTATTATATAGAATCTAATAAAAGATAACTCCCAAAGAAAACATATCTGATGATAATCCATATGGTTTTTGATTAAAAATTTCAGGAGCCATTGTAAATAATGATCCTAATTATAATCTGGATTCTTGATCCTCTAATATTTTAATATAATACTGCTGCTTATAAGAGTTTACAAAATCCTAAATCAGCTATTTTATAAATAGAATTATTATGAACTAATATGTTTTATACTTTCAGATCTCTATGAATGATATACTTTGAGTGTAAATCTCTTAGACCTTTTAAAATTTATTTAAAAATTCCTAAAGCATCTTATTCAGTTATTTTGAAGTTAGGATTCTTTAATTGATTTTCTAAATCTCCTGCTAAAATAAAAAATAGTTAATTATTAATTACAATCACAATACTCCATAATTATATAACAATATTTCATATCTGAAAATGTGTCCACAAAGCCAACAACATGGTCACTTTTAATCATCTTCAATGCCTAAATTTCTGATTAGACTAGCTATCCAAAAATTCCATCATTTTCTGAAAATCTTGATATTTCTATAGTTTTTATGGCTACCTATTACTAATTATTATTCTTTAATCCTTTAAAAACCTAATTATTTTTGATAATAACTTTTCCAAAAGCACCCTTGCCTAGTAAAGATTAAATCTTATATCCTTTATTCTCCAAACTTTTCTCCATGCTCTAATTCATTAATTTTATTAATTAAATGAATTCTAAATAGATTCTTTTAAAATATTTTATAAATATATTCAAACTAATTTATAAGATACTTAAAGTAGATTTCAGATAAATTGTAGATTTTACTCTTTGAATTATAGTTGAGTAAATTATATAAATACTATTTATTTCTATTAATTTTACTTGTCAAAAGACCATAAATAATCTAGAGTGGGAGAACTTTTAAAATTTTAATATTAATATATATATAATCAAATCACTAATAATATATTGATAATCATTAAAAATTTTAGCAGATCTTAATAATTGATACTGTAAATATTTAAGGGAACTAAAATATATAAGTTGTGAATTACTTATTATCTTTTGTGTTTTGGCAGTGAATCTTGCAACAGAGTCATTGCTAAATAATTCTGGATTAGCTATGAAATCATTTTCAAGGGAAATATAAATATCATACACCGTTTTTTACTTAAATGAAAAATTATATAAATACATCTAAATCTGTATAATTATATTAATAGAAGGTTTCTGTGTCTTAAATTGTTATTTTTGTTTAATTGATTGGTTGATTAGATTCATTAAGAGCATTTTTAATTTAATATGCTGATGGAAATTGTACAGTCTTAAGCTCTTAAGCAAAAATGGTTTCATTTACAATAGATAAATTTTAAGACATTTCTCTTTTTCTTACTGTAAGATATGCTTTACCACAATAAGAGACTTTAAATCTCAGAGATATTGATGATGTGGTACGATCAATCATTTCAGGATTAATAACAAAACTAGGAATATCATCTGAAATTTCTTCCAAAGTATAAAATGGTTCATCATCAAGTCTAGTAATAAATTTTTATATTTCTGATCTTCTAGAGTTTAGGGTTTAAGCTAAAATGAGTGGTTTAGTAAATTCATTCATATTTGAAGGATCAGGTAGTATCATTAAATTCCAGAATAAATATGAATTAGATGTAGAGGTATCTAAAGTGGTCTATTTACAGAATGTTGTTCTTTCTAATAATCTAGCTTTAGTAATTCCAATCATTTCACCCATTTTTTATATGTAATCCATTTTAACTTCATTATCAATAGCAGCTTAATTAATTTTAAGTGTTAAAAGTGCAATTCTTTAAGACTTAAGAGTTTAAAAGAAGACCTTCATAAAGGTGGGATTATCTACTTTATTTAAATTCATGACAAATATGAAGATTTCATAATTGTGATTAGGTTACAATTTAGAAATAGTAAAATTTACATCTAAGGTCATTGTTCTAACATAATCTATACCATATTGTGGATTAGAATAAGAAAGTGTGACATTATCAAGATTTGGGACTTTTGTTTCTTCAAATATTGGATTTGGCATATGTTAATCAGCATATACATAAAAAATGAATCCTTTGATATCAGTAGTTACTTAGAAAGTGGCAGTAGATCTGGATACATCAAGTACTTTAGTTTCAAGGATTTTAGGTTTTCTAAATTCTTAATCTCTTATTGGTATAATCATTTCTTAAACATCAAGTTCGAATGAATCAGCATCATATCCACGTAATCTATAATAGAGTGTGATAGTATTTTCATTACTAGGATAATCGATTGATATATTTAGATCATAATTTACTGAATATTATAATTTAGCCATATCTAATTGAGTACTAGATAGATTGGCTATAGAATGTTCTGTCACATCAATTCCACTATCAACTAATTCAGCATAAGTGAGACCAAGTTATTCTAATCTTTTATCTGTAATAAACCATTTCTATCTTAAAGGTACATCAGCTGTTATATTCATTTTGAAACCTATTCTAATTAATAACTATTAATATGGAGGATTATTTGTTGTTATGTAAAGTGGATATGATGTACCATTTCTAGGCATATATTCCATCTTTTCAATTGTTAATTTCCTCTTTAAAGTTCCTTTAACCATTTGTAATGGTGTCAATCTCAAAGGAGCATAAGTTACAGGTAAAGTATCTCCTGTCTTACTCCATTAAATATAATAAGTCTATAATAATATAGTTCTTGGAGCAGCCACTCTAAATTTAGCTTATTTGCTACCTGCAACAATTTAGACTGGATTAGGAGTAATGATAATTTAAGAGTCCAAAACATTTGGAGATAGGGTCAAAGTGAAATCTGCTTTTTCTGTAATATTCATTATGATTTCATCTGAATAAGATCCAACTTCCAAAATAAATGGTTATTTAAGATTAACATCAATTTATAATCCATCATAATTATATAATAATGATGCAGAATGAAGATTTGCATATGTTCTTCCTAATACTATTTTATTTATAGAATCATAATTATAAATAATGAAATTATTAGTTTCTCCATCATCATCTGGAGTCAATACATTAGTTATTGTCAAATCAAGTTATCCTGTTCTATCAGCATACCAATCTTAATTATTTGTTTAAAATAGAAATCTAAAATAATCCCACTTACAAGAAGCAAAAAATGAAAATTGTGATGTAGTTTCACAACCTCCATTAAATTAATCAATTATGAAATTATTAGGAAAATCTACATACAATTATCCTCCATAAACTGTTGCTAATACTTTTTAAAGAGGATAAACTTCAAATGTAAATGTACTTGCATATCTACTTAATGATACACTACTTGTTATTTTATTTAATTAGATCAATAAAGGAGCTAATTGTGGTATTACACCATCTATTGCAGTATTACCTAATACCATATTATTTCCATCCATTATTCCAAATAAAAATGTTCCAGTGGCTTAGTTATTCAATCTATTTGGATTAATCACTCCTAATAGACTAATATCTAATATGCCAATAAAATTAGTCAATTAATAAAATCCAGTTATTTTAATATGATATGGTATAATAGTCATCTTTAATGCTCCTTAAAGAGTATTACTTTTAACTTACATCTTTTCAATTCCAATTATATAATCATATTCAAAAGGAAATCTTATTAAAATATAATGATTAGTTGTTAATGTAAAAGCACTTGTGATTTCTAAATTAAAATTGTAATATGCAATTTCTCCTTCATTTTTAGGATAGAAATCTAATATCACTTTAGATGGTGTTATTTAATCAGTTACTGCAACAGTAGGACATAATCCTGTTGCAATTACTTAAGAATTATAAGTAATAGATATAGTAAAACCACTTAATGAATTATCTAATTATAAATATCCATAATATTCTATTTTAAAAGGCTTACCTTTAATAGGATAATCAGTAATCATTTAAATATAAGATGGAGTACTAATTTCAATAGCCAAACATTCTTTAAGTGGAATAACTGAATCTTAAACTATTCTACAAGATACAATATCTGCAGATATTGAATAGATAGAGAGCATTCCTGGAAGTAGTAATTTAATTTCACTTAATTTTGGAATTGTAAAATCTGCATTCACATTCCAAGTATATAATCCTAAAGCTTTTTTATTATTTGGAGTTGACTCAACAGAAGTTACTGTTAAAATTTAAGTTGAAAAAATAGTTGATCCTATTGTAACTTATTTTGATCCATCTTCTATTACATTTCCATTTTTATCCACTGTAGAAATTCCAATTGTAAATGTACCACTCATAGGGTTTTTTACACTATAAATACCTATAGAAACTCTTTGTCCTTTTATTAATGGAGCAAAGTTAAGAACTCTGAATTTTCTAATTGTTGGCATATCATAATTAATAGTGTTAGTAGTTGAGTTTTTTAAATTTGTATAAGGTATATTATCTAAATAAGCATTGGATGCTTATATATCATATCCTAATGGGAAATCAATTATTATCATTGATCCATCATATGATTTCATAGATGTTGTAAATGAAATTGAATAATTAACATAAGGATGCTATTAATAATCTGATGATAAAGTTAAACTAATATCTAGAAGAGATCCTTTAGTTAAAGTAGGTATTGTAAATGTAGCTGTATCAGCAAATTATCCACCAGATGCAGTTTTAATGTCATGAGTTACACTTGAAGATGGAAGACTAACTGGTATATCTACTCTTTCAAAAATCAATGTGTGAGTTATACCATTTGATAATTAGGACAATTTAGTCATTATAAAAATAAATTTAGGAAAATATTAGATGACTTCTGGTTCTTAATAGACACCATCAATACTTACTAATAATTTATTAGAATTGAAAGTAAATCCACTAGGTATTTCAAAATATATTCCATTTAATTTAGATTTAGATAAACTTATAACTGTTTTAAATTTATAAGTTAAAGTAGTTTCTACTTATAATTTAGGATTTTCTAATACTGGCCCACTAAATACAGTTAAAGCATTTCCAACAGAATTTTTAACAGCTCCAATATTAAATGATTAAGACCTTAATATAGATTTGATTTTTTGATTGTATTTTACAAGATCAACTCTTATTCTAGGAATAGCTCCAATAGTTGATGGATATTTCACTGGTATTTTCAAAGAAATAGTAACAGGTGATGTATTTGTTGCTGTAATTGCTGCATAACCTTAAATCTTAATCATTGCATAATTTGCAAATGTTGGTGTTGCAGTATTTAGACCATGAAATAAGGCACATGATAATTAATTACCAGAACTAGTCACAAATCCATCTTAAAATTAACAACCATATTATGATAGATCAGGCAATCCTGATCCTAAATCATACTCAAATACATTATTTGTAATATAATACTAATAAAAATAGACTTCTATAGTTGTAAATGGAACATAAGGATCATTCATATTTTTTACTCCAGCTGAAACATCACAATCTAATTGAAGTTAAATCTATATAGCAGTCTATTAATTTTAATGAATTGATAATTAACTAACTGCTGTAGTTAATTCAGGAGCTCCTGTAGTTTTTTTAAATGTTGGTGGTGATATTACAAAAGTATCATTATTATAATAAACATTATTTTGATCTTACACAAACACTCCAATAGGAAAATTTCCAGCATTTTCTGGTGTTAAAAGACCTTTAATAGTTATAACAGCTCCTTTAATAGTAGAATCATAGTAATCAAATACATTTGTAATATTTAAAAATCCAAGTCCAAAATCACATGTTACATCAACCATGACATCATTTGGATCTTTGAATGTACATTCTGGAACTCCTTAAAAATCTGATGGGACTTCCAAACCAAATACAGTTTTTGTTGTTAGACTAATACCAACCTTTGCAGTATATACTATAGTTATTTAAGCATTGGTTTAAGGATAAACATTAGTTTAAACTAAAGGATCATCAAATGTAATTGTATAAGTTAAAGTGGGATTAACTATTGGCCATAATACTATTTGTAATTAACTATTAATAGACAAGGTATCTTAATCTGTTAGATATAAATAATCTGAATCTTTATATGTGTATATTTCAACTGGATTTGTAAGAATAACTCTATCTCCAATTCTTGCTTTAAAACGGACTTCTACAAATTCATAACTATAATCAGATTCTACATATGATTAAAAATTAGATAAAAACATATCTCTTCCTAAAGGACTGCATACACTATCTTAAAATTTACTTGGATCTAATAATCCTCTAGTGATTTGACAACTCAATATTTCATAAAAATCAGTTGATATTTTAGCATATTAAAATCCATTTTTAGGTCTAAATTATAATCTAAAATCTCTTTTGTAATAGATATAAGGTTAATAATAAAGAATTTCCAATTAGACTAATTTAATCTATCCTGCTAAGATTTCCAACCCATTAACTGCTGATGATTCCTATAATGTATTATTTGTTTTTCTTTCAACTACTCTAAAATTAAAAAGAGGTGTTTTCATTTTCCTTGATGGATTAACAATATCATTAAAAGTTATTTAAACACTAGTTCCTTTTGAAATAGAATTTTGATTGCCTGATACAAGAATTTAATTTTTAAAATTATTATGTACAGTACAAATAGGAGTGAAAACATTACAAGTACACTTTTTCAATTGGGAAAGATCATATAATTCTGGGAATTAAATAATGAAATCAATTCTGCTATCCAAATCCTAACTAGGTTAGAGAGATGCTAAATAATTTGTAACTTCTCCAGCATAATTGTTATCAATAGACATTTATGCTGATAATAATTGTATTGTTTCTCCTGCTAATCCAATAACAGCAAAATTTCTATTAATATCAACAATATGAGAATTAAGTTTTGTATAGACTTTGAAATTTCCAGTGCCTCCTTATTTTTATGAATTAATTATTCCTGAAATTGTTACTGTCAAAGGAGTTTCAATTGGCCATTCTCCTAATTGAATTTCCAGTGATCTATCATTCTAAACAAAAGTTCTTGTAAGAGGGTAAGGTGCATATAAAATTGTATCTGGACGTAATCCTAATCTATCAGGATAATTTGCTTCAGGGAACTCAATCACTAAAATTCCTGATGATGGTAAGGTTGTATCAAATATCATAGTAAAATTGTATTCGGACCAACTATATATAATTGATCTAATCAAAATACCCATTAGGGTTAACATTAGACATTGTTAGTGATCTTGGTCCATATGGTCTAACTCTCCCACAAGACACTTAATAAAGTAATAATAGTATTAGAAACATAATATAATATATAATAAATGTAAAATTTGAATATAAATATCAATATTAAACTCTCTTAATCAAATCAATCAAATTTTTCTTTTTTATATGTAAAAATTCTTCTTCAAAATCTATTTTTTATGTACACAAATCTTAAAAATGCATACATCTTTATAAATGAAGTAAAAACATTACTAAAATCTTCTTTTTTTTATTATCAGTTTCTCTATTGATTTCTAATTTAATTAATGCATGTAATTCACTTAATGCTTACCAATAATTTTAGTGAAATATTCCTGTTTCATCCTCTTTTAATTCATTTAAATATGCATATATTAATCCACTTTATAGTGAAGAAGAACTTTTGCTATTAGATATTATCTTAAAATAATACATCTCATGAAGTAATTTTTCAAATACTTAATTTAAAAGATATTATTTAAAAACTTCTTCCATTTAATTTAATTCATCATAGGATGGATTCTCTTATTTTATTTAAAAATACTTTTTGCTTTCACATCTTATTCTTTTTTATAGCATAAATTTACCCATCAATGGCTAATATAATATTAAATTAAGTTTACTTTGCTTTCATTTATAAATTAAATTTAATCAATTTCAATATATGTTCTATTGCAATATTCCAATGCATCTAATAAAAAACGAAATTCCTAAATTAATAATTGATTCTATTAAGTTTTAGCAATTAAGCTATAATTATTTTAATATCTATCTGTTTTAAATATTGATTCACTTTCTTATAATTATTATAATGTATTATGAATTGATTATTACTTTGGACACAATTATTGGGCTGCCATAATTTCAAATGCCAATTTTGATACATTATCTTACAAATATTAATTATTATTATTGATATTCTATAGATTCCCTATTTATTGAAATTATTCATGTTAATTTTCTGTTTGAGTTCTTAAACTTTCTCTATTTGATCTTAAGGCTGTCATACCTTCCTATTATATCTGAATATCTTAATTATTGCTATATATGTCATTATAAAAATTTGTAGTTTCTTAATTTCTCATATTGTTGATTGCAATTTAACTTGCTAAAGACATTTTTTGAATATTTTTAAATAAAGGATATTGATATAATTGAGGAAATGTTAATCTTTATTTTGGATCAACTTTCAACATTTTGCTTATAATTTCTTTCACTTCATTTTATATAACAACATCATTTTTATCAAAGTTGATATTCTCTATAAATTAAATACTTAATATAATTACATTAATTAATAGCTTTTATATAGGATTTTATGTTTAAACATTCAAAAGGTAACTCACCATATAAAAGTTAATAAAATATGCATCCTATGGAAAAGATATCTGATTATAAGCCATAACTCTCAAATCCAGCTACTTCAGGTGCCATTGTACCTGGTGTACCTAAACATAAACTGACTTCCATATCCTTAAAGTATTTTATAAATAAACTTAATTTTGCAATTGCTTACAGAAACCAAGATCAGCAATTTTAATAAGGTCATCATGCATCAAAATATTGGCTAATTTAATATCTCTATGTATAACATTCTATTTATGTAATTAACTTAATCCATTTAGAATTTGTATAATGATCTCTATAACTTTCTGTTCCTTTATTATTCTTCCATTTTTCTCCCAGTATCTTTCTAAATCTCCTCCTATATATTATTTAAATAATATATATTTACCATTACAATATTCCATTACAATATAACAATTGGTTTTTGATTAAAAATAATGTTCTAATTTCAAAACATTAGGTGAGTCTATTTTAGCAAGTACACTTATCTCATCCTTTAATAATTCTCCAACCATTCCTTCACAATTACTTAAAGATTGAAATTGAATAATTTTGATTGCATGAAATGATTAATCAATGATGTTCTAACATTTATAAACCTATTGAATTATTAATAATATTATAAAGTTACACAACCAAAAGATCCCTTTCCTAATTCTTCAAGAAGTATATAATCTCCAATTTATTTTCCACTCATAATATTAATATAATTAATTCTTAATTGATTAATTTATTATCAAATAATTTTATCTGTATTTATTGTACATTTTTAATCTATTTACTTATTTTATTTTAATTATTCCTTTTCTTAGTATCTTAAATAATCATATTATATATCTCTATTTTTTAATTTAATGATGAAATAAATAATCAATTTTTTGGAATTCAGAATTATTCTTCACTAATTAAATTCTAATTATTTCAAAAAGATATAAAATTTTATTTATGTAACAATTCATAATTCCTAAAACCTTTAAGGCAGCCTAATTAGTTGAATACCGAAAAGCACTTCAAATTGTTGAAATAGAAACACCTTAATTAAAAGAAGGAGAAATATTGATAAAAGTTGAAGCAGCACCAGTCAATCCATCAGATCTAGCATTAAATGAAGGACATTATCCTACCAGAATAGTATTACCAGCAGTCCCAGGAATTGAAGGATCAGGCATCGTAGTCCAATTAGGGTATATTCTAAAGATTTATCTAATAGACCTAATGTAGAGAATGTGAAGGTAGGTACTAAAGTTGCATTTAATGCTCATTCAAACTATGGTAGCTATGGATAATATTCTGTCACTTCCAGTCAATAAATAATACCATTGGATGATGTTATATCCTTTGAACTAGGAGCCTCATCTATAATTAACCCTGTTACAGTCATACTCATGTTAATAGAAACTTAAGAACTAGGAGCTAAGGCTATAGTTCATACTGCTGCCGGTTCAGCCTTAGGCAGAATGTTAGTTAGATATTTCTAAGATTCTGGAATTGACGTCATTAATGTTGTCAGAAGACAAGAATAGGTTGATCTACTATAAAAAGAAGGTGCAAAATATGTTTTAAATCAAACATCAGAAACCTTTTTCAAAGATTTAAATGTCTTAGCTACTTAATTGAAGTAATATTCTTTTTTTTCATTCTTTTAGTGCTACTGTTTTTTTTGATGCCATTGGGGGAAGTCTGACGGGTTAAATACTCAGTCAATTACCAAATAAATCAACTGCTTTAGTTTATGGATTATTATCAGGATAACCTATTAGTGATGTTACAGCAAATGATTTACTTTTTAAAAGTAAAATTGTTAAGGGATTCTTATTACCTACTTCAATTCACAAATATAATCCATTTGTTGATATTAATGCTTAAAAGAAATTAAATGAATTACTCAAAACAACTTTAAAGACAGAATATGCTAATTAATATCCTTTAGATAAAATTAATGAAGGAATAGAATTTTATAAATTGAATCAAACTTAAGGAAAGATCTTAATTAGACCAAATTAATGAAATAAAATTAATATAATAAAAACTAATTGAATTTATCATTAAAATGGAGGCTTCAATAAATATATTTATAATTTATGTTAAGTTGAATTCTCTAACAATGTTTCTTTACCTAATCTACGTCCTCCTGATGATGATCTTAGATTATACCAATAACTTAATCTGTATTCATTTTCTTCATCATAATCATCACAATATAATAATTTTATATTTTCATTAGGTGCAAATCCAAATGAAGATTCTTATACTTAATACCAATAGATATCTCCATGACTACTTTTAAGAGCCTTATCAGACTCAAAAGTTGGTCTAAAAATATCATTTGCGAAATCACACGCAATTAAATCAATACTATCCTTACTTTATATATTTGAACCTCCTAAACATACTAAAGGATTATCACCCTCATTTTTATAGACTATTTATTATATAGACATCATTGTATAAAGTAATATAGGTTTATCAAATAATTCTTCATAAATTAATTAAAAATCTTTGACTTCTGTATTAGGTAAATTTAATTGTATTTTTATTAAATGTCTATAATTCAAGAGTGAATATAAATAATTCTTCAATTTAATTATTTTTCTCATCACTTATTTTCCTTCCATCTAATTTATCATATCCTTTAATTTTTTCAATTATTCCTTTTACACTTTCTTCTATTTATTCAATGTATCTACTTAATTTACAAATATGTCTTCAACCTTTGATGAAATTTATTAAATTTAACTTTTTAAATAGACTTCCTAAGTATAAAATTAGGTTAGGTTGTTTTATAAGGCTTCAAAATTAGTCTAATAATTTATCTTAACTTTCTCTAAATTAAGAGTAGAACTTTATTTGAAAGTATCAAATCGAAGTTTTAGTTTTTAAATACCATCTACTGCTTCTAAAAGGGTACTATTTAATTATGATATATTTTCAGTTTAATTCAACCATATATATTCTAATTTTTTATCAAGTAAATTTTATTTATCCTTCAAAATTACTAATTCCTTTATTAAATACTCTTATATTTCAGTAGTCTATTCTTATTGTCTTTAATATTATATTATCTCTAATTGATTCATCTACAAATACACTAAATATGGCAATATTAATAAGAGCATCAATAATTATAATTTATTGTAAAATGATTATTTACTATATTAAGTAACTTATTTTTCAAGTAATTCTAATTTCTAATAAGACCTAAAAAGCTTAATAAATCTAATATTAACCTTTTCATTGTGGTACGAATGTCTAAATCAAGTGTCTGCATGTACTTCTCAATTTATGAGAATAGTATTGCTAATTTTTATTTTGCGTCTTCCTAACATTTATTTTCATTTTCAAAGTAAAATTTAATATATTATAAATGAAATGAGTTTTGATATGGAAATGTGAACTTTTGATCTAAATATTAAGTATGCAAAGACTTTAAAAATTTTGCAGTATCTCCTTCAATTTTTTCTGTTGCATTTTTAATTAAGTCAGGATTTTTACTTAGTTACACTTCCTAAATTTTGCTCTTCTAAAAGTCAAGTGCTTATTAAAATATCATTTAAATGAAAGTTTATCTTCTAGTTTACTTTTTTTTAATTTCATTTATAAATTATTCTAGCTCTATGAAATCATCCATATGTCTTACGACCTTTTTCTTATTTAAATGATATTTAGTAAGACACTAATAACATTAAATTTGTTTTTTCTCAGCTAAATAACATTCTTCATTTAGACATAAAAATTTTTCTGGACTTTGAGTATTTTAGCAAATTTAAAAATCCATTCAAGTATTAAATATAATCATTAAAAATTTTCAATTAAATATGAACAAAAAATTATTATATTGAATAAAAATAGGAAGCAATTTGATTATATATTCTATCCCTCAAACATAATAAAAATTTATTTTTGTAACAAATAAAATAATATCAGATGATATAAAATTTTATATGAAGTTTCTTAAAACAACAAATTTTTATCAACCTTCAATAAATTGATTTAATAAATATTTTTCATATATTATTAATTATATGAGTACCATTTTTAAATAAAATTAAGTTAAATAGATTAAATATTAATTCTATTGTTTTTTGTCAAACTTCATTAGATAATTTTTTAAAATTTACAGTCATTTTGTTTTATGATACTTTATAAATTTCTTTTAACTCTTCACTTATGAAGTTTTAAACTATTTGATTATGATTTTCAAATCAGAATTGTTTTTTCAGTTAATATTATTTCAATTTAAATAGTATATTATTTTTTTGATATATATATATATACTTATGAGACAGAAATTGATGAGATTGAAAATTATGTGTTGGTTACTTAATATCATTCAATCTCAAGTTCAAAATTTCATTTATTTAGATTTTTATGACCCAGAATAATTAGTTCGATTCGTAGATTTATTCGCTTGATATTTTTTTGACATGAGATCTAAAAAAAATTATGACAAACAAAATACATAGGCTCAATCTCAAAGATACTCACTAATAGAATAATATTTTGATACACTAGCTGACTTTGATACATTATTGTAGTATTTTTGAGAAAGGAGAAGGAAGTTTTAATATAATTATTCTTGAAGATGCACTTTTAAAAGTTCTTTTTTTCTTTTCAAATAATGAGTAGATATTGAAACTAACATGACTTTTTTTAGTACTGAAATAAAATATGAAAGACAATTCAATATAATCAAATTCATCAATTCCATTTTAGGGTTTATTTTACTATCCTTATGGAATCTATTTGTGTCCTGTCCCACTACCTTACATAAAAACTTGTTAGTAATTATAAGATGATAGACAATTCATGAATGTAAAGCAAGAAGTTAAAGAAGAGTATGAATCAGAACCCATTTAGGAAGTTTGTAAGAAACATATTGTAAAGTTCAGTCCTTATATATACCCAGGTGAAACAAAAAACTACTATAAGAACATAGGGAAGAAATTATCAACATTCATAATCAATAGTTTTGAATAGCCTATAGTAAAATAAGACCCATTTATCATCTAATTTATAAAAATCTAGAGCCAAAATTATAATAGGATGCACTTTTAGAAACTCTTTAAATCAAAAGTGGCTCTGAAGATTGCAAGAAAATTTTTTGGAGATTTTTAGTGGTGTTCCAAATTCATTTAACAAAACAAAACTGATATCGATTTATACTTTAGACATAATAAACAAATGTATCAAAGAAAGAAAAGAGACTAAAGCCCTTTCAAAAAAAGGATTACAGAATAAAATAAATGAAGTATTAACACATATTAATAATCAAATGCAATATATTATTATTTCCACAACAACTTTTATAAAATATATTATGGAGGAAGCTATAGAATTTGTTCTGATAAAAAGAGTTGAAGTAAGCTGAAAAGAATTTTTTTCTTTAAAATAGTAAAATTATAGTCCGTTAAGGAATTTTAAACAAGATATTTTACAAAGAATTTAAATTGTAATTAACTTAAAATAATAATAAATAATTTATATAAAATAATTTAAGTGAATCATTATTCCTAAAAATATAATATATTTTCAAATATATGTATCTATTCCCAATCACTTAAGATTAATTTATCCAAATTTTATTAAAAAATCATGTTATTTATATTTTAAATGTCTTTTAACGTTATAGACTTTTATTAACAAGTGGCTATATTGATTAGCATAATCAAGTCATTATCTTAAAAAATTATATAATCAGTAAGAACTTTAAACAAATTAAAACTACCAGTAATCTAATACTTTCTAATAATCTTTTATTTTGGTAAATTATACAAATAACATTTTTTTGATTTTCCTAATAAAGCTATTATACCATTCTCATCAGCTATGGCCTTATGACAATTTCCTTGTTTTAATTTGAAACTTTTTATCAATCTTTCATTTTTAGCATCAAGTAATTTTATATTACTTAAATTATCAATTATAATGAGTCTGTTCTAATTTTATATTAATCTACAATAAACGGGTCTTTACTAACATCTTGTTAATATAGTCCTTGGTTTTTAATAGGCAAAATCAAATAGTTTAATGGTGGCATCAATACTTAAGCTAATCAATATTTAAGAATTAGGTATAAATTCTAATAGTTCTACTTACATTAAATGATAATTTAAATAAGTTTCAGATAATAATTTTTTTTATAAATCGAATTTAAGTAAAATAAAACTGAGCTGACCGTTTATTGTAGCTTATGCACTTGCACAACAGATAGAATTATCTGATGATATACAAATCTTAGTATGATTTAAGTTAATTTCATCAAATAGAGTTATAATGTTTTATTTGCCTGTGGATAATTCATAGGAAATTAATCGATCATTTTAGATAATGATTAATAGTTTTTCATCATTTGACAAACAAAAAGCAAAATTACCTTTTGAAATTGCCAGACTTGTTTATATATTGTTTTAACTCATAAAATTTAATAATTAAAATAATTAATGAATAAATACTTTGTTATTTTATAATTCTATTACTTTAATAAATTTATTAAACAATTTTTAGACTTATCATATTTCATCTTAGTTGTTTATATTATTTACGTAATCACAATATAAAGATCCTATTAATTTTGGTTTTTTCACCTTCTATTCAATTAATTCATCTATATTTTCTACTTTTTAGTTTAGTTCTAAAGATTAATGAATTTTCTTTGACTATAGTTCTGGTAATTCTTACTCTAAATCCTTAATAAATGATTTGATATTTGATTTAATATATCCAATTACATTAAGTTTATTATAAAGTCTTAAGAAAGCATCATCATTACAAATATATTATCTTCTGGCAAGTTATCTTTTGACATGATTAGTATTCTTATTATTATACAAGAATTGAATTAGTGAAATAGTAAATTTGGAAATTATTTTAATTCTCTAATCACCAAGTCTTCTATCTTAAAGTCTTTATTCAGTTGTCTATATATTAAGTATAATTACCTTATGAATAATATGAAAATCTGATAAACCTATTAAATAATCCAAACAAAATATTACTATGATCTATTATTATTGTTAAGAATATTAATCATATATTTCAAATTAATTAATGTAATCTTCCTCATTTAAAGAATCCAAAAAGTGTTTAATATTAGCTCGTATTTACAATATTGGAGATTACTCTTTTAATTTTATGTTCCAATAATTCTTCTCTAAATAACTAATAATATAATTGATTGTAGAAATTATTAACTTTTTATCTGGAATATCTTTATGAGTTAATGCATGTCTCATTTCAGATAAAATATCAGAACTAAGATAATTATATTTAATACAATTCTAAGCCTAAATTTTCTTGTTTCAATATCTAATTTACAGATTTATTTTTATCTTTTGATTATGTTGTATACATATCTGCTAATTAACTTATAAATCTAATGATTTCTAGAGAGCCTGCTTTTAATAAAATTTATTTCTATGATTCATTTTCATTTTCTTTAAGCAATTATTACTTAATTCTTAATAAAGATGCTGTCATTTCTATAGGCATGGGAGTAAGTGAAGAATGCTTTAAAATTTAAGGCAGTTCTGTTGTTTCATTAATTTCCTCATATGCTTACTTCAGAATAATATTATTCACACAACTTTAAAATTAAAGCATTTTATTTTATAAAATATTAATGAATATTTTGAAAAAAAAGTAAGATGTATTAATTAGTTGTTTGATTATGAAAAACTATATTAATTATGGATATCCTATCTTTGAAATTAGTTAAAACTAATTTTAATAATTATTCATAGTAGGAACGTTAATCATACTTAGTGAAAATATTTGTTTTTTTAATTTTTTCAGATACTTTATAATATAATGATATAATTTATACTTCTCTACATAATTGTGGTTAGAGGACAAATATTATTAAAAACACTTGAATTATATGGAAATAATAAAATTTCAGGGATAATCAATGTAGAAAGGAATGATGATAATTTATTAATAGTATTTTATTTTGATAATGCAAACTACCCTATTGCATTAGTATCTAGAGAAGAAATTTATGATACAGACTTTAATACAACAGTAAAGCCAATATTTATAGAAAGCAAAAAGGTTATTTAATTTGATTATGAATCAATTTAAACTCATTATCATACTCATTTGGTTGAATTCAATTATATGGAAAGCATATACTATTATGCCAAAGATAGATTTGGGCCATTTAAACTAAAAATAGAAGTTTATTCAAAACCTCGTTCTACATGTATTAACAACTGTTAAGGATTTTACATCAGTAAAACCATGCAGAATTCTAAGTGTAATAAAAAATGTCAATGTGAGACAGGATACTTTGGATCATATTGTCAGTTTGAATTATTAAATATAGATTAAGATGTAAATTATAAGATTAGTTTGATGCCTCATAAAGTTGTGTATTTATCATTTTAATTTGATAAAGAGACTATTTTAATTGCAGATGATGTCATTGATCCAATCAGTAATAAATCATTGATTTCTTTTTAGCTGCTAGTTTTGGAATCTTAGGATAAAAAGGTTTCGAGATACCTGATTAAACATCCTATACTGCTATTCTCCATAGTTAATTAAGTCTTACAAAATTGATTTAGAGTTTCAAAATAAAATTTAAAGATGCAAAAACTTTGATTATAGGATTATAATCTCAAACAAATTAGACTATTAATATAATAATGAAATAAGAACAAACTGCTTCAATATTGAGTGGTAATTTTATGTTTTTAGCATTTGCTTCTTTTAATATAATAATGATAATACTTTGTTATGGAATCACAAATTTATGCAAAAAGAAAGAAATAATAATAATTAAAAGAAGAAAAATTAAGATTAGACCTCCAAAAATAGAAAATAACCCTAAAAATTTTTCAGGTTCTTTTATCTAAAAATATTTTGAAATTTATGATTTTGAAGATTTTATATAAATAAATCCTTAATACAGTTAAAACACTTAATGTGTAGTCTGTATGGATGATTTAAATCTTAAAGAAATAAGTGTAACTCCTTGTGGTCATATATTTCATCATTAATGTTTAAAGAAATGGTTAATGAAAATCCTTAATTGTCCCTCTTGTAGATTTTAAATAACTTATTAACAAGTGATTGAAGGAGGTTGGTTAGGTAGTAAGATTTAATCAAGTAAGCTATAGAATAATAAATCTCAATTAAATATTCATAGAAGTAACTCCTTAATAGAAAATGGTGAAAATGCTGATAATGTTCAAATGGTAGAAAAAGTAGATGAAAATTGAAAAAAAATTATAGTACAAGATTCTTAATAATATATTTATTCATTTAAATTTCAATATAAAATGAAAATAAAATAATTAGTAATTATTCTATTCAAAAATATAAAAATCATCTCTATTGTAAACAATTAGGACATGATTATGATTCAGCACATTCTCTATGATATACTTTTAAACATGTATCACAATATGTGACATTTTTGATATCAAAAGCATGAATTGGTACCATATGCTAACATATACTACATATATGTCCTCTTTTTTAACAACTCTTACATAGATCAATATGTTTAAAAAGTATAACATAATATCCTTAAATAACTTTAGTAAGACTTCCATTATATATTTCATATAAATCTTTTAAACTAAAACAATTTCTCTTTAAACAAAGGTTCATTCTTTTTTCTAATAAGGTTTATACTAATTTTGGATCACAAATCATGTCATACAATAAATGTATTTATCTTTTAAGCACTAAAAATTCAAAAAGTGTCTTATTAAACTACAATAATTTGGATGTTGGAGTTATTTCTAGAATGGGTAAATCATATAATTTATCAATTTCAGATTAAGCAAGTTTAGAAACCTTATAATGTCTTAAATCAAAATTATCTAAAGCTTTCCATGGAATTGGCATTCTAACTACTGACATACAGTCATTACAAAAATAACGACCATGAAAGAAACATTAATCACAATTAGCACCTATAGTTAGAAAACCATTTGATATTGGCTTTTAACATTACCAACATTTGAAATTCTGATCTTTTAATTCATATTATGGAGGAGGCTATGTAAATCTATTAATATTGGGTGTTTCAATAATTTCCTTATATATCTAATATGTTATTATCATATGATTAAACCTCTTCATATAGAATTTAAGAAGGTTTCTTTCCTTTATGTTTTGTATAAAGATGAGGGGGAAGTTTAGTAAATTATTCACTTGGGTCATGATGTAGGGAATCTCTTGATTGACTAAACAAACCAAGCAAGTTGTTAGGTTTGTTAAAAGTAACCTGGTTTTAGTTAATCCAAGACATTAAAAATATAATTAACAATTAATGTATGATGAAGCTGATGGAGAATATATTGAAGAGACACCTGCAGATGATGGACTGGAGGATGTGGAAGTTATTGTGAATAAGGAAAAATAATATCAATAGGAATTGTTGCAAGTACTAAAGTAAAAGGAAGATGAACATAAAGAATTAAGACAAGAATTAAAGAATTTAATATGCAAAATATAGAATATCTAATTAAAGTGTATTAGATTGTTATTGATAAATAGAATACTAAGAAGAAAGTCCTATGGTTGATCCTTATTTGAGAGAATATATGTAGGAATTGAGTGAATAACAATTATTCGATTTAGAGTCTTAGAGACAAGAATTAAAGGGAGAGAAGCAAGGGAAGATTGAATAGTTGAGATAATTACAATAGGCTAAGAATTAAATAAAATTATTCTTTACATAAACTGAGATTTCAAGTCATTTACAAATTTCTTACAAAAATATGTTAGAGAATCTTAATTAAGAGTTATTTTAATACATGTAAGAAAGAGCAGATTTAGAAGACGAATAATTTGAGTTTGACAAACGACTTAAATCTCTTAGATCTTAAATTAGAGTATGATATTCTATAAATTTAGGAAGTAACAGAAAAAAATCAAAAAATTATTCAATAGATAGAGAATAGCAAATAAATTGAATGAATTCTTGTATTTTTACATTTATTTTTATAAAATCATTGAGTTCTTTCAATCTTCTACTTAACTCTAGGGAATCTTTCTAATTATTTTTCAAACATTTGACTTATAACTTAATCAAGTGGGACATCCTTACCTCCTATAATATTTTTGTTTCCAGGTGACAATACCGAATTTGTCAATTTTTTAATATAATCATCATTTTCTTCTCTTTTAGATAGATAAAGTAGACCCTTTTTATTTGGTCCCTCAATCTTTTAAGGAGGTTCAAAGTTATAAGTTTTTCTTAAGAACTCAGCAAACTCTTTTTCATTTTTCTAAATTAATTATAGTTTATTACTTAACCATTTTTTTAAGCATATAAGAAATATAAGAAATTGCCTTTCTCGAAATTGCTCATTTATCTTTACATTTTCTTTTCTTATATTTTTGGAGCAATAGAAGTTTCAGATTATTATCTTATTTAAAATTTGGTTTGTTTTGGTTTGTTTTAGACATTAGGTAAGGGATGTATCTATTAGGATTATCTATCCATAACACTTTTTTTCAAGGTTAATCTAAGCAATTGAGCTTATTTAGAGTGAATGATAACACCTTCATCGATGATTTATTGAAATTAAAGTGATTATATATTTTTCATATTTTTGAAACAAAATCACCAATTTCATTAACAGCATTTCTCAATTAAATCAATTAAGAATTCAAATTAGTTATGTTCTACTCCATTTCTGTTATTTTGTAATCATTTTATAATAATGCTTTAATATGTTAAAATAATCTCATCATATCTACATCTAATTCACTATACTTTGTAAAAATATATAATAATTACATGTTATTACATTTCAGCTACTCCATTATTATTAGATCTTAATAATTAATTATTTTCATTAACTATTATAGCAATTTAATTAATTCTTTCTTCACATTCTTCTCTAGTAACACCATTTTTATGATTAAATAATTCAATCTATTCATTTATTCCTCCAAATTATTGATTAATATCTTCAAGTTTTTCTTACATAACCATAAATTTTTATTAAATCTCCTTGTTTAAACTTTTAAATAAATTATCTTCAATACTCTTTATACCTGCTAAATTGTCTTTTGAAATCTTTTTTTCTAATTTTTCAAGTTATCCTTTATCCAAACTAACTTATTGAATTATTTAAGATTAATCCTATTATTTATATTATTGATTATTCAATTCATCCAAAAAACCTTATTGATCTAATAGAGCTTTTTCTAGATTCTATATTTTTAATAATAATTTTTGATTATCATCTTCTATTTTTTTCATTTTCTACCACAATTTTTCTATAACCTATTAAAATCTTTCAGTATTCACAAATTTTATCAATTCTTCCTACAATTATATACACATATCACAAGACTTTTATTTATTTATTTCTTCAGAAAATGCTATTGTTGAAGGACCTTTCTCTTAAAAGTTTTATTTCATTATGAAATCAATAATATTTAACTATTTTCCTTAATTTCGACATGAATTAGCAGATTAGAAAACCCTTTCTTAAGAGTTTTTTCTACTCATTAATTTTAATGTTATAAGTTGAAAGATTATTAAGGCCAAGAAAATCAATTTCAAAAAGCTTAATATTATAATAACCAGATCCTTTAGAATAAGATAATACTGGTAAAGCCAAAGAGCATTTTAAACATATAAGATAAAAACTTAAAGTAATTAATTAAGCAGGATCACCTAATCCATCTCCAAAAGAAGAAAATTAAAAATAATAACCTAATAGAAGAGATAAGAAAGGTAAGAAATTGAAATAATAAAAACCTCATTATTAATTGGATGTTTCAGATATTAATTCTTCAATTACAGATGAATCTTTTGATAAAGATGCTAAAAACTAGTTCTTAATTGCTAAAGATAATCTAAAAAAGTTAAGTAAATAAACTAATCAAAATAAAAATGCTTCTTCCTTTACTAACTCACCTCTTTAATAATAATAAGGTAAGAATGATTCTTTACGAATTGAATCTTAGTAAGGAATTGATAATCAATTTGATTAAGAAAAAATCAATATTAATTTTGTGAAATCTTTAGAACATAATATTGATTGCAAAAATATTCAAGAAAGTTATGAAGATGGATATTTAAATATACATATATTAAGTGATGATTTATAAACATTTTTGAGATATGAACATGAAATTTAAGAAATGATACATAGATCATAATAATTTACAAATAATAAATTAATGCATGAAGGATTATAAGATGAATTAGAGAATTATGAACTTAGTTTAAATAGATAAAAATTAGAAAGAGAATAAAAATAAAAAGAATTTGTTTAAAGAATAATACTATAAGAATAACAAAAATAAAATATATTTCAAAGAGCTAAAACTAAAAAAATTGATGATATTGCTAATAAATTTATTGATCATCATCATATTGAATTAAAAAATGATCCATTAAATTAAGCTCATCTTAGTAGAAGAAAAAAAGAATAGCAGTAATGAACAATTGATAATAATATATGTCAATCAATTCTTAAATCTTTTACAGGTATTATGCTATCATCAAATTTCTAAACACTCCTTTTCATTGATATACTTTTCTCTTTACTCATTTCTCTACTATTACTTTTCCGACCTTTTTTTAATTTTGATTTTGGGTCATTTATTTACAAAACTTATTAATCCACCATTGGAAGTTCAAAAGTATGATCAGATGAAGTCAATGCTATTACATGACTAGCACCAAGAGAAATTTATAATAATTTTTCATTTTTAAATATTGTTGTTACCTATATTATATTAATTATACTATTACATCTTTTGGCTAAAATTGACTATTTTCATTTCTAGTACCTAATACATAACTTTATCCATTCCCCCAAGAAAATATTTATTTTTATTGAGATATTGCAAAATTAAAATGCATTGATCCAAATATAGATTACATCTTTGGTATATTATTAATTTTTTAAGGAGTTGTTATAAATTCATATCCAATAACTTTCTAAGATTTTTAAACTTCAAATAAATCTCCTTATTTATTTTTCTTACTTGTTTTTTTTTTATTTACTTATTATTATTAATACAGTTCTTCTTCTAATACCTTTTGTTTTTCAGCCTCAATTCTTAACATTTCATTCAATTATTCTCCTAAACCTAATTAACCATCATCATTTCTTCCAAAAGAGTAAACATTTCCTTCACAATCTAAAGCAATTGTATGATGTTCTCCACCTACCATATCTACAATATCCATATTCTCAAAAAACTCAACCAAATATGGGAGTTATTAATTTTCTTAATTTCCTATACCCAATTACCCATAATTATTTAATCCCCATCCATATATACCTGGTTTGTTATCCTTTAGTAATACCTTTACAAAAGCATGTGAAGCCCCTGTAAATATATCTATGATTGGTCTCTTCATTTTTATAGGCTAAGGATTTAAATTTTAAATCACAGATCTTCTAGTCTCACTTTTCCTTCCTATTACCAACGTTTCTGCATCTCCCCATGTAAGTAACTAGTTTATTCATTTTGAACTACTTACTTTAAAATTATCTAACAACACCATTGTATGATTCTAACCGCAAAGTATTTTCTTTATTCCATTTGTAATATTATCCAATTTTTTAGGTTTTGATACTGCCTCACCAATTGGACCATGAGTATTTGCATAAAATCCCCAGAAGTACACTAAACCATGAGAATTTGCTGCAATTGAATGAGAACTTCCACAAGCTATCATATTTACAGGAGGTAAATCTGTGATTAAATCAGGTAACCTTGCATCTTGGCCTTCTATTTAAGGTCTTCCCAATACTCCTTTATCATCACAACCAAATGAATAAACCTTAAATAATAATCTAATTAAATACTTTTCCTTGTGATGTTAATATTAAAGCATGCATTCCTCCACATGCTACTTATACAATAGATAAATTGCTTAATTCTTTTATCTGATATGGTCTCTTAACCTCATATAATTCTTCATCATCTTCATCTTTAGCCAAGAATTGATCACATTCAGAACTACCCCAAGCATAAAGTTTTTGTTCACTCAATTATTCACTTTACATTAATACTTAATTTTAATTTTCAATTATTATATATTAACTAACCTTAAATCAATATAAAATTAAAGAACACTGTTATCTATTATAATAACATATGGTTGATGGTAAATATTGTTTAACTTAAAATATTATTTTCAATTTATTATTTTATAACAATTATAAACTGTTAGTTGTTTAAAATAATTTTAATACCAATTTTTAAAATGATTTATTATTTTTGTATATATAAATTTAGAATTAAGCTTTTGTATATATATATTTTATCTTTCAGAAGTATCATATATATTTAATATCTATTATTGTATTAATTTTATCAAGGAAAACAAATAAAAAAATATATATTTAAAATAGAATTTATAATTTTTTAAACTTTATAAATTAATTTTATATATGATAATACCATCCAAAAATCTAAATTTATATCTAATTCAAAATAGAAAATCTTAGAATATAAAAGTAAAGGAATGTTTATATTACTCAAATCATTTAATTAAAAATGTTTATTTATCTTAATCAAATGATTCTAACATTAAATCTATAAATTTTTTGTCTAAATTCAAATTATTAGCTAAAGGTATACATTAATTCCATTTATGTGTTTAACTTGTCAATTCCATTAATAATTCAGGCCCTTCACAATTTAATTCACAATTTTATAAATAAGAGAGTATTAATTTATAAATGAATAACCATCTATTTAAAATCATTGGCTTCATAACTAAATTCTAATTTGATAAATTTCTTACATAAGATCTTATTGGTATAACCATTGCTAACATTGACAAAAACCAAGGTATACAAAAATTTTCAAATTAAACATTGTTTTTAAGAAACAAATCATAAAGTTTTCTTTGTTGGCTCATACATAACAATTACACTATTTATATGTGCTTTGATAACCCAGGAAGGTCTATCTTATGATTATAGACTACTCTCCAAATAAATATCTCTCAACTATAATCGTTCATATAATGTCACATAATTCCAGAAGGCTACACATTCTTCACTATGAAATAGTAGAGCACCTGCCAAGAAATTCATTCCTTATACATATCCAACACCCATGTCATAAATTGCAATTGTATAGAGTAATCTTTACAAAGCCTCTTTTCCTTCCTTTTATTAAAAAAATGGTTCATTTGGAAATGTTCTCATCAAATCTCTTTCTATTTATTTACGTTATTTAGTTATCCATTACTATTAATCTGCAATCTCTATTTTACATAATTATTAATAATCATTTCTCATGTTATCTAATTTTTTTATGTCATAATGAATCTTTAGCCATTCTATAGATTGAGAACAGTTTTCAAAGTCTTTTTTGAGATTCTCATCACATTTGCATTATTTTCTATTCATGATTATAATTCAAATTAAATAGTTATTATTCATGTATTATTTTCATTTATAGGTTTATTACTTTTGGGCTGAGGTATTGGAAAAAATTGTCTACTTAGAACTGAATATCGAGAAAATAATGGCTCCTCGCTTATCATTAGATCTGTGACTAATTTTAATGGAGTTATAGGCAAATCTTTAAGTTAAGCATTAACTTTAGTCTTTGATCTAGTGATAAATTTTGGGTACTGGTGTAGAAATAAATAATTTACATCTTTTGGAGTCAATAAATATTTCTTTTTATCATTATTTTCTATTTAATTTAGTTCTTCTGTTCTAAAATGAATAGCATTACCCTCTAATATAATGTAGAATACATTAATTCTTACATAGATCATTGAAAACCATATAAATTTAAACACCACACAAAGAAGCTAATTCGTATGCTTTCTTAAGTAAACCTATCTTTCTTTTATGAAAAGTAATCTAATCTATATTTAAGAACTTACATTTCTTTATTGTTTATCTTCTATTTTTGTAATTGGAATTTTCTTTCTGCCCATTATAATTTAAAATATAAATATTATTAAATGTCACATTAAATCATTATTAATCTAATCATATTTTCCTATATCTATTAAAAAATTTATAATAAGTATTTTATATCAAGTATAGAATTATTTATTGAAAATCTAAATGATTGAATTAAATATATAATATATATATATATCTTTACTAATGAAAATATTATACAATATTTCAATTTAGATAAAATTATTTAACCTATTTACTTGATTTGACTAATCTTGATAACACTTTGGTTGCAATAACTATCAAAACTGTTGTTGCTATAAGGGCATTATAGTTGAAATTATCCAACAACATATCATATGTCTAAAATATTATATAATAAATAATACTTTATCTGGAGCTATTCTAGTGAAGAAGATATCAGAACCATATACCAATAATAATGCTGATGATTCTAAATTTGTGGATTCTATTGAAAATTTCTCAATATCGAACTAAAATTAATTAAATAAAATACAGTTTAATGATATGAAAGTGTATTTAAAAAATTGATGGGTAATTAATATTAATAAGGAGGAAGCTCTGCTGATTATAATGAATATTCTAAAATTGGTTGATCTGCTTTTTCTCTTCTTCTTGTAGAAACTAAATTTCTGTCTAAAGAATGCAATTATCCAGTAGTTGTTATTATTAATAAATTCTTTTTTGTTAATGATTTTTATGTTCTAGACATTCCTAGATATTTGATTCCTAATGGATATCCATATACTTATTATAAGAAAAATGCTTCAAAGTCAGATTTATAATAATTTGTAATAATTGGTGTTTTTGTAAAGTAGTAGTTTTCTAACATCTTAATAAATGAAACTTCAATTTTTGCATGATAGATTTCAATAGTCCAAATTTCAAACATCATTTAGGATTTATTATAATAAGTAACAAAAACTTAATGTTCATCAAATACTAAATTGATTGGTTAATTGAAATCAGCTTCACTCTACACACTTTAATATATTATTTTGCCTGTTTTAGCATTAATAATAAATAATTTAAGCTTATCACCATCTGAAGTTAAGACTGCAAAATTAGAATGATCAATCAATTTATATATGACTTTTCTATCATCCCAAATAGCAACTCTTGGATTTTCTTCTCCTACATGATAAGATGATCTGATAATTAAAATTTCATCTTTCATATTAATTGTCCATATATCAACTAATTAATTATTGAATAATTTATATCCTTTTAATACACCATTATCATTTCTATATAAGATTATCTCTTTTGTATTTATAGCATCATGTTTAGGATATGTAAATATATTATTTTCTTCATCTATTAAAATTACAATGTTGTGATGTTATCCAGGTCCTCCTTCAACTCTATAAGGTAGTGTCCATATTATATTTTTTGAGGATTGCGATGCTACTTATTAGATTATTCCATGTTATAAATCTAAAACAAATGTATTTAATCTCTATTTCTCTTTTGAATAATAAAATAACACATGGGTAGGTTGTGCATCATTGTTGTCAAAATGTGTAATTAAATTGGAACTAAATAATAAAAGAATATAATACTCTATTTAATGATGTGCAACCAATTTAAAACTTTTATCTTAATTATTAATTTGTAATTTTATTAATAAAGATTATTCTTAAGTATCATAACATAATAAGGTTCCATATGTAGTTAAAAAATATACTTTTTATTTCAATCCATATGTTTATTCCATTTCTCTTGTTTACACTTTTTCTTTACCAACATTATCAATAAAATGAGTTACTACCTCTTATAAATCTCTGATTTCATTCAAAACTCTTGAAATAACATTTTATACTAAAAATAAAGGATTATTAGTTCCATGTTTTTCAAGTGATTCATAATATGAATTTTTATGTGTTTACTCTTAATTTTCATATTTTTCATAAAAAACTGTATCAATACTAATTAAGGATTATTCAGTACTCCATTTAATTCCTTTATTATCAATTAATACTGTTTATAAATCCTAATACTAAATTAAGAATTATCTTTTATTTTAATCTATTAAAAAAGCATTCAAAATCAATGAATTTGTTTATAATTCAATTATTTCTGAATGAGTTTATTTTGTATCTCTATCAAATGTAACAATTTTCAACTCATTATTTTTTTATTTTAAAATATAGTAATATTTTTGAGATTCAAGATTCTAAATAACAAACTCATCTTAACTTAATTCATATTCAACTTATCCATCCAAATTTACTATTTGTTTCTTTGATTTATCATTAATAACAAATGTTTATGAAAAACCAACAAATTAATCTACTTTCTTTATAATTTCAAAGTCTAAAGACTTGGCTGAATTTTCTTTTAATTGATATGCAAATTTATTATCTTAATAAATAAGAGTATTGCCAAATTCATGAATATTACCATTACTTAAACTTTCTACACAATAATTTTATGATATAGATTCTTTAATTGAATAAATGCAAACTTCATTTTATTTTTATAAAACAACCACTGGTACATCAAAAATATATCCTGCATATATTATTTAATGATCAACTCTAAAATTATCTAATAAATATATACTTTTCAGTGAATTTGTTATTAAAGGTAGAGAAAATAGTTTATCCATAAATAATTATAAATTCTCCATTTAATCCTATTAAACAATGGTCAATTTTGCCAATAATCTCCTTTTCAGCTAAAACTTAATATCCTTCATTAAATAATTATATAATCTATTAATTTGGTTCATAAGTGACATAATTATAAGAATCACACATAGTATAAGTGTTTCTTTATTTGACTTAGCCTAAATTTATGAGAATTTAAACAACCTGTAGATTTTTCAATAATTCCATTTTGATTGTCTGTGTTTTAGTAAAATATTGTTTAATCTTAGACTTGTATGTATTTTAACTCACCAAAGAGTCTCTTATTCCAATCGTGTACTCCTGCTTGTTATTAGTGTAAAGCAAGAACATTATTAAATATAATTCCAGCCACACTCACAATTAATAATAACATTTATTTAATTTAATGTTTTTTATGCAAAATATAAAATATTTATCTTACAGTAATACATACTCTAATCATTTTAAGTCAACTAATTAATATGATTAATAATTTTAGAAAGTTTATTCTATTGGTTTAGACTCATATTTCTTTATTTAGCATTATACTTTATTTTCAATTTAAATATCTTCATCTTAATTCTATACATTATTGTAATTGTTTTTAGTAATATTTATTTATTATTTTTTCTTTTTAAATAATTCTATAGCTTATTTATATTTTTTCATATTTTTTTCTTTTTATTCTATTTTTGTTATTTATTTATCTAATTCAATATTTTTTTAATTAATTTTATTTTACTCTTATTAATATTAAATTTTATTTTAATTAGAACTACTTCTATGTTTCATTATATATTTATTTGCTAGTTCTTTATACATTTAAGTCAATTTATCTACTCTCATTTTTCTAATTTTACCTTCTTCAATCTTTCATTGATTATAAACATAAATACTTTTTACATATCAACTCTCCATGCTACTTTTGGCTTTTATTCTCTTTTTGATGGTTGACATTTCTTGAAACTACAAACATTTTGTATTTGCTATTAAATTTAAAGATACTCTTTTTATGAATATTGTTTTGCAGATTCAGAATATTATGATATAGCTTATGAGGGTTTTGGATTTGCCAAATGATTAATTTTACAACAATTATGTATTTTATTTTATTTTCTCTATTCAGTAGAATGTGGTTTCATATTTATTTTAACACATTTAGATTGAGAATTCACTATAGAATATTCTTCTAAATAAGAATTTATTTATACTTATGACTTAATTTGATTCATTTGTTTTATTATTCTAATTAACATAATAATGTTCACCCTTAATTTATGGTGTTCTAGGTTTTTTAATCCTTGTAGAATTTTTTCTGCTGCAACCCCAACAATAACATGAGCAACAACTCCCAAACTATTTGTTAGACTTTTAAGATTTATTGTCTCTATTATGTAAATTTGAATTGCTTGATCTAGATGTATGATATTTGATTTCTTTTTTTTCTGACTTCTAAGTTTTGTTTACTTATTTATTATGTAATTAATTTTAAACATTAGAGTATTTCATTCTTTTCTAATTCAAGATTTCACTATCTGATATTCATTTTTATACTACATGGAATTATCTCCTCTAATTAGGGTCGAGATATTATATCAGCAATGATTTATCTTTCTTGGATTTTATTAGAAAAATATTGGTTGATTTTTTACTCTAGTCCTACAATCTATTTAGGGCTCTTTCGACCATGAATGTGGTAATTTTATTGCATAATTATTTAATTAATAATTTTAATATTCAAGAATCTTCTTATTTTAATTTCTTCTTTTTCTCCTCTAACTTTGCTAGCATATGCCTTATCTCCTCCTCTGAGTACTCTTTTACCTTTTTGTGAAGTTTCTATTTGAAAAGCGCACAAATAATTTAATACTTTGTAATTCAATTATTCACTGCAATTATTACAACACTTCACTTTCACTAATGTATTCTTTACTTCTGAATTTTCTTTATATTTAAAATTCAATTCCCATGTACTTAATTCTTTGTCTTTAGTGCATACTTTATTCCCACAAATAGTTTCTCCCTTGCCACTTAGTACTTCTGGTTCAGTTCTCCATCTCATCCCAATCCTAAGAATAATATTGATACATACTTTCCAGTTTTATATTGCGATAAATCTATGATAGCATATTCCTTATAAAGTTTATCATAATATTTTCTTGCAATCATTCTACCGTAGTCATCGTTTGTACTTAACTTTGGATCAATATCTTCATCATCATCTCTAACAAATTGGTGGAATTATCTTAAAACCTCCATCTCTGATTTAGGTAATGGCTTTTAAGGTTTTTAATCTTTATTCATTCTTTAAATAATAATGATTTTTAATAAAATAATTCTTTTATTTATTTAGCAATTTTTAATTAAATTAGTATTATTTAGACATTAAATGTTTGAAATTAGAATTAATAATTCTGAATATAAAAATAAAACAATTCTTTAGAATTCTATATGATTTGAAAGATAGATTAATCTAATTTAGATATATATTGATAATAATTTACTTATAATATGTTAACTATTTCTTTTATTATAAATATTAACATATTACCTAGAAGAATAATATTATTTCATGAAATAATTATTAAATAAAAATCATTTGTAAATAGCATTATATAAAATCAGCTATTTGCTAAACCAAGTATTTTATTAAGCGTTTTTGCAGATCTCTTTCCGTTTCTACTAATATCGTATCTAAATTCACTCACTGTTCGATCAACAGATCTAATACTTTTCTTAATAGAAGATTAGTTAAGGGTTGAAATTAGATCTTGTCTAGGTTATTTTGAGACAGTTCGAGATCTTTATTTTTTTTTTTCTGGAGTTAAAAAGAAACTATTTAACATTTTTGATTGTGAAATAGGCTTAGATTTATTATTATCAGTAAAAAGTTATTCTAAAATGTTTATTTAATATAAACTTTACTCTTAAGTTTATTGAATAATGATTGATCTTTCATTATCTTTTAAAAATCGATCTTGATTTCAGGATGAAGTTATTAGAATGTCAATTCTGATTAATTGTCCTCTTTTAAATTAAATTGATTTTTGTCAATTCCAACAGATTTTAATAAAGCATGGTAATCATCTTACATATATGCTTACCATTAACTTACTTTTGGTGTATCTTTATATAATAAATGTTATTATTTTAATTTTAATTTATTTTAAGCATTTCTAGCCATTTATCTTAATTAGTATTTTCTATTAAACATTTTTTTTGGATCGATTTCTCTTTCTTCTTCTGCACTATCACTTTCAATTCCATTATTATTATTATTATTTGAATTTAAAGGTTTTAGTGAAATTTATCTCTCTTCTTTAGCTCTTTTTTCATAATTTAATTAATAAGCATTAAAAAATTGAAAATCTCCTCTGTCATCTTAATTCCATTCAAAAATACCATCATTTATTATTGTATCATCAAGTATCTATATTTATAAATGATAAATATACATCTAAAAACTATATGATTTTAAAAGTAATATATCTTAAGTATTCAAATATACTTCTTTCTTTCAATTGCCTAAGAAATTCATCTTCAATTGTTTGACTAATATATTCTGTTGATGCTGATATAACTTCACCCCTAATAATACGTGTTTCCATTGCACTTCTATCAAATAATTTATGATTCACATCCCTCTTTCTATTAAAGTGAATTCTATGTGTTAAAAAAGCTCTCTATTTAATGTAATTTTATATATAAAATATTTTGTGCCAGAATTTGTCTCCTTTTCTTTTAGACATTAATAAAAAAAACTCAGATTCAGTCATTATTTAAGCTGAATCATCTTCAAACTTTACTAAAACTGCCTCCTTGCTTTTTTCACTAATATTATTTATTTATTCTTTATTTACATTACCTTTAATATTATAATCATTAAATACTCAAAGCAGACTATTATTTTTCATTTAGTTAAATCAAATCTAATTACATATTTGTATTTGCAATTTTCTTTCTTCTGTTATTCAAATATTGCATTAATTTTTATAATGATCCTTTCCATTATTATACTCTTAACTAGTATGGCCTATCTATACCATCTTTGATACTCTATAAAATAGATTAAGGCTCTCCCTTCTCAAAATAAACAGTGTCTTAAATCTAAATGTTTAAAGTTCTCCCAAATGATTCTTAAACTAAACGAGTCACAATAAAAATAAAGTCTCTATCATTTGAGTTTTACTTTCCTTTAACTTATTATGGTTCTTCTAAGGGTTTGGGTATTCTGTATTATTGTATTGCGTTACTTTTTCTTCAACGATGAAATACATAAATTGCATTAACAAGTGTATTTTTCATCAACACTATATGAAACAAAGTGTTCATTATTTTTTCTCATTATTTATGGACTTTTATCACTTTTGTCGGTTTCTATACTTAAATTTTTCATAATTTTCATTTACATAGAGTTTTGTTAATAAAATAAAAAAATTTATTATTAGATAAAAATTAAATAAAGAGATTATCACTTCAAAACTATTTTATGTTAATGCTATTAAAAAAAATCAGAAGCATTTTTTATTTTTATGATAAATTTATAAGATAGCATAAAAAAAGAATTATATATTAAATTCCATTCAATATATTTATTGATATTTTATAACAATTAATAGTTAACTAATTTTCCTCTAAATGTTTTCTTAACGAAATTTAACCAAATAATTTATACAGTCTAAATTTAGTAATATTGATCAACTAAATAAATTGATATAATCCACTCTTTTAAATATGATAGAAATAATATAATGTTTGAATGAATAACAAATAAATGTAAATTGTGCTATTCTTTTAGCATTTACATATCTTTAAAAATTATGAAGTCAAATTTTATAATAATTCAGTTTTAATTCATTATATAAAAAATGAAAAAATGAAGACCATCAGGAGAATAATCACTAAAAAAGAATATTGATGCTGAAGATGAAGAATTTCATGATTAATTTTAAAATTTATAACTAAGCTCAATCATTTATAATCAAATAATCTAAATTAATTTAAATAATTCAACTCTTTTATATCATTATCTAATTAATTTCTAGAATATAAAGATAATTAGCTATAAATTAATTATTATGGAACTTAAATTTTTATTTCTAATTTAATATGGAATAGTTTTTCATAGTAACATCACACTCGCATTATATAAATACAAGCTATTTCTTTTCTAAAAGAGCACTGCCTTTTAAAATAATTTATTATATCTAATTATTTTTAAAACTAATTTATTTACTATTTAATTATTAATTTTGATGAATGACGATATTCCTAAAGGCTGCCTATGTTATACTAAGAAAGTTAAGGGAGAAATTCCGAAAACATTTAAAAAAGCAAATAAAATTTTAAGTAAATATAAGAATAATAATCTAAATGTAAATTTATTGATCTAATCCTAGATTTCAGATGATGATATATTAGATGTAATCATTAGACTGTATGTCGCTGAAAACAAGTCAAATGCTATTGCTATGCTTTAAAGATGCCGTATCAATCCTAACTTTGGAAACAATCTTTAAAGAAAGGATCTTGAATACTTTATACCCTAAATAGTAAACTTTATGGTTTTTCATCAACATTTGAGTGATGATAATTTTATTTAATTTGTGCTGAAAGCTTCATCACTTGATTTCTTTTTTGCACATCAAGTTTTCTTTTAATTAAAAAGCCAATCTTAAATCATAACAGCGAATGAACCAGTTACATTTACAATAGTAAAAAAATTTACAGATAACTTTTTCTTGAAAATGTCTCATAATTATGCAGGAAACTTATTGATAGCATCCAACATTTTATAAATTGATTTAGAAGAGATAAATCTCAATAAAAATAATTTAAATACTTCAAATGAGATTAATTCTCCAACTAAATCATCTCTTTAACAAGTTTATTAGGGAACACTTAGAATTGAATCTATGAAAATAAATGAAAACATATCCAATTATGGAACAAAAGAATGGAATAAAAATGATAATAAACTATATTTTGAGAATGCTGTTTTAAAAAACTATAAAGAAATTCATCTCCAAGATTATAATTCAATTTTTGGAAAACGATAAACCAATTTTGATACTGCTTTTTTTTCTAACATATCGTTTTGGGATGATATAATGAAAATATGTGATGAATTATCAAAGGCTAAGAAAAAAACTGAGTTCTTGCATTCTTGTTTATAAAAAATGAATGAAAATTTACCTGCTGCAGTTTATGTGCCATTTGTTGGAAATTCAATAAGAAATCATGCCGTTCTAAAAATAGTTTATAAAGAAAGTAGGGTATTTTCAACAAAAATGAGAAGCCCTTTTAGTCTTGTCTTAGAACTATACAGACCAGAAATAGAAGAGAAAAATAATTCTTTGATTGTTGAAGAATAAATATCTTTTCCAATAACTGCAAATGTATAAAAATTTATTTAAATTTAGACTAATCTAAAATCAAAAAAAGTGGAAAGAACATAAAGTCATTTATTATAGGATGATCTAAAATTAGATGAAATTTAAAGGAGATTTTCATAAGTAGATATATAAAAATCAATTTAAAATGAATTTATGTAATTGAAATTCAATTAATTGAAATCATCAATTGATTAAAATCAACTTGATGGAACTTCTAAATTTTATTGTTTAAATGATGATTCTGTAAATAGTGATATTGAATAAATAGATTAAAAGGAGATTCCAAAATATTCTACTACATACTCATTATAAGAGAATGTATAAGCATTTAGTATTGAAGAAAATTCAAATATAGAATAAGTTGAAAAGGAAGAAAAGGATATTTTACTTATAAGTAAAATGCATAGAAATAGTTATCTTTAAGCTGAAAAAGGAATAACACTTAATAGGGAAGAATATAATGAATTAAAAAGAACTATTTTTGGTGAAAGCTCATCTTAATAGGAGGAAAGAATTAAATCATAATCTATATTTAAAAATTTAAAATCTTGGAGATTAGCACATTTAATTATAAAAACAGGAGATAATTTAAAGTAAGAATAATTTGCTTTACAATTGATATCTTAATTTGATTAAATATTTAAAAAATCAGGACTACCTCTAAAATTGAGATCTTATGAAGTCTTATCTTTAGGACCAGATTGTGGAATTATAGAAATGATTAAAAATGCAACAACAATTGATAGTTTATAAAAAAATCTAAGGAAAAAATATCAATAGTTCATGAATTTCTCAGATTTCTTTAGAAGCTTTTTTAGAAATAATATAGATTAAGCATTATAAAATTATGTTTAATCTTTAACAGCTTATGGGTTGGTTTGTTATTTTTTATAAGTTAAAGATAGACATAATGGAAATATATTATTAGATAGTGAAGGACATTTGATTCATATTGACTTTGGATTCTTTTTATCAAATGCTCCTGGCAAAGGAATGGAATTTGAAGGAAAAGTTCCATTTAAGTTATTATCTGACTATATATAAGTTTTGGGTGGAGCTAAAGGGACTTTATTTAAAGAAAATTTTAGGAAATTGTTTTATAAGTATAAATTATTATATTTTTAGAGGATTCAAGGCATGTTAATAACACTAAAAAGAAATATTACTTCTTGTAGAAATGATGTATACAGGTCATGGTACTACATTACCTTGTTTTTAAAAAGGAGAATAAGCTATAAAAGAACTTTATGCTAGATTTAATCCAAGAGTAAAATCTGATGCAGAACTTTATGTTCATGTTTAAGAATTAATCAATCATTCACTTGATAATTGGAGAGCAAGATGGTATTTTTTTTAAATAAATTTAGGTATGACAAATTTTAATACTTTGCTTAAGGTGTATTTTATTGATTTTTTAGAATATTTATTTTGTTAATTTTTCATAGTATTAAATAAAAAATATAACTAAATTAATCAAGCCATTGCTGATGCTCTTCCTGTTTTATATCCTTTATTAATATTATTTTAATCAAATTTACTCTACAATAACTATGATTATTTTTATTTTAATTAAGTCAAATCTATTTTTGAGACTTCTTAATTAATGCTCATCACTCTTCTCTTTCTTTTTGCCTGTTGATTAGAAGGATTATTAGGAGATTTAGATTTTTATTTAGTGAGAACTTTTTGATCTAGATTTAATTTTCTCATTAGACATTCTAATATAATATTGGTAGCCTTTAACTTATTATTATTATTATGGCCAGGTTTTAATAATTGCATAATTTAAGGTTTAATAGATCTTTATGTTGTAGGTCTAGGAGATATTGATTATTTTGTATTATTGATATTTCTTTAAGTAAGTGGAATCTATTGAATTTATTATTTACAATTTTTTTCAGTGCTATAAACTTTGGGTTGTGAAATCTCTCTTTATGTTTAAATAGCTGAATTTTTAAGAGGTTTTTTTCTTTAAAAAAGTTCATTTAAATTTTCTTTAAATTCTAATCTACTATTAGTATCAGATTTATGATCTAATTTTGATTTATTGTAATAATCAGAATTTTTTTGTTATAAAGGTAGATTGTATTTACAAGAATCAAAGTCTTTTAAAGTGTTTTTAGATGTATTTATTGCTTCTTTTAAATTTTTTTATATTTCAATCAATGTATTTGATTATTCTTGTTTAGTGAAATTCAACTAACCCAAAAGATTTTGCAATGACTAAGTTAATGTGAATATTCAATTAATACAGTTTAGATAGAATTTTATGTTGTTGTTGGTTATTCAACATGACCTCCAAGCATCCTAGATATTCTGATATATTCTATTCTGCGACGTTTATCATGATATTTAGATAATGTTGTAGCTATAGGTAACATAAAAAGGCGTGGAATATCTCGATGAAACTATTCAGTATAGTTTTGAAAGTATTTACTTTATAATATTCGGTTAATACAATAGTTTTTTGTTTTGTATCATTTATAGTGTAGAATCTTTTTAAATATTCATTAGAATCATAATAAGTCCATTCTTTATAAGCAGTATATTGTTTAGATCGTTATTGCAAAAGTATTATATTAATATCCTTTTGATAGTAATAATTCTGGCTGGCTGAGTATTTGATATATAGAGCTCTTGTGATGAGAGAACAAAATTTCTGAGATTATTGACAAAAGAGACAATCTTGCATTTGTAAGAGATCCAAAGTACTGGCAGTTGATCCTCCATATTGGGTTCGTTTGGATTTATACATTTTAAATTAATGAATAAAATATAATTCCACTCTTTACAGGTAATACCTACAAAAATTGAATTCACTATATTCAAGCCACAATTGAATTATATTGTAAAATAAGTTCATCGTTTAAAATGTGTAATGTTAAGCAGAATAGATATTGAACTCATAATAGATTAAATATTATTTATAGTCCAATTATTGATTGCTGGTTAAGTATTTATTAATTTAAAATAATAGTTTGGCACACCATCATTAGCCTATTTGAATGAATTACATAAAACCTTAGTTACTACTCTTAATTCATTTAAACAAGATTAATTAGGATATGTGATAGCAAATATGGAGACATTAAAAAAATAGACAAATTAAGATTATTTGAAGGGCTTTAAGAAAGGAAGTTCTAGAAACTTAAAAATAGCAAATTAATTATAAAAGTAAAAGAAATATAAAAAAAATATAGAATCTAGAAAAGAATACTTTCTGTCATTCGAATAGTTTATTCCTAATTATTCTTATTTTGGTTGGATGAGCATTAACCTGATTAAAGTACTGCCTTGAAAAGTAAGCGTGTCTTCGTTGAAACTAAAACGTATAATAAAATAATCATTAATTAATTAAAATAGATTTTTACAAAGTAAATTAAAAGAATTAGATTTAGAAAAGCATAATAAAATTGTGTGTAGAATTTGTGAGTAATTAATAGAAGTTGAAATAATGGCAGCCCATTGTATAACTTGTGAGAAAAAAGCTGAATAAAGCAAAAAATTATTATAATTAAATTTATAACTAGCTGATGCTTCTTAATTAGCATATAAATTAAAACATGATGTTTAAATTAAATTAGGTAAATTAAGTTTATAAGAATAAAAACAAAATCGATTAAAATAAAAAAAGTAAGAGGAAGAGAAAAAACCATTAAGATCTTTAAGAAGAACTCATACAATCCATTTAGAAGATAATAAATTATAACAAGAAGAAGAAGAAAAAAATAAAGCAAAAAAATAATTAGCTTTTATTAATTCTGTAATGACTATTATTGTAAATTATACTGAAAAAGTACTTAATAGTAATGCTAATAATGAAGACAATAAATGTAATTTTATTATTAATATATATAGTAAATCGTATCACATTTGATGAATTAACTGATGCCAAATGTAATATAGAAGCTGATGAAATCAATCAAGAAATCTTAGATATTATCGATAAAGCTAGATCATGTATTTATGATAGGATGGAATACTTTAAGATTTTATAAAATTTAGAAACTCAATAAATTTAAGAGAGTTAAAAAATTAAACCTAATATTGAAATAGATTTAAAATAAAAATATAAGAATTCTAATTCTAGTTCATTTAGATTTTCCAAATTCAATAATACAACAGCTACAAGTTAATCAAAATTAAAAAGAAATGAAACTATTTATGAAGAAGATGATGACAATTAAGTATGCTAAACTCCTAAAGTAAATAATAGTAATAAAAAAAATATTATGATTATGTCACTTATTAAGTAAATTATAATAATGATTATTAGTAAAGATAAATTTAATATTAATAATACTGGAAGTGCCAATGAAATTAAAAGAAGAGATAGCTTAACTATGATGACTATGACAAGATCCTAAGGATTAGGTAGTAATTAAATGAAGAAAACTTAAGTAAATAAAGGAAATTTAGATGAATAATTACAATTTCAATCTAATCCAGGATCTAAGATATTAGATAGAATTGGTAATCTATCTAATTCATCTGATGCTTTAATGAGTCCAACATCTAATAAACCATCCTTGTTTAGAAAGGCTTAATCTCCAACTGCAGTAGACTCAGTTATTGAATCCCCTGCTTAAACTCCATTAGGACGTATGGCTTCTTCAGATTAAGATGAATCTCCAAATAATTAGAAGATTTGCTCATTTGCTGATCTTCCTTAATGTGATTCTGATTAAGAGTTTCCATTAAAAAAATAATAAAAAATACCTTCTATAGGATTAGGAAGATAGGTTGATTCTATAGAAGAAATTTAAAAAGACAAAGATCAAAACATTATAAATTCTTTTGAGAATATCAATTAATGTGAATCTGATTAAGAAAATAAATCAAATTAAGCTAAAAATTCAACACCTAATTCTAATTAGAATTCTAATTAAGAAATGAAAAATTCTTAATAAAATAGTATGAAAAATAGCGGAAGAAATATTATGATGAATATGATGATGAAAGGAAGTAGAAAATTACCCATACCTCCTCCTTAATTATAAGAAATATAAAAACCTTTACATATTGATTTAGGTTTTTCACAATCTGAGTAAATATTAGAAGAATCACCAAACACAGCGTCACCACCTAAAAAGGATAAAAATGAATTAAGTCCTAGTAGTTCATCTTCAAGCAATAATGTAGATATAGTGAAATAAGATGAAATTAATTTGGAAGCAGATTTTGATAGAATCATGAGAAAACCTAAAAAAAGTATTTTCCATCCTGAAAATTCTAAAAATATTAAATCAAAAAACAATATGAAATAAAGTGTTGCTGTATAACCTTAAAAATCAAAGGAATCATTTGATTTTGAAGTGATAACAGTTGACAGAGGATATAATTCAGATTCAGAATTAGTTAGTATAAATGCAGAAAAAACTTTATAATCTTAAGAAATAGGATTAAAGGATTTTGAATTTGTTAAACCATTAGGACAAGGAGCTTTTGGTTGGGTATTTTTAGTAAAAAAGAAAACATCTGGAGACTTATATGCAATGAAGATTATTGATTGCTCTTAAAAAGTATAATGTTTATTCAATAATATTAGCAATTGGAAACTTAATTAGACACTTTAAAAGCTGAAAGAAATATTTTTGAAATATTATCTGGAGATTTTGTTGTGAAAGCTTATTATTCATTTAGTCATGAATAATATTTATGTTTTGTATAAGAATATATGGTGGGAGGAGACTTTTCACATATTTTAAAGATGTATACGGTAATTCAAATACTTATTAAAAGGCTTTAGATGAAGAATACGTAAGACATTATATAGCTGAGGTAGTTTTAGCCTTGGAATATTTAAGAACTAAAAAGATTGTTCATAGAGATTTAAAACCAGATAATATTTTATTAGATAAATAAGGACATGCTAAATTGGCTGATTTCGGACTTTCAGAAGTTGGATTCAATAATAGATTAAAATTAAAATTAAGATAATAGGATATTGAATCGTATAATATTAAATAGATTAAATTAGTAATACAATACCAGAATTTGCTGATCATAATGATCCATAATTCAATACAGTTTTTGATTTAAAGTTACCTTAAGCATAATAGGCAATAAAAACAAGTATATAAAATCATAGCAGTAAAAGTAAAAGGATTGTTGGAACTCCTGATTATATAGCTCCAGAAGTATTAAAAGGAGAATCATTAACTAATAGTAGTTTAGATTATTGGAGTTTAGGAGTAATAATGTATGAAATGTTATGTGGAATACCTCCATTTAATGATGATTCTGTTGAAAAGATATTTGACAATATATTAAATTATAGAATTGAATGGCCAAATGTAAGTGATGTAGAAGAGGAGAGTATTTCACATAATGCATATGATTTAATGTGTCGTTTGATGGAACCAGATTATACAAAAAGAATTGGACATTAAGATATTAATGAAATCAAATAACATCCTTTTTTTAATGGAGTTGATTGGAATACAATTCTTTAAATGCCTGGATTAATTGTACCAAAAATGGTACTTAAAGAAGGTGAAAATGAAGGAAAGAATTGTGAAAAAGTTTAACAATTTTTAAATAATCTTGAGAAAAAAGAAGTTAAAAATTAAACATTAGCTTCTAAATTAAAAAGTTAATTATCTAATTTAGAAAGATTAGATTTATTAGTTAAATTAAGTTTAGAAGAAGCAAATGATAAATTGTAATTCTTTATTTTAATATATAGATCTAAGATCCGTAATAATGAAAATAAATTAAAACGAATCTTAAATAAAATAGATCATTATGAATAAGAACATTAAACCTAAATGCTTCTTTTATATGAAGATGTTTTTTGATTAAACTGTTATTATTAATTATTTTATTTAAAAGTAAAGTATTAAAATTTAATAATATGTTATAAAAATTTTAATAGAATTATGAATAACTTTTAAATTCATATATAAATTTATATTTAAATTCATTCAATATAACTTAATTCATATGTAAATGAGTATCAACTTTAAATTTAATGGTAAACAAGTTCAATGTAAAAACAATGATAAATTTGCAGATATATTTGATGAGTATATAAGTAAAGGAAAATTTTAAGATTAAATTTGGATTTTAAATGCTCAAGTATTATCAGGAATTTTAAAAAATACTAAGATCATTGCTTATGTCAAAGAAGATTGCAATCTTGAATGCTATGTATTCATTTCATTTATTATTTTAGCCAAAAACACATCCTATAGGTCTAAACCCATGTCCACATCCCATAGATCTAAAAACATGTCCATGTCCATGTCCTTTTCCAATAAATCTAAATCCTTAACCAATATAATCAGATCCTAAGCAAAGAATATAAATTGATGATAGAACTGGCGAAGAATAAACTGAGTATTTATTGAATATTTTACATTAGGTTTAAGATTGTGAAAGAATATAAAGTTTAAATAAAAGATTATGGAAAAACTGTTATTTTAGAAAAAGTAGATGGATCATTTTAAGTTATATTTTTAGAAGAAAATGCTTCAGAAGTATTTATAATTAATAATATATAAGAAAGAACAAAATAATATTATGTTATAACCACAGGATGTAATTATATCACCTGAATATTAACTTAAGTTAAGTATGGGATAAGATTAAAAATAATTTACCAAGATTCTTTTTTTGAAAGATTTCAAAGGAATTGCTATTAAATGGGTAACTGGACTTTAAACTAAATTTGAATTTTAATTAGATAATTGAAAAAATTATTTAAATATTCAAAATTAAATATTATTAATTCTATAAGATTTAAATTAGTAAATTATAATGATTACATTCAAGACATTAATTTGTTTTTTATTCTTTCAAATCTCGATTATCGATAATTTTATTTTCTTTATTATATTATTTGTTTTTATTTTTCTAAATCTTCAACCATTAACAATCCTGCTTAGTTGATCTCTTAAAGGTCAATAATTTATTTTTCTTTCGAGATATTTTCTTCTTATAATTTTTCTTTTTAATCTTATAAATCTTTCAGTCTTTCTAAATATTAATTACTTTTTAGGATTTCTAATTTTTAAAATAAATCTTAATTTTCCTACATTAACCTTAATTATTCTTTTTTTGATTTTTCAATTTTATCTGTAAACAATTATTTTAATTGTTATGCCTTTGTTTTGGTCTCTTATTCATTTTTATTTAAACAAAATTCTTGCATTTCCTATCTTAAAGATTATTCTTCATATTCAATCATTTCATCACATAAAAATGATTTTTTTGTTTTTTCTTTATGTTTCCTCATTAATTATAATTTTATTTTCTCAATATAATCAATAAAATTTGATAAAATCTATGATCTTCCTTTATTTTACCTTACTAATATTTAATTACAAAATTATTCAATTTTCATTTCTAAATTCATAACTTCTTAAGCTTATTTCAATTTTTCTACTCTTTCTTTAATACTAGCAACTTAATCTTCAAGTAATTAATAAGCTTATTTAAGTTCAGAAATATAATTTTATTAATCTTAATATTTTTCTTAAAAAAAATTAAAACTCTCTAAATCTTTACTTTAATTTTTTATTTAATTTTCTTAGTGTTCTTTTTAATTTATTAATTAGCTTTTTTCTTTTTCTAATATAGGCAAAATAGATAACTAAATTTCTTAATAATGTTCTTATCTATCTTTTAATCCATAATTAAGTTCATTAACTTAAGGATTTCTAATTGACGTTGAAGTCCATAAACTATCAAAATAAGTACTTATATTTTTTTTTAATTGTTTATTTTCTAACTAAATATTATTTAAATCTGATTTTATATTTAGTTATGTAGCTTCTAATAAATTAATAATATTTTTCAATTAGCCATTTTTTTCATCAGAAATTAATTAAGTTTACTTTCTTTATGCATCTTGCTTTTATAGAATAATACATTTTTACATAAGGATTTATATTAGATTTAGTTTATTAAAATGATATTGAGCTCATTAATTCGTTATATTGTTCTTCTTTTTAATATGATGTTTATTGTTTAGTTTTGTATTTATCATAACGAATTGTTAAATCAAATAAATTTGAAGAATTTTTTATTTCTTTCAGTATTGATATCAAAATAGGTAATTTTTAATATCTTGATTTTCTCTGATCATTTCTAAAATCTTAAATTTTCTCAATCTCTACTTCATCTAATTCATATACACTTTTTTCCCATATAATTGTTTCATTCATAAACTTAATACTCTTATTTTTATTATTAATAAATATACAATAAAAGCTTTTAAAATTCATGGAATTAAAAATCTGTAGAAATTTAAACCATATTCATATTACTAAATAATGAAATAGTCTATATAAATATTAGATATTCTTAATAATTATAAATTAAACTCTTTTATATCAATTGTCGTCATATCGTATCAACTTGAGTATATTTTGAATTTGGTTTAGTTATCTATGTAATTCCATATCCTATTGTGTATCCAATCCCTACTGATATATTAACCCATCCATTCATTGTCATTAATAACATCATTGTAATCATACTTGATAAAGTTAGAAAGAATTAATAAATAGAAAATCCAACTCTTCTTGACCTAATAAGATAAAGAATTGCTTATACATATATTGTTTCATAAAGTTTTATACTTTATCACCTTAAAGCATATACATGATATGAATAATTGAATAAAGGCAAGATAAGAAGCAACCACAAAATAACAAAAATGGTTAATCATCATAAATTCTCCAGCTTTTTGAAGAAATTATAAAAATTTTACCTTTCAAAAATGAACTCGCATTTTGCTGTCCAATACACATACATTTCCATCATCATTTTTTTTCTTAATTAACTTATATTATTAATAACTTTTTATATAATATCATTCTAACTCAGTCACAATAAGAAATTATTAATTCTTATTTTGATACCTTGTATACACATGATCAATCAAATTTGAACTACTAGCAATTCTTTTTAATTCACCATCTTTATCTTCTCCAATTAATTCAACTTTTGAGGCTTCATAATATCTCAATCCTAAATTTGGAGTTATTAAATATTTTGAGTTTTATTTCAATTATTTTCTAATTTATTCAAGTTAAATAAATTGTTATTCCATGGCTATTTAATTAGATTAACACACGCTTATTAATACTTTATCATTTATCAATATTTAATTATCACTTTACTCCAATCCTATGATATCATGTAATTAATAATTATCAGAAATTATAATCTTATCAATTGGAGTTTAAGGAGTTAAATTTATTGTATTGCCTTTAATTTCAATTTTCTCAGTATAAGGGATACCAACTCTAAAAGGTTATGATTTTTTTGGATTATAGCTTGGTAATTCTCCAAAGTCTTTATGTATTGGAGAAATAAAGTTGTTAAATTATAACCATAATAACTAGGTAAGTTAAGACATACCATTAATTCTAATTCTGCTTCTTTTGTTTATTAAGTTAGATTTTTAGTTTATTTTTACGATTTGTTTTACCCCTTATTTCTTCGTTTTAAATCTTTTGCTTCTTTGTCTGGTCGATATCCATGTTCTATTATTAATTAAATTCTAAATGAAGATTATATTTTTATTTTTACTCTTATAAAAAGTTTTCTTATCTTTCTGTTTTAGCTTTTAATTCTTCATTCATTTCAACATATTTATTAAATTTAATTCCAAACCAATGTTAATTATCATCTAAGTTGATTTTTACTTATTATAACATTACTTTTATTTCTAATTAAGCCCTATTTCAATGAAAATTCAGTCACCATCTTTTTCACATCCAATATAATTTTCCTCTATTCACAAAATTTTTAGACTTCTTTAATTAACATAATTAAGAATTTAAGTTTATAAATATAAGAGTAATACTTAAATCACATTAATTAGAATTAATCCAAAAAAAAAGTCGTTATCATAATTTAATTTTGATTAATATAAGAATCAATTGCTTAAGATTAAGAATAAGAATTAGAAAGCATCGCTATAAATATTATTTATTTATTTTTTAATGATTTTATCTGAAAGGAATAAACCTAACATGTTGTTATAAAGAAAATACAAACCCATTTCTTTGTCTTAAGTTTTGAAAAAACCTCTTATTGTTAAGTCTTTACCACCTATTTATGTTTCACCATCATAAAGATCATAATTGAAAAAACCATAAAAATAAGAAAATTGTTTATCATAAAGACCATCATAGCCTTAAATTTTCAATAAATTTGAAGGTCTAGGAGCTATTGGACTTTCATTCAATCCTATAGAAAAAGAACCTCTTTAATAATAATATGCTTTAATGAGCAGTAAGAAACTTGCTATATAAGTCTCAAAAAAGTATACTACACATCGAAAAATGAATATATAACCATTATAAAATTAATCCTAAAAGTATTATACAGAAGCTTAAATAGACAAAGTAAATAAATGGTCATAAACAACCTTTGATGAGGACCAATTATTAGAATATTTAAACACTTGAAATAGTCATAAAGTTAAAAACTGATATTTTTATGTATATGAAGATTTTTGCCTGATAATTGTTTTATATTTTAATAATCATAATTATAAACTATATATTATAATTATTTATTAATCATTGTAAGTATTTATTTGAAATTGAGATACAAAAAGAATGTTATTAGAGATTCTATTAAAAATATTCATTTGTTATTAAAAATAAGAAAAACAGTTCTATAAGAATTTAATTTCATTAACAAAATTGTATCAAGTTTGCTTTGGAAAACAAATTAAGGATAATATATATGTTAAAAAATTCTAATTATTTTTTAATAAGATTTTTATTTAAAATAGTGATTGAAGTTCAATTTAAACAATTTATAATGACTTATAAATAATAAAAAATAGAAAATAAATGGTTAATTACGATATATTACTTGAGTTAATTGTTAAATATTAAAATTTATTTAATTTATATTAATTTAGATATTTTGTAAGAAATTGTTATTAGATTTTAAAATATTATATTATAGTATTATTAAAATTCATATATATATTTTGTATTGAACAATATGATGCTAATTGAAATCAAATATATATTATTAACCTCATTTTAATGCTTTAAGTAATTATGCGAACATAATTGCATTTGAAACAATTATTAAAAGAGGTAAATTTTTTTCTTAATTTTTGTTTTCTAAGATTTCTTTAATGGTTTACTTTAGTTTGTCCTATAAATTAAAATTATCATAATTAATGTGATGATGATAATATCCAACCAAAGATTATGCATATATAAAAATTTAGTTATTTGTTTTTGGATCATAAAATGGAATATCCTTCAAAATTTTATATCTTTTATTTAATTTCTTAGCCAATTTTGGGAAATAATCTCTAATCTAACTAAATATTGATTCATTCCAAGAAATTTCAAAAGAACAGAAAGGCTTAAATAATAGATTTTGATATTTAAAATCATGAATTAGAAGTTCGCATTAAACCAAGCAAAATAATAAAATACATTATATAACCTATTGTCTAGTCCAAACACATTCTTTAATAGGTTTTTAATCATTTTATTATAAAGTGAGAAGCACTTAAAGATCAACATCTTGAAATTAAGCTATTTTATGAAGTGCTTTTTTCAATTTCTAGAATTTTGGTGTATCTTATAAATATTAATTTTCGCATTAACATGAACCTTTTGCACATTAGATAACAGTGTTAATTGTTAATTCATCTAATTATTCAGTTTGTAATGCTTTCTTGATAGTTGACACACTCACCTTAACATAATCAACATATGTTATTTAATTCAACCATGAATATACTTTAGTTAACATTTCCAACCTATAAATATCACTTATTAGTTTTTATAATTTTGGAAAACTTACTCTTTTCATCATCTTAAGATTAAATTGCTTTTTCATTTCTTCATAAGGATCACTATATGTAAAATCTGTTTCATCAGAATCAGAATTTAGATCATTTAAATTTACTTTTCTCACTACTTGTGTTAATGCATTTTCTGAGAAAGTACTTAAATAATTAAGTAAATCTTAAATGGGATGTTTGACATCAATTAAGTTTTGAAAAGAAACAACTACATCTATATATGGAGCATGTTATGCTAAATATTTGATTGTGAAATTAATGGATTCAGCTAGATTTGATTAATCTTCTTTTAATTGCATAAGTTCTTATATAACTCTCTATATTTCTTATTGTCTTGCAGATATTTTTTAAGGCCATATGATTGGAAGAATATCCATAGGATTTTGTTTATTCATTAAATTACGTATTATTCAAAGATAATACAAACATAAATGAGATAAGTTATATTTAGGAGGAAACATTTATTTTAGCTTTTTAGCTAAACTTGAGTTAACTAATTATTACAGATGCACTTCCATACACCAATTAAAATTAAATACTAAAATACTAATTCTACTTGAAGCTAATTAAATTCTTTATATATGGAAGATGATAATATAGATATGTATTGAAATTATTAAAAATTCAATAAGTCACCCTTGTTTTTTATTCACTTTTAATTGTGAATGAATAGTATTGGCTAACTTAATAAATTCTGTTAAGTATGTTGGTGTAATATTGGCTACATTAATATTTGCATTTTCTAATTTGGTACGCATATTCACTATCTCATGTAAAGGAATAAGACTTGAAATATCAGTACTAGATTCTTATGGTTCATATCTATCTGTAATTTAGGAAAAATGAGTTGGACTTATGAAACTTTATTTCTAAGGTGAAACTATTCCACTAAATTAAGTTATTGAATATTAATGACCCTTGACTGGAAATTATAAGTTATTTTATGAAGGTGGAGGTGATAATGAAGATATTGATTATATTCTAAATGTAACTTATTTGATATTTACTTTTAATGTAATCCATTGATTTTACTTGGAGAAGAATTTTGATTACTTTTACCTGACTTAAATAAAAAAGAATCATTTTATTTTGATTTCTTATTACTGTATTCCTACAATTTATTTACTAAATTATTCAATGAAGGAGTACTAATAATTCAATTTATAAATACTTGGTTTTATCCTTTTTAATTGAAGCTTTCCTTTGACTTTCAACACCATTAATTGATGAATCAAATCTTGTTTCTACAGGAGATTTTGAGTATTTATCTGCCAATCTTTCTCTATATAACTTTAGGTTAAAATTTAACGATTCACTCATTAAGTATAATTAATAAATGATAATTTAATAATCACTCTTGTTCATCTACAATTATTTATTCCATTTCAGAATCAATAAACACTTCGCTAATAGTGAATTCAATCTTATCTTTTAATGATAGTCTTGGGAAATTTTATATTAAATCAATTTTTGCATATGGATCATGAAAACAATCATCTTCTTGACTTTATACAAAATCAAATAAAACCTATATATAGAAATTATATATACTTAAATTTTATCATTAAAATTAAATCTTCTAGTTCTTGTTGCATTTATAAATCGGAACAATATTGAAATACCTTATTAGTTTTAAGGTTCTTCTGGTAGATTTGATAATAATTAAGCTTTTTACAATAATCTTTGTTCCTAAACAAATAAATATTTTATAATACTTCTTTTTATTATTATTCAAATTATTTTGCTTATTCTTATAATCTTAATTCTTCATCCTTTCTTTTTTTCTCCATTGCTTATTATTCTGCATAACGATAAGCTTCTTTTTATTATTGAATTAATAAATCTCTTTATTTTTATTCTTCCTTTTATCTTTAATTTTAAATTTACTATTATTATTATTAAACATGATGGAAATTTTGTTAATTTTGATGATAGTAATTTTAGTTAAATTAATTAGGAGAAGTAACTTCTTTTTTTATATTTTCTGTATAAATATATTCTTTATTAAAAGTTGCTCTTATTTACTTAATTTTTTAAGTGATTTCTTCAAAATTAGTATCTATTGATAAAGGTATATGTTCCATTAAAACAACTTCATCTACTATATCTAATTTATATATTAGAATTGCAGGTGGATCTGGTTTATTTGGCAATTGTTCATAAACCTATGCACTACTCAAGAATCCAACTATATTATAATTTTTATTTAGATTTGTGACTAAGGATTTGCAATTAGACATTTTCTACAATATCATTAAACTTTAAAGATTATGTAAATAAACTAATAATGGTCTAGTTTCTTAATTTGCTAATTTCAATTAATCTTAAAAATTTCCAGATTTAAATGCTATGTCTTTTTGAATCTAATGTTGTTAGAGATATTTCAAAAATTCATTTCCATAATTAGGTGCATAATTAACTAAATATCAACATATTCATTACAAATATTAGAGATAAAATTAGCACCTAGTTGAAAAGTTTTTTTCATTATGCCATCATCTTTTAATCTTTTTTCTTCATAATATTTTCTATATTTTTCAATTAATGCAATATCTTAAGGTTATCTGGAAATACCTTAATAAGAACTTTAAACAATTCCTATATCTATACGCTATAGATTATACCCTTAGGAGTTTCTTAAATGGTTGACCTCTATTATTATTAATCTTATTATGTCTTCTATTAAAAGCTTTGACTTTGACCTCCCTCAAAATCCATATAGAGTTGAATTGCAGTCTAAATAAAGTTTTTCAATACATCAAGCTTATTTTCAGCCATTTAAATATATGACAATGCTTTCTAATAATCCTAGCATCCAGTAACCGCCATGAAACTATTTATGTTGTCTTCTGAGGAAGATGCCTACATTTTTTTTTAATTTTTTTATTATTAAAATCAAGAATTTAAGAAAATGGAATAAAGTCTATAAATACAAATATTGTTTATCATCAATTTTTTATGGACAAAATTTATATAAATTTCATTTCTTTATAGTTCACTCTCATTTATATGTAAATAAAATGAATTGTTTTTTAGATTAAAATGAATAAAACTTATCCTTCAACAGAAGTGTGGATTAAGATGAATGAATAATTATAAAAAAGCATTTTAAACTAATCCATTAATTAGTAAGACTTAACAAGTCTAAACTTTTCATTTGAGAATTTAGCACTACTCTAACATTAATTAAACCATACAATTAATATATGGAAGTCATCATCTATTTCATAAAATGATTAAATTTTGCTCAAATAATAAATTCCATTACTTCTATATGCTCTTAACCAAAACCTATCTACAATAAATACCATGTTAATTTTGGGTACAGTTTCTTGATAATATAATATAGATTTATTTATCCTAATGGCTTTTAAAAATTATGACTATATTGTAAAGACTTTGGTCTAAAATTTTGGTGTTCCCTTTTTATTAAACAGAATACAAGATGAAAATTTGGAAATTTGTTAAAAGTCATTTTAACTCTTAGCAACAATACCTAAAAAATATTTGAATGATATAGGTGCTCTGTCTATTTTAATCAATGTATCTGAAAGAATCAAGATTGATTCTCGTGATTATTTTGATTTGATTATAGAAATAGCTAAATATGCTAAAAGAAAAGATGTATTCTATTGTATTATATTAATTAGCATTTATAATTAGTTTGCAAATATATTCTGTAAACTTATCCTTGTGAACCTATATATTATTTACAGAAAATAGTACACTTGTTAAATAAATCATCAGCCTAGTAGGATCTATCAATGATTTTATTAGAAGGGTAAATTTTAAGTATTTTAATAAAAATTTACAACAGAGGATCTTCAAATACTGAATAAAAATGCTATTATTGCCTTTATTTAATTTATTTATTAAAGTAGCACTCATAATAATAGAAAGAGTTTAGTTCAAATGATATCTTACTATTTTTTAACATGAATATTGATAGACACAATTATATGTTAACAGACTTATATTCAAAAAGCCTTTACTAAGTTACATTTCATAATTGTGATCTAATTAAGTAGGTTATTAAAAATCAATAAATCATAAATAATCTTTTTACATTCTACGATCAAAAGGCTGTTGCCAATTTTAATTAAATTTTCAATAGAATTATAGAATTTGATTTAGACTTTGAAATTAAATATTTAATCAAGAAAGGAATATTATTTAAATATTATTCTTAATTAAATAGAAATGATCAGGGTTTACATTCAACTTTAAAAGGATTATATCAACTTTTAATAAAAGGTAAATAAGATTATTTTATAATTTAGGCTATATATAAGAAAATTTGAATCAATTACAAAAATAAGTAAGAAATAGTACAGTTAACAATATGGAAGATAAAAATTTATAACAAGAAATAGTTAGACTTATTTAATAAAAAAAGTAATGATTTTATTTACTTATTCTAATAATTTATACAATTTTATATATAATCAAATTGATTATATTATTTTATATAATTGTTGTAATCAATTTTTAAACTATTATATTTTCTTTTGATTCTTATAATGATTATAATAAAAGAAATTGATAAATATATATATAATAAATATTTATGTTATACAATATAAGTGTTAATGTACCAAATATAAATAAACTCATAAGTCTCTTGTTGCAAGATATCTTTTTTCTAAATCAAAGTAACTTTGTAATTCTTTCTTTCCATATTTTAATACTTTTGGTATTTTATTTGTTTTTTCATCAATTGGAGGAAATCTTTATGCTTCTTCTCCATCTTCAAATAGAATTACAGTTGGTAATTATCTAGACATAGCACTTGTATTAATTCTATAACATTCAGCCAATCTTGGTATTTTAGCTAAGTTTATTGAAATAAATTTCAATCCTTTTGTTGTATATTTACATGAAAAATTAGCCCAAATTTCTTTAGTCTTAATATTAATATAAATAAAATAATACATAATTACAAGTATCTGCCCAATCAACATAAAATTCAGCAAATATCATTTCAGTCATTTTATAATTTTATATTTTCTTATTTTTTTCTTTTCCTTTTTATTTCTTATTAAATCTCTCATTCAATTCTTCAATTATATCTCCATCTTCATTATCTCTAAATTTGACACCAACAACTTCTTCAAATTCTTTAATTTCTTCAATATCTTATATTTTGTTTTTGCCATTAAATTTAGGTTCACTACATAATACAAATATCACTAAACAAGCACCTGCATATAATATACTAATTTTAGTATCTACAAACAAATAACTAGTTATTAATGCAATTTTAATTGTAAAAAAAAGTGAGCTCAAAAATTATATAGTAGAATAACTTCGTAAATATTTAATGACTGCAAATGCCATGATTGTATAAAATATTGAATTTTCTCTAGTAGTACCTAATTCATCTGGCACATCCAATATAAAGAAATTTAATAGTCTAAAAATCCTAGAAATTGGATATATGCTAATTAACAGAAAGTTTAGAATATAATAAAGTGATATCATAAAATAAATTTAATATAACAAATTATTTCTTCTTTATTTAACTTTATTTACTATTCAATCTATTTTATTATAAATTATCATCTTTAGTGTTTAATGATATTGAATTAATAAAAATTTATGACTCAGCAATTATTTAGGATCTAATACAAAACTTCTAATCAATAATTTTTTATTTTAGTGAAATATTGTTATAACTTAAACTCATGTATTCAACCAGATCATAATAATAATAAAAGAGAAATGATTCTTTTATTCTTGGCCCAGTAAGTCCCACTGAATCACAAACTTAAGAAACTTAATATAAATATCTACCTTTGATGACTAAAGTTATATAAGACTAACTTGACCCTAAATGGCAGGAATGCAAAATAAAAGGTAAAAATCTCACTCCTCGTTCGAACTCTGCAATAGCAATTCATCAAAACCAGTAATTGTTTATATTTACTTAGCTTATATTTGTATGGGGGTTATTAGAATGCTTAAGGAATAATGAAAGACTTTTATAAACTTAATTTGGGGGCTGAATAATTCTTTTGGTAAAACATCTAATGTGAATATGAACCAGGTCCTAGATGTCGTCATTCACTTTGTGCCTTCAAGGATTGTCTCTATTTATTTGGTGGATAAGTAGCTGATTCTATCTCTACAAATGAAATATTTGTACATGACGTCAATCTAAAATTTTGGAAGAAATTGAGCATTAATGATTCATATCCATAGCCATTAGATAACTATTGTGCTACTGTATATAATGATCAATTAATTATATTTGGAGGCTTTTACACTGCAGATATATTCAAACATTCTAATGATTTATATTCGTTTAGTTTCAATTTAAATCAATGGATTAAATTAAATAAATCAAAGGGTAGATAACCTTCACCAAGAGATGGCAGTTCCATAGCTATTCATAATGAAAGTCTTTATATGTTTGGAGGTAAGAATGGAGATTTACGATATAATGATTTATGGCAATTTGATTTTTTAAAATAAGAATGGAATTTTATTCCTATTAATAATATATGTGACATACCAATGAGTCGATCTGGTCATTCACTTATAGGTTATGAAAATTAATTGATACTTTTTGGAGGTATTCATGATGTAACATGGGAATTAGATGATTTATATAAATTTCAAATAAATCAATAAGAATGGAAAATGATTAATAAAGATACTTCTAGAAGAAAGGACTTAGAAGTTCCTTCTCCCACAAAATCAAATCGAATTTCCTTAAATAAAAGGAGATCCATAAAATTACCATCCTCTTTAAGACCTTTAAGTTTAAGGAAAACACCCTGTTCATCACCAAAGAAAGTTAGATCCTCTTCTTAATCTTAACATTCTTGTTTTTATAATAATTAGAATGGTTAATAAAGTTACGATTATAAAAATAATAATTCATCAATTAATACTACAATAAATTATGTTTAAGAAAGAAAACTATTAGAAAAACTTAGGAAAAAAGCTGCAATGTTGAAACTCTTTGAAGTTGAAATTAATAAAAGAGCATTATTTTAAGATGATTGTAATGTAACAGAAAAATTAAAAACCTCTATAATATTAATAGGTAATCCAAAATAGGATTTAAAATTAGCAAAAGGTACATTAACTGAATTCGGTTAATAGATTGTATCTAAGTATTATTTAATTTTAAATATAGATTTCTTCTCCCTTTAAGTAATAGATAAAATACTATTCATGGAAAAAAACCATGTGCTCGTGATGGACATGCAGTAGCAATATTTGATAATTAAATGGTTCTCTTTGGAGGTGATAGACATACTATGTCTTTTAATGATCTCTATCTTTTAAATTTAAAATAGATCTGAAATCTTATAGATGTTTATAAATATAATTATTAAAAATATTAAATTATTTTATAATAAATAAATTCAAACATAATATTTGAGAATAAATATGTTCTTTAAATATTATTTAAAAATAAATGAATATTCATCAATCAAACGCTTAGAATAATAAATTAAAAAATTCAAATTATTAATAAAATCATTGACCATTCATATTTAAATTTTTGATCACATAAGCAACTTTAAAAAACTTATTTTTGGATTTATATTCTTTATTAATTCTAATCCTTTATATATTTATAAATCCTTAAATATAGACTTTGCGGTTTGATATAATTTGAATTATATATAAGAATCTTAATTAACATAAGCTGATTCTTCTCTTTTAAGACTTAAATTAATCAAATCTTTAAAATTAATTATGATTTTTATCATATTTTTGTGCTTACTAACTTAAGCTGAAATTATATAAACAATCACATTATAATGCGAATGTGTTCATATAAGAGATTAAGAAAATTGTAAGAATTCAGCTAAATGCAATTGGAATTAAATGGAAGAAAGATGTATATAGGCTACAGAATTTTCTATTGAGACTCTAGTTACAACATATTGTGCTTAATTTGCAGAGGAGGAATGTATACAAGATAAAAAATGTGCATTTTATTTAGGAAAATGTATAGAGTTTGTGAGTTGTGAAGTTTTTATGAAAGAGAAATGTGATCAATCATCTTTGTAATGTATTTCTGATGGTAATAAATGTATATCAAAAGGATTATGTTCTGATTATTTAACTTAGATTGCTTGTTAAAAAAAGAATACATTAGATAAATATTGTAAATGGAGAAAAAGAGATGATAAATATTATTGTGAAGACGTATAAGATTGTAGGGATCTTCCAGTTGATATAAAAGTTGATAATGATTGTAGAAAATAGATAGAAATATGTACAGTTTCATTAAAAGGGGGATGTGAGATTTCTAAAAACCTTTGCAATTAATATACATAAAAAGAATAATGTTATTTTAATTTAGATTAGATTGAATGTTTTTGGGATGATAATATAAATATTTGTTTAGAGTATTTTTGCACAAATAAATAATCATCACATTTTGAAGAATGCTAAAAGATTGATCCTAATTGTACAACAAATGGACATAGATGTATTAAAAAGTTAGATTGTGATTAATATTAAAATTCAAATTCTTGTGTTGAGGATATAAATGGAAATAAATGTATATATTATAAAGGAAAATGTTATTAAAAGAATTGCATAAATGCTCCTAATTTTATAAACAATATGATTGAATGTTAAGCATTTTAAATTAAAGATATAATTTGTGTTCCTAAAAAGATTGGAGGTTGTATAATATCACCTTAATAATGTTAAGAATTAGAAACAGAAGATTCTTGTTTATCTATTAAAGAATTAGATGGTAAATAATGTTTTTGGTAAGAATAATAAAAGGTTTGTAAAATTAAATAATGTTCAGATGCTCCTTTATAATACAATCATATAGATTGTATAAATTGGTTAGATGATTATTTATGTATAAGAGGGATAGATAATGGTTGTATAGATAATGTTGATGATTGTACAAAAATATTGAATCTTTAGAGTTGTGTAAAAGATAAATTAAATAGAAAATGTATGATTGAGAATGGATAATGTGTAGAAGAAAAATGTTAGAATTTATAATTTCCATTTTATGATAATATATTTGCTTGTGAGAATAAATTAAATATATGCACTTTTAGTTAATACATTAAAACATGTATTAATAAAGAATGTTCTTAATTAGAAGATAGATAATGTAATTTTGATTATAATATGAATAAATGTATCTAATTACCTGGTTGTATTCATAAGAAATGTGAATCTGCTTCTGTTTATTATGGAACTCATGAAGAATGTGAAAGTTGGGATATTAGATGTACAATAAATAAGGGAATAATTAATTAAATACCATATAGAAATGGATGTATAACTAAACATTTAGATTGCACAGATTTTAAATATGAAATATAATGTATAACTTCATTATAAGGAATTCCATGTTTTTGGAATTAAATTAATAATTAGTGTGAATTTCATAATTGTAATAATGCACCTTTAAGTTTACAAACATTAGTAGATTGTCAAAAATGGGTTTAATACCATAATATTAAGTGTATTAATAAATAAAATGGAGGATGTATTCAATAAGCCACAAATTGTCAAGGTCTTAATGATCAAGTTTAATGTTTAAATGGTTCATTATCAGGATTATGTTTTTGGAATGTTATAATCAATAAGTGCGTAGATCGTACATGTGATAATGCATCAAATGTTACTACAAACTAATAATGTAGGTAGTGGTTATCATCTTGCATTTTCAAATTACCCAATAAATGCTAAAGTGATAATAGCAATTCAATTTTATGTTCAAATTATCCAAAAACTTATACTTTTATATCACATGATGAATGTTAAGCATGGAATCCTAATTGCACACTTAAATTTGGAAATGCTTGTTATAGTGAAGATTTATGTTCATATTATAAAACTGAAAATGAATGTAATTACTTATAAAAGACAAAAAATTGTCAATGGAATGCTTCTGTTTGTTAGATAAAGTAATGCAGTAGCATGACTAGCCCATCAAACGATAATGATTGCAAATAATATTCTCCATCTTGTACTTATAATTAGATAACAACCACAATAACAAATAATGATAATACAGTAAGTACAACTATTAATCACGTTTGTATTACAAGATAAACCACATGTTCTTCAATAGTTGATTAAACATAATGTAATAATGATTCTCTTACTTAAAAATGCTAATGGGATAATTCATAATGCTCGGCTGTTACTTGTATTAATTATGAGAGTAATTAGAATGTAGATATGTGTAAAAATAGATAATTTAATTGTATTTACAATAGTTCAACATAAAAATGTGAAATGCTATAGGACTTTTGTTCATCTATTACAGATATCTCATATTAAGGTTGTCAAAATAGTAGTATATATTGTATTCTGAATGAACTTTCTAATAAATGTGTTTAAATTCAAAATTGTTCAGAAACTACAACATATTAAGAATTTGATTGTAATTCAATTTATAAATTTTGTTAAAGTAAGAATTTTACATCTGGATGTTAAAATTTAGCTTTGAATTGTTCAGATTATAAAATCTAATAGAATTGTAAAATAAATATTAAGAAATAATAATGTTATTGGAGTGCATCATAAAATAAATGTATAGATTTCTCTTGTTCAAAAATTGAAGAGATTCTAACTACTCATAATTAATGTTAATAATTCTCCTCAGATTGTACAATAAATTTAGATATTAATATCCCATCTAGTTGTATGAATTTACGTTTTTGTTAAGAATATTTAAAAAAAGAATAATGTTTTATAGATTAAAATAAATAATATTGCAGTTGGATCAATTAAGAATGTATTAATGATTATAATAAATCAGCTCAATTAGGTGTATACACCTTATAGAACTGTTAAGAATAATATGGTATTAGATCTACAATAAATGAAGATCGATCTGGATGTATTATTAAATTTGAGAATTGTCATTAATATAATAAATTCTAATGTTTAACTCCAAATCAAACTAATATAAATGAAGTTTTATGTTTTTGGGATTAATTAAATAATGAATGTAAAGAGGTTTTATGTCATAAGGCAAATTAATAGACAAGATAATTGATAGAATGTGAATAATTTCATTAAAATTGTTAAACAAAAATATGTAAAATATCTATATGCAATGATTATAAATATGATTTAGATAGTAATTGTTAAATAGCTTTGAAAAATCATTAATGTACAACTGATGGAACTTAATGTGTAGAGAGAGGTCTATGTTCAGATGTTATAAATAGAGCTGGTTGCACTTTTTCAATTAATTATTAAGATTGTATATGGTTGGAAGATGAAAATCGTTGTGTTGATAAAACTTGTAATTCAGCATTAAATTCAATGAAGACTCATTAATAATGTTAAGATTATTTATAATAATGTACAAATAAGATAGAAGGAGGATGTATAAATATTACAACATGTTATTCAATTTTATCTCCAGAAGGTTGTCTTTATGATTAAAATTTAGAAAAATGTATATGGGATTATTATAATAAAAAATGTATATATGTATAATGTTAATCTTTTTGTGGTGATGGTGTAGTAGGAAATGATGAACTATGTGATGATGGTAATATACTACCATATGATGGATGTTATAAATGTAAATTTTAATGTTAATATGGATGTAATAGTTGTAAAAAACTTAATTGCTATGAGTGTAATTAAGGATTTGAATTGAATTAAAATGGATTATGTTCAGAAATATGTGGTGATGGATTAATTGTTGGTTAAGAAGAGTGTGATGATATGAATATTATTTAAAATGATGGATGTTATGATTGTAGATTTCAATGTCATGAATAATGTTTAGATTGTATTTTTGGTATCTGTAATAAATGTGCATATGGATGGGAAGAATACAATACTTAATGTAGAACTGTTTGTGGTAATGGATTATTAGTAGAATAATTTGAATAATGTGATGATGGAAATATTGATGATGATGATGGATGTAATTCTAAATGTTAAATTGAAAAAGATTGGATATGTTTCTAATCATAAATTACTAAAATAAGTGAATGTAAAAAGATTTCATATCCTAAAATCATCTTAAAAAATATATCTTAAAAAAGAGATTCATAATAAATTATTAAATTATAATTTAATTAATAAGTTTAACTCATATCAGATCTTAGATTTGAAGATTTCATTAAAATAAATGTTACTAATAATGTAGATTTTCTATTAGTAATCTAACCAATTAATGAAGCATCTCTATCACTTAAAAATGTAGAATATACATTTCATATAACATTATTAGAAAAAGTTGATTATCCATAAGTATCCATTCAATTTATTAAGTCAATTCTTATTAATTAATATAAATAAGAACTCAATAAATAAATAGATACTATTAGTTTAGGTACACCATTGATATTTTCTCTAGATTAATATTCAAGATTAAATAATACTATTGCTTTTAATGAAATTATGATATATGTATTTATTGGATCCTCTTCATTATCTGTATTAATGGGAAATTTAGATTTATTTTTTAATATGTTAACATTACTCTAATAATTATCATATGTAAGATACTTGAGTGTTCCATTTCCATCTCATTTAGATTAATATTTAAAGGTATTTAAAGTAGTCTCCTTTTAACCATTATATGATCAATTAAAAATTGATTATCTTTTTCAAAAGTTAAACTTTGGTAAACCACCATTTATTAAATCCAAAAACAATTAAAAATAGGATACAGAATTTATAAATTCCTTTTTTTTAATAAATGCCAAAAGTTTCTATTTAACTATGTTTCTATCTATATTTTTTTATCTACTTGCTAGAATTATTAATAAACTTAATTAATACATTTTTTCAATTATATTGAGAGTACATAAATTTAAATAACTTAAAGTTTTAAATAAAATATTTAAATCAGTTAGATAATTTACACTTAAATCTTCAAATTATTTCATTTATTCAGGATTAATAAAAGTATTCATTTCATCAGAATATTAATTAATGTATAGTGCATATAGTTAATTTCCAGAATACAAATTTAATTTTGAAATGGAAAATTTATTTGAAACATTCAACTCCTTTAATGCTTTAATTTGTATGATTATACCTCATATATTTTTATTCAAATCTGTAATTGTATTATAAAAACAATACAAATCTGAAAGTGGTAATAAATATTCTATTTTTTATGAGAATTTTAAACCAGATTATTGGTCAAGATTCTTTATTCCATTTTCTATGATTAAAGTAAGTATATATATGGCAATTATTTGTTTTCTATATAATTCAGCTATTATTTAATCAATTTCATTAATTATTTTATGCTATTTTTATTGTTATTATTTGATTGCTATATAACCATTATGCTAGAAAATTGAATAATTAAGGCTTTTAATAAGAGAAATCACATTTTTATCAATAATTTCTTCAATTTTTCCTTATTGTTTGGATTTTAATGATGATGTAATCAATATTTTAGGTTGGATACATATTGGATTATTCTCATTTATAATAGGTTCTAATATTATATTAGATTCAGTGAAATAAATTCTTGATTTGCGTTTGTCTTATCGAAGAAATTAAATAAAAATTAAACGATCTTAACAACGTCAATATATAATAAATGGATTACAATAATTTATAAAAATTGATAATAGTTATAAGAATATACGGAATGGATCCCTATCTATAGGTTATGAAGTATAATCAAACTAACAAAGTTAAATTCTATCTCTTCGATGATTTAAATATTAATAAATATTAAGGCTATTAAAGCATTTTAATTATCTAATATATAAATATATATACACTAAAATATTTTAATATTAAAATCGATATTTATAAATGTACAGTCCAAATTACTCTAATGGAGATATTAATGGACAAATTGGTGCTATTCCACAATAACCTGGATAATTAATATAAAATGCAAAGTTTACAACAAAAAAAGATTATGCAACCTGGACTTAAGATATACCTCAATTAAGGTAAATTATTCTAATATTACTACTTATTCTAGACCAAAATCTAGAGAAATGGAATTAATGGATCTACTACTTGTTAATAATATTTCTAAAAAATAAACTAGTCTTCCTTATATCAATTAAAATAGATCTCCAAAACCTGATAATATTTAATCTTCTAGATTACCAATACCTATGCATCCTTAATATCATCATTTAAGTCCATTTCCTCTTCCACAAGGATATCCTATGCCAAATAGTAACAAATATATATACAATTTTAGTTAATCAAATTTAATAATATCAGTATTTTCCATCTTCATCTTATGCTTCAAATTAAATTGTACACTTTATTAAATTAATATAGTAAGACCCATATACCTTAATAATAAATGATTCATTCTAACAGAAATTCAGAATCTACTCTTGAATATATGAAAGAAATGATTAAAAAATAAAACGAATTTCAGTCAAGATAAGAAAAGTTAGAATAATAAATAATCAAATTGAGAAAAAAGAAATCACATAAAAAAACAGAACAAAGTGAATTGTCATTTAAATAATAAAGGCTATTTGATATACCTCCACCTATTTATCCATTTGAATAACCAAAAATAAGAACAAATAGATATGGTGATAATAAAAAAATGAAGAAAATAAATTATTAAATAAATATGCTTAAAGAACTTGTATTTAAATAGTATCTATTTATATTAGTAATCAATAAAGAATATCAATAATGGAATACTTGAAAGTGATAGTTAAAAATCCAGTGAACCTAGTGTAGAGTATGTATAAAAACCAAGAAAGCAAAGACTTAAACCAGTTCCAATTCCACCTTATTTTGATTAGACTTAAGATGAATAAAGATTGAAGGAACTAATCAAATAAAATTACAACTAAAAAATAAAAAGAATTTCTAAATTGTTTTCATATTTAGTTTTTAAAAGAAATGAGTTGATCTAAGGAACAAAATTAAAAAAAAAAATATCTTATGAAAAACTTCCTAAATTGTTAAATGAATATTAAACAGAATTAATGAGATTTTCAGTTACTGTTAGTGATCCTTTGGTTTAGAAAATGGCTTAATAAAATATTAATTTAAGAGTAGTTGAAACTTAAGGATAGAAAGTGTCTCCTAAGCAATTAATCTAAAATTCTAATAATTTAAAATAATATATTTCAGATGTATTTCAAGTGGTTTAAAATTATACTTTAAAAAAAAGTTCTTTAGAATATCTTAGTAAAATAACGTAAGATTATGAATTCCTATAATAAAATTATCATTCAAAATTCGAATTAACAAGATTATAATATGGATCTACAGGATGTCTTAAAAATATGAAACCTACAACTCAAAATATGATGATAATTATGAATTTTTGGATTAAATATTTCATTCCTATGAGTTTTCCTGAAACTTAAAAGTTTATTAAGGATATAAATGAGGCGATGTAAACAAATTTAAAAACAATAGTATCAGCATTATATCAAATAGCTTTGCAAACATGCAAAAATTTAGCTTAACCTATTCCCAATAATACTAAAGAGATTTAAGAAGAAAACATTATAAAAGAAAAAAGTCCCTTTTTAATAAAATTAGAATAATTCAAAGAAACTTAAGAGGAAATAAATTTACTATCTAGAATATAATAAGAGAAATTAGATGAACCTCTCATACATCCAGTTTATACTTTGAGAGAAATGGATAAATTGTAATGAAATTATATTATATTAATAGTTTTGATAATGAAAGATCATTTATAAGTGATAAAATCTAATAATTAACTAATTGGTGTAATGGAGTAATGGGATTAATTAATGATTTAAAATAATAAGAAAGACAAGAGTATTAAAATAAAAAAAAGTAATAATTGGAATAATTAAATTAAAAAGTGATTGAACCAAAAAAAAAATAGGTGACATAAATTATAAAGGATTAGAAATTATTATATTAATAAAATACTTAAGAAATAAAATAATTAAAATAAAAGATTCAAGAGGAGAAAGAAAAGAATCAAAAAATGAAAAAAGATTATGAGGAAGCTTTAAAAAAACATGAAGAAAGATAAGAAAAATTAATATTATTAGGTGTAAAATGATCACTATATTAAAATACACTTATATTTAACATTGCCATATTCTGAACACAATAATATAGCTGTCCAAAATTCTTATAAAAGCTCTTCTTCAATTTCTATTTTCACTTTGTTTCCAATAATTTCATTTATTTAGTAATGGAATTTAGCCATTCCTATTATCCCATATAATTATCTAGATGGCATAAATAACTTACTCTAAACTCTTTGATATTGTTAGAGTGACAAAACTTAAGTCTAGGTTTCTTTGCTTTTCGAATTGATATTAAATATACATTATTTTAATTATAAATGTAGGAAGTAATTGATTTTGAAAGTGATTCTTAACAATTAAATTAATGTCCAATCTGTTAAGAATAAAAAGGAGATAATTTTGAATTAGAATGTAAACATAGATTTTGCAGGTTTATTTGTTAATGAATTTAGAAAATGCTTAGAATAGTATTTAAATGTAAAAATAGATGAAGGAATAGTAATGCAAATTAAATGTCCTTCGTGTCAATATAACATTTAATATGAAGAAGTAGTTCAAAATATTCAATAAATTAAACTTTTAAAATATGCAAAATTAAGAACGTTATAATATGGTGAAAATGATCCAACATTAAGACATTGTCCAAATTTATCATGTGAATTATATGTACATTTGGATTCCAATAAATGTTAATGTGGTTAAGAGATATGTATAGATTGTGGAAATTAATCTCATGGATTTAGTAGTTGTAATAAATTGATGGACTAAATATTTATTTTGGATAGTAGATAAGAAAAGATATAAAGATGTCCAAAATGTAAAATTATAGTTCAAAAGGAAGGTGGATGCAATCATATGACATGTAAAAGGTGTTAATATTAATTCTGTTGGATATGTAGAAGATAATATACATGTATATTATTATATACATAATCATATTTTAGCTAAACATTATAGTAATTATAATTATATTTTTGGATGTCCTAATAAGCAATACTCAAATACAATGCCATGGAAGTATCCAACATTATATAAGATAATACCATTCATTATATTAATCATAACATCGCCAATTTGGATCATTTTGGGTATTTTACTACTTGTATTACATCCTTTTTCTGGATCTTATTATTTATTTAATCATTCAGACAATCTAGCAGTTGGTAGGTACATACATTAATAAACTTTAGGCTGTCAAGAATTCAAAAGCTATTGATCACTTTTTTTGTATATTTTATAGGAGGAATAGTCCTTTATCCCTTTGTAGTATTATACGAATGTATAGTACTTCTCGTTTTTTTAGTGTCTTTGTTAGTTAGATTAATTAAGAGGTTAAGGAATTTTTGATTAATTAATTTTTTTATTCTAATGTTTCAATAACGATTTGATTATCTCAGATTACCTTAGCAAATAGCCAATGATATTATAATAACTCGTAAAAATGCTTTACTATTCTTATTAGCAACTAATATAAAGGATGGGACTGGTTAAAATGCTATTAGAAAGATCTTCAAAATCTAAGATTATGATTAATTTGAAAGAATGCAAATTAATTAATTTGTGTAAACTCTTGAAAAGAATTAATTATATGATCCAAATGTACATCCTGATAGTTTATTATTAAGATATCTTTATGCTAATAAATTTGATATCCAATCTACTTTAGATGTATTTTATATAATATAAGTCTAGTAATTGGCATAAACAAATAAAATATTATTTTAACCTGGTTATCTTGATTTAAGTAATGAAATTGAAGCCTTATATGTATTATGATAAAATAACAAATCTAGTATAAAGGAGCTATATATATAGAAGGTAGAACTAGAAATCATATTCCTTGTATTGTAATTTCAACAAAATTGATAGATGATTTAGCTTAATTTGAAAGAGCAGCTGTCATATTGTGTGCAATAATTGAAGATTATATGTTTTATCCAGGTAAAGTGGAAAATTGGATTGTTGTAATTTAAACAAAAGATTAAAGTGCATTTAAGATGCCATTAGATAAGATAACTTAGATTATTAAAGTATTATAGACATGTTTTCCAAATACATGTGAATGTATATATATATTAAATACAACATTATCAATAAATTTATTATGGTCTTAAATAGAAGGTAATAATATTATTATGATAAATTAGAATAAATTGATCCAATTACATTAAATAAGATTAGATTTTTAAAGGACAAAGAATTATCTATTCTCTCTAATTAATTTGATCCATAACATTTGGAATAATCTTTAGGTGGTTAAAAAATAATGTAATCATACTGGCCACCTGATCCAAATGATTACATTTATGATTTACCATAATAATAATAACAATAACCAATCTATCAAGAAGAGGAACCTTAAGTATTCTTCTCTTAACCAACCAACAATTTATAATATCTTAATCAAGCTCCTCCTTTAGAAAAAGAAATTTAACCACCACCTCCATCTCCACCTCCTATTAATAATTAAGTTTCACAGCCTATTATTATATAATAACCTATTATTGTACAATAACCTTAATAACCAACTTAAATAGAGAAGAAAAAAAAGTGTATTTGTGTTAAGTGTTCTAGAGATTTAGAAGAAGTAGCATCTCAACCTCGTTAACCTAAATTGTTAGAATCTTAAAATATTGAAAAAAAATAACCGTCATAATAAAAAATATAAATACAAGAGACAAAAGAATAAAAAGGATTGGATGATACCTTTGTACCTTATGAGAGAAAATATGAAAGTATTCTTAATGATTCACTTTTGATTAATCCTTAAAATAATGATGAATAAATATTACATGAAAATAGTTAGAATAATAAACCATAATTTGGTGGAAATTCATTTAATCTTAATTAATAATAATAATAATAATAATAATAATAATAATAATAATAATAATAATAATAATAAATTTAAACAAATTAACAATCAAATAAACCAACATTTTATAATCCTTTTTATGGTACTGATTCAATTAAGGGATCTTAATAATTAGAAAATAAATATTTACCACAAAATTCTAATAAAGTAAGTTAGGAAATATAAGCTAATATGGATGACCTCATAATTGATGATAAACCAGATTATGAACCTAAATATATTAATAAACATAGTAGATAATATTAAACTTCTCAATCTAGTAGATTTAGCAATAATAGTCCTAATCTCTATAACTTTATTAATTAACCAAGTTATAATCCTTTAAATTAATCTTTGTATTCACAAGTACCGGCAACCTAATAATATCCATCATAATAATATATACCAACTATTCCATTTTAACCATAAAGTCAATAGCAAATTACAAATCCTATTAGAAATGATAATGTTGTTTTATAGTAACCTGTTCATGTATAGGAGTATGATAATAACTTTATTAATAATCAATCATATTATGCTCCTTAGGTTTCAAGTGATCCAAAAAAGAAATACGATTTTAGTTAATGGGATAAATATAATGATATTAATGATCCATTTCCAGTCAAATCATATATATCTCCCTCTAATGATTACATGAATCCTTATTTATCATCAAGTCCTTACAAAAATAATGTTGTTAATGTAGAAGATTATAATCATCTATATGATAATACAGGTGATTATAAACCTGGAGAATTCCGACCCTCGACATATAATTTCACTCCATATGATTTCAAATATAGTGATCAATAATACTAGCCTAGAGTTGAAAGTACTACTAAATCAAATGGGTAATAGTATTCTAATTATAAATAGTACACCATAACTATATCAATAAAAGCCTGGATAGCAAGCCTGTCAAATCTTTTGATTCGCGATTACATAAAAATTTGATTAATTTATATCTATATATGACAGATCTTTTTTATTTATATATAATAATAAACACAATAATTAGATTACTTATTTAAAATTCTATTAATATATCATTTAATTCATTATTCTAAATATAATTAAATTTTCCTTAATAACTTCCTTTTTAATTTAACTTTAAAAATAATCTAATTTAGATAATCGATTCTTTGATGAATTATGAATTATATAATTATCATTATTAAAAGAATATTTAAACTGATAAGTTCTAATTCAAACATTATCTTTAAGTTATTGATATTAATTTTTATTTTGATAATAAAAATATAAAACATATTATTAATAATCATCANAAATATAAGCTAATATGGATGACCTCATAATTGATGATAAACCAGATTATGAACCTAAATATATTAATAAACATAGTAGATAATATTAAACTTCTCAATCTAGTAGATTTAGCAATAATAGTCCTAATCTCTATAACTTTATTAATTAACCAAGTTATAATCCTTTAAATTAATCTTTGTATTCACAAGTACCGGCAACCTAATAATATCCATCATAATAATATATACCAACTATTCCATTTTAACCATAAAGTCAATAGCAAATTACAAATCCTATTAGAAATGATAATGTTGTTTTATAGTAACCTGTTCATGTATAGGAGTATGATAATAACTTTATTAATAATCAATCATATTATGCTCCTTAGGTTTCAAGTGATCCAAAAAAGAAATACGATTTTAGTTAATGGGATAAATATAATGATATTAATGATCCATTTCCAGTCAAATCATATATATCTCCCTCTAATGATTACATGAATCCTTATTTATCATCAAGTCCTTACAAAAATAATGTTGTTAATGTAGAAGATTATAATCATCTATATGATAATACAGGTGATTATAAACCTGGAGAATTCCGACCCTCGACATATAATTTCACTCCATATGATTTCAAATATAGTGATCAATAATACTAGCCTAGAGTTGAAAGTACTACTAAATCAAATGGGTAATAGTATTCTAATTATAAATAGTACACCATAACTATATCAATAAAAGCCTGGATAGCAAGCCTGTCAAATCTTTTGATTCGCGATTACATAAAAATTTGATTAATTTATATCTATATATGACAGATCTTTTTTATTTATATATAATAATAAACACAATAATTAGATTACTTATTTAAAATTCTATTAATATATCATTTAATTCATTATTCTAAATATAATTAAATTTTCCTTAATAACTTCCTTTTTAATTTAACTTTAAAAATAATCTAATTTAGATAATCGATTCTTTGATGAATTATGAATTATATAATTATCATTATTAAAAGAATATTTAAACTGATAAGTTCTAATTCAAACATTATCTTTAAGTTATTGATATTAATTTTTATTTTGATAATAAAAATATAAAACATATTATTAATAATCATCAGTATAGTGAATTTTTTAGAAAAACAAATGCTTATAAAAATAATATTCATAAATTTTGTTATATTGTATTTTATAGTTAAATATTATTCTCTCCCCTTAAGTAAGAATTTATGATTAGCATTACTATTAATTAATTTATTGATTCCTTACTATGATTAAATTAACAAAATATTAATTCACCAAAATATTCATATGTCTTGGAATAGATAATTATTAAAAGATCCTGATGTGTGATTTAAGTAATAAAAGCTTTTTTTATTGATCTTAATTAATTAAAAAATGCTATAATTTAGAGGATTCATGATTTTTGATTTAAAAAGGTCAATATTTTTCTTTGAAATGCGAAGAGATATTGAATTAGACTTTAAGTGGTTTACTTTATAGAAAGAAATTAGAAAGAAATTTATTGATTAAGATGTTTTAGAGGATAAAGTGTTAGAGATGTATTCTGGTTATGGAAAAGTAAGAGGTAAATTTGATGATTTTTAAAGTATTTTCATTATTATATAATAGAAAGGTTTCTAATTCTAATAGCCTAAAATTCAGTTGAGGATATTTATTTAGCTGAACTATTAAATGAAATTTTTGCCATTTTAATCGTCTAAGAACATTATAATAAGGTATATCACTTCTTATATACAGTTCTTCAAAGAAGAGTTAGAATTCTAAGGTTTTTTTGAGGTTGAAAAGAAAATATAAGAAAAAGAATATTATTTAAACTAAAACTCTTATTCAAAGCATGTTATCCCCAGTCTTTTCTAATAAATTTAATAATATAAAGAACTTTCAAGTTCTAATGATTTAGATTAATTATTGGATGAATAGCAATAATCTGACTCCTTTTCATAAAAATAAATAATTTATAAAGGATTCACAATTTTTGATACATTTAGATAATGCTTTTATATGTTAATTAAAAGAGGATTTGCAAATGACAATTTATGGAAGATGTAAAGAATGCAAATATAATAATTTCTATTACAGAGATCAAAGAATCCATTATAACACTTCTTTTTGAATTCTGAAATGGGCTAATTCTTATTTGAGTATGATATTTAGGCAAGTAAATAATTTAGACTAAATATCTAGAAAATTATTTTATACTTATTACAAATTCATCATCAGCCTAACATCCGCAATGTTAATTACTTTAAAAATTAAAAGCCTTAGTTTAAAGAATACCAAACTATTAAAAAGTAAAAAAAATAAAAATAATTAGTTATATAAACCAGAATTAGAAAATAATTTAAAATAGCAATTATTAGGAGTAATTGAAGCTGAGGAAAGAATTTATTATTAAATATACTGTCCTAATTGGATTGAAAAAGAAAAGAAAATAAACAGAAAAATAATAAAATAAAGAGGACTTACAGAAATGTCATTTAAAAATGATGGAATAATGTGCTTTGATGAATTTTCATTAACAGATTATCTAAGTTAGAGAGATAAATTTGTGCCTGATTTTTTGTGAATTCAATTTCTAAATATTAATAAATATTAATTACTATCTTCTATTCTTATATTATAAAAATAAAAAATAAATATATAAATCATTTTTATTAAAAATAAGACTATATAATTTTTAATTTTATAGATGAAAACCTTTATAAGTTTTTTAATATATCTTAATTAAATATTTCAATTACATTTTCATATTAGATAAATATATAACTATCTTGCATACTAATATTTGACATATTATTGTAAATATGTTTATTAATTAAAATGGATCATAAATATAAAATCTTCTATTTCAATTAAATAAAATCATAATAGTTTATAAATTCTCATTAATTTTGTAAGTAATATTATTCATTTAAATATATAATCTCTAAACTGATTATTTATTACTACTTAAAATATAGAAATTAAATTAATGGAATTAGACAAGAAAAGTACTATAATTAAGATGATAAAATAAGTATTGTAAATTTGTTTGTTATTAGATATTTTTTCATTAAATTATATAATTTAACATAATAATTATTATGAAGCAAGACTCAAGTGCTGCTTGTTTATTTTGCTTGAAATATAAACAAGATGGTTCATTCTCTCTTGTTCTTACAAAAGCCTTATATTGTAAATATGCACAATCATAAAATTTTTACTTCTAAAGAGACATTAATGATATTTTAGAAAACAAAAGAACTAAATCACGAATTAGACATTATGATACGAATACATATGATTTAGAGAATGAATACTTAAGAAGGTATATGATATTTCTATAACCTAAGATTTTATAAGTCTTCAGAATCAGATACTCGAATTTAATCTCTTCTTGAATACTACAAATATCACATAAATATTCCTAGAAACTTTCATTCTAACTTAATTAATTGTAGAATGGAAAAGATTAGAAATATATAATATCGTAAAATTAAAAAAGAATTGGGAGTACATAATGATGTACAACATAGTCCAGTGAAGTAAAAGGATTCATCAGATGATTGTTCAGTTGAAAATATGAAATATCTTTTAAAGGATTTAAAATTAGTCACAACTTAAGCTGATTATTCGAAAATCACAAATTCGACATTGCTTAAAGATCTTATTATATAGATTGGAAACTGTAATGAGATAGCAGATCCAATTGATTTTTTAGAACCTAAATTATAGATTAGAATAAATCACTTTCCAACTAAGAGTCAAACACCATCTAATACAATTAAAATGAATATAGAAAAGTAAATCAAAGCAAATTAAAACTTAAAAGTACCATTTATATCTCGCTATCCAAAATTTACAACAACTTCTAATAAGCCTCCAACTGTTAAGATAGTAATTTCTTAACATCAACAAAATTCTCATAAAACATTATAATAATAATAATAATAACCTATAAATAAAGGATCAATGACCACTAGGGTAAAATCTAGATAAGTTTCAATGGGTAATATTGATCTAGCCAAATCAGGCTTACTTACATCTAGAAGTAATCAAAATAATTAATTACCATAATAAAATGATCCTGTAAATGAAGGAATCATGGAATTTGCAATTAAGCTTTTTTCTAATTAAAGCACAAAAGTCACAAGAAAAATTCCTTTTTCTTAAAATAATAACTTCTTTGTTAAAGGAAATAATAGTCCTCATCTAAATTAAATTCCAAATAAGGATGAATTAAAATTATAGTTTAGAAGTTTAAGATCTAAAATAATCTCCCCAACTAGATAAAGTAAATCAAATGTAGGCAGTCCTCAACATCGTAAAAAATAACAATAGTGAATTTTTTTAATAATAAAATACAAAATATTATATAATTAAATTTCATACACATAAAATTTTAAATCAAATTATAGAAATTTTATACTTTAATAATATAATAGATATTCCTTATTTAATGAAATATTTAAGTATAATCAATATTTTAAGTATTAAATTTAAGTCTATAAATTATTCTATAAGACATTTAATTTAATTTTATAATAATTCTAAAAAATGAAACCTTACTAATTCGAAAGAATTAAGACTGAAATAAATGAGGTTTATGCTGGTAATCAATCAGGTTCCAAACGATACTATATGAATTCTAATTCTAAATCAACTGAAAGAAGTATTGAATAATTATTATATAAGCTAAACAAATCAAAAAATCTAATGAAAATGTCCTATAATTGATCAATATGTGGCATGAACATAGATAATCTTTGTCAATAACTCCTCTAATACCTTTAGATACACAAAAACAATAAACTCATAATTCAGTTCATGCACTTCAAGATAATTTAATTGAATAAATTAATAGTAATAAAAATTTATAATTTCTTAAAAGCTACAAATAATATTAAATTAACCCCAAAAAAACTTGATTAGACAGAGATATACTTTTCTACATCAGAACATAATAAGATTCCATTATCCAAACCTAATTTAGTTTTTGATAATTTAATCAAATAAAACATAAGTGAGTATTATAACCTATTAGATCCTTCCAATAAAATGCTTCAATCTTAGAAAGAAAATAAAAGAACAATTTCTAAATCAAAATAAAGTGATATAAAATTAAAAAAAACTAAGGAATATTTGACAACAATCACTTTATTGTCAAATGTATAAAAAGCTATTCAATAGTTGTATAAGAATCAAGACATATCAAAAGCTAATGAAATTGATAAGTATTTAAAATCATTAAATATTTATAGAAAAATTTAATAGGTGATATTTCAAATTGATAAAGATTTTAGATGAATTTATAATAATACAGAATCATGTTTAAATTTTAAATTTAAAATACTTTATTTCCTATTATTTTATCTATAATTATTTGTTTTTATACTAAGATTACTTATTCTTAAATTAATATAGATGTAAATTATTATATATTAATAAAATTTATATTAATCAATACAATAATTATTATAAATTGATATTTTAAACATAGATAAAATGAATGATAATTATTTATTTATTAAATCAATTGTATTTAACTATAAGTTTTTCCATCAAACTTAGACATTCAACTCTTTTTAATCTAAAATCCTCCTTGAAACTACGACAATTACTTAACAGTTTATTAACATCATTTGGAGAAAATGACATTTATTATAAATATTAAGCTAATTATCCCAAAAGAAAAGTAAAATTGACAATCTTCACATTTGAACATTCAAGAACTTAATCATATAAAAAGGCTTAAAATAATATTAATAGTTACATTTAATAAATTAGGCAGTTAAATTATAAGCATATTTAACAAAATGAATGGAATATTCAAAATTGTTATTAAATATTTCTAAGAAATCTGTATCCTACATAACTAAATTTAAATTTTCATTTAAATGTAAGAAAGTTTCTTAGAATTGATTAAATGTTTCAAAATGAATCTCTAAAATGCATTTTTCTAAATTTCTAAATGATTCTGTCATTCTAAAATGTTCAAAATCTCTTAAATCTAATATATTGATTTATTTATCAACAAGATTAGTTTTTATATCAGTAGTTTTGATCATTACATTTTTTAAAAGTATAAAAGATAATTTTTCAACAGTAGATGCTTACAAATGATTATTGCCATAGAATTCAAGAAGTTATTCTCTTAGTTTTTTTAGAAATAACAAAAATTCTATTTAATTTTAAATAAGCATTCTATTAATAGTGAATTCATCATTTTCAGAAGATTATCTATGAAATAAAAATTTTGGCTCTGATTGTTAATACAAATGTTTTGGAGGACAATAATTTCTTTCAGATTTGAATTGATCTTCTCTACATTATTTATTATCACTATATCTACTAGTAGTCTATTATGATTCGACTTTATGATGAACTACACTAACAGTTCTATCCTTCTTTTAAGTATTAGGTTATGTTTAACAATTTGCTATTTTTTAATTTGATATATTATTTTTATTTTCTTCATCATTTTAAGGAGAAGCATGAGTTTTTAAATAATGCTTACCTTTAATCAATTAAACTTATCTATTGTCAATATGTAATTATAGAGGAGATATTGTATTTCTTTTAATTTTATCATCATTTGAACTGATATTAGGTATTATTTGCATTGATTTATTTTATTTAACCTCTTAAGGAGTTAAATTTGAAGTATTTGAAAATTATGGTTGTTGTTATGTAGGTTGAATTATTGTTTTTTATTATTAATTAGGAATTTGTTATTATAGTTATTATAATGGTTAAGTTTAAGAGAAAACTTATTAAATTTATTGTTAATGCATTGAAGCTTATTACTATTTTGAAGTATTCTTATTTTAAGCTATTTACTAAGGTTAATTTTGTGCAGGATTTTATGGAGGTTATTATGTTTGTTAATATAATTATTAAATTTAAGGCTATGTTTATGGATTTTATGTTTGAGGTTAAGGTTGAGATTATTGTTATGTTTCTTTTTTTGGTTGTCTTTCAAATGCATTTTCAAATAAAGGATGAGTAAAAACTTACTCCCAACCAAATCTATTATTTTCTTCATATGTCAAACAACCAGTTATAAATTATTAAGCTAGTTTTGATATTTTTTTGGCTAATTATAATAAAAATTAAATTACAAAAATTAATTTTTTAATTTCTTTGTTTATTAACTAGATCTAATATATCTCTAACATTCCAAGGAGTTTTACCTTCTATCATTTCATAGAAGATTAATCCTATTGACCATACATCACATTTAGATGTGTATTATCTTCTTAATAATACTTATGGAGACATATAGAGTGGAGTTCCTACAAGAGATGTCATCAAATCTTCATCTAATTTGTCAAATCGTTTGGCAAATCCAAAATCTGCAATTTTGAATATATTATTGTTAGCCACTAATATATTAGCTGGTTTTAGATCTCTATGAATAATTCCTCTTTTAAATGATTAAAGAATCCCCCGCAATATTTATATCAATATTTTAGTAGCAGCTGATTCCTCGATTGGTCCCTACAATATTAGATTAAACTATTACTGATCTTTTCATGTATTCTTTTAAGTCTCCTCCTGTACACAGTTCCGAAATTATATAACAATTATTAGCCGTTGTAATTACATCGATAAGTCTAACTATATTTGGACAGTCTAAGTCTTTCATTATATCAATTTCTTTTTGTAATAATGTTTGATTCTCAGAGGAATATTGTTGAAAGGCGATTGCTTTAATAGCAACAATTTACCTAAAATAGAAATTATAATATCGAATACCCTGAATCTATATTTCTTCCAATATAGACTACTCCATACGATCCTCTTCCTATGATTGCTTATGTGGAAAAAGCATAGTTGTGAATACGCTTATCTGGAATATGTTTAGATAGCTGTTGAATACGAGCCTACATATAAATTAAAATAAAATGAACGTTTGAAAATAAAAAATATATAAAATATGATAATCATTAGTTCTAACAATAATTCAGATAAGATTCATAATGTTTTAGAATGACTCCTAATCTTCCATTAATGTCTGTACTATAATACCATTTTAAAAGTCCATTTTCACACATCTATATAGTTTATAAAAGTTCTAATGAATGTTTCGATATTTTTTCTGGTTATATCTCATCCTTATTACCAGCAAGTGCCAATAATTAATTCTTTGCATTTTCATTCAATGATAATATTTCTATTATTTTTTCTATACATATATGTAATTTCTAGTAGAGTATTAAAGTTTCTTAATCGAAATTGTCAATTATTGATTGGGTAGTTGCATATTTCAGTTTCTAAATATTATTTATAAATTATACAGAATCAGAATCCTTAATATTTCTTTCAGAAAATCCAATTATTTTTAGACGTTGAATATTCTATACTGTACAGACGTAAATTGAATGCTGATGAACTGGTACACATTCAATTAGTTTAACTCTCATGCAACAGTCATTGTATTGAGGATCAATTATAAAAGTCAAGTTTTTTTTTAAAGCTTCTGTAATCATTTCAACATATCTAAAAATATTCTTATACTTCATACCTTTTTTCAAAGAAATTAAATTGAGCTTAAGCATTGTGATGTATAGTTATTCTGTAAATAAAACAAGGATCTCCCTCTTGCTCATGCAAACTTTCTTCAGGTTGAGTGATGGAAAGAAATGGTGAGTTAATGTAATTACAACATAGTCTTCTACAGATTGGACAACTCTGTCTTTACTTAGATTTTATTAAAATAATATACTTCCAGAGCAACCACTATACAATCTCTACAAAAAATATGATTACAAGGTAATTTAACAGGATCTTCATAATCCTCAAAGCAAATGCTACAATTTTCTTGCTATGACATAAAAAGAAATATGTTGTAATTTTTAAAATTATTTTCTAATATTACATTCTCAAGAAAATAATTCTTAAACATAAACTGAGAATGGCGATGTTCTTAATTAATTAAATTATTTTAATAAATTATCATATGATATTTTAATAACACATAAGTAGTGTATCATTTATTTTTATTTTATTTATTTTATATTTTTTTGTTTTCATCAAAAGAATATAATTTCTAAACTTATTTCCTTTTAAAAATTCAATAAAATTAAAATATAATCATTAAATTCATATTCATATAAAGATTAAGTTATTTTATTCCTTTTCTAATCATCTTATTTTTCATTGATAAAATTTTAGTTATAATATTAAGAAGTTTATTATTTTTAATATTATAGGTTTCATTTTTAGTTAATCATATCATTTTAATTACAAAGGATATTTATAAACAAAAATTTTATCTAAATAGCAAATAGGATTCATATGTCTATTTATAATATATCACTAATTTAAATAGTTAATCAAATTTTAATAAGTCTCTATTAAATCATTTGTAAAATACAATAAAAATCTCCATTAAGGTTTTTGTTATATTATATGATTTTAGAAAGATATTGAAAAATAAAATAGATCAATTTTAGTAAGAGATTAAAAATTATACGAAATATTTGTAAAACTATATAAAATTTGTAAATAAATAAGTTATATATTCAAGGAATCGATAAAATAATAAAAATGTAAAAATGATAGAAATACAGTTTATTTATCATATTAATTCAAGTTTAACATCTTTGTATAAATAATCATTATCTGATCTGTATAAAAATAACTTTTCATAAATAACATGTAAAAAATAAGCAAAGAACTGAATTAAGCGTGAAAAGTATAGACATTATTAGGCAGGATAGCAACTAGAAAAACATGGAGGCAATAATCAGGGTTATTACTGAGATAACAGTAACTAAACAACTGAAAATTTTGGACTTACTAACTAAATGTTGTTTACTCTATTAATGCATTAAGTATTTGAATCCTTTATTCCTGTTTTCACTAAAAATACTATTGATATAATACAAAAATATGGAATGAAAATATGTGAAATTCCTAAACATAGCAATGCTAAGCAGTAAATCTCCAATGAAGTATTACTTATCTAAAACAAAAATTATTATATAATACAATTAAAGATGGATCCTTAATAGACAACCAAAGAGCAAATAGAAATACAAATATTGCAATTACAGATTACAGAATGATAAATATTTTCTATGTCAAAGTAGTTCGTATTCTTTTCATATACATCCTTTCAAATATATTGACTTAATAAGAATTAATTATACCTATTTCTTTAGATGATGCTCTTCTTACATCTAACTAGGAAAATACAATATCCTATTGTTTACACCATTACTTTATATTCATAATTTCATCTTAAATTTCAGAAGACTAATTATCATATGCAAATTCATTTAAAAGTATTATAGTCCTTTTATGCTGTCCATTTATTGTAAATAACTTTTTTCTAATTTACTTGATAGATTTCATAATGTCTGTATTTTACTCACAAAATATAATGATATATGCTGTCACTTTTGGATCCCTAAAAGGTAATAATGTGAAGAAAGAATCATATGATGGTGTATCTATTAATTCAATATCGTAATCTGAAATCTTTGATTCTTAAAATAGCTTTTAATTTATAGCTGCAAATTTCTAAACAAGTGTAGTCTTTCCAGCTTGTTGTAATCCAATGACCATTATTGTTTATTTATTTTGTGCGGAACTCAAAGATAGATTTAGATCATTCTGCATAGAATATTAATTAAAATAATCTAAATAAATAAATTTTGGATTATTTTAAAATTTAATGTATTTCTTAAACAAATGATTTATATCTCATTATTTCTTTTCTTATTCTCTTGTATTGGTATTTCTTGTATTGTTTTATCTATTATTGTCTCTGTTATCTCTATTATCTCTGTTATCTCTTCTGTCTCTGTTATCTCTATTGTCTCTGTTATCTCTGTTATCTCTATTGTCTCTATTGTCTCTATTGTCTCTATTATCTCTTCTATCTCTATTGTCTCTGTTATCTCTGTTATCTCTGTTGTCTCTGTTGTCTCTGTTATCTCTGTTATCTCTTCTTTCTCTATTTTCTCTATTATCTCTATTATCTCTTCTATCTCTGTTATCTCTGTTATCTCTATTATCTCTATTATCTCTGTTATCTCTGTTTTCTCTTCTATCTTGACCTCTATTTTCACCTCTTGGAGCTCCTCTATTTTGTCTTGTGTTTCTTTCTCTTTTTTCTCCTTCTAAATTAATAAATTTATTAAATACATTGTCTTTATCTTTAAGGAACAACTTCAGACTCAGGAAGAGGTTCTTAATATCCAACAGACTTTTTATCTTCTTCAGTTGGCTTGGTGGTCAATTTAACAGTCAAAATTGATAATTATTTAGTAATATTGACTTCAACCAATCCTTCTTCAGTTGGTAAATATTTGTCCACAATTTAAGTATTTCCAATTTAATTAATCTTATATATAATTTGATTAGATACTTGTGATAATCCAGCTACTCTTCTTCTTACAATTTCACTAATTACCAATACCTTAGGAATTGCATTATCAATTCCTTTAATCACTACAGAGTCTTATTTTGGAATTTCTTATGTGCCAAGCAACAATTCAATAGCTCTTTTGATGTATGAGCCGTCAAGACCTTTAGCAGCGACTCTAATTTCATTGATTGGAGCTTGTGCTTATTCACCTCTTACGTGTTCGTATTTATCTTGAGTTGCTCTCATATAAAAATTAAAAAAATGATTTAAATTAAAATATTTAAAATTGAACTTATTAATAGATATGGATGATATAAATTCTTTTAAAGATATTTTTTTTAATTTAAGGATTGAGAATCGTAATTAGACATTAATTGTATTATCCTTAAGTAATATGATTGATTTAAAAGCAAAGAGATTACTATAATAAAGATGATGGATGTTCTAAAATAAAATTTAATAAAAACATTAATATTTTTTTTTTGAATCTTAATAAAACATAGAGATATAATTTTTATAGGATTGTGATTTGATTTAATTAGTTAAGTTTATTTTGAATAAAATCAATTAAATAAATAAATTATGAATATTTACAATTATCTCTTTAAGTTCATCATAGTTGGAGATACAAGTATGTTAAATATAAGTAAATTTAGATGTTGGTAAAAGCTGTTTACTATTGTAATTTACTGATTCTAGATTCAGAAATGAACATGATGCCACAATTGGTGTAGAATTTGGATCAAGAAATCTAAAAATTAATGATAAATAAATCAAGTTACAAATTTGGGATACTGTAAGACTATTTCTAAAATATATAGGCAGGCCAAGAATCCTTTAAATCAATTACGCGATCATATTATAGAGGGTATAGAATGAATTGTTAATATAGATCAATCGGTGGAATACTAGTATTTGATGTCACAAGTAGACAATCATTTGAGGATTTGCAGAAATGGTATCAAGAAATTTAAGGATATGCTTGTGATAAAATTGAAATGGTTATAGTGGGCAATAAGATTGACTTAGAAGATAGGTATAGAAAATATTAAGAATGCTTTAGAAGAGAAGTTTAAACTGAAGAGGCTAGGAAATATGCATAAAAATAAGGATTTGCATATTTTGAAACTTCAGCCAAGACAGGTGAAAATGTAGATAATGTGTTTGAAACAATGGCTAATTAAGTATTAAAGAAAATTGATAATGGAGAAATTGATCCTACTTAAGAAGTATATTAATATGATTAATATTAGGTTTATGGAATCAAGATTGGATCTATTGGTATCAAAAAGAAGAATGATGTAGTTTAGACAAGAGAATAGCCAAAAGCTTAACTAGTAACAACAAGTTAGACTTAATAATAAGAAAAGAATGGAGGCTGTTGTTGAAGATTATTTTTAGTAAATTGTATATTTGATTTCTTCATTTCTTAATTTATGATGTCTAAATATATTCTATATTTCAATTTTGTTTATAAAATATAAATATTTCAAGTCAATCCTCTGAAGGTCTAAATCTTTCCTTATTAGCTGTTGTTGCAAGTCCCCATAAAGTACCAACTGCTATACCATTCCTACTTATACTTCTCAAGGCATTATGTAAATATCCCTTAAAGAATCCTTGAGCTTTCTCTTTTTAATAAAGCTTTACATTAATTATTATTATAAATACTTAAATGAAAAAGGATTTTATTGATTTTTTTGGTTGTTTAGTAATAACTTAATAAACAGTTCTTTATTAATAGATATATATTGGTTGCAATAATAATGTTGAAACTAAAGAAGATCCTATCACAGAAAATCCTAAACTTATTATGTTTCCTTTGAAATCTGAATTAGGTCTAAAAACATTCATAAATTCATATCCTAATTTATTTAAACAAAATTAGAATAGACCCATTTCTGCTACAAATTATAAATATGTATATAAAAAGCGAGAACCAAATGTTGTTTTAATCCATATCTAACTACCACACATTCTACTCATTTCAGTCATTTTTTATGTATAAGTTTTGGTTCTAATTATTTAAAATATATAATAATACTCATGTTATTTTAATATTTCATTTTGTAATCTAACCTTTAAAATGCTTATAGGATGAGATGCAATCATTCCAATCAAATTAGAAGTTGCTGCTATTAGTAATACTAATGGATCTGTCATTTTTGCATATCTTAATAAAGGATAAACAGTTGAATTTTCTGGAGTAATATCATATCCTTTGCTCTCATCCTCATCATTGAATCTTGGTGAGATGTAATTCTTAAAGGCATATTTGAAGTATAAATAATTAAAGATATAGTATCGTAATACAATCTTACTAAGTGATAAATCAAGTCTGCTTTTTAATCCATAATATAGACTACACTTTGAACCAACAATCGTAAAAAATAAGGTAATGATTTACTTCAGAGTATATTAAAGATGACTCCTAAATTAAGGATTTTGATAAATATGTTTCTCTCTAAATACTTCTATTTCCTATAAAATCAATAGGATAGGTCAGCAATTCATAAGCCATAATACTTCCTGTTAATATCAATTCTTATTTAAATGGCGTATAATCAGCAGGAAATACAATGCATTAATACATTAAATTTAATTATAAGTATATTTTATTCCAGAATTAAATAAAAAATTATTATTTAAAAGAGTTAGTCATTATAGTAGTATTATTCAATAATAAACATATATTTTCTTAATCTAAAATTATTAATCTAAAAATTTACTATTTTCTTATACTCATGGATATTATAAATTAAAATAGCTACAGTAGCATTCTTTTTATTAATAATAGTTAAGTGGCTATTTTAAGTATGGAATAGTATTTATAATAGAAATTAATTCATAAGAGTTTATTTTAATTCAAATTTATATACTTCTTTATATTTTTTTTAAAAATAGAATAACATTTTTCTAATAATAATACTATAAATAAGAAAATTATCAATAAGTTCAATAATAAATTATAACTATCATTTGAATAGATTATAATAATATAGATGCTTATGAAATTTGGAATATCAAAAATTTATATTTATATTTTTATTTATATTTATATTTATATTTATAAATTGAAGAATATGTTACAAAAATCAAAGATTACTTTCATATTATTTTATTACTTTCAATTTATATTTACTAAAAATACTATAAACAAAAATTATTGATTTATTTTATAACTAATCTATTTTTACATAAAATTGAATTATAATACTTTCAATCTTATTTATACTTTTTAAAGTTAGCATAAAACTTGCTTTGTAAATGTAAATAAAATTTTTAAAACACATTACCTATGTAAAGATTTCATTTTTTATATTTTAATTATTTTTTTCAAACCAAGAAATAAGAATTTGAATTTTAATATTACGAGATCCTTAATTATTAGATATCCCCCTGAAAAATTAGAATCAGTTTTTATCGGTAAGGTAGAAAGGGAAAAATATAATGTATAAATAATATATATATATATGAGAATTCATTAATTGATTTAATAAATACAAATTAAAAATGGCTCTTAAAAGAATTCAAAAAGAATTAGCTGATCTTTCAAAAGATCCCCCTTCAAATTGCTCAGCTGGTCCTATTGATGATAAAGATTAATTCCATTGGTAGGCTACTATTATGGGACCTGAAGGCTCTCCATATTAAGGTGGTCTATTTTCACTCAATATTCACTTTCCCACAGACTATCCTTTTAAGCCACCAAAAATCAACTTTGTTACTCGTATCTATCATCCAAATATCAATCAAAATGGAGCCATTTGTTTAGATATATTGAAAGATTAATGGTCACCAGCCCTAACAATTTCTAAAGGTAATTGAATAAATCATATAATTAGTGTTGTTAAGTATTTCCTCTTTATTGACAGATCCAAATCCAGATGATCCATTAGTGCCAGAAATAGCAAATATTTATAAAACTGATAAATAGCGTTATGAGGCAACAGCAAGAGAATGGACAAGAAAATATGCATCATGAAGATTCTATGTATATGTTTTATACATTGCTATAAAGTTATAATATATTTTATTTTTGTTTATTATGATTTATTAAGAGAAGAGCAAGAGGATTTTCATATAGATAGACTTTTGATGAAAAATAGCAATTACTCAATAGATCATTGAAAAAAGATTTTGGTTTGAAATTTTACCAGAATAATTTTAATGAATTTTTCTTTGAAGAATTATCTATTAAAGCAGAAGTGAATTTAAATTTATAGCATATTTAATGTTTAGAAAGTCATACAAAAAAAATGAATATAATAATAAAAATATTCTAAAGATATCCAAATATTCTTATTTATTATTATAATATAAAGAATGACTACATATATTTCTTATTAAAATTAGATTCAATAGATATTGATTTAGACTTCAAAAATATTGATAAAAAAGTATTGAAAAATATTCTTATAAAACATTAAAGTCTATTTTTTTGAATTTTTATATTTATTATAAGAAATCTAGTTCAAAACTTAAAGATTTAATATACTAATTCTTTAAAGAGATTTGATCTTAATTATTAGAAAAAGAATATAATATTATATATTTAATAAATTTAATAGCATATGAATATTTTGTAAATAATTATTGATGCAAAATTTTTGCTTGGAATAGGAGTAGGCTTTTTTGTTGCTTCTTTTCTTATGTTACCAAAGATAGAAAATAATTAAGGTAATGGGTCTTATTCTAAATTAAAATTATCATCTAAATCAATACCTTCAACTTAAGAATTAAAATAAGTTTATCTAAAACAAAGTGATAAACAAAAATAATATAAAGAGAAGGGTTCAAGTTTCTAAGTCTAATAAAAAGGATAAAAGAATTAAAAAAATGATTTTTTGGAAGAAGATGAAATTAGAAAAAAGGTAAAGATGCAATATCATTAATTTGAACCTATGTTTGATGAAACATCAATTAAAGTAAAATCAATTAATACTTCCTCTGATTTTGAAAGCTCATAACAATTAAGAATGGAATGCGCAACCTTATTACCAAATAATGACAATAATGACAATTTTGTATCTTAACAAGATGATTAATATTTTACTTAAAATGATAAAGAATTTGAAGAAAATGATGGAGATTTAAAAGAATTAGCTAATATCTAAGAATCTCCAATACTAAAAAATAATTACTTTAGCAATAGAAAATTAAATATTAAATTAGAAGTCAAAAATAGAAATTAAGATTTAATAAGGAAGGGTTGATAGAGTTTCAAAATTAATATCTATATATATATAGTTTTAGTTATTTGAGTTTATCATTTTCGAGATAAAATTTGTTATTTAATTATTATTAAAATGAATAAAGAAATATAGCAATTTTTGAATAAGTTAGAAAGAGTCTTAATTTATTTTAGTTTTTTTCCTGATTTAAGTTAACCTCCAAAACCTGATTTAGAATTTATGGATGAAGATGAATTGTATGAATGGCTTCATTAAAGATTATTATTATTTATTGTTACAAAAGATATTTAATTTGGAGCAGTGGCAATTTAACAATGGTGCTAAAGAGGATATTGTAGTATTTTAAACTTTAATACATAGAACTTTAGAATCTGGAATCCCATTGATTCATTAATTTTTAACAATCATGGCCGGACAGTAACTGAAAAAAAATCCAAAAATGGTTGATGAAATAATTAATCTTATGTAAGATGATGAAGAAAAATCAAAATTAATCTATTAATTGTAATAAACTTAATAATAATAAGTAAATTTACAAGTATCAGATGTAAATATATTATTCCAATTAGTCACCCAAAGTTCTAAAAGCACAATCAGATAAAAAAGACCCTAGTATATTCTAGAATATTTTAACAGCCTTAAGATGCTGGGATAAAAAATAAAAATGATTCACTTATAATCATAAAAATTGTTTTAAATTTCTACAGAAATCTAATAATTTAATTGTGAAAAAAAAGATTTAATTTAAAATCTTCTTATAACTGCCTAAATTTATCATATTTAATTCCAAATACACTATAAATAATTTTATCATTTGAAAACTACTTATTAATGTCAATAACAATTCAGAAGCCTTATCAATAAATATATATTGATCAATGACTTTAATTTTTAATTAATCGAGATCATGTAATTAAGACTAAATTTATGATATATAATTTTTTATCAAAAATCATCATTATTTTAGTAGCTTACTATTTATCTGATGAAATTTTTGAATCTCAATGAATATTCTTTAGGAGGAATAGCTGAAATTTATGGACCCTATATGATCCTTTTAAAGCATGATTCTAATTACTTTTAAGTACTAAAACATATTGATACAATTAATTACTTAAATTCAGTCAATATATCTATTATACCAAAAAAGAATAATTTATCTTCTTCAATAGATTTTATTATTTTGAAATCTCTTAAATTTTCAATCATCTAAAATTCCTTTTTGCTCTCTATAAAATGAATACCTATTAATAAACTATAATCTAATAAATTATTATTTGATAAAAATTCTGAATCTTTTTCTATTTATTCTATTAGTTCTTATCTTCTTTTTTTATCTATTGATATAATCTCATTATTAGAAATAAAGTCTAAATCTTTACGAGCTACATCAGGGTCAACATTTAATTAAGTACTTCTTTTATATTTACTTCCTTTTATATCATACTTTTTGTGAATTTAATATTCTGTCTTAAATATATTTCCCATTACAATAAAGCAAGTCTCTTTACCATTTATGCTTATTTTATGTAAGCCATAAAGTTTGATAATTAGAGTATTTGGTGAATCTTTTAAATAATTGAAATAATTTATAAGTATTTTTTTAAATAAATAAAATTCCTTTTCAGAAATTGTTTTAATTGTATACAATCCATCTTAAGAGTAATAAAAGAAACTTCCACTCTTACCAGTTGAAGTTAATTCAGTTAATGTACTAAGGTCACCTTACATAAAATTAAATAAAAGATTTTCAGGTCCAATACTATTTAAATAATTATCATTATCAATCATTTATAACTTTCTTATTTAATTAAAGACTTTAGGTGCATAATCATAGAATTTACATTTATCTCTATTTTAATGAGAAATTATTTCAAAACATTATTTTAATTCAAAATCTGTATTAGAAATAAAGTTTTCAATAACAGCATTAGAAGATTTTACTGCCATTTATATACCTACCATCATATTAATAACTAAGTCCCATATATCATTACTAATTTATACAGATGATTTTTTGTATTTATTATTGTTTATAGATACTTATTTGATTAAAACTTATTCTTAAAACTCTTATTAATCTAATTTTTCATGATATAAACTCTCCATTTTACTAAGAGAATTTTCAGTATCTAAATATAATTTTTACAGTTGTTAATAAACTTCTTTAAATTTAAGTTTTAACTAATCATTAGACATAGACTAAATCGAGATCTAATCATCTTTTTCGATTAGATTTTCTGAAACTTCAGCCTCATCAAATAAAACATCAACTCCATATTTTGAATTATAAGATTATTTTTTAACTAAAGAGATAGATTTTTCTTATTAATCCTATATAAAATTTAAAATCTAGGCAGTTTGATTCCTTAATTTATCAAACTCATTTAACATCATCTAATCTCTCTTATGTTAACTTTCTTTTATTGTTTGTGTAACACCTTTTTTTAAAAATTCAAAAATATCTAAAATTTGAGGATTTCTAGTTAAAGCTAATACGTATTCTTATAATGAGATTTTTTAATCTTTATTCATGTCAATTAAATTGAATATTTCTTAATATCTCTTTTCCATGTGTTCAAGAATATCATCAGTCAAATCTGTTCCTTTCATAATAGTATATGATTTTATTAACTATTACATAGTACAACTGAAGTCTTAATAAGTAATATAACCCTTTCTTGCTTGATCTATAATACGAAAAGATATTTCTGCCTTTTCTTCTTATGTTCCGTATGTTATTTTATCAAAGTAGGCCACAAATTCTTCAAATTCTAGATGACCATCAGTATTGATATCCATTGCCTAAAATAAGGCATCACCTAAACAGGATATTGATTCCAATCCTAAAATACTTAAATTTGATTTAAATTATTCTTTATTGATATATTTACTACCATTTGTCATATAAATAAATCTAAGTAAATAAAGAATAGGTACCTTTTTCTTAAGACATTTAGTTCTTTATCACTGAATCTAGTTTCATTAGTATTAAGGAGTGTTTATTGATAAAATTTTTCCTTTCTAAATTTTAAGCAATCCATTTGAAATTTGACAATAAAAATAGATTACTTTATAAATTAATAAATAAAAAATGATATTTTTTCTAATTTAAATTAATGATTAGAGCTGTAATTTTGTTAGGTGGTCCAAGCAGAAAAGCAAGCTATGGAACATATGAATAAGCATCTCCATTATTTCCAGTTAGTGGAATTGAAATAATTGGTCATCTAATAAATGCAATATAGAAATTACCAAATTTGAAAGATTTTGTTCTTATGGGTTATTATGATAAAAAGTGTTTCTAACATTTTTAAGAAAAGTACTAAAAATTGTATGGCAAAAATATACATTACATATAAGAATAAAGTGAAATGGGAACAGCAGGTGGATTAGCATAAAATATAGAAGAATTATTTGATGAAATTGAGGGTATTATAAACAAAATAACACTAAGATCTTTTGGTAGTGCATTCAGATATATGTTGTGATTTGTAAGCCTAGAAATTCTATGATTATCATAAGATGTAAATTATATTGAATAATAAAAATTAGGAAATCTGGTTAATGCAGTATGATGACTATTAGAGTATCAAAAGAAGAATCGACTCGTTATGGATGTTTAATTAAGGATTGTAATACAGATTAATTAATTCATCATGCAGAGAAACCAGAATAATATATTTCAAATTTAGTTAATTGTGGAGTATACTTCTTTAATTAATCATTCAAAACAACAATTTTGAATGTTAAAGCAAAAAAAGAAGCTAATTTAAGTGAAGAACTTTAAGATTAACCATATATTAAGTATATAAAAAGAAGTACTGATTTGGATAAATCCTACTTATCTTTAGAAAATGATGTATTAAAATGGATAGAAAAAGATAAAGTTTTTGTTTATGAACACAAAGGTTTTTGGTAATCAATAAAATCAACAAGTGATCTTTTAAATTCAAATAAACTTCTACTTCAATATTATGGACAAAATCCTTTTTTATTTAATTGTGCTGATTTTGAAATTAATTATGATGGAGTATTGATTCATAAGAGTGCTAAAATTCATCCATCAGCAAAATTAGGTAGTAATGTAGTTATAGGTGCTGGATGTGATATTGGAGAGGGAGTTCGTATAAAGAATTCAATTCTATTAGATGGTGTTGAAATCAAAGTAATTATCATTCCAAATTATAGAATTTCTCATTTATTTAAAATTCAATAATCTGCTACAATACAATTATAGGATATTGGTGTAGAGTTGAAGGAGATGTTTAATTTTTAGGGCCATGTGTGATAGTGGATAATGAATTATTTTTAAGGAATGTAATATGTCTCCAAAATTGCAGAGTGTCTGAAAGCAAAGATGGTGGCTGTTTGATGTGAAAATTATAATTATATATATATTATTATCAATCAACACCCAAACATATATCGATTGTTGTATCATATACTACTGTTGGCATTACTGATTGCATAAATTTCAAGAAAATAAACAATGCCTACATTGGTTTAATATCTGCTCCATTTTGATTTGCTTTGTCAAGAAAAGCCTTCATTGTAGTTGAATGATTGCATGGATGTATTGTAACTTATTAATAATGAAGATATGGATGTTCTTCTACTGTTACTGTTTCATTCTAATAGACACTCATAATATCTTCATAAATTTCCTGATGTTTTAAAGGTAAACCAGAATTTAATGCCACTCCTTACAACCATAATCTTGGACAATGATATTTACGATCATATGTAATAGTGATTGTATAAACTCTAGTCTCTTAATCATTTAAAGCTTATTATTGTTTTTTGCTCATATCCACACATACAAAACCTTCTTATCCTTGATTATTTTAGAAATCAAAGGATAAAAATTCTTTTATACGTGTTTAAGATGTAGCATTTGCTATTAAATACATCTTCTCTGGATGAGGAGGATCAACTCCTTTTTTTACTTGAGCTTTTTTCCATTGCCATCCAGTCATAGTTAATTGATCTCCAGCTTCGACAAATTATTCTGGTGTTAGCCATCCTTTCGAATAGAAATCTTATGGTTTTGGAGTAACGAAAGAATTCACAAAATTGTTGATTCCTTGAAACATTGTCTTAATTTTATTATTATTTATAAAAATTTTATTTGGAAAAATTGATATAGATTAATAGATAATAAAGTCATTACATGTCAATTAGATATTCTTCAACTTTTTCATATACCAATACATATGCTTATTGTTACAAAACATCTTGTTCTGTAACCAAATATATTTTGTGATCATCAAAATAATACCACTATTAATTTACTTATTATTTATATACTTGATCTTATCTTGATGAAAATGTAACATAATGACCTCTTTCAGGTGTTCCTTAATGAACAATAATTGATCTTAATTTATATTTAGCTTTTATTGAACAAAATCTATAATAATTTTAGAATCATAGTTTACTCTTAAACATCAAGACTTATTGGGAATCTTACATGTCCATTCAACTTAATTCTATTTGGATAGACCTGAAATCTTTTTAAATGTATCATCAAATACAAAGGAGGTGTACCAATTACATATTTTTTAACTGCTCTTGTTTCATTATAACAATTTTCACATTAATAATGATCACTTAATATTTCTTAAGCAAAAAATAAACTTAAACATTTTTCTAATGTTTGCAACTTATTCATTGATAAAGATAAATCTAAAAATGACTCAAATTTTGTTGATTGTTGATTACATTAATCACATTTAATCAAAGACATCATCTAACCCTGAAATACAATTTCTGTGATTGGTTAATCATATTTTAATTATCCTTAAATCTCTACAGTCAATTACTCAATGAAGTATCTCAAAAATTCTTAGGAGTCATGTTATTAACGAGGATCAAATTTATTTTTAATTAATTGCTTTAATAACTAAATTTTAATAAAGGCTCCTGCTTTTTTGTTAACAGCAATTGTAATTATTTCTAAATAAGCATTTAACCATCGGTTTTTGTCTGACGATTAAGTAGTAATTTACTTCCCTTCATTCATCATCCAACAATTTATTTATTCAACTGACAAAAGAGTTTATAAAGCTGCATGCATAAAACAGTAATTAGATTCATTATAAAATCCAATAGGTGGCAATTCAAATTATGATTTTTGGAAAGGCAATGTGATACTCATATATGAAACAGTATCAACTAATCCTGACTACAATGAACTAACTCTTGATAAAGTTGGTTTTTAAGTTGAATTCTCAAATCCTTCTCCTTTGCTATAATCTTAAATAGAGACTTCAGGTCCTCCACCATATAAACTATGAATGAACATCCAAGTATTCCTGTTTAACAAAACAAAATCCACATCTTATTTTAGATTTGGTTTGTAAATGTCATCTGTAGAACATTAATCTGCAAAAAAAGGTTAGTTGTTAATAGGTCCTGGAACCTTAGTATTAATATGCTACAAATAACTAGTATAATATTTAGCCCAATCAATATGAAGCATATATTATAATTTGGTTTGTTATGAAATCAAGGTCCGAATAATTTGTCCCTCTACTTCAGATCTTGTATAAATAAGTTCTTTTACCTTTATGGTGAATTAAGATGTTTTCTTATGGTCTAGAGAAAACGATTAACGATGTAATCATAGGCATGTCCGGCACTCTTAATAGTGAACAATACTTACATTCACTTAAGTTATCTTTGTGCTTCCTGATAATGAGTCTTCCAATTTTGATGGTGAGTTCAAGAATTATTTACTTGCAGGTCTCATTAGTACTTGTTTTCCTTATCCAGGATGCTTGAACTCAGGAAATTATGGAACCACTAGATTTGTAATTTCATCACTCTCATAAATTCTAGAATATTTACTCGTTCATTCTATCTAAATTATTATCATCAACATCACCTTTAGTTTTTATTAACATTAATTATATATTAGAATATAAAATCACAATGTAAAAAAACATTCATAAACATCTTGATCAATTAACTATTCTAGACTCTAAATCCCTTCTGTGTTTTCAATTGATTAATCTACTGCATACACTTATACACTCATTTAACCTTACATTACTAAATTTGCACATTCTCTAAGTTTCTATGGAAATGCATCATCTAAATATCTTATTACATCTTAAATCTCATTAAATGCATAATTCTTATTAACAATCTTATCCCATATAAATTAACTTTCCTCCTATAGAGTTTTAAATTTAATCTCATTATATAATTTATTTATTGTATATAACTTCTATTCCAAAATGTCTTCATCTTATAAATTACTTAAATGTAAATTAGCTTATTTTAAAAATTTCTCAATCTCCTCATTCCCTTCTGATGGTAAAATTCCTTACATATATACTTATAATCCATCTGCACATCCTAATGGTTTTCTCTTTATTAAAACTTATTGACCCATTTTAAAATAATTGTTTGAATAAGATTATAAGAAATCTGCATAGAAATACAATTTAGAAGTAGTTTCTATGTTTTTCAATCCTGTTTAATAATAATTAAGTACTGATGAAGTCATATCATTATTTGATTCTCTTTGTACAATATACTTTAAATTTTAACCTTTTAAATTTAATGTTCTAGTCATATAAGTTTCTTACGAATCTTCAAATGCATCATCATTTGGTAATATATTTCCAATATTTAAAATTTCTATTTTGCTAGATAACAAAGATCCTTAGAATTCCAAGAATTTTTGATAATCCACTTCATCTAATACATTTAATATCTCTTAAGGAGTATTAACTGGTCTTAACATTATCTTAGGCAAATAATATTATTATGTTAAAAGAGACAACTTCTAATCATGAAATCTTCTTATGTCTTTATTCAATAAATCTTTTACATAATAAAATAACTATTCATCATCGATACTCATCAAATCAAAAACTTTATCTTAAAATTCTGATTATTTTTCTGAATAACTAAGCATCTATACATTAAGACCATTAATAGTCTCTTTGAAGGATAATTCATATCCAAATAAAAATTCTTATTAAAATAGTCTTTTAGCTAATTCTGTGTAATATTTTTGTAACAATTTCAACATTGTTTTACCTTATGCTAATGTAGATTCAGGTTTTTCAATAAATAATCCAGTAAATACCATTGCACCCAATCTACTAGGTTTCCACCAAACATTGCTTGCAATTTAAAATGGTGTTAATGAAAATTAAGCAGCTTTCTCCTTTTCCAAACAATCTACTTGAAAATCTGGCAATGGGAATTCACAAACAAATTCTACTGTTTCAAATTTAGGTTCTCTTGATCCATCAAATTTTCCATCTTTTACTGTTAAACTTAAATCATCAACTTTTTAATATCCAAATCCTTATATTTTATATACTGGTTCACAAACTGATAATATTGCCAAATTTTCAGGTAAAAATGGGCTAATAGATGGTAATTAAAATTAATAATTATTATTAAGTTCAAATAATTTCACTAAAGGTTTTAAATCATATGTAAAACCTTAATGAACTTTATTTAAAACAGCATCCAATATAAATATTGAATCATCTTTTTATGATTCATATGTTTAATTATATTGAAAATTCTCACTTCCAACCAAAATAACAAAATTATTAGCCAAATTCGATACATATTATTTGAATTCCTCTTTATCAAAAATTGGTTCACTTTCTTATCCTTTCAAAGCATAAATGGGATCAGAAAATAAGTTCTATCCAATCTTGACAAGATTCTCTTCATATTTTGTATTGAATAATAATTCTTCTGTTGCTAACATTTACGAATACAAATGTTCAAGTTAAATTTCATCAGCATGCTTTAAATAATCTAAAAATTAGATCAATTTATTTATGGAGATTAAAATATTACCTAAATCTATATCTAGTGTTACTAAAAGATGATTTTACCACATTGCACCATAAAATGGTTTTGGTAATAAATATGCTAAGAATCTTTAACAACTATATTAATCACTCATAGATAGGATTGTTAATACCTCTGTATCACTTTTGAATTTTAAGATATGTCTACCTAAAGGATATCTATTCTAAAATATCGGTTATTAAAATCTATGTAAATTTTTTAATTTAGTTAGATCCGATTAAAATAGTTTATCTAATATAGATTCAGATTCATCTTAGGTTTTAAAAACTAAAGTTAGTGTATCAGCTGAAATATGCTAAATATATTATTAGTATAATTATTCTTAATCTACTTCTAATATATTAAGTTCTTTTAATTAGGTTTATTAACTTAAGAATTCACTTACATATTCTAAATCACCAAATTTAGAATCATGCATTAAATCATCAAATAAATCCTTAGCATTCTTTTCAATATCTATAAATTATGGTTTTATTAATATGTTGTACAATTCTTATAATTTTGTGTTTAATTCTTCAAATAAATTTAGCTAAGCTGTTAATGTAGTGTAATGATTATAAATTTCAATATAAAAATTGGTTTATAGGCATCTGAATAATAGTTCTGTCAAACCAGGTTTATCTTATGGATCATTCTTCTTTCCTATATTTAATGTAATTGTCATATGAATGCCTTCTGTAGTTGTTTAAATAAACAAAACTTTTATTCCATTTTATAATTCCTTATAAGTATAAATATTTTTGGAAAATACAGGTTTTAGAATTTAGATTTCTGATTCTTATTATATTATAAGTTCTTCCAAATCCTAAACTATATTTTATTAGTCTTCTAATTATTCCTCTATTTTTTTATTGATTTCATCTTAATCATCCACCCAATCGGTCTAGACATCTGTATACTATTCTATTTTGGAGATATAACTATCTAAAACACTATCTATTGCAAGTTCATCTTCTTTTGGTGCTTTGCTATCACCTACATTTTATAATCCATCGCTGATTTTATTAAAAACTTCTTATACAGCTGAATCTTTTTAATGAATATTTGATAAGACTCCACGTACATCATTATCAATTGGTTAAGATGGAATTAAAACTAATCAATTAATTAAGTAAGCTTACCATTATAATGCTTTAATAACCCAAATCCTGATAATCCAATCATAATTACTAAAATCAGTATTACAATTGCATCAAATTTTGATGGACCTGATTAATCATCAAATGTTTTATTCTTATTTTAATCCCCTTTCTTTTAATTGGTATATTCTTATTTTTCCCTACTATCCTAGTCTTTAAGTAATCTTTCTTCATCTTCTTCATCACTCATATTATATAAGAATTATTTATTATTCAAAACGGATGAGAAAAAATTGATTCTAATAAAAACTGTAACATAAATCCATAATTCATTTTTTCATATGCTTTTATAAAAATGGTATGTAGGATATACACAAAGTGAGTGCTAGCAAACCTGTAATTGAGGCTATTCTATCAAGATCACAAAAATTAGATAAAAAACCCCCAATGAAAGGACCTGAGAATTCTCCCAATGAAATAGACGCAGAGAATATTGCTGATGCAAAATTATTACATTATTTCACTGAATTTGGATATAATTCTATCAAAGATTCATTTAATTAAGGTAAACTGTAAATTAAACTATATAATAACATTTAATTATTACGGAAATGATTATGCAACCCCTGTTAAGGCTAAACTAATACAACAAACTAGTAAATTTCTTTCAATTCCAGTAAATGCAGGATCAGGACCATAAAAAAATAAGGATAATCCATTTAAAAGTTAAAATCCAATCATAAAAAATGGTTTATTTGGATTCTAAATTTTTGTTATTAAAATTGTAGCTATTGTATAGCACATAGGTTGCAATCCCATGTAAAATCCAACTGTTGATTCTTCTATTTGGTAATGGTCTTGCATATATTAAGCCATTAAAGGAAAATTAATTGTTATTGAAGTAGTTACCATTACACACATTAAAGCATTGATATAAACATCATATTATTTGAGTACTTCCAAATACTTTAAAGGCTACTCTAATTAAGGTTCAGAATGTTATGAATGAAGATTTATCTCTATCATTTCTATTTCACATTCTTTTTTCGTAACTTCAAATTAGCAATTGTGTATGTAATAACCACACAATATAGAAAAAATGATGAATGTAATAAAGGGGAAAGTAAACCCTCCTATTGCATATAAAATTGACCCTATCATAGGTCCGAGCATATATCCTAGTGCAGAAGCTGCCTCTGCCAAAGCTATTTTTTGCTCATGCTCATCTGGAAATAAAAATGGAATGTAAGAATAAAACGACGTAATGAAAACTGAATATGCCTATATAATTATTATGAATTACTATGCCATTTATAATTCTTGAAATCAATGAAATTATTGTAATAAACCAATATGACTTTATTAAATAAATTAGAATGAATAGAAATAAGCATATAGCTTAAACTATCATGGACCCTGTCAACATTACCTATCTATTCTAATCATTAAGTAATTCTCCAATTTTTATTGACCCAAAAATTCCCCCTAATGGATGCAATGCAATTATGATTCCTACTAAAGTTTTAGATAACCCTTATTCAAAAGCAAACGGAGGATAGAAAGGGGCTATTAAGGCCATGGATGCACATATGATAAAATTTGCATTATTCAATAATTTGAATAATTCTGATTATTTATTATTCATTAAATTATTTTGAGACAATAATTAATTTATTTTCTAAATATTTGATAACATCTAATAGGTCATCAATTAAAAATATTAAGTGAATGGTTTTCAGTATTTTTAGGAAAGTAGAAATTTTAAATTATTTAAGATTTATATTGTAATTAGGTAATTATTAAAAAAATAAAACATTTTTAAATAATTATTACATAAGTATTAAAATAATTATTTTTTTATTTCATATTTTATTCCATAGTTAAATGTATCATAAAAATGTTATTAAACATCTGGCATTTTTATAGTATCACATTTTAAGAAATAAATCATTAATCAGTAATCTATTACTTTATTAATAACTTTTCTTGATATTCATCAATAAATTATAATTGCTAATTAATTTGATTTTTCTTATGAAACCCTTTTAATAGAAATATTTGATATAACTTTCATTTCAATAGTGCTTTTAAAGCTCCTTAATTTATGAATTACTGCAAACTATTCTAATATTGATCTGAATTTCTTAAACTTCCTATAGTAAAATACAAAGCCAAAATTAAGCTATTGACCAATAAACAAGCTTGTAAGACAATAGTGTAAAAATTGTTATTTTTCAACGCTTGAATAAGGATTCTATTCATTAATTAAAAATAATAAAATGATTAAAATGCATAAATTTTTAGTCTCTAATTCTATTTTGGTACTGTTAGCTAAAATTTTTAGTTTTACAATATCTGACTTGCATAATGGATTTCTTCAATAAAAATTAAATAAAATATGATTAAGCTAAATATTCTCATTTAGAAAATGAATTATTTTCAAACAGGCCATAACTAAACTTATATTATAAAGAAGTATTAATTAATATAAAAAAAGAGTCTCTCAAGCATTAAAAGAAGTGTTGAAAATAATTAAAGAATAATAATACATAAATGAAAATCGTAAAAGTTAATAACAAACATTAGTGTTAGCTAGATTAAATAATTTGATTAAAAATTCACTAATCAATTCAAAATTTATTTTGAACTTTCAATTCACTAATTCTATTCTTTCAATAATTTATAATATACACTGAATGAATATAATTAATAGAAATTAAAAAAGAAGCTTTGAATAATTATAAACCATCTCAACAAAATAATTCAATATTAATGAAGTAGTGGTAAAAATTAAGAAAAATTCTTTGAAAATATAAAGTGTATAAATAAATTCCTCTATCGATTTCAACTTGAAATTAAATTTTATTATTATCATAGTTCCATAATATAAAATATTTTAAAGTATACTAAATTAAAAGCGAATTAGACTAATTATATCATGATTCTAAACTTTATTTTTTGCGCACTATCAATTAATTTAACCAAGGTGCAAATTCCCCATTGTTCATTTGCTTACTTTAAAAAATTTCATTATGTTTTTGCGGACATAATTAAGGTGATTCACTTATAGACTCTTAAAAAACTATTCCTTTTTTCTTTGACTTTTCGCTTTAATAATTTAAGATTCATACTAATATTCTAATTCTTTATCTCTTGGATCAGTTTTAAATTATATTCCCAGCGATCTTAAATAAAGTACTATTCTATGTTCACTTTCAAGTTACTCTTAATTAGAGCAATGGAACTAAGGTAGAAAGCTATCTAGTGATTCTACGGATTCAGTAGGCAAGATTTGTTTTTCTAATTTTTCTGAAAACAGAAGCTCAATCTTGGATTTTGTCAAATCACTTCCTCTTTTACCATACTACATTAAATATTTATTATGTTTATTAATAAATTTTTCAATCTTCCTATTCATTATTGTGATAAATTTTTATTTAGTTTGTTTTGATAAATGTCATAAATTATTATTAACTCTATTATTATCAATCTAATGATATAAAATATTGTCATTCTATTTAAATTGGAGAGTTCAACGAATTGTCAAGCTGGCCAAATTGTTTTAATTAATAAAATAATTAAGAATCACTAATGTTAATTTATTATTTTTATTAATGTTAGATTCAAGATAAATTACATCTTTTAAGAGATGAAAATTTAAAAGATCTTAAAATCAATATCATAAACTTGCATTAATTATAATAATATAGATAAGAGTCATTTTATAAATAATCAAAATAATTTGTTTTAGATAATCTTATCTCAAGTTTTATTCAGATAAATAAATACACTAATATTTAATAATAGATATAATATTCTATATAATAAAATTTAGATTTGAAGATTCTATAATTTTTTGAATCTTTCAACTTAATTGAATAGGCATAAAGACTATTCCAATAATCTTTCTTAAGCCCTCATCCAATAATAATTTTTATAAATAACTTTAAAAATCAAATATATTGTTCATTTAAGTAGAGAAAAATGAAAATTTTTAATGTAGATTAATATAAACTTTAAAATTTTGTCTTTATTAATTCTTTTGTTAAATAAATATTGAATCTTAAATTCAAAACTAATAGCCCAGATTGAAAAATAAGAGATTTTCTATAAAAGCTTTTTAAATTAAAAATTAAATTAAGTATATTTATTACATTAATAACTAAAATGAACACTAATTAAGAATTATGATTAAATTATGATTAACTAAATATATTTTAAATGATATATCAAAATTTATTACTTGATTAAGTTTAAGCCATATAGTTTAAGACATTTTATTCACTTTCTTTTATTAATTAAATTCTCATAGACATTGATTTTTTAAAATAGTTCAAAAATTTCTCAGTGTGCTCCTGTTTTTAAATTAGTTCTTTAAATAATTCAAGAAGTAAAATTTAATTTTCATCACCCAAATTAGATGCTTCGATATCAAATTACTTATTAATAATATTTTAGAACATTGTTGTTTCAGATTTAACAGATTCAGTTATTGCTTTAATTTTATCTATCTATTATTTAGATTTGCTTAAACTTTGTAAACCATTAAATATTTCACAACTCACTTTAATTAATAATTAGCAATTTTTCTATAATTAATCTTTTAGTGTCTTTGTCTATTAAACTAATTCTTATATTATTTTATTTATTTCTTCAATAGTTTTATCTTTTTCAATTATTTTTGATTGGCATCTTTACTATTAGTAAAACTAAATTTTCTCATATAAAATCTTATTCAATTAATTTTAATCAGCATTTTCATATTCTTCAAAATTAAATTTGTTTATTGAATCATACAATGATGTTTAAGACTATATTAGTAATTTTTAGAATTTTTTTAGGACTTGGGTAATCAAATCATTTGGCGAATCTATCACTTAGCTGTTTAGATAATTTTCTTCAAAATTCTCCAGAGAGATTTCAGACATAAATTATTACATTTGATTTATCTCCAATGTTTTCTCTTCTAATTGACACTGCAAGCAAGATAAATCATTTTATAGGTAGGTTATTTAAGCATCTTTTTAATCTAATTACTCTTTAAAATATATTTCCATTTGTTACACTTTATTTTCCATGATTTCTTATTATATTTTATTATTTAATTGTTCTTACTCTAATTCTTTAATATATTAAATATCATTATTATCTTAGACTTTATCTACATTTGATAGAAAATCTGTATGATTATCTTTGTGAAGAATTTAGTATTAAGAAATGATTTTTTCCTTTAAAAGCTAATCTTAAATATTTTAATTTATATATTAGAAAAACTATTATTCAATAGTTTTTTAGGTGTCATTATTCTAGTGATTGAATTATTAATTTGAGCTTAATGAATTAGGTAAATCGTTTCTTAAATTTTATGAAGTTTATGAAATATTTGTTTAACATTATATTAAATTTGTAGTTTTTTAAGAATCAATCTCTAATTATTATAACTACTATTCTTCATGTTGATTAAATAAAATTGAATATTCTTATTTTTAATTAATTTATATATTTGACTGCTATTAAATGGATAAATGTTATTATGTTTCTATTTGCATATTCTGGTCTTTATTAGATTATAAATCTTAAGGATCTTCTTTTATATGCGAATCTGCACTTTAATTTTAAGTATTTTAGATCTTTCCTAGTTCATCTAATTAATTATGTAAATCTTAATTTTACTTTTATTCAGTTTATTATTATTCGTATTAATTAATTTATTTATTATAATCTTCATCTTACTTTTATTCATTTTACTATTATTCTTATTGATCAACTTATTCATTAGAATTTTCATTTTACTATTATTCATTTTACTATTATTCGTTTTACTATTTATCAACTTTTTAATGATAATCTTCATCTTACTTTTATTCATTTTATTATTATTCCTATTGATCAACTTATTCATTAGAATCTTCATTTTATTATTCGTTTTACTATTTATCAACTTTTTAATGAGAATCTTCATCTTACTTTTATTCATTTTATTAGTATTCCTATTGATCAACTTATTCATTAGAATCTTCATTTTACTATTATTCGTTTTACTATTTATCAACATTTTAATGAGAATCTTCATCTTACTTTTATTCATTTTACTTTTATTCATTTTATTATTATTTCTATTGATCAACTTATTCATTAGAATCTTCATTTTACTATTATTCATTTTACTATTATTCGTTTTACTATTTATCAACTTCTTAATGAGAATCTTCATCTTACTTTTATTCATTTTACTATTATTCTTATTGATCAACTTATTCATTAGAATTTTCATTTTACTATTATTCATTTTACTATTATTCGTTTTACTATTTATCAACTTCTTAATGAGAATCTTCATCTTACTTTTATTCATTTTACTATTATTCTTATTGATCAACTTATTCATTAGAATCTTCATTTTACTATTATTCATTTTACTATTATTCGTTTTACTATTTATCAACTTCTTAATGAGAATCTTCATCTTACTTTTATTCATTTTACTATTATTCTTATTGATCAACTTATTCATTAGAATCTTCATTTTACTATTATTCATTTTACTATTATTCGTTTTACTATTTATCAACTTCTTAATGAGAATCTTCATCTTACTTTTATTCATTTTACTATTATTCTTATTGATCAACTTATTCATTAGAATCTTCATTTTACTATTATTCATTTTACTATTATTCGTTTTACTATTTATCAACTTCTTAATGAGAATCTTCATCTTACTTTTATTCATTTTACTATTATTCTTATTGATCAACTTATTCATTAGAATCTTCATTTTACTATTATTCATTTTACTATTATTCGTTTTACTATTTATCAACTTCTTAATGAGAATCTTCATCTTACTTTTATTCATTTTACTATTATTCTTATTGATCAACTTATTCATTAGAATCTTCATTTTACTATTATTCATTTTACTATTATTCGTTTTACTATTTATCAACTTTTTAATGAGAATCTTCATCTTACTTTTATTCATTTTACTATTATTCTTATTGATCAACTTATTCATTAGAATATTCATTTTACTATTATTCATTTTACTATTATTCGTTTTACTATTTATCAACTTCTTAATGAGAATCTTCATCTTACTTTTATTCATTTTACTATTATTCTTATTGATCAACTTATTCATTAGAATCTTCATTTTACTATTATTCATTTTACTATTATTCGTTTTACTATTTATCAACTTCTTAATGAGAATCTTCATCTTACTTTTATTCATTTTATTATTATTCTTTTTTATCAAATTATTCATTAGAATCTTCATTTTACTATTATTCATTTTATTATTATTCATTTTACTATTATTCGTTTTACTATTTATCAACTTCTTAATGAGAATCTTCATCTTACTTTTATTCATTTTATTATTATTCTTTTTTATCAAATTATTCATTAGAATCTTCATTTTACTATTATTCATTTTATTATTATTCATTTTACTATTATTCGTTTTACTATTTATCAACTTCTTAATGAGAATCTTCATCTTACTTTTATTCATTTTACTATTATTCTTTTTTATCAAATTATTCATTAGAATCTTCATTTTACTATTATTCATTTTATTATTATTCATTTTACTATTATTCGTTTTACTATTTATCAACTTCTTAATGAGAATCTTCATCTTACTTTTATTCATTTTACTATTATTCTTTTTTATCAAATTATTCATTAGAATCTTTATTTTACTATTTTTCATTATTCTATTATTAATTTTTATTCATTCTTTAAATTTATTTTTCATCTTATTTCTATTAATTTTCTAAATCTAATACTTCATTTATCTCTTACTCATACTTTTCTAATTCTTTTTCATCATTTTACTCATCTTTTTATTACACATAAATTTATTTGTCCTAATCCTCTTATTAGTTTTCCCACTCTGTTCCATTGTTTATACATTATTCTTATATTATTTGATTCATGTTATCATTATCTGATTATGCTATATTGCTTTATCTTATATCACTTTATCGATCCATCTCCTTATTTATGTTTTACTAATTTTTTTCTTCTTTCTAAATATTACAATAATTTAAATCATTTTATATATTATCTTTAAGATTATCTTGGTTTACTTCTTTTTAACTCTATTAATTCGTTTATTATTCTGATAATGAACTTTACTTAAGTTCTTCTTCCTCAATTATAGCAGTTGCTTTTGTAATTTAATTAACATTTTATTCTCTAACAATAGTCGCTTTTGTATCAACTTCAGTACTATATGAACTTATTTCTGAATTTATTTAAGCATTTTCTAAATTCTGCTCTGTAATATCAATATTTTTATTTTTTTAAATTGTATGCATTTATTTCTCCTCATCAAGGATGATCTTATTTTCAGCTTCAATGTTATTTTATTAAGTTTGTTAAATATTTTTATCTTCTTAGTTGTCCTATTAGATTATCTTTTAATCAGCATTTATTTCTTCTCCAAATTAGTTTTCTTGATTTGAAATTTTTTAACTATTCATATTAATAATGAAATTTATTTATAAATTTAACATCTTTTAATTTGACATTATTATAGTTCTAGAATCACTAAAATATTCATATCTCATTCAAATATGAATTTAAATTAAAAAATAGATATCTTGTAGTATAATTACAAAAAACTTAAAAATATATAAGTTAACTTCTCAAAATAAATAAAATTATTATTAGTTAAATTTCATGCTTCTAATTAATCTTTATGAAGCTTTAACTTATTTAATTTCCAATATATAAATAAATATTAAAGGAATTTTATACTATTATTAGAAATTTAAAATGAAATAATACAAAAATAATTTAGAGATAGAAGAAGATTAAGCTCCATAAAGTCTTATTTAAAAACATTAAGTAGAAAATTATCAAAAAGAGTCTAAGGAGGAAGTTCCTAATCATGAATATCAAAAAAGTTACAGATTAAATTAGATTAGAGATAAGAAATAAAATTCAATAAAATAATAATTAGATGCGTTATCAACAGCGACTTCTAATTTTTACAAAGAGTCAAATGAAAATTAAATTAAGAGTCCATCACAACTGATTGAGTCTTATAAGAAGATAGATTAAAGTTAGATTACCTAAATAAAATAATAGAGAATGGCAAACAGAATTATTTCAGCTTAACCATTAAGGCATTTAGTGATTAAAAAGGGATAAGATTCAATATAATTTTAATAATTTGAAAACCAAGAATAAAAAAGGCCACTTGTTATTTTGAAAGGTTTAAGCGATAAATATTAAAGGTAAGAGGAAAATGAAACAATTCCTGATAATTAATTAATTAGTTCAGATTTGAATTAGCAAATATTTAAAAGAGCATCTAGATTAAGAAAAAAATCTCAATCAAATGGATTTTATATTAGTTAAAATAGCAAATAAGAAGAACCCCAAATAGATTCTGAATTAGTAGAATCATTTAAAGAATAAATGATAATAAATTAAAGTGGAAAAATAAATAAGGATGAATTATATGATTCATTAGAAATAGAAACAATTTAAAATATTTCTAAAATGGAAGAAGTAAGAATTTATATATTGTAGAGCGAATTTGATTAAATAACAAAAATATAGTTTAGGTTTAATGCAAAAGAAGGCTCACTCTACATGCTAGGAGAACTCTTAATAAATCTATAAGAGTTGATATTAGATTATTCTAATATTGAATCTTTGAGACTTTTAGGCACTAAATTGACATTTTTATAAATATTAAGCATTAAAAAATCAAATTTAGTTGACTTATCTGGTAAAATAACAAAATAAATATTATAGGAATACTAAGTATGCCTAATTTGGTAGAGTTAAATTGTTCATTTAATAGTATAAATGATGTGAGCCCCTTAGCATTTCATTCTAAAATTGCAATTTTAAATCTTGAGGGGAATCAATTAACTGATGAATATCAATTGGATCATTTAGAATCATTAAACTTATAATATTTAAACATTAAGAAGAATCCATTATGTAGTAACTAGAAATTATATGAGATAATCCTTTAAAGATTTGCTCATATAAAAATGGAAATAGAAGGAAATCCAATAATAATAGAGAATACTAGAAATGAATTAAAATAAAATTAAAAAATTGAATTTCAAGAATAGAAAATAAATCAAGAAGAATAAAGAATAAAATAATTATAAACTCTAATGAATGATATAGAATAGAACCAAAGTTTATGCGAATCTGTGAAAGGAAAGCAGTACGAAAAACATAAATTAAGGAGGCCTCAAACAGCTTAAGTTTAATAAATAAAGTCAGCTTCGCCATCCTAAGGTTAAGAATTCAATCCTTATAATAAAGTCATTCAAGAAAATTTCAAAGACCATCAAATGAAAAATCAATAGATTTATAGTTTAAAAAAACCCAATTTTTGATTCATATATTATTATAAATAATTAAAAATATCAGTATTAAATAATAAAAAGTAATTTATTTAATATATAAAAGTTCATTAATTTCTAAGATCATCAAGAATACCCTAAATTTCTAATTCATCAATTTCATTCTAATTGTACCATCTGATTCTTTTTCCATCATTCCATTCACCTATTCTGAATGAATTATCTGATTAAAAGAATATGCCAACACCATTTTAAAAACCTTTAACCCAAGTTCCAACAAATTTTTTTCCATCATCCCAAAAAAAAGTTCCTTTTCCATGTTTTTTATCATCTTAATATTGCTGCTATTTAAATCAAAAACATTACTCCTTTGTACCTTCTACCATCTGCCCATTTGATTTCACCAAATCCATGCATTTTATTGTTACTCCATTAACCAACATAAAATCTTCCATCTGGCCATAAATAATGTCCAAATCCTTAAATTTCATTATCACTAAAATCCCCTCAAGTTTAAAAAAAATTATACCTTCATAACATGATCCATCAGCAAAATTTAATTTTCCTTTGCCTTGCTTTTTGCCATAATAATAATCCCCTTCATATCTAGCACCATCAGGCCAAATCTCAATACCCTTTCCATGTTGATAATCATTCAACCACTTTTTCATTTATTTAACCAAATTACTTCTCCTGAATATTTTGCTCCATTTAGATGAATATAGGTTCCTAAACCATTTGCAGCATCCTCCAACCAATCACCATCATAAATATCTCCATCTGCATGGATTAACTTTCCCTATTTTTTTGTTAAATTCTTTTTTACCTTCCCACAAGATCTGTCTTCCTTCCATTCTCCTTCATAAACTGAACCATCAGGCCATTATTGTTTGCCAAATCCATCTCTTTTTCCATTTAACCATTCCCCTTCATAAGTTGCTCCATTTGATAATTGCAATGCCTAATATAGATTAATAATACTGGGAGTTGTAATCTCTCTTTCATTCCCATAGTTTTTAAAACAAGTGGATTAAGCTATTAACTCTAATTTTATGTAGTTAGATTCTTTTCGATTTATTTAATTGAAATTTTGCTATGTTGAGAAGATACCATCACATCTGAAACAGTATCACTTTTTTTTTTCATTATCTTTCCTTCAACTTTATCTTATTCTTAGTTTTTTTATTGAGAAACTTTAGATTTTTTTGATTATATTTCAATAGATCTACTAGAATTTCTTATTGTTTATAATTCTTCTTTTGAACAACATGTGTTTATGCTGCAAGTTTGCCCCATTTTGATTAATTTGTAGAAGAAACAAAAAAAAATAAAATTCACAAGAAAATTATTTATATTTATTCAAAAAAAACATTACCATATAAAATCACAAGTATAAAACACAAGTATTAATATTCAATGTTAAATTATTAATACCTTGACTCATATTAAGATTTAAAATATAAGTTATATATTAATTATTTTATTTCATTTAAAATAAATGTTGAATTGGAAGTATAATAATCAATTTATTTATTAGATTAAATTTTGCTACTAAGATTTTAAAAGTATTTAAAAATTAAATAAGTTTCCTTATAATAATGTTTCTTTTTCAAAAATTATGTATCTCTAGTATATAATTTGTAAATTATAATTAATAAAAATACTTTAAATAATTTTTATCTTTTTCCAAAGCCAAATATAAGACAATATAAATTTTGACTTATTAAATTAAAGTTATTATCCTTATCCTATTAATATACTTAATCTTCAAAAGAATTATTAATCAAAAAATTTTTATATAAAAATTAAATTAGTAGAAGAAGGACAAATAGAAAGATATAAGAAATATTTGGAAAATCATCCTAATAAATATATATTAGTATTATCAATTAATTAAGAGTCAACCTATTTCTTATTATTGTAGCAATAATCTAAGCTATCTTTCATATGATTCATCTTCAATCAATATTTGTAAAGGTGTTATGTTAACTATTTTCTTTATTAAATAATATTCAAAAATCAAATATTATCTTAAAAGCTTTGCTATTAACAAACATCCAATAAATGCTATTACAAAATAAACTATTGAAAGAGACTAAGTCAATAATGAATATCTACCTTGCTAAATTAAAGCTAAGCCTTTGTTATTTCTTCAATTCCATATGACAATTAATCATTCAATTAAATAAAAATTCTAGTTATAACTTAGGAGCCTTCTTATTCAAATAGATTATAAGTTAGCCTTCTAGTGAAATTATTTATGGCCTATTCTGCTTTTACTTAATTAGTTATATAATTTAAGCTTTAAATAGTGCCTTACTTTAAAGTACCTTCAAAAGCTAGAGTACATTAATTGTACATAAAATTTTTGAAGTCCTAAAAAAATAAAATACTTATACATCTGTTAAAATGTCACATAAATTTTCAGTCTCAACATTTTTATAGTATTCAATAAATGTGTCAGAAACAATTAATTTATCAAAGTCGAAAGAATTAGCATACAACACATATTAATTCATGATTGAAAGTGCTTAATTGACTAAATGATACAATCTTTATTTATCAAAATCTGTAAGATAAGTAAAATTCACCCATCGATAAAAAATTTCTTTTTACATTAGAATACTTCCTGATCTAAGTTTTAAATCAGAAATCAATTTAAAAAAATCTATTGTTGATTGATATTTGTCAAAAAAATTTTAATTTGATTGATCAACTAATGTTGAATATGATACAAAAATAACACAAATAAAAAATAAAATTAATGCAGGTTTAATTCTACTTACTTTAAATATTTTTTTTAACTTTTTACTTTTTTTATGCATCAAATTAGTGGAAGCTGTATTTTGTATCTTATTTTAGTAATTTTCTAAACTAAATTGATAATCAAATATCATTTTTTCATCATGAAGAATCTAGGATAAAATTGATTTCAATTTTGTAATTTCATTTTCCAAGCGATCAAAAGAAAAATAATCTAAAAGATATAAAAACCTATCATATTGAACTAAATATTGATTGTAGTAAAAAAATGAGATTATACTTGTACAGGATATTATAAGGATCGAAATCAGCCAAAAAATAGTCCACTTTTAATTCACACTTATTGATCTTTCTTTTGAATAAACAAATATCTCTTCAGTGATTTAGGCTAATAAATCATGTAAATCAAAATAATTAGCATAAAGAAATACTTAATAAGTAGATCCACTTGGACTCTCTCTCCTCCCATATTTCTTAGCATACGCAAATTAATATTATAATATTACTAATAAAACTTCTCTAAATGTCATTTGTTCAGACACCACTGAAGAGTCATTATCTTTCATAAATCTAATATTCATATTATAATCATTATAGAATAACTATAAATATGGATTAGTTAATTATTTATAAAGACTATCTTTCAATTCTTGATATCCAAGATAAATATTATCATAATAAGGGTCTGTTAATTGTGTAAATAATGTCTAATTTATAAATCCTTCCCTTAATGCTTACTAATAAGATGATAAAGTAACTCTCATTGAAAAATAAAGATCGTGTGGAGCCATCACATCTGAATGAAGGCCAATCATATTAATTTCTGTAATGCTGTTATCCAAATCAGATGGCATTAAAGATAAAATGATAATGAAATAAATCATTTAAATCAAATTTTAAATTAATAAAAAACCTATAAATTAATTGACTTTTAAGGGAGGTTTTTAAGAAGTAATCTTTTCAACTAATTCATACTTTTTATAATTTACTGATAGATTTATGCTAGCTACAGATGATTAAGATTAAGCATATTATTATTGTTTCTCCTATTATTATTATTTATCATCACTTATTTCATTAGATTTTATTGATGATTTTTCTTAATAAGAAACTAAATGAGATAATTTGCAATTATAAAATGCTTATTATTATAGTTTTCTTACTTATAAAGGGGATTTTTTAGTTTCATTTTAATTGATTAAATTTTCAGCTGGTTAATTTTGATTAGTGTCCTTAATTTGTGTTTGTATTTATCGAGTGCTCTAATCACCATTATTATTAAATAAAGTTGTTAATGGGGAGAAAATTGATAACTAATTATTTAGATCTTAAATATAGATTTTATTTGGATGATCTTCATCAACTTAACTGAGGATACAACTTTAACTATTACTTATATTGGATGTTTCAGATATTAATGATTCTTATTCATAAACTTCATCTAATAAAATATTATTTTATCCACTTAATTATTATATATCTTAAATTTCTATTATATAATAAGAAAAATCTTAATGGTTTCTAACAAGAATATTAAGTTTAGCTACAAAAGATAGTACTTTCTCTTTTTATTTCCAAATACTTGGATGTAAATTTGACATTCTTTTCTCCTTATTTTCTACAACTGTTGATTTTCTTATCTTTAGATAGTCAAAAAAGAATAGTTTTTCAACCAATAATCTATTATCTTGTTGTTGTTTTAACAATGCCTCATCAAATTATGGGAATATATTATAAATTGATATTTCATTCAAATATTTATGTTTCACCATTTTCACAATCAGATTATCATCATATCCAATTTTCTATAGAAAGTTTAAGGATAAACTAACAAAACTTTTATCAAAACCATCTACAATTATGTAACATTTTTCATATACTAATTCTTATATAAATGCAACAAAAACCAATTAAGAATGTTAAAATATTGCAGTTGTATCATAACATAATTATATCCCTTTAACTAAACAATCATGTACATTTACAAAGTTAGGACTAAAGTTTCTATAATATCGAGATTTTCCTGTTGATAAAAAACTATTAACCATAAGTGGATGATATTAATAAAAGAATAATGGTAGTATTTCTCGAAAACAAGTGTTTTATTAATTAGGCTTTCCAATTAGATTGAGCATATGATTTGAAATTGTTTAAACTTCCAAATGTTTTAAATCTTCATTTAATGATAAGATTACATAGGCACTCTATTATTAAGTTAAATTTAATGCAGAATGATTATTTTAAATAAATTTTAGATCTACATTAATTGATTAATTATAGATTTTATTAGCTTCTATATAATTACTATATAATTCAGCCAAAAAGAATGTTAATGCCTTTTATAATCTTATGCTTGGATATTTTTCAAATTAAATTTTGATATAATTTTCTGTTGTATATAGATCGCTACAAAGTTTATTTGTTTTTTCAAGAGTTTTACTCAAATCAAATTATTATTATTCTTTAATTAATTCAGAGAAAAAGGATACTTTTGAATTGATAATTTTTATTATCATTTCTTTAATTCTGGATATTATAAACTCATAATGTAGATATTAATTAATAGAATCAGAAATAAAAGTTTATTAAGCTGCTTATAAAGAAGAACCAAAAGAGGCTTTCATATTCCATTTTGTTTAATTAAATAGTTGAATTGTTCTTGCTCTATCTATAATTCCTAAACTAATTTTAAAAAATAATTTCATTTCATTATTATTTTATTTCTCCTTTTCAGAATCTAATGATTTAAATTTCTTATACTACTAAGTAGTAGATCTTATAGTAAGTTCTTTAGTATATTTTTAAATTGTTGTTTTATCAAATTCATTATTAAGATTATTATTAATTTGAGGAATAACAGTATCATTTATTAATATTTTATTAAAAGCTTTGGCAGCTAACATCGTCCAACCAAAATCATTAAGAAATATAGCATATTGAATAAGTAATTCTTAATTTTAATAAAATTCTGAATTTTTCTAATTAATAGTCTTTTTAATTAAGGATATTTTTTCAAATATAAAACTTCTAAATATTTATCCTGTTATAGCATTTGCTTATCTTGGTTCAGCAATATAAAAAGTAGTTGTACATGAACATTATTTTTATATACATTATTTAGAATGAAAATAATTAATTAAGGAAGATCTAATAACAATATAATTTTCATTGATATCACATTTATTTAACATATTAATTAAAACATTCATTACTATTCTAATGTTTGGTGTGTTAGTAGATTTAAAAAATAATAGAAACTCTTATGTTTTTTTATAATTGATATTTGATAGCATATAAACTAACATTAATGGAGTAATCACTAATAAAAAGAATGTGTAATTAATAGATTGACTAAAACTTTCAACAAATTTAAGGATGCAATAAATCAATTAGAAGAGATAGCCAGAATAAAGTATAATTTCTTGATATCTATAAATATAAATAGAACTTGTAAACTAATTTTTAATTGCTAAAATTTAAATAATAAACACTAAAATATACTGAATAATTCTGATTGTTTGAGTATTTTCAATTAGTGTAAACAAAATTACAGAAATAGTTGAAAAAACATATACAATTAAATTATATTTGGTAACTTTCAACCTTTCCATAGGTCTCATTTTAAATGTTATAGGTTATCTATTAATGGAGCAAATCAAAATTTAATCTATTTGTAGTAATATAAATGTGATAATCCCTAAGGTTAAATTTACATATTGTATAGGTTAGTCTGATTTGATTAAAGTAACACTTCTTTTGATTGACAATAATATGATAGTATTAAATGGAATAATAAAAATAGGACAAAGTAGTTGTTGATAATAACTTTAAATTCTCACAAAAATTTATAAGGGCATATGATGCTAAATTTATTGAACAAATTTGTCTGAGTGATAATGATTTTTTAACATATACATTAAAAAGATAAAGCCTATTTTACTAATGAGTACTACAATTAAAATAAATAAATATATTAGCTCTTCTTGTAAATGTTGATTTATGAGAATATAAATCTCTGTTCTAATTAAAAATGTATATATTAGATCTAGAGATGAGTTTACTTAAAGGTCCTTCATTTATGTAAAAGTTGGATGAATAGCCATAATCAAAGTTTGGAGAGAGTTAATTATCAGTAAACAAATTTCAATGGCTTATGAACATATAAATTATCCTCTTACAAATATTGCAGTCATCACCCATAAGTCATATAAAGATGAATGTTAATTCAATTATTTTTACAACATATATATTTTAATGTTTGAATATCGATTAATTATTTAATATATTTATGTCTATAAATCAAATTAAACCTTAATGAAGTGCTATTTCTCTGAGATATCTTTCCAAAGATTCGTCATATAGAATTGACTCTTTAGGTATCAAAAATAAGGACTATCTGATTTAGTGGTATTCATTTATTAAATATTATCTATATAGTTACTTAATGAAAATAATTAGAAAAGCAGATACGAGCATATAAATTAGAGAGAAATACTAATTATAATTAACAATCTTACAATTAAAAAATTATTTAATTCATTGCAAATGTCTTTTACACTTTGCAAAAATAAATTAGATAAATTAAAAAATGATCGAGTGATTATCTATGATCCTTCTTATTCATATAATTGAATTTCAACTCTTTTGGTGAAGTTATTAATCTACTATTACATTCTTATTGAGTTAGAAATATAATTTAGAGTTTAAATTAACCCTTTTGTTAATGTACCTTCGAAAGACTTATCACAATAAAATAGCATATATTCTTCCAATTACTGAATATAATATATAATTTTACATTTAACATTTCTAGGCAAATATTATTTTATTAGATATCTAAAAAATTATCAGTAAATTTGTTCCCCACTAAATATTATGATGAATCAAAAGTTGAAGATAAAAGTACATATTAAGCAATTATTTTATGTGATTAGTCTATGTACTAATATAAAATATCTCTTTCACCTTAAGTTAAAAAAGTGAAATTATCCCATCTAAGACTGATTTCTTTAAATAAATAAATACTTCCACTCTTTAATTTAAGATCTTGAATTATTTTATACAATTTTATAGTGTCATTATATTTTGATAAAAATGTTTCTTATTTATAATAAATTACACTTGTATAAATTAAATAAACTACAGTAATAAAAATGATTAATGAATAAACATGAAATCTTGATAATTGTTATCTATTTCTATTTAGTAACTTAAAATGATGAACTTTACCTCTACCATATTAAGATTAAGTTTTTTCATGTTCATATAATTCTAAATCAAAATTATATCTTAGTATATCATCTGAATTTTATTACAATTATTAATATATTAAATCGTATCTATTTAATTAGTCATAAATTAATTATTTATTAAATTCATTAAATATTAATAAAAATTGATCATAATACTTAATGTATAAATTAAAGTTAAATAGTCCAATCAAACCAAAAATTATCAATAATAATTAAAGTATAACCCAAAATATCATACCTTTATCATCAATAGTATCTTTTGTATATATAAGCCATTCTTATATTTCTTGAGTTATAAGTTCTACATTTTCATGCAAAAGAAAATAATTAGCCATCAAAAATATTTAGCATGGTTTACCAGATGTACTTTATCTCTATTCAATAGTTCTCATATGATCATATTAATACTATAAAATAGTTAAAAGAGATTCTCTAAAACTTGTTGACATATTGTATAATTCTTTTTCATTTTCATCCATAAATCTTAAATTTAAAACAATATCAGAAAAGAATTCTTACAAATATACATTTCTTAATTATTTATAGAAGCTATCTTTCAATTCCAAATATCCTTATCGTATATTTACATAAAAAGGATCTGTTAATTAGACTATTTAATTTTGATTTAAAAAACCTTCTCTATACATCTATTAATAAGAAGATACTGTAATTCTCATTGAAAAAAATAAATCATGTGGTCCCATAATACTTGCATGTAATGATCCCATTTCAATATTATCAATAATAAGTGTCATATCAGTTGTCATATTAATCATAACTAAGCAAGAAAATATAAAAAAAATTAAACTTTATCCTATAAAGAAAAATAAAAAGGAGTCTATTTTCTTTGGATTCTTTTTTCCACTCATTTTTTATAATAAATAATATCTATTATAAAAAAATGGTCTATAAAATCCTGCAACACTAGATGATTACTGTCCTATCCTTTCTAATTATTGATTATTTACTCTTGAATTTTTTCCTTCTTTATTCTTTCTTCTTTCTGGTGAATGCTCTTCTTTTTCCAACTAACTATTTTAAATATCACTTTCAACAAATGATTTATTAAATGATTTATAAAATTCTTATTCATTTCTTGCTTTACTACTTAATAAATTTGATTAACTTTAATTTTATTATATAAATGAGGATTAATTTAAGTTTTTTGATTATCCTTAATTCTAATTTATTATAATACTTTATTTCAAATTTGACTCTTATAACTTTAGAGTGTTTTTTTTTCTTTCTTATCTAAATGATAATACACTCAGAATCTTAAGATGTTTTCCTTTCCATTTTGATCCTTTACTAGTTGTGCTATCTCCTAAACAAGGCTTATAAAATTCAAGCACTTTCTTTCTCTCATCATTACTTAAAATTTATTTCAATGAAATAAATTCTAATTAATAGTAACAAGCAAGTTAAAGTGTTACTTTTTCTACTTTGATTTCAATACTAAAACAATTTATATTTTCTTTGTTTTTCCAAATAAAAAAATTTGAATCCTTTTTCACACTTGATTATGTTAACATTGTTTCTTAATTATATTAAGGTTTAAGAAAAAAACAAAATGTTGTTACTATATCAGTGTTAACTTCAGCCTTTATCATCATATTATAATAAGGAATAATAGTTAATATTCCTATTTAGTGTAATACACCATCCTCTATAAATTATTTTTATTAAATTTCATTTATACCAAATGCTTATAAAGTTTTGTTTGTAAAGTAAGCTATTTAAGTTTAAGCATCTACTATTAAAATTGGAAGTTCTGTATTTACACTTTGCAAAAGACCAACAAATATAAACTTATCTATTTTAAAGATCTGAGTATTATCTATGCATAAACTCACTTATTGTAACAATCCATTATGACTCTTTATAAAGGTATAATTAAAATTTCTATAAAACTTATTCTATCCTGAATGAAAAAAATTCTAAACAGAATTCTCATGGTATTTACTATAAAATTAAGGAATAATATCATTAAAGCAATAAGTTGTCAAATCAAAATATATTCCAAATAATTTAAAGAAATTTTAAGATGTTTAAACTATATTAAAAGTTCTAAAATTTTCATCTACTGATAAAATAATATATGAATTGACTTCCGCAGATAAATTTAAACCCTTTATACCTCTATATTTTATTTAATTTTCCTTTAAGTTTACTTCTGATTATTTTATATTAAATGCAGCAAGCAGATTGTTCATAATTTATGCTTCAAAAAAACAGAAAGCTTATTATAATTATAAATCTGGACTTAAATTAAATAGAAAATTAAATTATTTTTCAATCTTCAATAAATATTTTGAAGTTTCCTTAACTTTTTTAAAAAGTTGAGAAAAAGTAAATCCAGAATCTGAATCTAGTATTTCATAAAATTAAATTTTTAATCTTACACATTCTTTCATTCCAAGTACTAATTCTTGTTAATTAGTTTAACTAATTAAGAATTCATTTAAATATTATCTTATCAAAGTTTGACTTGCTGCTCTAAGGGATGTTCCTAAATTAGCTTCAAATTTAATTCTTGATTATTATAATACTAGGTTTATTTGAATCTATTCAATAGTTGATAGCATTATTCTGATTTTAGTTTATTCATTCTCCTTATAATCTTTCTAACTAAATTAACCCAATAATATACTTCATAAAATGATATAGAAATGAAACATTAAAAATTTTATTCTCCTTTGATTTTTTTAATTAACTAAGAATTTGTAATGAAACCATCATTTAATTAAAATCATGGAGAAGTATTGCTGTAGATATTAATAAATCTTATTTCACTTAATTTTTCATTTTAAACAAAAATAGTTTCTTAATTAATTGTTTATATTGAGATTTCATAAAATTATTTACCATTAAGCTAGTCGTAGCATTAATTTATGTGCTTTCAGTTATATTATAATCTAATTCACATACACAAGAGGATTTTTTACATTTTTTTTTATGATGAAAATATATTAAAGATTACTTGAAGTTCTTATAATTTAATCCACAATCACAATTATTTAATATTCTCACTAATTGATAAAGTATTTGATTTATATTTAAATCAGCCATTTAGTTTAAATCTCTACTTTTATGTAAGAAAATAGCTATAAAATATTTATTATCCTGTTATTCTTAAAACTTATATAAGATATAAATAATTGATGGAATTGTTATAAAAAACAATAATTATATATCTTATTGATTTACACCACTGTAAATCATTATATTGTAAATTCCACTCATTATTAAGAAAGCTTAACAACTTAAGAATATATTTTTTTGTGCTTAGTAAATATATCCACAATTTTTTATTTAATTAATTATTTATAGTACAGCTATTAGGATAATCATAATTTATTAGATTAATTGTAAATATATGGATTCGTTCTAATCTGCAATGATAACTTAGAGTAATCTAAATTTAAGTATATACTAATCAAAATTCGAAATTTAAAATTATTTGCATTAAAGTGTTTTAAAAGTAGTAGGGTGATGATCAATTTTCATAAAATATATTATGTCAATTGTGTACATCAATTATCCAAACATACAAAGAAAGGATTTTAATACTGATGAAGAAATACCTTCATTTATATCCTCTACTGATTAGTAAAAAGCATATAAAAAAATCCTGGATATTGGTAAAATTAAATAGATTCCTAAAAAACATTAATAATAAGTGATTATCTAAAGTATATATAAGAAAAGATCCTTTTATAATATTTTTTTAAAGTATGTCTCATAATAAGAGTTAAGCAAACAAATTAGAATGAATAATAATTTTTGTATAATCCATATGATCAATAAAATGATGTAAAATTCACCATTAAAGTATCTATTCTGTATAATTATGATATCAGGCCTTATAAATATTTACAAAAGCTTATAGATAATATTTTGATCAACTTCCTTTTATTTTCTAAAATAATAAGGCTAAAATAATGCTAAACTGAAAACTAAATATTACACCACATAAGGGCATTTTAGCTATTAATTTAACAGATACGTAGTTTTTATCCATTATTCTAACATTGCTGATAATTTTATAAATTTCTATTTAGAAGCTGTATACATATTAAATTATATATATTTATTTAAAAATTTTTATGTTTAAATTAGTAATAAAATTGTTAATAAGAATTTTGAATCAGATAATGAAAATAAGTTAATAGATTACTTTGCAAGATTAATAATAGTCTTAAATTTAAAACCTAACTCTTATATTTTTATTATTTTTTTGAGTTTCTAATTAAAATTATAATAAAAAAATATATAGAAAAATTGAATATTGTTTAGTTAGAATTTATTATTAGTAATTATTAAGAAAGAATAAAAGATTTGATAATCATTTAATTAATTTAGAAATCTTATAAATTATCAATATTTAATTAAGTATATTATTTAAAATGTCTGAAAGTGATTTTAATTAAAGACAACTTGAAGAAAAAAAAGAGGATTCAATATATAAATTATTCATTAATTTATTGGCATGTACTTTTCAAACCGTTTTTGGTTATATCTGTTTGGATGTTTGTGTTTCTATCAGTTTACATTATATAGGCTAAGAGTAATTAATAATTATATTATAGAATAAACCCTATAGCTAATGCTGGTTATGGATTTGCATTAACTTGTGTATTCATTCTATTGACTCCTTTTGGCTTTGGATTAAATCAATCATTAAATATGCACACATCTCAAGCATTAGGCGATTAAAAAGTATAGTTGGCTAAACGATTTTTTAATATAAATTTATATGTGATGCTTTTTATACTGGTACCTTTAGGAGGTATGTTGTTGGCTTTAAAATATCCATTAAGTCTAACAATAAGAGAGGATTAAAGAGAAGAGACATCAAATTATTCTTAAGAATTCTTATATTACTTGATACCAGCAATAATACTTGCATTAGAATTTGAAAGTGCAAAGTGTTTTATGGTTGCTCATAAAATCACATATCCTTTTACAATTATTCATTTTTGCACATTAGGAATTCATTGGTTTTTGTGTTGGTTATTTATTGTACAATTTTAATGGGGAATTCCAGGAGCAGGAGTTGTAATTATTTTGACTGAAGTTTTAAATATAGTTGGATTAGTTTGTATGTTTTTAATATTATCAATTAGTATTTGTACAATTTACAAATCTAAAGAGAGAAGTATTTTAAGGAACAAAATTATTAATTGATATACCAAGATTTAAAAAGTTGGGTTTTTAATATATAAAAACATCAATTCCGATAGTTCTCCATATTTTTTCAGAATTTTTTGTATTCTTTTTAATGTCCTTTTTTGCATTGAGTTTAGGAGTTTCTGAAATGATTGCACATATTGGATTACAAAATATTTCTGGAATATATTTTAGTATATATAGATAATAATAAAATAGGGATTCCAATAAGTTTATCAATAGCATTAATGTCATTTGTTGGTTCAGAAATGGGAAAAGGAAATATTAAAATAGCAAAGATTTATGTTGCAATTGGTATTACTATTTTTTTAGTTACATGTACAATATGCTCAATTTGGATATGGTTTCTTAGAGATTAATTGGCATCATTTTATGCTTCAGATTCAAGTGAAAATGAATTGGCTGTCAAGGCTAAAGAAATATTCAAAGAAACAATACCATGGTTGATAGGAGGAATGTTAATTGTAGATGGACTTTAAGGAACATTAAGTGGAGCATTAAAAGGAATTAATAAAATAAATTTAGTTTTTGTATAAAAAATTGATTTATCATTTAGTACTCAACCATAATTGCCTATTATATAATATGTATTCCATTAGTTAGTTTCTTTACATGGGGATTAGATTATGGAGTTGTTGGTATTTGGCAAGGCTTTGCAATTTCCAATGTTATTCTAGCAATATTAGATCTTATAGTATTATTTACTACTGATTGGGATAAATAATCAAAGAATATAATCAGAAGAGTTAAATAAGAAAATGAGCTCTAATTTAGCACTCTTATTTAAGTAGAAGATGATAAAGACAATATTTGATGTTATTTAAAATTAAAGAATTTTAAGCAACAATTTATTTTTTAACGATATTAATTAAAATTTAACAATATTCATTTTCTGTTACAATGAGCTCATTTTAAAGACCAACTTCATCAAGAAAGAATACTAATACATTACCACCTTAATAAGGTGATTTAGAGGAATATATGTACATATATATCTATATTCAATTCTAGTTAAATCTTATATGATCATTAAAAGAGTTGTGAAAAGGCTGGCAAATATTTGGAGGCTGACTAAGCAAAAAAGAGGTTGGCTGAACTTAAAAAAGAACTTGATTCTAAAAATAAAGTAGATGTCAAAGATAGACATTGTTCTGAAAAATAAGAAATAGAAAAAGCTCATCTTGATGAATTTAATCAATTCAATACATTTTGGGATTAAAAAATGATTGAATTTGATTAGGAAGCTTAAAAAGTTAAAGAATAAACACTTTAAAGACATGAGGATGAATTAAGATAATTTTCAGAAGAACTTGAAAATTCTATTCCAATCAAACCAAAAGACTCAGCTGAATTATTGGCTTTAAGAAAAACAGAAGAGTAATTGGCTAAATAGGAAAAGTATAGCAATACAATAAATTTTTATAGTTATATGGAAGCACATTTAATCTAGTAAAAAATCTTAGCTTAAGAGAGAGATGAATTAGAGAAATGGACAGTAGGAAGATAATAAAAAATAAGGAATCTAATTAGTTAACTTAGATAAAAATAGATTAATGAATTGAATGCACTTACATAAAGAATTTTAAGTGGATAAGAAGAATAAAGAAAAATAAGATCTTAAGAATTAGAAAAGTAATTAATTTATATATAATATAATTAGATTATTATAAAAATATTAAAATGTTAGAAAAGAATTAGAAAGTCAACAAGTTCAAGAGATTACTAGATTAGACAAATCATGTAAAAACTAATGTACATTATTCTCATTTAATTTTTAGCCATAATGTAATAATCTAGGATGAATCAATCAAGAATGTAATAAAGTTATGCTAAGGATGAAAACTAATATATTAGATGAGATTTAGTTATTATACTTTAAAAATATATAAATTTAAATTAAAATGGGTACTGTTTGTGTAAAAAAGCAACGACCTTCAAAATCTCTAAACACAAAAGCTTAGACTTCTTAAAACAAAGAAAATTAACCTTAACAACTGGGACAACCACCCTAATAAACTAATTTGATTAAAGTGAAAGAAAACTCATCTAAATAACTATTTTTAAGTGATGTAATATCAAATATTTATAATATAGTTTACAACTCCTAGGACAGATATGAATGAAAAATCTATTCAAAGTAAAAGTGAACTTACTAAAGTTGAACCTCTAAAATTTCATACCTCACTTAAAGAATCTGATAATAATTATTATTTAAATGAAGATGCTCCAGATTTAGATATAACTAATTAGGTATCAGAACCATTAATCTCAAACAATAAAGTTCTGAAGATTTTAAAATCTTTATAACCTTTTACATATGATTTGGATTATGATAAAAATTTTATTGATTGCATATCTTTACCTCCATAAGTAAGATTCATACCAAGTATTTTAGAAATTTATAAATACTGGCATTATATATGTAGGATAATGGAAGAATAAATAAAAATAAGGCAGAGGACGTTAATTTTGGCCTGATGGTACTTATTATGAAGGATATTGGTAAAATCATGGAGCAAGTGGGAAAGGCAGATTGATTCACCCAGATGGATCTTATTATGTAAATTTTAGGTTTTCTAAATTTACAGGAAGGTAATTGGATGGATGATTTACAATCAGGATTTGGGAAATTTGTAGATAATGAGGGTAATTATTATGAAGGAGAATGGAAGCATGATGAAAAGGATGGTTATGCTATTGAATATTGGATATCAGGAGATTAATATTAAGGCTAATATCTTTGTGGTATGAAAAATGGTAAAGGTAAGTATTTATGGGCAAATGGTAATAGTTATGAAGGAACTTATGTAAAAGATTAGATTCAAGGTATGGGAACATACAAATGGCCAGATGGTCAAGAGTATACTGGTGAGTGGTTTTAGAATTAAATGCATGGTAAAGGTACATTTAAATGGCCTAACGGTAATAAATATATTGGAGAGTATAAAGAAGATAAGAAAGATGGATAAGGAATTTTTTATTTCTCAGATGGTAGAACATTCAAGGGAACTTGGATTTAAGGTAAATAACATGGAGTTGGTGTACTTACAGAATTGGATGGAAAAGAAGCTGTTGGAATTTGGGATAAAGGAAAGTTAGTTTCAAAAGAATGATTATTTATATACCACACACTATTTAATATTTGTATAAATAATTTAAATTTCTATTTAAAAATAAAAAATGTAGTAGTCACATTCTTTTAGTTAGATATATTATTGAAATCAAATATCAATTTCAAAGTTTTGTTGAAGTTAGAATTATTTCTTAAAGAAAATAAAATTTTATCTTATAGAATATCAAATTAAAAATAATCTATATATTTTCTCTTAATTGAAAAAATAGTAGAACAAATTTTAGAGGAAAATGATGAAAGAGTATTTTCATTATTATTATTTAGTTTATATATTATTTTTAACTCAAAATATTCTCTACAAGTTGTTAAATTTAGAGATTTAAAGAAAAATATTAATATAATAATGCAAAGAATTAGTAAGTTAATATTTTAATATTTAATAATTTTGAATTTAACGATTAAAATGTCAGTTTATATTTGGGGAACAACACCTTCTTAAGAAGAAACTGCCACACCTAAACAAATAACTATAAATTTCCAAATAACCAAAGTTTCATGTGGAGAAGAACATATGTTATTTCTATCTAATACTAATTAATTATATGCATTAGGAACAAATAATTATGGTGTCTTAGGAATAGGAAGTGATGATTATTCTGAGAGATCATTGACACCTTAATTAATATAATCAAATATTATTGATATGGATTGTGGTTGGAATCATAATATTTCTTTAAATATTAACAATAATGCTTTTGTATGGGGAAAGGTTTTGAATGATATCACATAACCAAAATAAATAGGATAATCAATAAGATTTGTAAAATGTGGTGCTAGACATACTATGATGATAAATAACAAAAATCAATTATATGCAATAGGTGCTAATGATTCAGGATAATGTGGTATTCAAAACACTAAAAGAATAAATGAAGTCACTCATGTTATGGATAATGTTTTGACTGTAGCATGTGGTGTATCACACTCATTAATAAAAATTAATTAATAATTATTAGCTTGTGGATCTAATAATTTAGGATAATTGGGTATCTAAGGAGTTAAGAATTCCTTCAAACCAATATTAGTTGATATTCCAAAAGTAGATTAAATTGCTGCAGGAAATCATTCAGCTGCAATAAGTTGTGGAAATCTATATATTTGGGGATCAGGTTGTTTTGGAACATTTTCTAAACCTACATTATTTTTAAATGATATTGTTGATGTCAAATTAAATGGAACTCTTGGATTAGGTGTAGATACTTAAGGTTAATTGTATTCATGGGGTAGTAATGTAAATGGAGAATTGGGAGTAGGAGATACATAAACTAGGACAGAGGCAGTTAAAGTGTTAAAGAATATCTAACATTTTGGTGTTGGAATAAATTATGCTATTGCTATATCTAGACCACCTTAGCCTGTTACTACAGAAAAAGAATATTTGGCTAAGACTTTATAAATTGAAAGTGATGAAAGAAGTGCTTTAGAAAAAATAAATAGAGAATTGAAATCAAAATTTGTGGAATTGGAACAATGTAATATTGATTTGAGAAAACTTTTAGATGTTAAAAGTGAAGATATCAATAATTTATAAGTTTAAGTTGAAAATTATTCAAGTACAATGGCTAATCAAGAAAGTCAGATTAAAGATCTTAAATAATAATGTTAGAGACATTAAACTTTTTAAAAGGATGCCATTTCTAAATTAGAAAAATATGAAGATTTTATTGATAATTTGGAAAATTAATTGAAAGTAAAAAATGAAGAAATTGATGGTCTAACTAATTAATTATAAAACTTTAAAGATTCACTTAAATAATATTAGGATGATGAAACTTCATAACTTAATCAATTTAAAAATTAATTAAGTGAATTAACTGAATAATTAAATTATGAATAATAAGTGAATGAATAATTAGTAGAATAATACAGTAAAGAAAGGGAATCATTCTAATAAAGAGGTGTTTTAATCTAGTAATATGAATTTGAAATAGGAAATTTATAATCTTAAAATAAAACTTTAGCTTCACAAACAAGTAATTCATTATAATAACATTAAAAATTATCTGAAGGCTTAACTATTGCTAATCATAGAATTGAATCTTTATAAACTTAAAATGCAAAATTAATGTAAGAATTGAGTTTATTACGTACCAGTATTTATTCAGATTTATAAAAACCTTAAGCTTTAGAAGTATAAACTATTATAGGATTAAATAAAGAATTAACTGATTTAAATAACTAATTATAGAATAAACTTAGAGAAAAAGATGCTGATATTTTAAAATTAAAGTCTTAATTAGGAAATCTAGGAACACTTAAAGACAGTAGATAAAGTCTATCTTCTCAAATGAAAAATTCTTAATGTTAAAATTAATTGTCATAATAAAATTTGAATATTCCAAAGAAATAAAAATAAGAGAGTCCAAATGGAAAAACCATCTAAGAATTACTAGAATCAGCTCATAAACATGCCAAATATATGAAAAAGATTTTAAAATCTTCTGAAAATTTTGAATAAGACACTCCAAGTCCCAAAAAGAAATTAGAATTTTCAAAAGAAAATTCCTACATTAAAAATGATAGTTTGAGCGAAGTGAGAGACAGACTTAATAAATTATAATAGAATAGATAGTTATATGAATAAAAGCTAAGGATTTGATATAATTATGCGTTATTATTAATCTATTTTATAAATTGATTTTATTTATTTATCTTACTATAAAATATGAATACAAAAATAATTGAATTATGTCCATATAATAATTTATATTGAACTCATTAAAAAAGGATTGTTTTTAAAATTAGTAATTAATTTATGATGGAAATTATTTAATATATAATATTAACATTCATTTTTTTGGTGCTTTTTTAGGTTTCTTTGATGGTTCTATAAATATATATTTAATTCATACTTTTGACTTATTATAAAAAAGCTTAAATATGTTTAGCTGCCTCTGATTTCTTTTCTAATTCTATTTAATGTAGTTCTTTTAATCTTCTGAATTCCTCTTCTAACTATCTTTCTCTTCCCTTTTCTGAATCAACTGCTTTGAAATACTCTTATCTGTCTTTCAATTATTTCTCTATAGAGGCACATTCACTTTATAAATCAGTTAAATTTTTCATATATTCCTCCATCATTTGATCATATATTTGTATTGCTTCAGATAATGATTAATCTTGAACTTATTTACGCCTCTTCAAAGTTGCCTCTTCCTATGTATTCTCATCTTTCATTTTAATAAATCGAGCTCTCTAAGCTTATAACTCTGCTTATAATTTATCTTCTTTAGTTTTATGATCTTTTTCTAATCCCTCATACTTTGTCTAAATTTCTTTGGCCAATTAATCTTATCTCTTTTATTTATTAGCCTTAACTTCTGCAATAGATTATTTCAACTTCTCTATTTCTTCCTTCATTTTATTCATATTTGCAGTTCTTTCCTATCTAATTTTTTGTAATTCTTGTTCTAATTAACTTTTTGTCTTTTCTTATCCTGCAATCTATATTATATAATAATATAATTTACTTTAGACTTTAAATCTTCTAATTATTTAACATGACTATTCTATTCTTCTTATGCTGTACTTAATTTTTTTAACATAACTATTTTAATACACTTTACACAATGTAATAAATCACTCATTTCTGTGTTGATATTTGTTTTCATTCCTTTAATGATATCATAATCTTTAGGACAATGTTATAGTCTCCTTAATAAATTCTTGAAATTTTCTTATAATAAATTTTCTAATCTCTCTGATTCCATTTTCTTTGTCTCATCTATTTCTTCCCCTTGATTCAATGCTGTGTCTAAATTTGCATAAGGTCTATATTTCTATTCAATTTCAGCTTAAGATTGCAAAAGTTTCATAGTTTCTTCTGTTAGCGGTTACTTAGCATCTTTTAAAAATTTTCCAGTTTAAAAGCGTCCAATAAATTCAGTATCCAAATATAAACAATATTCTAAATTTTAGATAAGCTAATCCAAAACTCTTAAAACTCTTTAAGCTTCTACGATTGTTGGTTTTCCTATTATTGTAGACATTAAGTTCTTTATAATTTCTTAATGTCCCTCTTATAAAGATCTTTACTATTATTTAACTCTATTTTCACCAAGACTTGTTTCCATAGTCTTTGCAAATTGTTTGTGTGCTCCTTTCATTATTATTATATTATTTAATTTATTATTAATATAAAATTATCACTCCTTTTTTGTGCTAAGTTCATGAATATCTAAAGCAATGTTCTAAATTATGTTCAATTTTATTACTAAATCAATGGAATCTATGCTTCCTAAACGATGCCTCTAGACTTCCTATTCTTTATTGAGTGCTTCTTTAATTCTTAAAAATTTTTCCTTATGCTTTCTATCATATTGTATTTTTGCCTTTTTGTATTTATTCTATAGTTTTAAAATCAATTGAAAAAATACAAACCATAATTTATTTTCTAGTTCTATTCTTAAATAATAACTATATTAAATCGAAATCAGTTCCTAAAATAGAAACACATTTTTCTAATTTCTTTAAATCTTCTGGATTCCAACAAGGATTTGAATTTGATTTGTTAATTTTGGGTGCTTGTTATTTTTTTTAGATTCTGGGTCTCTATTTCAATAATTCTTTTAAGGTTTCACTATCCTTGGTACTGCCTTCGCTTGATAAGGAAGCCATAAAATAATTTATTTTATTTTATTTGCAATAAAACTGGTGGGGGCCATGACCAAGAGAGCGTAATATCAATAAATATTTTTATATTTTGTATTATTATTAATTTTATCGTGTATTGCTATCTCAAATAGTCCATGGCTATCCATTTACAACTGATCTTTCCCATGTTGGAAGAACACCTCTTTGATAATATGAATTTCTTAGAGGTTCAAAAAGACCAAAATGAGCCAATCCCAATGCTAACAACATTCAAAACCTAATTATATACCAATTGTTGTAAATAAGATTTCACGTCTGCCTCCCTTTCTAGATTGTCTCATAAAATAGTTGCTTGGTAATGTGGTAAACCATTATTTTGCCATCTTATTGTATATTTATATAAATTAAAATAATTAATAATTATCACTTAGTAATAAACTATTTTTATACTTATATTATTTTATTAGCACTTAATAATACATACTACTATCTAAAATTATCAAATTCTTTATCTAGACTCAAAAGTTAACTCGTTTAATTTTAAAGTATTATCATAATCATAGATTCTTAACTAAATTGTCTAAGAATTAAACAAAATATGCAAAATTTTATAAAAAGATTTTCTCGTAAATTAGAAATTTGTATATTATATACAATATATCAAGAACAGATAATTAAACCATGAATATATTTTCCAATATATTAAGTAGAAAAAACAAGAATTTTAAATTATTAAATTGTTCAATTAGATTTACAATTTTTAAATCAATAACAAAGGATGATATAAATCATTAAATAAATCTGAAATTTTTTAATGAATCCATCATTAATAATAAAAATTAAAATAATCACCACTATGAAGTATATATTAGATCTCCATCTATTCAGAGTGGAAGATTATTATTGTATTGTAAACATAGATTAATATGTTAGTAAAAAATTTAATTAATCAGGCAAATAAAAATATTAAAAAATTTTTCCGATACCGGGGATTGAACCCGGGTCCCCAGGGTGAAAACCTGATATCCTAACCACTAGACTATACCGGAAATGTTAATTTAATATTAGTGAATAGAATTTTATATGGCAAAACCATAGTAAGTGACCAACAATAATTAATTATAATTAACAATCAAAGTAATTAAATATTTTCTACTTTATTATTATAGAGAATATATGGATTTATAATAAAATTGAAATGGAACAATTCCTCAATTTACTTTTATTTAAGTTCAGATATAAATATTAGAATACATTTTCATTTAAATTATAAATAAAAATAGTTAAATTTATAAGAGTAAAATAATCATTTGCTTATATTACAAGAATCAGAATAATCAAAATTTTGTCTCATAAAAAATAAGAGAAGAACTTTATATTTTAGTAGAATAGGCATTAATTAAACTTACGATAAAAAAAAACTAATTAAAAAGTGACTCTTAATATAAAGAGATCTTGTTGATAGCAATTGTTATAAAATCACTCCTATTTATTTGATTACTCTGATTTTTTTTTTACTTCTTCCATAGCCTTGGTTTTGATTCTATTAATTTTATCAAATAAAAATTATTTTTCTTATTCTTCTGATTCCCAAGATGTCTTTGAAATTAGAATAAATCTATACTTCTGGTCCTAAACCTAATTTACTCAAATCTTCTTTTTCCATAAGACCATTATTCATTCTACATTGTAAATAGTCAACTTGATATTTTCTACATCTCTTTGGCATGTTCTCATGTTTTTGGATGCATTAATTATATTATTTTGCTTCATTATCACACTCATGAAAATGATCTAATGGAAATGCTCCCTTATCTTATATTAATAATTTGAATTACCTGGTCCTTTTGATGCATTCTACTTGCTTCTATTAGACATAATTAAAATTTAATCAATATTTATATATAGATATATATATATATAAAGTATCACATATGATAATTTTCTAAAATTGTTCTATATTTATCCTTTAAAAGTTTAAGTAATTAAAGATAAGCATTATGTTCAAGTTTATATTTCTAAGCATTTTCTTGAGCAATTTTGATTAGATTATCATTTTTTTTCATAACTACATTAATTGTTTTACCTGTTTTGAGTTTAAATTATACAGAAAATAATTTTTCATTTTTATTATCATTTAAATCAACACATTTTATAAGCTATTTATTTGGAGTTATAGATTTATAATTCAATTATCTCTCTGGAGTTCTATTAAATTAAGTATTAACTTGTTCTCTCAATTAAACTTAAATACCATTTGAAGATTTATTTCTATAACTATTTCTATTAGTGTTTTTACTAGGTTAATTGAGAGATTTGTTAGTAGCCATTTTAGAAATATAATCTTAACTGGATTAAGGATTTTATTCTGTTGTTAAAGTAGTTGATTTTGTTTGATGGTGATAATAATTATTTTAAAAGGATTTGATTTTATTGTTATTTTCATTCTCTTATTTAATAAATTAAGAGATTTCATAAATATTGATAGAATCTTTTTTTAATGGAACTTTTTCTGGCTTCAACTTTTACTCTTTTTATTAAAATATATCTTAATTAAAACTGTCGAAAATCTTTTCACATTCTACTTAAATGTAATTCTGAATTTCAGATATATATTTATCTTCAATTTCAGCTTAAAATTATTTAAATTAATCCAATCCATTTTTCATTGCATCTTAAATTAATATAAATTTATCTTAAGAATTATTCATTTCATTAAATGCTGATCTACTTGTATAAACTTAAGATTATAATTTAGAAGGGGATCTTTAAAAAATTACTTAAGAATTTTAATTTTAATTCTTATTAGTATCATTTTCAATCCATCTACTAATTCTTGAATTTTTAGGAGTATTATCACTACTAAATTAATTGAATTTATTTAAATTAACTTCTTGCTATTTCTATTAAGTCTATTATAATGTATTAGCATTTTTATTTGAAAAACTCATAACTTAATCTTATTTGATTGATGGACTATTTTGTGAATCGTTAAGAATAGAATTACTTAGATTCTCATTTTTTTTTCTTTGAGGGGAATCTTAATCTACTTATATGTAAGTTTAGACTCTTCTCAAATGAATTTATGATTAATTTACATTTAATTCAGATTATCTGAAGGACTGATTAACTTTTTGGTTATTATTATTTCCTTATGAATTATCAATTCTATTCGAATTTGGTGATACTTCACTTTCAGTTTGAGAAACATTACAGTTTTTTAATGAAATTCGATTAAATTTAAGGACAGAAATTGTGGATGATTTTTGATTTCTATAAGACATATTTCCACTCTATTACATCTATAATTAAAGAGTCTAAAAGAATAATGGAAATGAATACATAGATGAGATGACTAACATTTTATTTGGTAATACAGGATATTTCATGGTAGCTCATTCCATACTTTGCAGAGAATTTAAGGGCATTTTCACCTTTGTAGATGTAAATGAAGCATTTTTACTCGAAACTTTTCTTCGATCTATGAGATCAAGTTTATTGCCAACCAAATATGTACTCTTATTTTAGATTTCTGAATTGTAACGATTTTTTAAGTACTCTAAGCTGTTTTGATCACTAATGTCAAATAAATAGATTGCAACATCAGCTCTAGATGTAACCAATTCTAACTGGAAATGTTATTACAATAGTTCAATTAGAGTTCTTTTTCCAACACCATTTTTGCCTATGATTTAGAATTACATTATCATTAATTAATTAGTTGTTAATTTTATGACTTCCCCTTCACGTATACAAATTCAGTAAGCACTTGATCTTGAGAAACGATTTGAAGATGGTGATACTTAATACGAATAAATAGCTGAATTAGCCCTTATTTATAGATAGTTTATTGAATACTATGATTTGAATAACAATCCAATGAAATAATATTTTATAGAAAAGATGAAGCGTTTAATGTAATCACCTTGTACAATGTAATCCTTGATTGTTTCAGCCCCAAGTACAAGACGTAATTCACCTTCAGGTCAGGAAAATCTGAAACATTATTATCAGAATTATCAATATGAAACTATGAAAAATCAAACAATTACTCCTAGAGGAATTAAATAATTACAAAATGTAATTTATTAGTTATTTATTCTTACAGGACTTTTTATATTAGAAGGAGAATATTGAGAAGATTATCAATAATGATTATGCCAAGTAGTTATAGTAAGTAACGGAAAAATTATAGTTAAGAAAATAGAAAAAGGGTCCAAATAAAAAATCTCCAAGCAGAACCTTTACTAAAATTTACTAACCTCCTACTCTAGATATGCTTGATTTATGATTGATAGTTGTTATTCATATTTGGATAGTTGTTTAATAATAAAAATTATTAATATAATTAAAATATTCGTAATTTAATATAATTTGATTATTTCCATCTACTTTTTTAATATATTATTATTTCAAATATGGCAAGCAAAATAGTTGTACTTGCTAATTTTTAAATCTTTAATCATAGATCTGATATAATTATTAAAATTAGTAAAGCATATGTCTCTTAATTGTCCTAACAAATAGTTTAACTCTGAATACTATACTCTGCTTAATGGATTAGAACAAAGTTTCTTTAAAGAGGAGACTGATTAAAAAGACTTAATGCAATTAATATTAAGTATAGCCCATTTAGTTGAGTATTTTGATTTGAAAAAAGATCCTCTTAAGGACTATTTTTTGGAGAAAATGCAATTTATTCTTTCTAGACCTTTTACAATCTGTAATTTAAAAAAGAAAGAAGATGATACATCAAATATAGAAATGAAGAAGTCACGCTTCTCTCATTTCTCTTAAAATGTTTAAAAATTAGAGATGTAATCATTATTATAGAGTAACTCAGAAGAAAACGAAGAAAGAATAAAATTATTATAAGAAGTAAATAACTCATCTATAATAATAGGATTATGAAAAATAACTCAAAGATCAAACTTTATTAGTTTAAATGGATTTGAACCATTAGATGGGTAAATTAAAAAATAAACTTCTTCATCGAAAAAATAAAAGTTTGTTTTCTCCTTCTTGTAGAATCAATAATGAAGAGGATTAATTTAAGAGATAGAATCGATAAAATACATGCTAAAGTCCTAATTCTTAGAATTCTTAAATGGAACAATTTTGTCTTGATGATGCATGTCCAAATGTGACATTACAAAATTAATGAATATAAAATAAGCTTTGAATAATTAAAAATAACAAGTTATTGATATATTTCTTTTAACAATCATTTAGATTAATCATCATTTCCTTCTTCTATAAGTGCTTCTTGACTAGTGATTGCTTTAAGTATAATTTTTTTACTTGGCTCTTAAAGAAAGCCAGCCAATAGCAATTCATCTAAAATGTAATAGGCTTTGTGGAAATTAAAGATGAGATCCAATTCACAGACATTACCAAAATACTTATCTAAGACTTCCACAAAATGATGAATGATCTCTAATATCAACAGTTCATTATCCTCCTTATCACAAATAGCTATGAAATAAAGTGAGGCATATCGCTTATAAACAATTTTGTATTCAACATACTCCAAGAAATTACACATCTTTTGGCCGCGTGTCAATACTAATGAGTTTATCTTTACAATAATATTGATATCAATACTTCTTTCAAAAAACGTTATTTCTCTTTTGTAGTAAGTGATTGATTATACCACTTAGTCAATCTGGTCTTGCCTTATCTGCTAACTAGAAATAAACACTAGATCATTAAGAAGACTCTTTGATTATTTAATTAAAAAATGTTACTTGTGAATGAATCCATAAATGTAATAATTCTATGTATACTAAGGTTACAATTCCTTCATATCAATAAGAATCATCAAGTGTTCAATATATGATTGATATTAAGACAAGAAATAAATAGTAATGGCAAATTTCAAAGCGCTATTCTTAATTTGAAGATTTACACAAGAAATTGATACCACTCTTTCAAGAACTCCCTGAATTACCAAAGAAAGCTTTTATTACTTTCTTAGTAGGAAAATCAAAGGAATAATTAGAGGATAGAAGAGCTGGTTTAGAGAAATATCTTTAGTAATTAATAGTTCGTCGTGAAATATATCATTCTTAATTACTTCGAGATTTTTTGCAGGTATAGCAATCTGTAATAAGCTTGAATAATGCGAGGAAATTCTCCCACCTAATCTACTTCATTCATTTAAGACAATAATGGGCATACGTGATATTTCTTTGTCTGATTAAGGAGTGATGTTTCTCTTATAAGCAGATATGAGTGTTTTAAATAGAGTGGATGCTTATGTTAATAACATGAAGATGCCATGGGATTCAGAATAGGGTGAAGTCAAAACCATACCAGTAGGATAAGTTGAATGTTATCTAAAGTAAGAAGAAGGTGAATTTTGTTATAAAAAATTATGGACTAAAGAATATAGTACTTAAGCAATTTGTATGTTTTATGAACCCATAACATGCTCATTGCTTATTGGGTAATTTTATTTAAGAGACTAATTAGATTGGACTCAGGAAATATAAATTTTATAAAAGTTTCTGAAAGAGATTCATTCTAAAAGTATGATTAAAGTATTGATATTGAAATACATATGAGCAGAATTATGGGTTTATTTTATAGAAATGGATAAATTCACTCAGTTTCTAAGGATACTCATTATAAAGTCATAGATATGGAATAAGGTGGATTAAAATCAGGTTCAAATTTGACTTATTATTCTAGATTTTTCAATTGGTAAACATGAATTAACATCATTGACATATAATGAATAGAGATAAATCTCTATTGTTGGTAATAGGAATGGTTAAATCTATATATTAAACATTAAGCCTGCATAACCAATAGTAATGTTGTAGGTTGAAACAACCACATCATTTATTAGAGGTTTAGTTTTGGATTATTAGAAAAACTATTTAATATCTGTTTCTTATGATGATGGTGTGATTTGTGTATTAGATGTTGGTAAATGCTTACAAGACAATGTTGGAAAAATAAAAACAAAAATTTAAGCTAAAATTAAAGTATAATAAATCGATTACCATTAATTTCTAGACTAGAGAAGTTTAATGGTCAAGTAAACGAGGTGAATTATTCGTTGGAAATGATGATGGAACTGTAACTATTTATAATGCACTTGATTTATAACCTTAATGTATTTTCTTTTATTATTTTAAGTTGTACTAAAAGCACATGATAAAGCCATTACTAAATTAATTTGGTAAGAATCAACCCAGATTCTTATAACTGGTGGAAAAGATGAAATTATTAAGTGGTGGCATTTTCCAAAAAAATGGAAAGCTGGTGATTAAGATGAATAGGCCAAATCAAAACAATTGATTGAAGCCAAAATGGAGAATATATTAAAATTGTAAAATTAGAATCAAAAAATTGATTCAGATGAAGAAGATGAAACAGGTTTAGGCAATTGGCATAAATGATATAGTATGATGACTTCATCAAATTTTTACAAAATTATATTATTAATTTATCAAAATGCAGGATTAACAATCAATCAATGTAAGATTGATAGTATAAATCTTAGATCCAAATTAATTCTTATTCATATGAGAGTACAACCATATTTTATTAAATTTCAGTCAAAGTTGGAATTAAATAATGGATTGTATAGAAGAGATATTCATAATTTGAAGAGTTGAATCGTATACTTGAATTAACATTTAAATAGTTGCCTTAATTACCTAAAAAAAATTTTATTACTTTTTTAGTTGGCAAATCAATTGAATAGATAAATGAACGCAAATATGGATTATAACATTATTTATAAACATTAGCATCCAGAATAGAAATTTTAGAATGTGAGGCATTTTAATCCTTTTTAAAACTATAATAGACTGAATAATTCATTAAATAAGAATTATTCAAAGAAAATATCATTGAATAATAATAATAAGAGAGTCCTACACAAATAAAATAAGAAATAGAGAGTGAATAAAAATTATAACCTATTCCTGAATCATTATTTATTAGCAAAAGAGATTAAGAATAATAAACCTCATTTATAGAGAATTAAGTGGAATAAGAAAAAAGTAACTCGATTGAATAATTTGAAAATTAATAATCATCAGATATTTAATAAAAGGAATCAAATGAAAATGCTGAATTAATAGTGGAAATGAAAGCTTAGCTTTAAGAATATTATGATCAAATAAGTGAAAAAGATCTTATTATTTAAAATTTTAATCAAAAAGAACTTGAAACCTAAGAATATTATAATCAATAAATTTATGAAAAATAATATCGAATTAATGAATTAAATGGATAACTTAATTAATATTAAGAAACATATTCAGAATTATAGAAATAATACTAAAATATGTAAAATCATATGGAAGAGTTGAATATAAAATTTTAAGAGAGCCAACAATAATCTGAATTGTTAGAATAATAGCTTCATTAATAATAGAATTTTATATAGCAATAATTTACATCAATAGGTTATGAGAACTTAAACCAAATATAATTATAGTAAATAATAATTGAATAGTAAAAGAAATTAGATGAATAAATTCAAGTAAATAAAGAAAAAGAATTTGAATTTAAATAAGAATTAGATAAGCATTATTTAGTTGAAGTGCAAAGAGATGAACTATTTTAAGAAAATTAATTATTAAAAGAATAATTAGAGGAAGAATTATTAAATAGAAATGAATAAGCTGAAACTATTGAATAATTAAAATTATAATTGGAAAATTTATAAATGTAATTAAAAGAAAAATAAGAAATTTTAGAAATTAAAAATGAATTATCATGATTAAATAAATATTCTGATATCTATCAATTAAAACTAAAATTAAGATATCTTCCTGTTCCTTGTTTTATAACATCCTAAAATTATTTTATATTATACATGTATAGGTGCTAATAATTTTGTAAATGATTATTTGTCCAATCCTAAAAGGATACAATCAGTTTCACAAACAATAGTTGCCTATCTATGTATTTCTTTTAACATAGCCAATTCCCCAAAATAATCAAATTCACAAAATTCAAATACACATTATTCTTCATCTTCATCTTCTTCTCCTTTTTTAAATGCTTTCAATTAACCCTCTTGAATTAAATAAAAATAATCTCCTTTATCTTTTTATTTAAACACTACATCCTCGGCTTTGAAACTTACTACATGTAAAGCATCTGCAATTTATTATCTAAGGTAAGGATCAATTTATTGTAAAATTGGAAATTTTTGCAAAATCCCATCATATCTAATATTAAATTGATGATTACCTCTATCGTTTTTCTAAAACAGGTTATTTAATAAAAGTATCAAATGTTTCTTTGTCAAGTACCCATAATACACAATCTGTAAAGGCCATTATTGTTGCAGCTCTTTTTTCATTATATAGCAAAGCCATTTCACCAAAAAAATCTCCAGGCTAATAAGATTTAACAATTTTTTCTTCATTTTATTTGTTTCTCTATTTACAATCTAATAGTCCTTAATCAACTAGAAATAATTAATCACCATCATCTCCTTATTTAATTATGGTTTCAGTAGCTCTAAAGAATTTTATAATGAATAATACTTATATTTTTTCTCTTCCATTGCATTAGCAACAATCTCTTTTTATTGATCATTTAAGTGTTTAAACAAATAGCATGTATTTATTTTTTTTTAGACTCTGGATTTTTGATCTTTATTTTTTGGAATTACTTTGTGATTTTTTTAAGAATTAATTAAAGAATTAATTTAAGATTAATGTTAATTTGATAGAATTGATTCTTATTATTATGCTTAATGTATTTATGATAAAGCNTAAATGTAATTAAAAGAAAAATAAGAAATTTTAGAAATTAAAAATGAATTATCATGATTAAATAAATATTCTGATATCTATCAATTAAAACTAAAATTAAGATATCTTCCTGTTCCTTGTTTTATAACATCCTAAAATTATTTTATATTATACATGTATAGGTGCTAATAATTTTGTAAATGATTATTTGTCCAATCCTAAAAGGATACAATCAGTTTCACAAACAATAGTTGCCTATCTATGTATTTCTTTTAACATAGCCAATTCCCCAAAATAATCAAATTCACAAAATTCAAATACACATTATTCTTCATCTTCATCTTCTTCTCCTTTTTTAAATGCTTTCAATTAACCCTCTTGAATTAAATAAAAATAATCTCCTTTATCTTTTTATTTAAACACTACATCCTCGGCTTTGAAACTTACTACATGTAAAGCATCTGCAATTTATTATCTAAGGTAAGGATCAATTTATTGTAAAATTGGAAATTTTTGCAAAATCCCATCATATCTAATATTAAATTGATGATTACCTCTATCGTTTTTCTAAAACAGGTTATTTAATAAAAGTATCAAATGTTTCTTTGTCAAGTACCCATAATACACAATCTGTAAAGGCCATTATTGTTGCAGCTCTTTTTTCATTATATAGCAAAGCCATTTCACCAAAAAAATCTCCAGGCTAATAAGATTTAACAATTTTTTCTTCATTTTATTTGTTTCTCTATTTACAATCTAATAGTCCTTAATCAACTAGAAATAATTAATCACCATCATCTCCTTATTTAATTATGGTTTCAGTAGCTCTAAAGAATTTTATAATGAATAATACTTATATTTTTTCTCTTCCATTGCATTAGCAACAATCTCTTTTTATTGATCATTTAAGTGTTTAAACAAATAGCATGTATTTATTTTTTTTTAGACTCTGGATTTTTGATCTTTATTTTTTGGAATTACTTTGTGATTTTTTTAAGAATTAATTAAAGAATTAATTTAAGATTAATGTTAATTTGATAGAATTGATTCTTATTATTATGCTTAATGTATTTATGATAAAGCTTATTATTATTATTATTATTATTATTATTATTATTATTATTATTATTATTATTATTATTATTATTATTATTGCTATTATTATTATTACTATTATTGTTATTATTATTGTTATTATTGTTACTATTATTTTATTAATTATTCCCTACTCTCTGTTAAAGAATTCCTTTTTATTAGTTAATTGTCTAAAATTTCCTACTCATCTCTTGAATGTATCAATCCTTATTAACTTTATTAGACAGAGTTTACTTAAGATGATTTCATTTACTATAAAGATTATTCTCTTGGAGTATTATTAACCATAATTTATGGTTATGCTTATTTCATTGTAACTGGTTGTAAATACATTGGATTCGATTAAGTTGATGATTTCTTGAAAGACTTATTCATATTGCTTTACGGTTGTTAAAACTTTTATGTTAAAACAGATTATTATTTTTAAAATGGATGAGCAGATTTTTTAGGATCAGCAACAATTGGAGAAGGACTTAGTTGATCACCAGAACCAAATTTAGGATCTTGATCAAAATGATGTTCTACTTCATGCTAACTACCCTCAAAACTTTTCTGTTATATATCACTCTATTCTAATCCTTATTTTGAATGATTTTAATGTATTAATTATTAACTAATAATCTCATTTTGACTATTAATAGGTTAATTAGAATGTTAATGAGACAATTGTTAATTGGATTAAAGATTAGGAATATGATTAGCTGAGCCTGGCTAATTTGATTACTATCTGTTCAATAAAGGATTTTGTAAAGATGAAACTTAACTTCTTCTTGGAGTTCCTGCTTGCATTTAATTATGAGATTGAACAGGTAGGGTTACTGAGAATGGTACATTTTGCTTTTCCTAAGGCCTGTATTGTTAACCTGTTGTTACGAGCCATTAAGTCATAAATTCAACCTTATTATCATTCTAGCCATATTACAGGATCTTCAGGTTTTGCGATTAGCAATTCAATTAATAATTTCTCGAAAAGTGGATGCACTTTACTTGCTAAATATGATCTGCTATCTTATTCTTCCATTTCAATATAAATAAATAATATTAATTATATATTATTACTTTTTCAATAATGAGAATTTGAAATTTATTTATTTAATCATTAAGTGTAATTATTTTTCCTTCTTTCTTAAATTATATATTATAACTTTTCAACGATATTCTTTATTTATACTGGTTATTCTTATATCTTCATTTTATCAACTTCATTATTGTTTTTTGGAAGCATAAATTATATTTTTTTTATTGAATCTTCATTTTTAAGGTATTTTATAATAAGTAATTAAGCATTTTTTAATCTAACTTAAAGAATGGATGATATTTGAATTCTTTTATAATCTTTAGTTTAACCAGATTAATGATTTTCCAATAAAAATTGAACCATCCATTTAGCAATCTTATAGAAAGAATATTTTTATTGCTTTTATGATGTATAGTAGTAATAAAAATCAAAATAATCTATTCCAATTATGACTTCATTCTACTATCCATTATTTTCTATTTTTATAACTTTAAATTCTTCATAATTAAACATTTAGAGATTTTTTTAATCTATTAATTCTTCTTTTTAAATCATAGATGATGATATTGATTTTAATGATTTCACTCCAAATCCAGAAATTTTAATTTAATCATTTACATTTTTTGAAGAGATTTTGAATTGAATAATTAACCAATGAATTGGCAGTAAAGAGATTGGAAATTTACTATCTAAAGGTACTTCATTATTAAAATTGACACAAGGATATTTTAAGAAGAAAAAACACTCATTTTGATTATATTTAAGGTTGCCTTTCTTTTATAATTAATTATAGATTTCTTAAATGGTTGCATATTCTTCAAATTTTAAATTATAAAATATTTCATTCGTTATATCTTCAAGCAATAAAATTATTGAGGTTGGATAATTTTTATGAATCATCTCAACTGTAAATAAATCTAAACCAAAATTTGAGATATCAGCTATATTTAGAGTGAGATTTTTGAAATTCACTTTCTAATTTAATTCCAATTAAAAGAATCCTTTGTTAGAATTCATTTCAACATCATCAAAAATATATTAAAATTATTGGTTTGAATCCTATTTAACCATTTAAATATCAATAATGCTATCTTAGAATGAGGGATAGCCAGAAAAATCACAACAATCCTCTAAACTTGTCAATTAATAAGCTAATGTAAAGTTTGAGTGTTTTAACAAACCTTAATCAAAATCAGAAGTTTTTTTGTATTCCTATAAGGCAAGAACTATTAGTTCACAAGCTAAAATATTCTTATCGACATATAGAGTTTTTGAGTATTCTGAGTTGAAATAATTAATAGAAATTTATTTTAGATTTTTCTATAAACTTGTTTTTAAAAGGGGAGTCATTAACGATCTTTTTAATGAAACCATTGAAAGAGTTCGTGCACTCCTTTTGTTATTTCTATATCTTTTAAACTTTTCTTATTCATAAATGACTTACGAAAAAGATTTTGTATGTCCTCTATAGGATGTATTACTTCTCTTTAATACAGGTTTCTATGGTAATTCATTAGATTTTTCTTTTTAATCTTCATTAATTTCTAGAGTTGCCTCATTTTCATTAACTTCACTAAGGCTACTTTGATTATTTGTTCTAACGAGTCTATCTATTTTTAGATTAAACTCAGAATCCTAGCTACTTTTGATAATATTAGTAACGTTAGAAGCCTGATCCTATTATTAGCACTCTTAATATAGAAATTCAATATTATTCCAATCAAATTCTTTGCTATCTAATTCTTTTGATGAACAAGTGCTTTTAGATTAGTTGATCCATTAAATTGGCTATTCCTGCATTTGCAAATAAAAAATGTCCATATTAATAAAATAAGATAAAATAATAATAATTTTAAGCTTATTCTTATATTAAGATACTTTTATTGATAAAAAATATTTCTACATAATTCAAAAAGCTTAAGATTGCTAATTTGTTCTATTTATGCAAATGATATTGATTTTTTAAATATTTATAAGAAATAGTATTAAATAATCAAATAGCAAAAACTATTTCTTAATAATAATAATTAAGAAAATGGATAAATTGTAATAATTAATTTATGAGTTCTTCAATAGAATTTTTTTTCTATATAAAGAGTACAATAATATCTCAAAAATAAATAGTCTAAGAAAAACACAATTAGGAACTGAAAATTAAATTATTTGAGTATTCAATTCTTTAAAAGAAAATAACATGCTTATTATAGTATAATTAATCAATAATAAGAAAGTGAATAGATTATTAAAATTCTGGATATTCAAATTGACAAAAAATTAAAAGTAATTCAGTTAATCTTCGGAATTTTAAATCAATTTTGAATTAAAATTACTAGAACTTAAATGGATTAAAGAAAAACAAAAGAAAATTTTCAATCCTGTTTAAAAAATTATCTAAAAGGAAACTTTAGTAACTATTCTTTGAAATTTTACTGATATTCAACAATTTTCAATCCAGAATATATAATCTTTTATTTTATTTTATTCAATAATAATAATAAATATATTTGTGTCAAATAAAATTATACAAATGATGACCTAGTTTCAAAATTATCAAAACTACTGTTATTAATATCCAAACTTTGGATGTTCTAATACTTCCTATATCATCAAAGTCAGCTTCTGATCCAATAGCCCATTCAAGCATCTACTAATATAAGGGATATTATAATTGTCCGATAACAATATCACCTGATTGAAGAAGGAGCATAATTTCTGAATAGAATTTTTGATTAAGAATGACAAAATCAAGTATTGCATTTTTGTGTATACATTATCTGATATCTTCTAGTTTTAAAAACTCTAAAAATTAAGGTAATAATAATACAAATTGATTATTATTATTCACGATTGTATTATACAGTAGATAGATTAAGATAATAGAATTAGTTTGAATCACTTAAATAATTATATGTTTGAATTAACAGATTATAACTGTGAAGTTTAAGTTTGACTATTCTGTTTTTGATGCCTATTTCCTTTGTCAAACAATTCAATTTAATAACTTCATATCTCTCATATGAGAATTGATATGGGCGTATAAAGTAATGTTGAGTACCATAAATAATATATAGATGATCTTCAATAGTTTCATATTTAATTAATTCTTTCCAATTGGATTTGAAAGATGAATCATACTAAATAGGTTTAAAATAAATTACAATATTTGTTACTTCATCTTAATAAATAGTGCTTGATGAACCAAATCCTGAGAAAACTGACATTTAATAATGAATGATAGAAATTTTGATTTATTATTGAAATTCATCTAAAATAATAATGATTAAATTGATAATATCTCTAGATTTATTCTAAGAACTTTCAAATGGAATATTAACAACATATTATCCCTTATGAAAGAGATGAAATGTTGTAAAAAATGGAATATCTTATTGTTTAATATAACTAAAATAATATATTCATTTACTTCATCACTGAGATATATTAAATATCATATGTATTACTGATAATTAGTAATTACATGTTAGAAGAATAAAAGTTAATAATACGGTCTTATTAAATAGATTCAAATTTGTTTATAGATCTATCTCTATATACATAATGAATCATATTATATTAATGTATTGTAGTCATATAGAAGTTTTGATGCATCAATTATGATTTGTAATACTCTCCTAAATAGATGGTTTGGAATATGAGTTTTATTGATACCCATTTATTGAATCCATAATACTCTACATCGAAGATTTCTTCGGCATCGATTTAATATACACTCAAAACTGTTTAAGTAATGTACTAGTACAATTGTTGTAGTCAATAATGTATATCAGATTATTGTTCAGATGTGTGTCTATTGCACAGTCTATTTGATACTAAAAAAGGATTGATTCATCTTATAAGTATTTAAGATAAGTGCATTCATTATCAAATTCACGAATTTGTTAAAAATGGGCTTTGATTTGGTATATTAGAGTGTGCTAATTTTCAATCTAAATTTAATCATTTATAGGTTCTCTAAGACTGGTGCCATAACGATAGTAGAAGTATATGAGAGATTATTTAAATTCCATTCGATTAAAGGTTTCAATGATGAGCACAATTAAGGCCCCGATTAATTGAATTATNTTATTTAGAACAATAAAGAAATGGATAAATTGTAATAATTAATTTAAGAGTTCTTCAATGTTTTAGAATAGAATTTTTTTCTTTCTAGAGAGTTCAATAAGATTTTTATATCTCAAGAGAATGCTAAATAAATTGCATAAGAAAAAAAATATTAAGAACTGACAATTAAATTATTAGAGTTTATTTTATCTATTCATAAAAGCAACTAACACTCTGCATTATAAGATAGAATTGCTTAAACTTAAAAACTACTATTAAATTACCATAGTTAAATCAATCAATCATAAAAAAAGGAAATATAACCATTAAATTAAAATCTTGATATTCCTACAGTCAGCAATTATAAAAGTAATCCAGTCACTCCTAGAGGTGTGTAAATCAATTAAAGTAAAAGTGTTTAAAACTTACATGGACCTGAGAAAAGACAAAAGTCTAATTAGAACCCAGTTTAGGGAATGTCAAAAGGAACCCCAAATAGTTCATCCTAATAGAGGTTTTTTATCGAAGATATTCCTAAAATGGGTAAATCTCAGGTAAAAGATGATTAATAAAGGAATTATAATATTATTACTGGTTTGTGAAAGAAATTGAATAATATGATTTATGAGCTTCAATATTAATCATATAAATATTATACATTAATCCTTATACATATTGATTTTGTATCAAATTATTCACCCTATTTCCATATAGTTAATTATGCAATCACAATTCCCAAAAGAGTTAAAATAATCAAAATTTAATTGATAATACAACAATAATATATATATATAATTCTAAGAATATAGATTACTGTTTAAATTCAGAATTTATAAGATGCATACTTTTATACCCATTTATAAAATTCATAATACATTCTATTGATACTATCTATATATACTCTAAACTGTTTAATTTATATACTAATTCTTAATTATGTTAAAATTATCTAATATTTATATTTCATTTTGTATTAAAATGACAAAATATAATTATTGAAAGTAGAATACAATAAAAAAAGATGCTTATTTATAATCTTCAGAATTATTCTCTTCTAAACTTTTATAAATTTAAATTGCGTTTTACTTGGCATCTCTTTTAAAAACTATTTATAAAGGAAATCGTATATCTATTAGAAATTTGAATAAGAGCATCATTAAGTACTTTAATACTACTCTCTTTAATAAAGTATTAATAAACAATCATATTCCCTAAGATGATAATTATCAATTATGATAACAATTAAGGCCCTTATTAATTGAATTAAAAACATAAAATTAATGTAATAAGTAATTCCAGCACCCAGAGTTTAAGTAACATAACCATATGCAGGCTAAAAACCAGGTACTTCAGGCTTACGTAAGAAGGTGAGTGAAGCAACTTAACCAAACTATTTAGAGAACTTTGTGCAAAGCATTTTCAATACATTACGCAAAGATGAATTAAAGCGTATCCAATAATAGTAATTTTATTTAGCAAGAAATGTTCTATTTGTTGGTGGAGATGGAAGATACTTTAATAGATAAGCTATTTTCTAAATAATTCGTTTAGCTTATGCAAATGATATAAGTGAAGTGCATGTTGGTTAAGCAGGTTTAATGTCTACTCCTGCCTCTTCACATTATATTCGTAAAGTAAATGAAGAAGTTGGAAATTGCATTGGAGGAATAATTCTCACTGCTTCTCATAATCCAGGTGGTAAAGAACATGGAGATTTTGGAATCAAATTTAATGTAAGAACAGGTGCTCCTGCTCCAGAAGATTTTACTGATTAAATCTATACAGTAATTATATTTATTTATATATATTAGCATACAACTAAAATAAAAGAATATTTAACAGTAGATTATGATTTCGAGAAATATATAAATTTAGATTAAATTGGTGTTTACAAATTTGAAGGCACTAGATTAGAAAAATAACATTTTGAATTTAAAGTAGTTGATACAGTTTAAGATTATACTTAATTGATGTAAAAACTTTTTGATTTTGATTTGCTTAAAGGATTATTTTCAAATAAAGGTAAAATTAATTTAATATTAAATAAAAAGATTTTTCATTTAGATTTGATGGAATGCATGGTGTTGCTGGACCTTATGCTAAACATATTTTTGGAACTTTATTAGGATGTTCAAAGGAATCTCTATTAAATTGTGATCCATCAGAAGATTTTGGAGGTGGTCATCCAGATCCAAATTTAACTTATGCTCATGATTTAGTTGAATTATTAGATATTCATAAGAAAAAGGATATAAATACAGTTCCATAATTTGGAGCTGCATGTGATGGAGATGCAGATAGAAATATGATATTAGGTAAATAATTCTTTGTAACACCTTCTGATTCCTTAGCAATTTTAGCTGCTAATGCTAATTTAATATTTAAAAATGGTTTATTAGGAGCAGCTAGATCAATGCCAACTTCAGGTGCTTTAGATAAGGTAGCAAATAAAAATGGAATTAAATTATTTGAAACACCTACAGGTTGGAAATTTTTTGGAAATTTAATGGATGCAGGATTAATAAATTTATGTGGTGAGGAAAGTTTTGGAACAGGATCTAATCATATTAGAGAAAAAGATGGAATTTGGGCAGTTTTAGCATGGTTGACTATTTTGGCATATAAAAATAAAGATTCTGATCATTTTGTCACTGTTGAAGAAATAGTTACTTAATATTGGTAATAATATGGTAGAAACTATTATTCAAGATATGATTATGAATAAGTTGATTCAGCAGGTGCTAATAAAATGATGGAACATTTAAAAACAAAATTCTAATATTTTGAAGTATTTATTATATTTTAATATAGTAATTGAAAGAAGGAAATAAAGCAGATATTTATGATTATGTTGATCCTGTTGATCAATCTGTATCAAAAAATCAAGGTGTAAGATTTGTTTTTGGAGATGGATCTAGAATTGTATTTAGATTAAGTGGNGCTTCTCATAATCCAGGTGGTAAAGAACATGGAGATTTTGGAATCAAATTTAATGTAAGAACAGGTGCTCCTGCTCCAGAAGATTTTACTGATTAAATCTATACAGTAATTATATTTATTTATATATATTAGCATACAACTAAAATAAAAGAATATTTAACAGTAGATTATGATTTCGAGAAATATATAAATTTAGATTAAATTGGTGTTTACAAATTTGAAGGCACTAGATTAGAAAAATAACATTTTGAATTTAAAGTAGTTGATACAGTTTAAGATTATACTTAATTGATGTAAAAACTTTTTGATTTTGATTTGCTTAAAGGATTATTTTCAAATAAAGGTAAAATTAATTTAATATTAAATAAAAAGATTTTTCATTTAGATTTGATGGAATGCATGGTGTTGCTGGACCTTATGCTAAACATATTTTTGGAACTTTATTAGGATGTTCAAAGGAATCTCTATTAAATTGTGATCCATCAGAAGATTTTGGAGGTGGTCATCCAGATCCAAATTTAACTTATGCTCATGATTTAGTTGAATTATTAGATATTCATAAGAAAAAGGATATAAATACAGTTCCATAATTTGGAGCTGCATGTGATGGAGATGCAGATAGAAATATGATATTAGGTAAATAATTCTTTGTAACACCTTCTGATTCCTTAGCAATTTTAGCTGCTAATGCTAATTTAATATTTAAAAATGGTTTATTAGGAGCAGCTAGATCAATGCCAACTTCAGGTGCTTTAGATAAGGTAGCAAATAAAAATGGAATTAAATTATTTGAAACACCTACAGGTTGGAAATTTTTTGGAAATTTAATGGATGCAGGATTAATAAATTTATGTGGTGAGGAAAGTTTTGGAACAGGATCTAATCATATTAGAGAAAAAGATGGAATTTGGGCAGTTTTAGCATGGTTGACTATTTTGGCATATAAAAATAAAGATTCTGATCATTTTGTCACTGTTGAAGAAATAGTTACTTAATATTGGTAATAATATGGTAGAAACTATTATTCAAGATATGATTATGAATAAGTTGATTCAGCAGGTGCTAATAAAATGATGGAACATTTAAAAACAAAATTCTAATATTTTGAAGTATTTATTATATTTTAATATAGTAATTGAAAGAAGGAAATAAAGCAGATATTTATGATTATGTTGATCCTGTTGATCAATCTGTATCAAAAAATCAAGGTGTAAGATTTGTTTTTGGAGATGGATCTAGAATTGTATTTAGATTAAGTGGTACCGGATCTGTAGGTGCAACTATTAGAATCTATTTTGAATAATTTGAATAATTAGATATTAAACATGAAACAGCTACTGCTTTAGCAAATATTATTAAGCTTGGATTAGAAATTAGTGATATTGCTTAATTCACAGGAAGAAATGAACCAACTGTCATAACTTGAACAATCAATCAATCAAACATATTAATAAATAAATATTATTATTATTTTAATTTAAGAAACTTATGTTTAAATTATTTAATTATATTAGAAAAAAGTAATTAATTATATTTTTAGAATAGTTTTTCATTCTATAAAACTTCATGTATTCTCTAATATTAAATGAATGGTTTACAAATAATTTGTTATTTAATGTAATAACAATTCTTGCATTATGAGACCAAAAACAAAGTTTAAATTACATATATTAATTTAATTGTTATGATAAATAGTAATGAAGTTTCTCCTATAAAAATGTCTAATGGTATTAATTGGTGTTTAATTCCAAGAATAGAAATAAGACATTATGAAATCGATATTGAAAGAAGAATCTATGATAAATATTACATTAAAACCTTTAGAGCAAGAGGTTTTCTTAGCTGAAGATCCATAAGTAGCATTGCTCAAATTGAAATGTTTCTAGGAACTAATCAACAAAGAGAGGTAACTTATAGAGCTGATTGTAGATTAGCGTATGCAGAACATCTAGCAGAAGTATTTGAATTAATAGGAGATGATGCTTATAGAAATCTAGGATTTATTTTAAAGCAATTTGTAAATGCTGTTAAATACTTATTTACAAGGTTCATGATTCATATTCAATCTAATTGTCTATTATTAGATAGTTGCCTCTACTTGTAGAACAAATAAAGAAACGATAATCTGGATATGTGGAATTGAAAGATCATGTTTTACCATTTATGAATATATTTCTTGAGCATTAAGACATTGATGTAGAATGATAATATTATAGTATTAGATCAAAAAAGAAGTCTTAATTCAATTACTTAAAATAGCACCCTTTTTAATTGAATCAGATAAAGTTGATACTATTTTAGCACATTTAATTGAAATGGCTCATGATGAGAAAAATAACTAAAATCGTATGTTGGCAGCTGAAACATTTGGTAAATGTGCTACTCTCTTTTCAATGAAATATTGTGAATCTTATATTTGTGGAGAACTCTTATCACTTGGTATAGATTTAAATGAATTTGTAAGAGAAAAAGCTATAGAACAATTGCCATAATTATCAGTAAGTCTCTCTTAAAAATGCATAGAACTTAAAATTATACCATTCTTTCTTTAGTAATATAATATTATTATATATTTTATAGATCTTGTGAAGATAGATTATTATAAATTAAACTTGCTTGTATCAGATCTATTTCTGGTATTTCAAAATATGCAGGACATCACTTAAAGACATAAAAATTAATACCAAAATATTTAGATTTTCTTTCTGATTAAAATAAAGAAGTTAGAAAGACAGCATATGAATATTTAGGTGAATTCATTAGTACAATTAAATTTACAGAAAAAGATTAACAATAAATGGATATTCTATTGGCATATTATTAAAATTAATTAGATAAAAATATCAATATGATGGGTGTTGATGTATACATAATTTATTATTAAATCTTAAGCTTGTTTATAAATGTGCCTATTATTTTCCAGGAGTATTATAAGCAATTGGTAGAACTCGTTGGCTTCTAATTTAACCTTTATATGGATTCCTTTTAAAATATCCTTCAGATGTAATTATAATTCTAATTTAATAAGAAAGTTAAAATCTCTTTAGCTCATAGTTTTCATGAAGTGGCTAAATTGTTGGGTCCTGATTTATCCAAAGAATATTTGATTACTGTATTAGAAACATTAGCATAAGATAAATTGTAAGAAGTCAGAAATGGCATAGTATTAAATTTATCAAAATTCATATCTATATTTCCTATAGAAGAAAGAGATTATGTTATTGATCTATTACTCAATTTTTAGAAAGATCAACACAAATGGCGAACTCGTTAGATTATTTGTACTTCTATATTTCCAATAACCAGATGTTTTAATAATGATACTATCTTTTTTCATATTGCTCCTATTCTATTCAAATTTTGTTCAGATACAGTTGCTAAAGTAAGAAGAAAAGCTTCTAAAAATGTTATACATTTAATTGAAACATTTGAAGAAGAAGGAGAATAAAGAACTGTTATTCTTGAATAAATTAGAGCATTTTCACATTCTAAGAGATTTAATTAGAGATAATCATATTGTTGGATGTGTTATAAATTATTTTACAGACCAGATTTTGAAGATTTATTTTTTGAAAGACTTTTTGAATTATGTAAAGATCCTGTTTAATGTGTAAGGTTATCAGCTATTATTGTTATTGATAAATTTATTTAAAAAGAAGGTTTCTCAAAAGAACGTAAATATTTAAAATATCTTTTAATTCAATTTATTGATGATTAATGTTAAGAAGTTTAATTAATTTTAACTAAATATAACTTTGTGATCTAAAAAACAAAAAAAAAGACTTTATCCTGTAGATCACGTAATAGTGGATCATCTTCAAATGGTCATTTGGAAGACATTCCAGAATTTGATGAAAAAATTGAATAGATTCGTAAATCATCTGGTAAAGTATGATTTTATTATATATAATTTAAATTTCAACTTATTGTAATGCTTAAATAATTAATAGAATTCTTATTTATAGAAAATTAAAATTATTATAGATAAATCATTATCAAATGAGTTTTTTGTATTTGAAAAATTGTTTTAATTTTCTAGCTTATACAAAATTTGTAAGCACCATTAACAATAAAGTTATCACACTAAATAATATTATTTTATATGATATTTTAGAAACATCTGAAAACCTATTTGATTATCTCTCCTCTATCTCTTTTTGATCAAGCTAAATCTAAATATATTTGCAGTACTTCAATTGCATTTACTAAACCATTTAATTTCTTCAAATGAATTTCTAAAGGTTTTAAATCTTCTTTTTAAGCTAACAATGAAAAATCTTAAGCATCCATTCCTGTTACCAAAGTAAAATTATAACTCATCCATATATTTGCTAAATTATGAATACAAAACTAATAATTTAATTATGTATTATTAGTTGTAAATGAAAACTTTTGTAATTCTAAACTATGAGAATATTAAAGTATATTATCAACCTTTTTAGTAGGCATCTAAAATTATTCCCATTATTACATGAATTTTTAGTGAATATTCACTAGAATTCCCTTAAATAGCTCCAACCACTAAACTATTTTATCCAATATTTTCTCCAAAGCATTTCAATTCTTTTGATTTTAGTGAGAACGTAAATTGTACACTAAAAACGCCCTAAAGTAGAAATGCAATTATAAAAAGCATTACGTGTAAAATTTAATAATAACTAAAAATTGAATATTTTATATAATGTTTATACTTTTTATCATAATAGAGATCTCATATAAATATTATAATAATAGATACAAATCTATATGAATTTGATAAACATTTATACCTAAACTACAATTATTTGAAATTTCATAATTAGTAAAATAAAAAAATATACATAATTATATAAAGATGCAATCAAATAATGAATTAATAAATAAAAAACAAATTTAAGTCTAATAAAGGATATTGAAATAATATTTAAATGAATAAAGTTTAAAATAATTAAAATAGGTAAGCCAATTCAATAAAATAAATTGTCAAAGCCAATTAAAGAACTATTCAAGAAGAACTTAATTAGATTTTAGAATAAAATAGATAAATCCTATAAAATACTTCTTCTAATGAATTTTTAAAATTATGGTTTGAATTAAATGCTGAAGAAAGATCAAAATTCATACTGTCAGGATATCATGATTTATCCAATTTTGTTTAATAAGAATAAAAATCTAATTTAAAAAATTTCAATCAGATTTTGAAAGCTGTCAACTTTTTTGATGGAGTACCTTGGCACTATAAAATTACAAGTTATTATAATTAATACTTTAGATAAATTTACCTAAAATGTTTGTAGCATAAGCTAACATTATATAAAAGTCTTGGCTTATTTAAAAACAATTCTTTAAGGCTATTTTTCAATTAGTAATTAAGTGATGATTACAAATGTTATTGATATTGAGCATTTATCAATCTTTTAAGCCTACTTTTAAACGTAAACAGAAGAAGGATTTACATTCTTTTGGGAAGTGGCAATTGATAAAGTTCCAAAATTAATTTGTCAAAATAAGTCTAATATCAAGTAAATTATTGGATTTCATTTCTATCATACTATTACATTTATTGATATAAAATTTATGAAAATTCTTGATAAAGATGTTAAATTAATTATCTAAAATTATCATAATGAAATTAAATGTTCTTATAATAGAAAAGGAATTGATTATTAAACAATATAGGAAATATAAGAATAATATGAAAAAGAAATATATAAACAATAATTGTTTATTAAGTCTACACATAATAATAATTCATATTGGGAATTAAATTATAATTTAAAGAACAATGATATAGTAAAATGGTTAAGTCATAATTTTTTACCTATATTTTTAAATAAATAAGAGTAAGCGACTTATTAATTTGATGTATCAAGTTAAAAGTGGATTAATAAAATTGATGACTATATTTAATAAAGTGAAGAAAACATGTTATTCAATAAGGATTTAATTTAAAGACTTGCTGATTTTACATCATCATCATCAAAATTAGTAGATTTTTTATTGAAAATTCCTAATTTCAGCATAAAATTAACTGATCAATAACAGTAAATTATTGGTTTAGAGGGGAAAATTATATTTACTGGCAGAAGTGGCACAGGAAAAACTACATGTTTGATTCTAAGACTTTTAGCAATGAAACATATTTTTAAACTTAGATTAGAAATGCATAAAAGAAAAAATCCTTCAATTTAAATTGATAGCATATAATTTTGTTGTCTATTCATTAGCAATAATAATATTCTATCAAATTAAGCAAAAAATTACTATAAAAAATTGAATGATTAAGTTTAAGAAGAATTGAATAAAAATAAATTGAAAAGAAATTATTAAAATTCATAAAATATATTTTAGACTTAAGAAGTTTAAAAAAATAATTATAGACAAAATTTACTAACTTAAGGATCTTTAAATGAAATAATTTAGTAAGATTATCCTTTATTTTTAACAATCTAATAATTTATTTTTATGATTGATTAATGTTTAAATAAACCATTCTTTTCTTAAAATCAATCTTAAGAAAACTGTAGTCATAACTATTTTATAGCAAGTAAAAATATCTAAGATATGTCTTTTTAAATTTCTAATCAAAACTAAAAAAGTAACCTATTTATGAAATAAGAAATAGATTAAGAAAGTGAAATTAATTTTATTGATTTAATTTAATAATAATTAAACGAAAGGAATAATGAAGAAAATAAATTTGAAAAATAAAACTTGAAGGATGAATTATAAAAATAGGTTAATGATTAAGAAATAGATTTTCCATTTTTTCTAAGAAATTTTTGGATTAAGAAATTTTCTAATGTTGATCTAAATCCTCATTTTGTTTGGACATATATTTATTCTCATATTAAAGGAGGCTCTAATGCTCATGAATATCCTGGACACTATATTCCTAAGAGCATATTTTTAAATATGATTAATAATAATCATAAAGAGTTCAATATTTTATATGATATCTTTATTTAATATGAAAAATGGAGAATAGATTAAGGATACCATGATTTATTGGATGTAGTTAATCATATCTTAATTTAACTCAAATAAGATTAATTATGTATCCCACAAATTCATTATTTATTTATTGATGAGATATAAGATTTACCTGAAGCTATTATACTATTATTTGAAAAAATAGCACTTTTAGGAACAATATACAGTGGTGATACAGCTTAGAACATATCTTAAGGAGTTGGATTCAGATTTTTAACTATATAAGAATTATCATCAAATAATGATAAGGTTAATGAAAATCATTATCATTAATCAGATTAAATTCTTAAAACTTTAGATTAAAATTTTAGATCAAATTCTAAAATATTGAATTTAGCAAACTCAGTTGTTTCCTTAATTTAAATATATTTTCCAAAAACAATTGATATTCTTAAGAAAGAATCTTCCAATTTTATAGGTAATAAGCCAATTATTATTAATGGAAATTTAGATTTATTATTTTATTTATTTGAAGGACTAGATAACTCTATAATAAATTAGGAAATATAAAAATTACCAATTTAATTAGGATTTAGTTCTGTCATTATTGTAAAAAATTAGGAATCTAAGAAAAATGTACCTAAACTATTATAACATATATTAATTTTGTCAATTAATGAAGTGAAAGGCTTAGAGTTTGAGAATGTTATTCTTTATAATTTCTTTTCTGATAGTAATATTAGAGAATCTGAATGGAAATAATTGTAAACTTGTGAGGTTATAGATGAGGAAATGAATAAATAATCATTTTTAAATAGTTTTACTAAAGAATAAACAATAGATTATTATACTACCTATTTTACTGGGTATGATGATAAAGATGGAAATGTATTAATCAAAAGAATGATATCTTATATTAAATATTATGATGAGTTTTCTTATAGTAAAAGTGGTTTATGCAATGAATTAAAATAACTATATATTGCAATAACGAGATCTAGGTCGTCTTTGTATATTTTTGATGAAAAGCCATAAGCAAGAAGATGGATAGAATAAATTTGGAAAAACCTTCATTTAATTGAAATTTTTGACTAATCATTATTTGATCATTAAAGATTTTAAAATAATATTTAGATTAAATCTAAAATTTAATGGAATAAACAAGGTAAAATTATGTTTCAAAAACAATTATATGAACAAGCAGAAAAGTGTTTTGAATTCTCTGAAGACTATTCATACTTAAAAAAAGCCAAGGGTTTTAAATTAGCCACTGAAGGTTGCTAACTAATTTTATCTTTTTAATAAGCAAGTAAAAAATATTAAAAGTTAAAGGATAAAAATGAAAAAATAAGTAATTTAAAGTAACAGTATTAAGCAAAATTTATAGAAGCTGCACAATTGTTTTAAGATACTCTAAATTTGAGATAAGCAGCATAGTGTTTTTACTTTTGTGAATAATATGATTAAGCATCATAAATATATGCTAGTCTTGAGCTATTTTAAGAGGCAGGTGAAGCAGCTTATAAATCTGAAAAATATATTGAAGCAGCTAAATACTTTTTAAAATGTTAAGATATTTAAAATACTATAAACTCATATGAAAAAGCAAAAGAATTTGAGTAAATCTTATAAATTCTTCATTAATAAAAGGATAAAATTAATGATTTTATTAGAAAATCCTTTTTATAGAAATATTTTCCATTTTTTTTAAAGAAATTGACTATTGAAATTGAAAATAAATAACTAAAGAATTATTAATAAAATCCTGAAGAGGTATTAGCAAAAAAATTTATTATGTCCAAGATAGATATAGACGATGATAGAAATCTTAATGATTATAGTAGCTCTAAAAAATTAAACAATCAATCTGAAAGCTTTTCATTTGAATCAATAAAATAATTTAAAGAATAAAAGGAAAGTATACCCGATTTTGAATCTTTTTATATTTAATAGAATAATCTATCTAATTTTGAAGAGGATTCTTTTATTTAATATGAATTAGATTAATATTATGAATACCTTGAAGAAGAGGGGTTCCTAAATATAAATTTAATAGAATATTCCATAATTACTTCTTAAAGAGAATCCATATTAAAATCTGATATTTAATGTATCAATTCTAATTAAAAAAGTACTAAAATTAAAGATTCAGTATTAAAAAAATTATTTAAATACATAGCAATGTTTTCAAATGAATTTTCGATACCTTTATTAACAAATTTTAATTATTAAGCAGAATAATAGTCAAATTTTAATAAGATTCATATTGAATAATTAGATAATCCAGATGATTAACTAATAGATCTTAATTCAATAGATTAATCATTAATATTTTATGTATTAGATGTATTAAATCAATTCAAAAATTATAAATTATGTATTTTAATTTGCAATAGGTATAATTTATACAATCATTTGATAAAATACTTAAGCAAAATTTTTATATCATTATCTCCTTTATTATAATAATCATTTGGATTCAATTCTTTTAATAAATATAACTTGGAATTTAGTGAATTATTAATAAAAAAAGGAAAAGTAGCATCAATTACATTTCATTAAATATTTAATATGATTGACTCTAAATACTTAACCTTAAAATTTAATTAAAATGATTTGATTCCTACCAAATATTTAGGTACTGATTTTTATACCTTATTGATTTTGCTTGGATATTGGAATAAAATTATTTATTAATTAGATTATCAACATTCATTATCAGTTTGCTCATTATTTATGAACTTTAAAAGTTGGAAATGCATTTTTTGGATAAATGTTATCTACTCACTTAACAATTCATTATAATCCAATAATATCATAGATCCATAATAATTAAATTAAGTTTTAATTAAATTATAATAAGCAAAATAGAATTTAAATATATGCTTATAAAACAAAAACATATAATTAGAAGATTTCAATTTTGATTAGCCTTTAATGAAATTAGACATATAATATGCTATTATCTACTTAGAGTAATATTATGAGTAATAAATAATGTAATTAATTGCTAATTATAAAATTCCTTAATGGTTGTATTTTCGAAAATCTACTGTAAATTATATTGAAAAAATTGAAATAAATAATATATAAACTCATCATATCATCTTTAATTTGAGTGAAGAATTTTTTAGGAGTGTTCTTACTGAAACTAAATTAAATAATTAAATTATCAATTAATTGATTTAAAATTTGGAATTTAAAAATGCTATTGTTGATGATTTATAATTATTTTAATCTGTTTATTTGATTTTATTTTATTGCTAATAAATTTTACATAATAAACCTTATTAATTAATCAATAGGATATAGGATATGAGTTGTAAATAGTATAATAAATTAATAGAATGTTTAAATTCAATTATTAGAATCTTTAATACTAATTAAGATAATTTTTAGAAGCATCGCTCAATATTAATAAGAAGTATTTTAAGTTATTTTAAAGTGAGACAGCCAGATAATAATAATTTACTCCATCCATTTATTAATTAATTGATTATTCATAAATAGTCAATTATTCTTGATGAAATAGTAAAATAATAAGATTCACAAGATAATTTATTTATTGTTGATATTGATTTAAATTTTGTTCTTGTACCTAGAGTGCTAATAATTTAATCTATAACTAAGAAATTATATTAAGAAATATAAGATTTAAATGATTTAAGAAAAATGTGTTTGGATGATTTTAATCCTAAACACTACAATTCTTTTTAAGATAATTTTGAAATCATTTGTGATCATTATAATTTTGGAATACATACTTAATATTATAAAAGTATCTCTTAATAAAATAAGTAGATTCAATAATAAAGGCTAAATTTAGTTAGTGATGGAATTTAAAAACATCAGAAATTATTATTTACAAAATCAACAATCTATAAAAACTAAGGATTATTAAAATTATTATTAAAAAATCCATATCTTTAATGCAATTCAGAATACTTATCTTTTTTTATTAATTAAGAAAGCTTATATAAATTGAAATAGTAATATCAAAACTCATTAGATTTCCATAGCTAAATGATAAAATCCATAATCTTACTAAATTATTCAAATTGCAATGAATTTACTTATCTTTTTATAAATAATAAAATTCTATAAGGATATGGAAACTAATATGATAAATATCTAGATTTTCTTAAATTTATTTTATATAAAAAATGGAATATGATAGATCAAGCAACATTGGTTTTTTTTAATTACATATCAGCAGCTAAGAATGAGATTACAGAGGAAGAACTAATCTATAATTTAATTTTTTTATTTCTTCATAATATTGTTGGATTAAGTCTCAATTTCAAGGAAAGATGTCTAATATATATATCAAGATCATATACTATTTATTTCAATCATATTAATGAAAGAAAGGGAAACACTTATTATTCATAAATAAATATTCATCCTATTTAAAATTAAGATAATCTTTAAAAGATTATTGAATAATTAATAAATATAAGTAAAATTAATCCTACTTTAAATTAAAAGAAAATATAATAATTAATATATATTTTGCTTATAAATTTAGATGAGATTTCTTAAGAAATTAAATAATTGATTTATGATAGATTTTTATAAATTAAAGAAAAATCAAATGAAAAAGGATTGTATGATCAAATCATCATTCTAATGAATAAGCCTTTATAGATGAGAGTATAAATTTTATAGAAAAATGAAAATACCTCTCTTTACCTAAAAAATGAAGAGCTTTTTTGTATAGAGTTTGAAAAATAAATAGATAAGAACTTGCTACAATAAGATTCTTAATAATGGATTCAATTAAATAAAAAATATGAACTTTTAATGAAATAATCAAAAAGTATTCTTAAAGCTTATAGAGTTTATAAATAATAAAACATGACCTTCAACACTATCCCAAAATTTTCATTTGGAGAATATCATTTTACTAGCAATTTTAAAGTATCTCAATTTATAAATATCATTAATATTTGTATAAGCATAAGAAGCAAATTAGTTTAAATATTTTACTAATCAAAGAATCAAGAAGTAAATGTCATTTATAAGAATATAAATTAATTAAAGTAATTATAGGAAATAGAAAATGAATTTTATAACTCATATCTATGCTTTGAATCTAAAAATATTTCTAAAATTGAATTTATGTAATAATTCTCATATTAAATGGAAAAATGTTAGCAAATTATTAAAGAATATAGCCTTAACGTTTGTTTGAATGAGGATTTAATAGATAATAAATTTAAAATATAGGATACATTCAAAAAATAATAAAAACAGCAATCAAATTCTAAATTATGAAAATTATTATTAATTATACGATTTTGTTATAAAATTATTGGTATTTTTAAGTCAAATCAATTTTTCTTTTTTATTGTAAATGTTAAATGAATTTATTTTCTTTTTCAAATTATAAAGGGTATTAATCTATAATTCTAATCAATATTTTTTAAAGTATATATTATCAGAGTGAATCTCTTTTTTATTATAAAGTAAACAAATTCTAATTAATAAAATCACTTAATAATTTTCTTTAAACTATAGCTCTAGATTTATAGAATTATTTATTTATGAATAAGGTATTTGATGTTACTAAATCTTTATCAAAATATTGCGAAAGTGTAAGTTTGATAGAATTTCTGTATAGATTGATTTAAATATGCCTTTTTACTTTAATTTATTTTTAGTTTAATTTATTGATTATATATTAGTATTTTCATTTAATAGGATAATATCATTTTAATTTAATAATCATTTTAAAAAGTTGAATAATTAATATAATAATGAATCTATATTATTTAAGTTTATATCACTTGAAATTGATTATATAAAATTAACATATTTATTGAATTTAAATTAATGTAATAAATACTACAGTTTAAAAGTCAGACTAATCTTTTTTTTAATTTTACTGGTTATGAAATGATTATAATTATTAATAGATGATGAAATAAGATAAAAATTAATATTTCATTTAAGGCTGAACATTTTGCTTTCTTGTTATATTTTTTTAAATTTTGATCTTGACATTAAATTATTACTTTTTGGAGTTAAGAATTTAGCACTAGAATTAATTTTAATAGGCTACAATAATTATTAATAGAGTTCTGTTCCTCTAATTTATCCATTTGACATTAAAGTAGTTAGTATCTACTCAGATCTAGTAAGCAAGATCAATTAATGTTACAATTAATTTTTTAAATTACAATTTTTTTTTTAGAATAATAATATCTCTTTTACTGAGTTCTCTTCTTTTTCATTTGTTTATACACGCTTTGATAAGCTACCTTATAAAGAAAATTTAGACTCACATTCTTTCAATTTTTATTGTTCAGTATCATTCACACTTAAACCAATAATAGGAAGTGACTCTTTGATATATGGAAAAGAAGCCTCTTTTTTATTTTTATTAGAATCTCTAATTTCTTTCATTCTTACTGTTTAATAGGCTATTGGTTTTAAAGTTATTCTATCCAAGGATTTTTATTAAAGATTTCTGTTTGTGAAAATGGATTTTTAAATGTCTATATTTTATTATTCAGTTTATGAAGCAGGAGGTTCTATAGTTTAAAGGGGAATATTAAAAAATTTATGATTTGATTAAGACTTATCATTTTGTTCATGAATTTTTTAATTGTACATTTTTCTTTAATGCCTACTAGTGCTTTAGTTTAATAATTCAAATTATTTTAGATCTAATGATTTCAAAGATGGTTTGATTAATCTTGTTTCTAATTTAATAGTAGATTCATTTTCAGATAATTGCAAATTCTTTTATGTCTCTACTTATTTGATAGCAGAGTCTTAAAGAAATTTTTATGATTTGTTTATAGATAATAAATTAGGAGTTTATATGAAATCTTAGTGTAATCTAATGCATTATTATTCATTAAAATTATGATGATGAATAATATCTTAAGATTCTTATTATTCTGTAATTTGATTGAATAGAAGAGACTCAAAATCTTTAATTGTCTAAATAGGTGTAAATTTACAAGAAGATTCTTCAATATTTTAGGGTTGTATAAACTTAAGATTAGAATCAATTAAAGTTGATGTTATTTTATTATCACATAATTATTTGATTTAAGCATAAAATAATTTTTTTATTTCTTAAAGGGAATCTTCAATATTTGCATCTTCAGATTTGATTTCATATTATTTAATTTTATTTGAATATCTTTTAATTGTACATTAAACTAATTAATTCCTTTACATAAGTTTATTGAATTTATAATCAAAACCATTTTTTAAAGATTCATAATTAAGTATTGGTTAGATAAGATTTGAATTCATAAATTAAAATGGAGGTATGTCTTCTAAACTTGTAATACTTTATTAAAGTTCTTTATTTTAATATCTAATAGTTGTTTTTGGAATGTGGGGTTTTAAATTAAGAATTAAGTATGGTGCAATAAAATCATTGTTTTTAGGAAAGAAATATTTATCTTAAATAGTTTAAATGTAGGCTAGATCTATTTTGGAATTCATAAGTTTTGGCATTATTGGTTCATCTATAAGTTTTATAGATTTAGTAATTTTGGCTACTTCTATATTAAGACGAGTCTACTTTATAAAATAATAGTTTACTCTTTATTATTTAAATACTTCCTCTATTGTCACTCCTCCAAAATTGATTTGCTTGACAACATGAATAAATTTTATATGTTCTTTTATTTATAAAGCTGAATTTGCTGGGAAGTGAAATTTGAAAAAAGAAAATGTTAAATTTGCTATTTATAGAAAACTATTCTGAAAGTAGTCTAAATCTTATTATGGCCATCTTTCTGTTTTTAGAATTCTATTTTCAGATTTTTGGTTCTGTGAATCAATTTTTTATATTTATATGTCCTATTCATTTGTATTTTCTGTTAATTGTAGCATTTTTGATAGTAATATTAGATGTTCTCTTTTAAGAAATAAAGACACTATCTTTGTTTTCATGTAAATATAAAATTATATTTAATTCTTATAAAATAATGACTCAATATAATAAGAATTGCATAAATATACAGATTATCTAATATTATTATAGTAACATCTTTAAAGGATTTCATTATTACTTAACTAATAGAGTATGAAAATGAGTTCGATTTTAAAATATTAAATTAAATAATTATTTATGAGATCAAATTCAACAGCTTATACACCTTAAAATCCTGAAATCTTCCATAAAGGACATATTCATTTCTTTGATTTATTGTCTTCATTCCATGGATTAGAAGATCAACCAGACTATCCAGTTTAATAATAAACAATATAAGATAAGCTTAGACATTAATACCTTCATGATAATAATTGGGAAGATAGTATCAAACAATTTATTATCATTTAGAATTATGTTATAGAACATGTTTCAAAATTTAAGAGAAGGATTATGTATAATTCTGTCTCGATAAGAAATGTTCAGGCACTCCTTATTTGAAGGCAGCTCAAATTTTGGGATATGTTAAAACTGGAAATCCAACACCTAAAGCACATGGACACCATCATCATTGATTAAGCATTAATACATAAACAATAAATTTATCAAAATTATTGTATTTTTTAGGAATTCATATAAATATCTTTTTTACTTATTTATTTGAAATTTAGTATTGTGATCAATTTTTTATAAGAGCAATTGAAAATATAATTGTCTTATTAAATTATAATTAATAAGTAGTTCATTTTCTACTTTTGAGTTTATAAGAAAATTGAAATTATTATAATAATATTAATGAGTTTAATTATTTATAATAATGAGGAATAATATATATACTTAAATGGAAAGACATTATTCTTTAATTTCATAGCTAGGTTAATAAACTGAATTCTAATATGAAAGATCATAAATGGATAAATGGAATGATATGTTGATTTTATATTTTAATCCATTTGAAAATTTCAACTTTATGAAACATGTAAAAAGTAGTATAACAGATGTAATTTAATAATAATTAAACGGTAACGATTAAGAGATTAATTATTAGATTACATCATTTAGAGAAATACAGTCTAGTCTGGAAATTAATTAAAAATAATATTAAGTATCGATATGCAATAATTATGATAAGTAAATATACAGAAACTCAATTTTATATGAATATTATATATTAGGCTGATAATTAAACTTTCAAATAAGATATCTAATAAGATATTGTGATATTGAAGTTAATTTATCATTAATTCTAATAAGATGAATGAAATAATATCCAAAACTAATAAATACATCATAAATGCTTTAGTAAAAATTACTCTTTGTGATACTTGTAAGGAATTTAAAAAATAAATAATATTAATTTTATTCTCATGAATATATATTTAATTGATCAATACAACTTATATAAATCAATCTTAAGTTAGTTTGAAAAGTAGCATATTTGATATTCATTAATCTATTTAGAATATCATCTATATAGAATTTATGTCATTTTATATAATCAAATTTGTAAAAATTTCTAGAATTAAATTTAAATAATGTATCTTTGAAAAACGTAATAACCTGTAGGACTAATCTATAAAATATTATTAGATACTTTTTTCATATATTAATAAGAAGAACAAAAAATTTAATAATTTTCATATATAAAAAAGTTAATTTCTTGATATTTAATTCAATTTATTCAATTTTTAGTTAGCTTTTTCATTTTAATTAATCAAATTATCAAGATTAAATGTGCAATATCGTAATTATTACGCATTATCTTAAAACCAAAACATCGATCTGAGATATCTAAAAAATAATTTTTAAATTAATGATTGTTCATTCCCCAAAGTTCAAAATAGAACACATGGCTCCATTGAGTCAACATTATAAAGTATTAATAGAAGAGGAACCTATAATTGATATAACTGAATGTGACCAAACTAAAATCTCCTTTAATGAAAAATTAATTGTTTGTGATTACCAACCATGGCAGACTGTTATTTAAATAAGAAAAACAATTGAAAAACTTAAAGGATATTCAGATTTACATTGGATTAATCCTGTCCTAGATTCCAATCTAAAAAACACTTTTAAATCTATTTTAAAAAATTCTCCAAAACTGTAATCCAATAATGTTTGAAAAATAGTGTGATTTATATTTATTCTTGATAACATCTATAAATTTTAAATAATAAAAGAATTTTTATTTTAAATGAAATATATTATATTATGGATTAAATAAAAGAGAAAAGGATACATATAATTAAATATATAAAAATGAAACAAAATGAAAATTTTGAAGAACAAAAAATTAAAAATGATATATATAATATTATTATGGTTAATATTGAAAAAAAGTGAACATTATGGTTAATATTGAAAACAAGTGAACCTTTTAATAATTCTAACAGAAGTTTTGATAATAATTATATTAATCTCAAAAATTTTGTACTCATTTCTCTGATATATAAATTCCAATCAATAGGCTAATAATTGCTAGAGTAATCAATTAAAATAAAGTAAATTTAACTTAATCATCTTTATCTTTATCTTCATCAAAAGTAATATTCTATTTTGCTTTAAATAGAACAATTTATTTATTAAGTTCCCTTATATCATTAATTAGAGTCTATTACTAATCTGACAATTAAAATATAGATTGCTCAATTTGAAAATTAGTAGACACTTACAGAGAGTCCCTTATTTTTTTTTAACTGACTTAAGCATTAATAAGTCCTGATTTTGGAGAACCTTCACTTTATTTTAATTATGAAATATGCGATAAATACATAGGAATTCTTCGATCACTTGGCAAAGATATCTAACATAATTAATAGTAAATATAATTACATATGAAATAGTTTCTGATTAAATAAAATCTTATACTTACAAAATTATTATCGGAAGTTCTTTTATGTGATCTTTTACTAATTTAAATTAATCCATTATTTCATATTAATCTCTTAGCTCTTAAGGTTTTTCGATATTCATTGAAATTATTTTTATTCTTATAGTCTCTACCATATAAAGAAATTATACTATCAAATATAGGTTCTCTAGCGACCAACTTAATCGATAATATTTAATCTGGATTGAGCAATCCAACAAATGGATATGATTTTATTAAATCTGAAGCATTAGACATTACTTTGAAGGCAATACTTAATATACATAATGATTTTAAAGTACTATTTTTCTCGATTATCATTCATTACATGATTATTGTTGATTTTATTTTAAATTTTAATTCTTGAAGACCAAATTTTATCTTTTGATGGAAGAGATTTCATTTTAAAACTTAGTTGTGAATTTTTAGGAAATAATAAAGTTAGATAAGCTTTCTAGTCATTCATAATTATTAAAAATAATTCTTATTTAATAAACAACAAATTAGAATGTAAAGAATGTATTTACAAACAAAAATTAAATAAATTGAATATTTCTTTACATTTCAAACCAAAAATGTTCTAATTAAAATTTTCTAATTCAATTTTTAGTATTTTTATATTATATGAAATTCAATTTAGAAATAAATTCAATAAAAATGAATTAGCATTTATTAATAATTAATTATATAATAAACTAATTTAATTGATAAAATTCTTATATCTTTAATAATATAATGTTTTCAATTACTTACAATTAAAAAATATTTACTAAAATAAACTTTAATCAATATTTTCATTCTATATTCAATTTAAAACAATGAATAGTATGCTATTTATTATATAAAATGCAAATTTCGTTAATATTTAATTATTTTTAAAATAATATATTTATTTAACAATTTATAAGTTAAAGTAAACAATAAGTTTAAACTTAAAAACATTTAACTTCTAGCTGGATAACATTTATTAAAATTAAATACTTGATTGTAAATAAAATTATGGAATAATAATTTGTAAATTTGAATATTTATAATAAATGTAAATGTTCAAAAAAAAAATCAAAATTCTCACTACTCATATTTTTATTTTTTTCTGAGTTAGAAACTACTTGTCGAAGATTATTCGACTTTTTCTTTACGATGCCTTTTTTAAATATGTCCACCTAATTAACGTGAGTGTGTAAATAATTCATTACAATGCCCACATTTGTAAGGTTTTTCTTCATTCTCATAAATAAAATTATTTTTGAGTGTTTTCTTTCCTGGTTTTTAGGCAGATACAGAAGTAGGAACCTCATTTGAATATTCTCTCTCCATATAATCTTCTGTAAGATTTAGAAATTTAAAAGGATCCTCAATAAGTATTTATGGGGTGCTTTAGAGAAGAAGGTCATCATCCTTAAAGTATTTCAATTCTTCGTTGAGATCCCTCAATAACTCAAGTAATTTAATGGCAGGTACACCTATTTCAAATTAAAAATCAAGATTATTCATAATATTTATTATTACAAACTCAAAGTTCTTTATATGATATTTATATTAATAAAAAATCTTAATTCATTAAAAATCAAAGTGCGTATTAATAACAATTAAATTTAATGATAAAAGTTTCACAATCATTCTATTTTCATTTTTAGAGGTGACAAACAAATACTAAAATGATATTAAATAAGATTTTGAACTTTCTTATTGATAATTAATTCATTCTGAAAAATATGCAGAAATTTTAGATTGATATCTTCAATTAAGATCCTTCTTGATCTGCTTTAATTTTGACCACTAAGTATTCTTTCAAAGTTCTTTTTGTAATTGAGATATATGCATCAGTATTGGCCAAGCTTTTGTTTTTTAATAGAATACATATATTAGTTAATTATCATGATTTTATGTTTTTACCTGAAAATCTAAAATTTCTATATCCGAAATAAACTCAATATTGAATTTGATAAAATGATGGACTTTTATATTACTTCTGCAGACTTCTTAAAAAAAATATTAAGATTATCCTTTTTCAATATCAAAAAAGATCATATTATGGTTTATTCAGATTTCTATTTAAATTTGTAAATTTTGAAGAAATATGAATCTTTAGTCAACAACTATTTTATTTTAATCCAAAAATTATTGTTTCTGTAAATAATAATACTTAAATATTTGCTACATTTATTTTTTAATATAAGATAAAGTTATTTATTTGAATTAAATAAAAAAGAGCCAAAAGAAGTAGAAACCTGATATTTCAAGTATAAACAAATTTAAAATAGATTCACTCTGATTTTAATGATATAATAAAAATTTATAAAATGAAATTCAAGTTTTAAATAACAATTAAAAGTGAAGACTGTAGATGTTAAATTTGATTAAATTATATAAAGAAGCAAAATTTAGATTCATTATTTTCCAATGGTTTAAATTATTAATTAATAGTGAATTTGTATTTTGTTTAATTAAAATATTAAGATTTGGATTAAAAATATAGAATTTTGCAAAAATTTTGCAGTATATAAAACTAAAATTTGATCATATTATTTTCCTTTTATCAGCAAACTATATTCTTTCGCTTAGATTACGACTATGTTTGGTAGAAGAACCAGAAGATTATTCTGTTGATGAGGAATTAGCATGATAATAAAATTCATAACCTTAGAATTGATCTAAAAAAATTTGATATATATATTTTTACCTTGTATACTTTAATCTCTTAATAAAAGAATATTTGATTAAATTAATTCATTATTTTCTTCATCTTCTAAAATTATTTGTTTTTAATCAAAATTATCTTCATTTGCCTAAATTCATTTATGATATTAATTACATTAGGAATAAAAGGAGGAGTTAAAGATTTATTTTACAATTTATCCCAAGGAAATTAAGCAAACCAAGGATGATCTTTAATTTCTTGACTGCCTGAATATCCTAAACGATTTTAAGGTTTTCGTTATAATAGCTAAATAATAAGGATAACTTACCTAATTTATGAAATCGACTGCTTCTAAAGACCAATCATCTGGAACTTCACTTTTTCTTATCTAAACCTATTTAGCTAAAATTGAATCTCTAATCTCTTATCTAGATCTTCCCAAATAAGGTCTCTTATAAAATAAGATATATATTTTACTCTCCCCAACATGAATTCATAGGCTATAACTCCTAAAGCAAAGTAATCAACAGCATAAGTATGATTTTATCTACACATGACTTCAGGAGCTAGAATATGATATTTATGATTGATATACCCATATATCCTGGAGTTCCACTTGTATCGCTGTTATTTTCAGTTTTGGAAATTCTGGCAATTCCAAAATCTGTGATATGAACATAACCTTTTTCATCAAGAACTAAATTTTCTGGTTTAATATCTCTATGAATAATTTTATTTGAATGAATGTACTCTAATCCCTATACTATACAAGCAATGAAAAATTCTATTTGAATGATATTAATAATACTTGTGGATTGTTCATTAAATCTTCTCATCTTTCCTATATGATATCTTAGGTCTCCTCCTTTCATATAATCCATCACTAAATAAAGATTTTCTCTATCTTGATAAGCATAGTTCATATTAACTATAAAGGAATTCTTTAATTAACTTAATAATTATCTTTCATTCATTACAGAATGTACACTTTTCTTGGTAACAATTCTACATTTAATCAATATAATACAATGCCTTAGACATCTCCTTCATTGCAAATGTCAAACTTGTCTTTTTATGTTGTACTTTCCAGACCTTTCCAAAACCACCTATTCCAATGACGAACTCAAAATTAAATGCATTTCTGCTAAACAATGTTTCTCTATTTAATTTAGGACTAATAGATGTATGAACAATGTCTTTAAAGTTTGTGAACTATTAACTTGGAAATTTAATATGTTTCTTAGGTAATTGTAATTTAGTTTCAGCTGTTACTTTTATATTCTCTTTAGCTTTTGCAAGCCAAACTTAAATTTATAAATTATTCACTGACTAACATATTATAAGCATATACTTCGCTTAATTTTGTAGGTTTGATTATTCGAGTTAGGTTATTAATATCAATCTAAGATCCTTTATGGTTATGTAAGTTTTTCAAACTATTTAAACCGGAAGCAACTGGAGAGATACGTTAACTACTAGGAATTATTATTGGACTTCTAAATTAGGAAAGGCTATTTTGTTTTAGTTTTCGTTAACTCGTTGAATTAATTAGCATTTACAACAAATTAATATTATTATATATAATGTTTTAGATTGATGATAATTTCTTAGTGATAAATTGTAATTTGTTTGTATAATATATTAATTATTCTTTATATAAACAAATAGTAATATCAATTGATTTATAAGTCTTAAGAACAGAAAATTTATGTGAATAAATTATAATAAAAATGTAAATCATAATTCATACTAAAAAAACAGTAAGATACTTTTATAAAATAAAATTAAAAGATGTTCAAAAAAAATTAATAAATATTAGAAAATTCGTTATTTTATTTTAAAGTAAATTTGATGTTTTATTATTATGTAATTTATGAAATTTTGATTAATTTTCTAATTTTAAGGACACCTTTTTATTAACAAAATAGATAAAAGATAATTGTAAATTAGTTTATCCTATTTTACACATTATTGAAATGTTTAATAATATTAAATGATTATTTTGTATTTATTTAATGTAAATCATATTACCCAACAAAATCTATTATAGAATATATATAATATTTATTATAATGATGCGTTTAAATTTTGAGAAAAATTAATTAATTGTAAATTATTATTGCAATATATCAAGATTTCATCATTACAAGTGTTCGTTTACATCATGAATTCGATTATAAAAAGATTTTACATTAGCAATTGTTAATTATAAATTATTATTTAAATGGAAGAAACTCAAATCAAACATAGGAAACCTTCAAAAAGCTCTAGTGTTCTGTCTATGTTAGCAATCTAAAGACCAGACAAAACATAATCAAGTTTATAAACAATAGTTGGAATAGTTAATTCAATGGTTGGATCATTGTGCTTAGTACTGCCTTTAGTATTTTTGAATTATGGAGTGATATCTTGTACTGTGATAATGATTATATTGGGATTTGTTCAATATAATACTTGTTCTCTTTTAATACTTCATCTTAAGGATGATGAAATAGATACTGAACATATGATCAAGAGAATTTTAGGGAAACCATGGATGTAAGCCTTCAGATTCTGTTCTGGCACCTTATTATTCATAGTAGGTATAATATACTTCCAATTAATTAATCTAACGTTATACCCAATCATAACATATATATTAAGCTATAATGATATTGAGTTTGCAGATGCGACTGAAAATTTTGTATTTAACAAGTATTTAGTACTTTATAATATTTAAGGTATTCAATATAATGGTAAGCCTTGATAGTCTTTCTTCCACTATCAACTTTACTGTTAATCAAGGATATTACAACAATTGTTAAAATAGCTCATTATGGAGTAATTGCTTTATTTGCATATGGAATTTTTATTATTTATATATTTATAGTTAATCTAACAAGTGAAGATATTTCATAAAAATTTCAATAAATAACGTTATGGTCTTGGGAATTTAGTTAGCCAGCTGGTTAATTTGCTCTAGCCTTTATGATTCATAATGCTATAGGATAATTGATGAAAAATAATGAAAAGAGAGATAACAATTCTAGAGATTTGGCTATAGCTTACACAGTTGCAGGAATAATCTATGGGATAGTTGGAATATTTGGTTCAATTGGAATTTTGGTAATTACATAAAATAATTTAGGGTTTGAATAATACAAATGATGCTTAAACTATTTTGAATTGTTTTAACAAATCAGATGTGGAGATAATTATTATAGAAAGTCTATTTTTAGTTCATTTGGTTACAGCATTCCCAATTTTTAATAATATTAGCAAATATTAGATTTTGGAAGTGCTTTATCCTAAGAAGGAACCATCAAAACTTGTATATTGGGGATTCAGCATTTTGTTTATGGTGTTATGTTTAACAATCCAAATTTTGAATATACCAGTTGGGGTAGTGATTTCCTTTGATGGAGCAGTATGTGGATTCTTATTGGTCTACATAGTTCCTATCAGTTTACATCTGAAATGTTATTAAACTTAGAATAAGGTCACTTTGATAGGAGATGAAGATGATGAAATTGATACACAAACAAAATGTGTGAATCATAAGGATAAGAATTCGATTCCTATGTTTGCTAGGATTGCATTCTATGTTTTGATTATGGGAATTGGAATATACAATTTAATTGTATAATTTTATGATATATTTAAATCCTGATATTAAAATAAAATTAAAATATTTAATATGCTACAATTAATTAGGGTAGGAAAGAGATAGTTAGTGTGTATTCCTTCGTTTAATTATAAATTAAGAAGGCCAGCCCCTAAGATGTCAGAATATGATAAAGAAAGGATTGAATATAAACATTTAATGAATTAGGTAGGAAATTAAAGATATCAAAGTATAGGTCAAGAATTGTCAAGGACTTTTGGGAAGAATAAACTAAAATTGAAAATTAATATATAGATGACTATTTGGCAAAAGAAAAAGCAAAATAAGAGAGACTTGATATTCATAGAAGAAATTAAACTGTAATCTAAACATTTAATGCAACATAATAATTCAATAAGTTATAAGACATTAGAAGAGTTAGAAATGAAAGAGTTAAAAAATATCTAGTTGAATAAGATATTAAAAAAATGAATAGGCAATAAATTATTAGAGTATTAAATGAAGAATCAAAAAATTGGATTTCTGATAAAAATTCATATGAAAAATTAGTTGGAAATCTATTAATTCCTGATACTGTTTTAGATGAAATGTCATATTATCATGATTTACAAGAAAAAGCAATTCTTTATGAAACAGCTTAATATGATGAAATTGATAAGTATATAATATATTTATTTATTTAGATTAAATGATCCAAATATCTAATTAGAATGGAAAAATAGACTTGGTATGCCATTATATCAAAGAATTGTGACTTTAATCAAATTCTTAAAATAAGATAATCTCTTAGGAAATTTAAAATTTGAATGGGATACTTGTCAAGCAATTATTTTAACAGACAAAAAATTAAGTGAAAAAGAAATGGCTGAATAATTAGACAAAGTAAATAGTGCATTTTAAACTGTTATTGCTTAAAAAATAGAAGAACTTGAAACAAATCCAGTAAAAAGATTAGAAGAAATGAATAAATAACTTATAAGATTATATAATCTACTTGAATTATGGGATAAATATATTACAATTGTAAAAATGGATAATTCAACTGCTCAATAAATTATGTAAGCAGCAAAATCATAAATTAATTTATTTGAATCAGAAGGTGGAAAAGATTATATGATCACTAATGATAATAGTCTTATTGAGAAATTTGATGGGAAGGAAACTCAAAATAAAGATGAAAAAGACGATAAATATATCAGTGCTGATGAAACACATACAGATAGTGAAGATATTGATTTAGAAAATCTATAGAAAAAGAAAGAAACTAAAGATATTTATGGTGGCAGAACTACAAAATCATATGAATTTGATACAGAAAGAATTAAGGATAAAGATTAAGAATTTTCAAAATTAGTTGAAGAATTGTTTGCAAAAGCTGAAGCTAAAGCTAAAGAAGCCAACCTTGAATTCGAATCTAATTATAGAAAGAATCCTCATTTAAAAGTATTTTATAGTGACAACTTAAATCCTCCTAATGTTCCTGATGCTAAATCAGTTTTTGAAGGAGTAGATTTGGAACAATTATTCCCCTCTGAAATTCTCAATGATGAAACTAAGACTCCTTATCTTGATTTCAAAAATGTAGAAGATATAGAAAATCATTATTATGAATTAGTAATATCATTAAATTTATAATTGCTAGAAAGCTATCTATAGTCTTAGAAAATAAGGTGAATAAAATATTCTTGTTAATCCAGATGTTTAAAAATTTAATACAACTATCACTGCTCAAACTTACAAATAAATTTTAAATAATCTTGAGGTGCCAGAAGAGTATTCTAAATTAAAATAAGATACTTAAAAATTAGTTGATGCAGTAGGAGAGATTAAAGTCACTGATGCCGATTTCTTATTGAAGATCTGGAATTATTATAATTGATGATAAATAAGAATATGTATAAAATAAAAAAGCAATATTCAAACATATATCCTCAATCAAAAAATCAAATTATGTTTAATAAATAATTTTAATTTATTTATGATTAAAAACTATGTAAAGAGAGCCCTCCTTTATAGGTATTTACCTACTACAGGTTGCCTTTACGAGTTTTCAGAGTCTTAAGATACAGAAAAGAAGAAGACAAGGTTAAAATATACTTATGAAGAATAATAAGAAGTCAATAGATAAAAATAAAGTATTATTCTCATTCCTATGAAGGCAACTATTTATTAAAAAGGATTCTATTAAATTATTATAGATATAAACCAAACAAAGAAGAGATGATCAAAAAAATTAATTAATATTTCAATCCTAAAAAGTAAAAGGCTGAAGAAGCAATCACTGAGACATAAGAAGGTGAAGAGGGTCAAGAAGGTCAAAAATCTATTAAAAGAGTGTCTCGCATTAGTAGGACTAGTAAATAGAGAATCTTTAGAGACCTTGTACATGAAAAGAAGATCTTCAAATACAAAAGGGATTACATTTTTTCTAACAAAATAAGACCATACAAACCAACTAAAGAAGATATCTAAGAATAAATGAATAGAGAACTTACAGGTTAAAAATCGATCTCCAATCCAAATTTATTTGATAAATTTAAACAAAGATAAAGAGATTTTGAAAATTATAATTTGACTAATCTCATTATGAGATATGATAGTTTCCAACCATCTCAAGTTTATGAATATTTGAAATCTCATTTTACTAGTGGATTATATGGATTTATGAAAGAAGAATAATTTATGTATTTTTTATATATTTATAAATAGAACACTAATTTTTAACAGACCATCCTTTTAGACATATCTTAATAAATTACCTGAATAATTCTATGTTCATTATTAGAAATATTTAAATCCAGAACAAATTAATTAAATTATTAAAGAGATAGAGTATAAAAATACTAGATTTTTACCAATCCTTAGATTTAGTGAAATGAAGAGCAAAGAATTGTATTTTGAAGATCAAGAAAAATTTGATTAATTTCTTAAGAAAGTCCCAGAATAAGATTAATTGTTGATACAATATTTCTTTTTTAATGAAAATGCTACTAAATTACTTAATTATGAATCATTTCTTAAGGGTATTTTAAATATCTAATGGGGTGGTTAAGTAAATTAGGAATCATTAAAACAACAACTTGTTACTTTATTGAATGTTAAATTTAAGATTAATTTAAATAAAGAATTGTAATTATATTTAGCAGATTTATTTTTTGGATCTGAAACATTCGATAAAGCAATTGTTGCTATTGCATTATAATTTTTATTATTATAGAGATTAGCATATGCTTTTCCAATCAAAGATATTTTAGAAAGTTTTAAATAAACAATGGGAGATGAAAGATATACTTTTTATTTAGAATAAGAATTACCTTAAATTTTATAAAATTTAAATGTCAAAACATATTATTCATAGTATTAAAAAGGATTAATTGAATATCAATAACATAAATCAAGTAAATAATTTTTAAATTATAGAAAAACCCTTGACTATATAAAATTATACAAATCTAGATGGAATATTCTTAAAAGGGAAATATATTGATGTTTCACAATTCTAAATCCGTTATAATCCAAGTTCATCTAATTTAATATACTCTAATCAAACTATCGCTTATGATGTAAAAGAAAATGCCATAAAGGAAGCTGTTTTAGAGAATTCTTCATTATTATTAGAAAAAGAATTATCTTCTCTCTTTCACTATAAAAATTATAAATCTAATATTGTTGATGTTGCACATAGATTAGTTTACAGAAAAAAATTATAACATAGAAACTTTTTAAGATATAATCTAACTAAATAATTCCTACAAAGAAAAAGAAAATTGAGAAAATATAAGCATAGGGCAGAAATATCAAAAGAATTAGCTGATCTTTAAACTCGTTTGAGAAAACATTCAAAAATTTAACCACTTTTATAAACTATTTGTCCAGTTTAAGTTTAACCAGAATAAACACCTACAGAAGAAGGTTAAGAAAAACCTTAAGAAACTTAAGAAACAACAACTGAGGAATAACCTTAAGAAAAGACTTTGGAAGAAGAAATCTTTTCCATTACAGAAGAGAAATAATAATATAATTAAATAAGATTAGCAAGAGTTAAAACTTTTACAAAATTTTCTAAAATGTTACATAATGTAATTATTGAAAACCGTCCAATGATTAAAGAATATAGAGAGAAATAATTTGTTTAAAAACCAAAATCAAACTTTTGTACTTAAAAATATTAAGAAATCCCAAAAGATGAAGGAACAGGTTTTATGAATTATTTAAAATCTGTTGAATCAATTGATTTAGAAGTTAAATAATAAGAAGAATTAAATTAATTATAATAATTAAAAAAATAATAATAGTCAAGAAAGCATGGAAAGATCCTTTTGGAGAAAGGAGAGACATAATAACTTAAATCAATATTTTCAGAGGATAGTGATAAGTAATATATTATTAATAATTTTTAGTTTAATTAGAATTAGATAAGAGTAAAAAAAATAATCAGAAATGTTCCAAAAAGTAGAATAACCATAAAGATTTAGAAGAACTAAAGCTAGCGATACAAATGAATAATTACATAAATTACCTTTTGAAAGTACTGAATAAGATAAACCAATTTAACCTCAATTATAAGAATAATATGTAATTGATAATTAATTGTACAATACAGATTTAAGTGCTAAAGCTCATTTTTAGATTGAATAATTATTTAAAGAAGATTAGTCAAGATAATAATTAGTTGAAGATGTTTAAAGCTTTTTAAGTGGAATCAAATCAAGTGAAGATGGTTATCATTAATATTTGATATCTGAACTTATTTAGGCATTAGAAGCTAAAAAACCTTTAGAATCAAAAATAATATTTACATAGATTATTTGTTAAGTTAAGAATAAAATTGAAGTGAATGAGAAGATTAGAGTGAAATATACTACATAATATGGAGACATTGAAAAGAATTATGGAAAATATATTAATTAGACATGCACACCATTTTCAATTGGATCAAAAGGATATAATTATTTATTGGATTACATTATGTAAGAAGGAAATTATAACAGATTATTATATAAGAGAGTATTAGCTCATTATTGTCTTTATGAGACTGTACTTTATGATTCTACATTTGAAAAGATTACATAAATTACTAAAAATAATAAAATTCCTTAAACTTGTGCTGAATTCTTTTATGCATTTTTGTCAACTAAAATAACTATCAATTTTACATAAATGAGAAAGATTGTTAATTTATTATATTAATTTAAACATTTTGAAGCAGAAGCTGAATAATTGATTATTGGATTCTATTATGCTTATTAATGGGTATTAAAGTTTGAAGAATTATAACCAATATTTTAGAGATTAATTAATTAGAATAAGAGAGATAGATATATGTCTTTGTATGAATCTTTGAAAGATTAATTAATGGGAAGAAAACTTAGATAAATTCCAACTTAAGATCCAGTTGAAGTCAATAAAATTATGACTGAATATAAATAATAATAAAAAGATTAACTTAAAGAATTTGTAAGAAAGTTTTCATAATTATTGTTGGATTCCAAATTACCAGATGATGCAAGATTGGTTATTAATGATGCTAAGAGATTTAGATATTAATATGATATACTTGATTATAGACTTTGGCTTTTATCTCATGTCAACTTTTTTGAAGATGCCTTAAAAATTTGGGCTGATTATGGTGTCAAATTTCCTAATGTTTATGACATTACAATGTTAAAAGCATTTTTATCATTATTATAATAATAAGAAAATGCTCATGAATCTGATGATACTAAGGCACTATTTTAAGATGTTATTCGAGTTTATATCTTTGAAAAGAAAATTCCCTTAGATCATGATTTAATATTTGAAATTACAAATACTTATAAGAAATTAAAAGAATTTACAAGCTATTAGAATTTCATGAAATTCTTACTAGAAATTAGATATAAATGCATACCTGCCCATAAGTACTTGTTTTATAAAATGATGAATTTCACTGAAATAGATAGTGTCAAAGAAACAATAAAAGGAATTATTGATATTCTTTTTAAGGATGAACAATAAAATAAAAGAAAAGATGGAAAATAAAAATAAAATAAGTAAGAAGAGGAAGTGAATTATGATCTTGGTAATAAAGGTCCAAATCCTTTACATATTTAAGATCTGACAAAGGAAGTAATTTTATATAATTAAATTTAGAATAAATTAAATAACAAGAAAAAGAGAGGCGTTCTAGTGAGAGGTGGCAAAAGTAAGTTTTCTCAAATAGAAACAGATGGTTTAGCTGATAAAAATTCAGAAGAAGAAGGGAAAACTGGAAAAGATGGTAAAACAACAAAAGATGCAAAAGCAACAAAAGAGTGAGCTATAAATTTAGTGTATAAATATAGTAAAATAATATGAATAAAAAACAAGAAATCATCAATTATCCACCTGATAAGAGAATATCTTCTTACATTTTCAGTCTCAAAGCTATAATTGGGAAGGGATCATATGGAATTGTTTATTTAGGAAAACATGAGACTACTTGTAAATAAATTTAATTTATTCATAGAAAAATTAGTAGCAATTAAAGTAATAGATAGAAGAAGTGTTGATTTTGATATACAAAGCTAGGAAATTGCTATAATGAAACAATTAAATCATCCAAACATTGTTTAACTAATTGATTTTGTAATATCTGTCAATAATTTGTACATCATTACAGAATATTGTAATGGAACTGATTTGAAGACATATCTATAAGAAAATAGTCCATTAAGTGAAGAATCTGCCCTTAAAATAATTAAAAGTATTATAAGAGGATTGAAATGCATAATCTAAAATAATTTCATTCATAGAGACATTAAACCTGCAAATATTTTATTTGACAATGACTAGTTAAAGATTGCAGATTTTGGATTCTCTAGAAGAATTAATAATACAATGACTTCTATTGTTGGAACTCCAATTTATATGGCTCCTTAAATTCTATTTAAATAGGAGTATACTTCTAAATGTGATATCTGGTCATTAGGAGTAGTTTTCTTTGAGTTATTATTTGGAAAATTGCCTTGGATGGCAAGTGATATTATAGATCTTTTAGATAAGATATAAAATTAATCTTTAATAATTCCAAAACAACCAAAAATTAGTTTCAAATCAACAAAATTTTTATAAGGATGTTTAGAAAAATAAGAGAAAAATAGATTAAACTGGTCTGACATATTTAACTATTTTGCTACAAAAGAAAACTTAAAAATATAAATTAATTCCTTTTATGAAAATAACTAAAGCTTTGATAATAAAACATAAAGAATTTATTATTTTAATAAAACCTTTAGGGAAAGAACTAACTCCAGTAAATTTCACTATGCTAAATCAAATGATTCTATAGAAAATCAAACAATCTCTTAAACTAAAAGAAAAGATTCCTCAAAAACTATATTAAAAAATCAAAATTTATAAAATATACGTAGAACATAATCTAAATTTGAAAATGTAAAATAAAATTAAAACTCAACTTTAATAATAAAAAAAAATAATGTTTCTTTTGCTTAAATTATCACAAAAGTTTATTTAAATACTATTTAAGATTGTTTAAAACCTCAAATAAATAAGTCAACTTCCAAAAGAAAAACCTAAAATTTATTCCATATCATAGAGTATATTAATACACTAAGCAACGAAGCCTCGAAAAAGGGATATCATAATTTATTTACAATTTTATTAAATTAAAAATCAAAATTATTACTCAATTAGGTAAATCTAGAGAAAGAGATAAATTATATTAAAGATTGGATGAAATTATCAGATGACTCATCATTAAAAAAGAAAATAGAACTCTATTTAAAATGGCTTAAACTTTAAGCACTTTCCAAAGAAAATTAGAATAATAAATTAGGAAATTTTCACTCTAGTTGATTAATTTATTTACTATGTTTACTAAATTTATAAATAAGAAATCTTAATTATTTAAATTTCATAATGAACTAGTATAGGAATCAATTTATAAATAGCTATTTTATAATATTATTAATTATCAATCCTATTTTTTATCATCTAATCTTCCAATTACAGGATATCTTGTATAGAAATAACTGAACCAACTATTCATATTAGCTATTTCATCTTCTGGCTATGTGACAGTGCCATACATATCTAAAAATTCCTCTGATATATTCATTTTCCCTAATGATATTGATATATCATGTCCTGCAAATACTCCATAAGGGCCATCAGGTTTATATGAATCTATTTAAAATATATATTTTATTACCTGAGCTTGTTACATCAAATACAAAATTTTTTATTGCTACAAATACGTTCTTGCCACCTTACCCATTATTCTATTTAACATCTTTTAATGTCATTAACTTTAGTGATGCAATCTCTTATCTTATATTTAAATTGCATACCTAATTTTTCTGGATTAGGAGGACTTTAAGTCTTTTCTTCATTTTATACCTATTAAGTGTTTATTTCTGCTCTTTTAATACTACTTCTATAGTCAAAAATCTAATAGACAACGTAAATAGCAACTAAAATTATTGAACCAACTAAAAATTAAGATATTGATATATTTTCCATAAAATTATTATTGATAATCAAAATATATTTTATGAATTTAAGAGATTAAGATTGTTTACTTTATTTTCTTCCCTAAAACAATTAATTTTAAGATTCTCCAATAAAGAATCTATAAAATTAAACTTTACTCTAGTTCTTTTGATATGGCATTTTTCTGACTTTTAAGGGACACAGAAATATGCTCTTGAATTTTTCTTGCCATCTTAAGAGAGTTATATAATTAATTTGATACTTGATAATTTAAAGAATGGACTAGATACTCTCTTAATCTAATTTATTGAATCTAGAAAATTATCTATATTAATAATGAAATAAGTTAGGAATTAATTAAATAATCTAGTTTGATATAGAAAACTTCAAACTTTTTCTATCTTAATTTCAGATTCTACAATTTTTTTTTCTAAATTTACTTAATTCTTTATTCTAATTGAATAGGATAACAGTAAAATCATATACTATCTATACTTTTTATTATTTTAGAACACTATAAGAATTATCATTTATAATAATAAAATTCAGATAAAACTACTCGATTCTAAATAGATTATGGTAAAAGTGTAGTATTTTAGATTAAATTTCTTTTTTCTTCTCATAATTTTCATTTTCCTTAAGAAATATTATTATAATCTTCAGAAATTAATAAATAGAATTTGTAATAAAAGTTAAATAATATCTGTCTAATGAGTTTTCATCATTATTAAGTTGAAATATATATGTATCATTCAATAAAGATTAGAATTCAAATCTTATTAATCTTGATTTAGTTTTAGGTTTTTTATTTCAAGTTTCTTTGAAATTTAAAATAAAAGAAAAAATATCATTATTATCAACTATTACTTCCTATCTCTTTTAATTTTTAGGGTATTTTCCATGTTTATTAAATAACTGTGGTTTTAAATAAAAACGGAATATATAATTTATCATAATGTCTGGATACTAAAGAACTTATTAAAGTTCGTTCACGTCTTAAAGATTTGCATCAGAATCAATCTAAAAGGAATTGAATGTTCCTGGATATGAAACAAGAGTGAGATATAAGTATCAAAGTTTAATATTAAAGAAATGATTTGGGAAAACGATAGAATCAGGAATTAGATATTGCTTGTTTTTTAATGGCAGTAGAAGTAGAAAGACTAATAAGAGAAAATACATAGTTGAAATAAGAGATTCAAAATTTTATAGACTCTGGATTAGATCGAGTGAATTATGAGATGTAAATTAGGGATTTAATGGAGAAATTGAAAAATCAAACATCGTAATATTTGAAATATAAAAATATTTTAGTGAAGTAAATAGCTATTCTGAAGAGCGTGAAAGACTTGTTATTATAATTAGAGAGTTGGAAGATGAAATTAGAAGACTTGAAGAGCAACTAAAAGATTATGATCCAAATTGGAGAAAATCTTAAAGAGATTTAGAATTGCAATTATAATTATAAAATAAACTATTTGGAGGGAAAGCACCTGAAGAAATTTCAAAAGAATTAGAAGAGCTAAGAAAAAAAGCAAAGATTTTAGATGATTTACAAAAGAAAATAGGAGCCAAAGCTCCAGGTATCTAAATTGAGTAAGATTTTAGATGAATTATTAAAAGAATTAGAAAATTTGAAAAAAAAAGCATAATAATTTGATGATATAAATAAAAAGTTAAATGGCAAAAATTTTTCAGATTTAGAAAAAGAATTAGAAAAATTGAGATAAAAAGCAGATAAATTTGATGAAATCAGCAAATAATTTTAAAATCCATGTAAATAATAAATATAATTCATTAATAGCTGATATTCAAAAGGAACTTGATTAATTAAAAAAAAAGGCTGCAGAATTAGATAAAATAAAAACTTAGTTAAATAATTAAAATCCTGATTAATTATTAAAAAGCATTGATGAAAATAAAAAATAATTGTAATCTAAAGATAGAGAAATTGGAGATTTAAAGGTTTATATAATATATTAATATTTTAGAGACTTTTATCTGAATTGCAATAAAATTAAGGTTCATATGACAATTAAATTAGAATTCTGTAATAAAAGATTGATGAATTAGAAGAAAAAGTAGTTGGTTTAGCTCAAGAGTTATCCAGATATAAAATGTTATTAAAAGCTAAAGAAGATGAACTTAATAAATTATAGTTGTTGTTTAGAGACAGTGAAACGAAACTTGCATAAATGAATAATGAATTACAAAGATCAAAAAATGATCTGTAAAGAGCGTAAGGAGATCTTTAAAAAGCATAGGGAGATTTAAGGAAAGCTTAAACTGATTTATCTCGATCTTAATAAGAAAATTAAAATTTGAAATAATAAACTGATGATTTAAAAAGATAGAATTAAGAATTAGTAAATGAAAATAATAATTTATAATAAGATTTAGAAAATCAAACATAAAATTTAGGATAACTTGATGAAATAAAAGATTAACTTAATGAATTATAGGATGAGAAGAATTAATTAAATGACAAGGTTTCAGATTTATAAAACAATCTTAAAGAGAAATAAAGATTATTTGATTAAAAATAATAAGAATTAGAAGATGCATTATAAAGAATAAAAGATTTAGAAGCTAAATTACTTGAAATGGATCATTATATTGATACATTGGAAGATGATTTATAAAAGTTTGAGAAAGATAATTAATAATTAAATAGAGAAGCTGGATAAAAGTAATTGGCTGATAGAGAATTAGAAAGATTAAGAGGTTTATTAGATCAAATGAAAAATTAGTATGATTAATAACAAAAAGAATTAGGAAAACTTAGAAACAATCTTGAACAAATGAGAGATTTACAAGATGAACTTGCATAAGCCAAATCAGAATTAGATAGAGCTAATTCAGTAATTGCATAATAATAAGATGAATTAGCTTAAAAAGAAAATGAAATATCTTAATTAGTTAGAGAAGTTTAAAATTTAGAAGAATCTAATAACTAATTGTAAGATTAAAATAATAATCTTTAATAATCATTGTAAGAATAATAGGCAGTAACTAATGGAAATCAAGAAGAATTAAGTAAATTAAGAAGAATAGCAGAAGATTATAAGGAAAAGATTAAATAATTAGAATAAAAATTTAATGAATATTCTAATATGGAAGATAGACTTAAGTAATCTGATCATAGAATTGCAGTTTTAATGACTGAAATAGAGAGATTAAATTCTTTAGTGAAACAAATAACTTCAGAAACTGAGGATTGGAAATAAAAGCATTCTAGAATAGAATTGGCCCTTTTAGAGTATAGATAAATTGAGAAAACTAATAGAGATGCTGTTAATAAGAATTAATAATTTATAAATGAAATAGAAAGATTAAAGAAGTTATTAGAAGCTAAACATATAGAATTACTATAAACTATTGAAAGATGTGATCTTTTAGAATCTTAATAATAAACATTGATGAATTAAGTGTAAGATGCCTTAAAGAAAGCAGACACAGGAGATAATATTTTGCTTTAATATTTATTGATTGCAGCTGAAAATGAAAGGTTATCTGGGATTCTCCAACCTATATAAGAGAAGTTTAATTAATTAACTGTCTAAGTAAAGGAAATGACAATTAAATATACTGAATTATAAAATAAAACATTAGGAATTGATTTAGATGAATATGAAAGATTAAAAAAATTAATTATTGAGTATGAAAATAGAATTGCTATGCTTTCACTGGAAATTTAGAGATTAAAAGCAAAAACGAATATTCTTGATAAAAATAATGGGTCATCAAGTAATTTTGGTAATGTTGGTAATAACAATAATATCAATACCTAATACAATAGTTCAATGTTTTAATCAAATGAGGATTTGTCTAACAAAATTACTGATTTATTATGTTTGGTTGCAATGATGTCGGCAGAATTAGATGTTTTAAGAAGTAATAATGAAAAACAAGTTTAACAATAATTTGTTAATTAATATAGATAAAATAATGAAGTTACAAATGTGTAAACAATTCAATCAGTTGAAACTACATCAGGTTTCTCTTATCAAAGAGTTTCTTCAAATAGAAAATATTGAATATTATTTGCATTCAAATTTGATCATCATATATAAAATAGATAACCAATTACTTTATACATTTTTTAAATTCAAATTTCCTAAACCAGATTTTTTCTTCAATACAAAAGATTTAATTATGATTTGTAAATTTTAGAAATAGGTAAATAAATGAAAATGAAAAATATATTAATATCAATGTTTTCTTTGAGAATCTCATTTTTGATTTTAACTCTTATTATTGCAAGTTCTGGCCTAGACTTATGCAAACAATATCAAACATATCAATAATGTATAGGTGGGGATTCTGATAAATGTATGTGGGATAATATTAGACATCTTTGCTATAAAACAAATGATTATTTATAAGGATGCAGTCAATTATTAAATAAAAAAGCCTGTCTAAGATAGATTGGTGATGTGTTTGGAGAACTTGCAAAATGTATGATTAAGATTAAATTTAGGTCGTTTCACATCTGTTTGTGAAGAAATCCCAGACTTAAAAACCGAAAAGTGTTACAACAATTTATCAAAATCAGGATGTTTATCAGTATAAAATCCTGAATTTGTATGTATTTGGAAAAATGATGAATGCACTAGTTTAGGCGCTTCTTAATGGAATTAAATTTAAGATGACTTTGATTCAGTTTTGTATAGTGCATCTGCTTGTCCACATATACAGAATTACTTAGTTATGCACCATACTATAATGTGGAATTTAATATCATATTCACCAGATTTGTTAACTGAAGCTGATAATATATATAAAAAAGAATTGGGTATTGAAATAGATGATAGTATATAATATAATGATCCAGCTACTGTGTCTATGCAAAATAATTATATTATGAGTAATGGAAAATTTGCATGGTATACGATCAGAGAATCCAAGTCAATCACTCAATCTAATTGTATTTAAATTACCTAATAAAATAGTATAAAAGAGTCATAGAAATAGGGAAGGATGTATAGCTTTAGAAATAGAAAGTGATAGTGATTTTACAAATATTTTTAGTTTAACAGGAGAAGTGCGTGGAGTGAATCATGTATATTGCAAATATTTGAATAACAACCCCTCAATAACAGATTAATATGTATTTTCTAAAGGAAGTTGCTAAATCTTTAAATAAGAGGAATTATACAACTAAAATCAAATAGACCTATATGAAATAGATTGTCATTCAATAAATTATTTATAATGTGTTTACTTTAGTTCTTTGAAACATAAATGTAAGATAAGAGGTAAGGATTATGAATATCCATGTGTGAATATAGATGAATATCCTGGTTAATAAGTTGATAATGTTTATATTACTAGTTCTTAATGTTAGGAAAAAGAGAAATTTTATATTGATACAAATACAAATTTATGTATTGATACATGTTTAGGGAATGAAAGTTATAATTGCTCAAATATTTGTAGAAACTTATGGGATTAAGCCATTTAATCATAAATTGTATGTGCTCCTCCTAATTTATGTGATGAAATAGGAATAGGTAAATATGCTTGTATGATGTTAAAAAGTCAATGTAATTGGAATACAGAATTAAAGAGATGTTATACTTTAGAAGATGATTAAATATTAACTATGAAATGTGAAGATGCATTTAATTTATTTGTTTGTACAAAGGTAAGTTTAAGTGATTAATTATGTTATTGGTAATAAAATCCAGGGAAATGTATAAATATTTTAGATTAACCTTTACTAATTACTCATGATATTTTTATAGATGAAAATGAAGAAACATTGTGTAATATTAATTTATGCAAACATAATGCTATTGCAACTGAATATAATGAAGAAAAAAGAACATGTTCATTTACAAAGGAAAAATTTTCAAACAATTTACAATAGATTAATAAATATCATTGCATTAAGAATATTTCAGGATATTGTGCTTGGAATTAATATTAATAGAATTGCAATTGTTATTCAGAATCAGAAGTCAAGGAGAAGTATTGTTAGGATTTGATAGAAGTAAATGAAAAATTGTGTTAAAAAGCTAAATTATCTATTCCATCACTAACTTGTGTTTATAATAAAGATATTAATTCCTGTATAGAAAAAGATTCAGAATAAGTGAGTAATATTGGATGCTCTGGAAATGGGTTATCAGAAGAAGCATGTGTTTAAAAGAATGTTAATGGAGAATATTGTTAATATTCTGCAGGATTATGTAGATTAATTTCTGTTGAATAAATAAATTCAATTCGTTGTACATCACTTTAAAAGGTTAATAATCAAGTTTGCAAAATGTAATCCATATTTTAAGTTTTATGTATTTATGATAGTTCCACTCATTCTTGTTATTCTCCAACTTTCTAAAATTCATATGAATTTAATTAGAATATCAATAGATATGCATGTTAAGCCTTATTAACTAGCTATGCATATTTTGATGTAGAATTTAATAGATGTGTATAATTTTAATTTTCTGATTAATAAATGCTCTCAACTTTAGAATGTGAAACACATTTTGTAAGTTAACTTACCTGCTAAAATATTACAAAAAAAGGATAGAATTGTTTTTGGGATTCTAATTTAAATAGATGCAGAAACTATTCTGAATATTTTAATAATTGTGATGAATATGCTAGTGCACCAAGTCGAGTATGTAGAGCATTAGTAGCAAATATGAATAGACAATTTATGAAAGAAAATTATTGTTCTTATTCAGAAAATGCTTGTAAAATTAATACAACAGTTTTAGAGGATTGTGGAGAAACAGAATTAATGAATATTCATAGATGTGGTGGAATGACTGGTTTAGATTCTTTAGGTACTCCAGTTATAATGTGTGCATTTATAAATTAATTATGTAAGCCTTTAGTAGAATCAACAATGGATGCTTACATATTATTAAATAATATAGAATGTAAACAAGCCAATTTAGCAGCTTGTTCTAAAGTAAATACTCCTGGATAATTTTGTTAAGTAATCAATACATCAGATTCATCAAATATTATTATTAATAAAAAATGCTCTACAGTCTATTAACAAATGGATTGTTTTACATTATAATTTATGAGTGGAACAAATCCTAATATTTGTGCATTTGCTAATGATGATTGCTTATTTGATCCATCAAGTGGTTGTTAATATCCACTAGATGATAATTAAGAATGTGATACTACTGGTTTATCACTTACATCTTGTAGATCTAAGACTAGCAATCGAAGATGTGCTTTCATCAATTGGAAATGTCAATATTTACCTGAATATTAAACTATATAAACATGTTCATTATTAAATGTTTTTAGTTGTCAATCTATGAGTCATTGTATATTAAATGTTGATTAAATATGTGAAGAAATTTAACCTGATAATCTACCAACTGATATTAACAGTCTATATTGTTCTGCTATATAAGAAAAATCTTTTTATATAAAATAAGAATCTATTTGTGAAAGAGTAGATGATGTTAATCAATATGATTTATATTTGTGTGATTCTGATGGATTAAATGGTTTTGGATGTTTAAATTTACCTAGTTAATACTGTTAATATTTTAACAACAAATGTTAATTCTTTTAGAATACTTTATGTCAAGATACTCCATCTAATTGTGAAAGTAATAATTCAAATAATTAAAAATGTGTTTTAAAAGAAGGTTAATGTTTTTCTATGCCAAATACCTCATATTAATGTGATAGTTTTGAAAAAACAAACTATTTATTTTGTTTGTAATATCCAGATTGTATATATTTTAATTCGAATTGTCAATCAATAGTGTAACCATAAAGTGTTAATGAATGTTCAGATTTACATACAATACAACTATGTACAGCTTAAAATAAATAGCACAAATGTTCATATGATTCAGATAATAATGTTTGTAATAATATGGATTCTGAATAGTCTTATTGTCCATCATTAAATGGATATTATTCATATTAAGTCTGTTATAATTTCTAAAATTGTATTCATGGATACACAAAAAGTGGTAGGGGATTTTGTTATGAAAATAATGATTTTACTGGACTCACTTGTGATTAATTACCAGAAGAACTTTGTACAGAAAATCTAAGTCACTTAAATTCTAATCTTAAATGCTATTGGAATGGATCATGTATTAATGTTGATGATACTATAACATAATGTTCATAATTAATAACATTTAAATTAAATTATGATGCTTGCTTATAAATAAGTAACGATGAATGCATATATTCTTATGATGATCAAAAATGCAAATTTTTAGCTGAATATTCAGGATCTGTTTGTGAAGGCACAACATTTAAAGATTGTAACAAAATATAAGAGACTTGTTACTTTGATGGAATATCATGTTTAGCATCAGGTACTTCAATTAATAAATATGGATGTCTCTAATAATCAGGATTATGGAAATACAACATTAATTCTTGTTAAGAATTATAGCCAACAGATTATTAAATAAGTTGTGTAAATTTATCAAAAGATGCATGTTTGTAAGATCTAACTAAAGAAATTCATTGTAAATGGAGTAATTTTTAATGTTCTCATGTTCTTGAATTTGAAAACAAATAAATAAGATCTTGTGATAATTTAAATTAAAGAGCATGTGGAAATGTTAGATTATCTAATTTATAATGTTAATGGGATTCTATTAATAAAATATGTTATTAAACTGATTTGGGATCATCTGATTGTTCTATAACAAATGGTATTGATTTACCTTCATTAAGTTTGTGTTCAGGACAAACTGGTAAAAACTGTTGTTTAAATTAGTTTAAAAATGGATGTGCAGAAATATCAAATGTAGTAGAATTAAGTAGCTGTAATTAATATGGGCTTAATTAAGATTCATGTATCAACTTAACTAAAATACCATGTATTTGGTAAGTTAATGAAAATGGTGATGGATATTGTGAAAATGCAAACTTATATTTAATTAATTGTTCAGATATTTTAAATGCTTCTGCTTGTTTGTAAGTTAAAACATTAAATTAATTTTGTTAATGGGATTAAGATACAAAAACTTGTTCTGAAAAATCTCTTTCTGATTGCAATTCTGCAAGCAATCTTAATGGTAGTTTAGGTTGTAAGGCTATAGAAGAAGATCCATGTTATTTTGATTAACTTACATAAACTTGTTCAAAATTAGATGTAATCCCAACAACATGTGAAGATTATTTTAATAAAAAAGCTTGTTAATTATCCTTAGCTATATGTACATGGGATTAAAATACTTGTAAAAGAAAAGTTTAAATTGAATGTACAAAATTTTTGAATTAATCCTCTTGTCTGAGAAGTAATGAAATTAGTTGTTAATGGATTAATAATTCATGTTAAGATTTTAAACAATTAGTGGATAAACTCTTTTGTAAAGATTTACCTACTAATATTAATTCTCCAGCTTGTTATTCTAATGCTAAAGATCCCTGTTATTTTAATCTTTATTCTGGAAAGTGTTCCCCTTCTTAAGGAGTGAAGAATCATTTACTGGATTATGAATTGATCTCTGACTTAATTGATAAATAAACTTCAGAATATCAATCACCACTTCTTACAAGTCTATGTGAAGAATTGTTAACCAAAGAAGATTGCACTAACTCTCGTAAATAAAATTAAGCATGTATCTGGACTAATAGTTGTAAAACACTCAATTCATTTGATACTTAATAATGTACTGACACTCTCAATATCTGGGGTTGTTTAGGTATTAAAACTCCAAATTAATATTGTATTTGGAAAGGTAAATGTATGATATGGATATCTGATTATAATGTGTTGACTAATGTTAACATCAATGTTTGTATTTCATATAGTGAATAGAGTATTTATCTATAGAATTCATGTGTTAAAGTTAATTTAGAGACTATACGTTGTAATTCTTAAGGTATAAGTAAATAAACCTGTCTCTCCATTCCAAATTAAGGATGCTATTGGAATACAACAACTAATTCTTGTGCTGAATACTCAATAACAAATCAAAAGAAATGCTCTGATTTTAATGAAGTCTCTCCTTTTGTTTGTTAAATTCAAACTCTATTTGCTTGTACTTATGATTACACCACAAGAAATTGCAAAGATTCAAGTAAAAATAGTTTAGAAGTTGGTATTTCAAAATTGGCATGTCTATAAAATAATGAAATTAATACTTTTTGGAATAAGACCAAATGTGAGAAATTGGAAACTAGAATAAATTGTGATTCTTAGTTATAGGTAAATTCTATGGCTTGTTAAAATATAATTGACAAAGCTTGTATTTATAATATCAAAACTAATTAATGTACAAGTAAATTTAATATATATACATTGAATTGTAATACAATTGGGTTAAATTTGTTAGGATGCACATAAGTTACATCTGAACCTTGTATTTTCAAAGAAAACAAATGTTAATCTTTTAAAGATTCAACATCTCCTTGTATGACTATTTCATAAGTCAATGCTAAAGCTTGTTCATCTTTAGAGAATCAGAATTGTATGTATGATGCTATTAATAAAAAATGTCAAAGTCCTTTACTTACTGTAGATTTATGTAATATTGAAGGAATAAATAAGAATATCTGTATTAATAATACTTTGTGTCAATGGAATTCTGATAATCTTAATTGTAAATGTAAATCTGATCAAGAACCAGAATTTTGTTAAATAGAAAGTCCAAAAGACTGTGGTAATAATCCTAATTGTGCTTATTCAAATAACTAATGTATGAAGAAACAATGTTATCATCTAAATAAAGATTAATGTAAAGGTATATTAGATGGTAAGACTTGTTATTAAAATAATTCTAATGGATGTTCTCCTGCTAAAAAATGTGAAGATATTATTGATTCAAATCAACCTTGCTAATCTATTTTTATTAATTAAGTTCCTTGTATTTAAGGACATGAATAATGTATATCTTCTAATAATTTTGATTTGTTCTGTCCTTATTCTGATTGTTCAAATTCTAACTGCTTTTATGAATCTGGAATTTGCAGAAAGAAGACTTGCACAGATATTAAAGCTGATGAATGCTTTTAGACAGAAGGATGCTTTTTAGATAATAATAAGTTGTGTTAATAATTATCATCATGTTCATATATTTCACATGAGGTTTTTGGAGATTAAGCTTTAAGTGTTTGTAATTAGTTGACCTTTAATGGATTTAAATGTAATTGGTAAAAGTTTGCATTATTAGATGAAACAGAAATATGTACAAATTAACCATGCGAGTAATATTTAATTTTTATATTTTAGATTATATGGACCTTCAACCACTTTATGTCAAGGTAATGAAATGAATGGTTATTCTTGTGTTTTATCTAGTGAATTAATTTGTAGATAATGTGAACAAATAACTGAAAAATGCTTTTGTAATAAATAAGTTAATGTTTGTACTTACATTAATGGAAGATGTTAATCAATTTTATGTTCTTCATTTTTAACTAAGGAATAATGTTCATAAGTTCCAGACCGTTGCTATTGGAGTAATTAAATTAAAGAAAATAATGAAATCTCAGAAGGATGTGTTAAGGAATGTGTCAAAATTATTGAAGCAGATGAATGTAACAGTAGAATAGATGAATGTTATTATGAATCATTAATTGGCTAATGCAAAAAAGGCAAAAAATAGATACCTGATCTTAGTGTTGACATAACCATAGAATAGTTCTTTAGTCCAATTCTATCATTAGTATACCTTATGATTATTATTGCATAATGAAAACAATAATTTCATTATGCATTTTATTAAGAATTTTATATTTAAATTTCAAAATTCAAAATGTTCTTTCTTAAATATCCATCTGATAATAATGTTTAGAGGGGGAGAATGGAAATTGACTATCTTGAAAACAATAAAAAATAAATCATTAGAAAAAATACTCAATTCAAATATGTTTTTTTATAACTTTCAATATTAGTGATAAAATAGAAAGAAAATGAAAAGAAATTGAAAAGAAATTCAAATTATAATAATTTTTTGGGGATTTAATGTAATGTAATGTTTTAAAATTAAATGATAATTAATAAGTTGTGAATAATATATATATATACAAAAACTGAATATCGAAATAGAAGAGAATTTAAGTGTGATATTTTAGAATACTAAAAAAGACTGTTTCATAATAATAGAATCTTAAGTATTTTCAAATAATAATCTTAAAGATATATCAGATATAACATACTTATTATTATATTTTATTTATATGTAAGTTGTTAATTATTCTAGTAAACACAATTTCTTTATAATCATCTTAAATAATTTTAGGATTTAATAAAGAGAAAGTTAAGTTATTAATAAAATTTATTAATTTTAAAACCAGCATTTTTTATGAAATATTCTAACTAAATAAATTTTATGAATTACTTGAATTTATTATTAATTATTGTTTTTTATATAATATATCACTAAAATGTTATCAACTCAATAATGTTAGGCAGAGCATTAAAGTATACAAAAACTACAATAATACTTATAAGGATTGAATAAGTCTATTGTTAAATAGAGCACTTTAGCAAATTTGTAAACAATATCGAATAATTTGGATGCTGCAGCTAATGAAATAGGGTTTTTATTGTAATCTAGAGATCTAAATGAATTTAGCCATATAGTAAATAAATTGTCATCAGTATGGAAAGAATTATATAAAACTGTATATAATAGTAAAATGGTTAATGAATTTGATAATGAGACAAGTGAGTATCAATAAAAGATAGAATTAATATAATAAACAAAAAGATAAATGAAAGATGGAACTGGAGAAATAGGTTAATTTGGAGGTGTACGTGTATCAAGTTATCAGACTCCTTAAAATAAAAATATGATGAGATAGATGAGTAGTTAATAGACAGGGTTACCTTCAATTTCTGGATAACCTTAAACAGAATAGAAACATAAAATGAATTATGAAATTGATGATAATTAAAGAGACATTTTGTAGGAAGTATTAAGATAAAGCAGTAAATTAAATATGCAGATAGTAATGAAACGGTATGATCCAAAAATAACATTAATGTTAAGTGAAGGAACAGATACTAATTTAGATATTTAAGAAGCAATAAGAGGATTTAATAAAGATTATTTAGAGATTAAATTATCAGAAATAATTAAGGACAACTAAAAAAATATTGAAGAAATACAAAAAGTAATGTAAGAGAAACACGAATTTACTTAAGTGACTGAATCATCAGCAACAGAAAAATTAAAATAGATTTATAAGACTATATACACAAAAACAACTGAAATGGATTAATTAATGGTTGAGGCATCTAAATAAGAACCTTAAGTGGCAAAAAATGTGTTGGAAGATTTTATTCATCATGTTACACATAATTATAAAGATATATAATCAGAAACATTTAAGATTGTAGCTAAATTGTTTTAATAGATGTAATAGAAATAAAAACAAGATGAATTATTGAAAAGTAGAACTTTATAAGTCTAATAACCTTAACATAAAAAAGATAAATTAAGTTCATCTAAGAGAGTTAATTAAAGTTCTGCAGATGAATCTTAAGCAAGTGATAAAATAAGATAGGAATTAATTGAAAAGAAAATGGAAGTTGATAAAAAGAATTAAGAAATATTTGAATTATAGAATAAGGTTAGATAAACAGAAAATTAATATATATAAACAGCTTTAGAATTGGAATCAATGAAATTAAATGTTAGTAAGTCAGAACAAGATAAGGCATAATTAAATTATGAATTTAAGAAATTAGAAAAGCAACTTACTTCTTTTAATTCAAAGACATTTCAAGATTAAGCTATTTAATGTACTGATATTGGATAATAAAATTTAATTTAAAAATTACAAAAAGATAATTAACAATTTTAATAAAAAGTTTATTAACTAAAAAGTGAATTAAATAAAATAAGTCCAAATTCAGGAAGAGAATTGAAATAGTAAAATACAGAGTTTTAAGATAAAAGTGATGATTAAAATATTTAAAATTCTTAAAATGGTACACCTAGATTAACTAGTAGATATAAATCTGCATATGATTTTGATAATTAATTTAATGAAGATGGTTTTTCAATAGATTAGAGATTAGATACTTCATAATAAATGTATAAAAATAGTGAAATCTCAAATAGAGAAAGATTGGATGATATGGGATTTGAGAGATCTCCTACTCATTCAAATACAGTTAAAGCAAGTTAAAAAGTTAAAAATAAAAATTAAACTTAATTAGAAACAAGATAAACAAACAGTCCAAAATCTAATTCAGAAAGATCAGTTAAATTATCATAGTAATTAAGTTAAACAAATTTCAATCCAAAAAAAAAAAAATAAAAATCTATTCTTAAAATAGAAGAAGAAGATTCCACTTTAAATTAATCAGCTGAATTAAAGAAATCTAAAATTAAAAAGTAGGCATTCTCTAATAAAGTAATAAGAAGATAAACTACTTTAGAAGTTGCATCAAAAGATTTCTTTAAAAATTCAAATTCAATTAAAGATTAAGATGATACATAAACAGCCACTAATTTTGAAACACAAAGAACATCATCTGGATAAGGTATAAATAAACCTAAAAGAATTAAATCAATTGATAAAAAAAAAAATGTAAGTGGAAGAAGAATTTAAACTGAAGGATAAGAGTAATTTTAAGAAAGTGATGATAGTCAATCAGAAAATGGCAATACAAAGGTGAAATTTTCAAGAAGTACAACTTAGAAAGAATAAAAATAATAATCAATAAAAAAAGGAAAATAAGGAACTTAAAGTAGACATATGACTATTAAAAAATCTGTAGATGCTTAAATGATTGAAACTGTTGAAGAAATTCCTTCAGGTAGAACATCTTAATAAAGTTTAGATAAATTTAGTTTAAAATAATCAAATACTATTGAAGAAACAGATGAATATGCTAAGCATAAAAAAGAACAACTAAAATTTAATGCTAGCTCTCCTATAAAAAGATCTAGCACATCAGTACCATAATAACTCTAAATGATTATAAAATTAAATGATGAAGATTAACAATAATTTACAACTTACTGGCATTAGAGTATTTATTATTAAATATATGTTTAGGACATATTGATTAAGAAACTTAGACTGAAAACTATCTATTAATTCAATTAATATAAAGTACAATAGCTTAATTAGATCTTCCTATGAATATTAAATAAAATATAGCCCAATAATTACCTAAAAAAATGGAAGCAGCAGTTGCAATAGCATTGAATTAAAGTTAAATCATACATTAGACAGCTAATTAAAGTTTAGAATGTTTGTAATAGTTTGAAATTACTACTCCTCAAAGTTCTCGATAATCATAAGAATCTTTTAGATAAAAATAAATTAGAAATTAAAGATCACTTGATTCTCAAGGAAAATAAAAATTATAAACTTTATTAGATTTGAATTAATTTGAACCTTCTTAAACAAAAACAAGTTTAGATAGTAAAATTGCTTAATTAACTTAAAAGAATTCAGTAGAATTACCTGATTAAGGAAATTCTGAAAAAAGTGAAGTTTTTTTGAGATCTAAAGCAGAAATAGAAAAATAGTTTATATTATAATAAGAATAGGTATTGAAGATGGAGGAATTTCTCAAGCCTGAAGATGAAGATTTGGGATATGAAGAATTAGCAAAATAAATAATAGCCAATGAAAATGGAGGTTAAGCATTAGAATAATTCAAATAAAATGATCTCTAATCAGAAAATTTTATGAAAAAACTTCATAATAGCATGACTAATTAGAAAACAAAAGGAGCTGCAGCAATATAGGATATGTTAAAAAGATTCTATAAAAAGAATCCAAAAGAGCAAATCACTTATCATGAATTTAAAGGATTTTATTAAAAGGTTTTTGCTATTCATAAATAATGTGGTTTTAATATTGTATGTAGTCATTTATAAAGATTTATAATGAAATTAGGATTTACTTGTACCTTATTTTCCAAACGAAAAGTATTAATAAAAATAAATATTAGTTATTAAAAACCTCCCTTTCAATATTGAAACCTTTTAATCCATTGCACGAAACAAAATAAAAATTAGTGAATCAATCAACTACTAATTAGAATTCTAGCAAATTCTAAACTAATTAACATTTTTCTGTTGATTATTGATTATTAATATAATACAAATTACAAATAAATGATTAATCAAAAATTACTCTATTATTTCATTCATTTATTTCTTATTAAATTTTACAACATTAATAATAAATAAAGATGTTTTCTTAACTTTATAAATTATATTTAATATATTTTAGAATTATATAACCTTTTATATATGATAATTACAAAAATAAGGATTCACTCTTTAGTTAACGAATCTGTTTATTCTGTATTAATAAGACTAATTTTTTTCATACTTTTGAACTTTCTTTATGAAATTACTAGAAATGTGATATTAAAGAAAATCAATATGACCATAAAGTACAGATAATACATAAATGTGGTTTTACTCAAAAAAATAAACACAACAGATATAAGAGTTGATGCTAGACTCTAATTATTATTATTTATAGTTATACACAAACAGCACTATTGGCTACATAATAGTAGTTTTCTTTATTTATTAATTTTGCTATCATCATAGCATGCAATGCTTCCAATCCTGAATATGTTAATCCTAAATTTAATCCACTTGTATAGGTCATGAATAAAATCTTATCAGCATAAGAATACAAAGATTAAACACAAAATACACAAACTAAGAATGTTTGAAGCCATGCAACATTAAATAAACTTGTCCAATGCCCAATTCTACCACTTATAAAGCCTCCTAATAGAGATCCTACTCCTCCAAAGAAGAACATTATAAATGATTTTTGATTATCTGTTTTCCCTAAAACTCCCTTTAAAAGCACTGGAAGTACATTAAAATAACAGCCTTAGAGCTACATAATTTTATTATAAGGTACCATTGAGGAAAATAGTGTGTATGGTATTAATGATTAAAATTTAGGATAAGAAAATGCTATTTTGAGTTAATCTAATTATTATTTTATTAACTATGTAAATATTAATGATTATCTCTAATTTTTCGGTCTAATATCTTTTACAAACAGTAAAAAAAATTAGATAAATAAAATGCCAATTACTAGAAATAGATAATAATGAAAGATGGAGACCTTATTTGAAAATAAATATCCTAAAATGAATATAACTATTACCTATTGTATTACCTAAGACTTAACAAGTTGATAGTATAGAGTATGCTATTCCAAGGTATAATTATTTATTATAAGAATTAGTTAATGAATTTGCATACACAGCATAAGAAACATAGAATATACAATTTGCAATTCCTCCAAAAAATGTTTCAATTCCTATTGTAATTGTCAACGTGTAGGGCTAATTAGAAATGAGTTGTACATTACAAAAAAAATACTATTCTTCACTACAAGATGCAACCATTAATGAACCTAATAAATATGTAAAAGCATTGAAGGTTCCTAAATATATTACAAAACCCATTCTGAAATTTGATATAATAGCATCCACAAAGAGCAAAGCAAATGGAGAGATAAAGTGACTTATTCCAAATTGCATTGGATATATAAAAGTTAAATTAGCCTAAAATAGATAATCTCAATGTAACATACTTGGCTATAAATATTGTAAGTTATGTTCTTTCCTGCAATCTACAATGAATAACACAGCATACAAAAAAAACAACAATAAAGAAGCTTACCTATGTGTTCAAACCTTTTTACTTTATCCATATCAATTTATTCCAGCATTTTTTTTTTACAAAAGTAATTTAACTTATAAGAGAAATCTTTATTTAATTTTTTTTGTTTATAAATCAAATTATTATATGAAATATAAGAATATAAACTACTTTTAATTAATTATTATATTCTAATATAAATTCTTCAATTCTAAAAGTTATTATTTCATTCAGTAATTTATTGGATAATTAAGATTTGGATTGTATAATAATTACTTACAATTTAATTTTAGATATCAAAATTAAAGTATAATCATTTAAAATAATATTTACTATTTTTTAATGAATACAAAAAATTATAGATTAAAAAGTTTATAGGATTACTTTTGTTAAATGAAAATAATATATCAGTTATAAAATATTAATATAATTGATAAACAAGCTTGAAACTCAATTACAATTACCAGTCAATCCAATTTATCCTAGCCTGATCCATATTTATCTATTTCTTTCACAATTTTCATACAAAGTCTAGTAAGATTTAGTGAATTTAAAATATTGTTCAAATACTTCTTTTAATATTTCATAAAGAATCTCTTTGTATAACCATATTTTTTCAACTTTATTTATATTGATTTGATCTTGAGTAAAATCCAATCTACCTGAATCATTTATACCTTAATTAGTAAGCTATTTATTGTATTTTGCAGAGGAGGTCATTTTAGATACAGCCTATTCAGAAATGAGGTCTTATAAAAATTAAAATTCAGAACTCAACAATTACTCATTATCATTATCATAATTAATATTTGTTTCGTTTTATTCCTTTTCAAGCCATAATGAAAAATTTATATAGGAAATGAAACATTTTGATAATGAGGATTTAAAGATATTGAATTATTACTCATTTTCAAAGAGAGTTGTATAATTATTATTGACTCTTTGATTAATTTATCCTTGTTGAGTTTCTTCTATATTTAATTTTTAAGATTTAGTTCTATCAAAATAACATAAGTAATCATAAAATAATTGTATAAATTATGGTTAAGCTAGAAATAATCTAAATGTTGAACATTCCATTTCAAATGGTAATTCTGTTATTGATTTATGCTAAAAAAATAAAGGTAGAATGGTTGAACAAATTAACATCAAAGATAATTTGAAACAATCAATATAATAATATAAAGGTATTTTATGAGATGGACTACAATCAATAAATTTTATCTAATTCCTCAAAAATATTTTAATTAAGAATTAAATTAATTCAATAGCAAATGCTATCCAATAATCAAACTATTAAAATTTCTAAAATATAATTCAAATTATTATACATTAACTTTTCTCATAAAAAATATTGCAAGAATCAATATAAGTTATGATATATATACAAATGCTAATCTAGGCATTACTTTTTCTATATTATATTCAGAATCATTCTATAAGAATATATTTTGGTCGAATTGTGTATATGCTTCAAGTAATCCTATTGAAATAAAACAAATAGCCATTGTTATTATAAAACTAAGACCCTTAAGTTTAAATAATTTCCATGGTCTTTGAAAAGCATAAAAAAATCTACATGCCCTTAACAAATAGCATAAAATTGGAATATATTTAAATTAAGCTATAAAACTTATAAAATTTTAAATAATACAATATTATTGTATAATAGCTGATGTCATCATATATATAATTTTATGAAAATAGTACAGCTATTGGATATAAAATTACAAATCCATAAGTAGTGATAGCTTATATAATAAGAATGTAACAGCTTCTTTCTTTCAGAATAATGTTAGTTCTCTAAGTCCATAGAAATACAAATAGAGATCCAAAAAATACACTTAGAGTAATAGTATAGAGAATAGATATGCTAATTGCTTATTCTTTAGTAGCTTTGATATTAAAACATAGTATGTGGGATTCTTAATCGGTCATTAATAAATTGCAATAATAATAATATTTTAATTTTATATCTTTTTTTGAATTAATTGGGTAGAACTATGATAAGACACATATAATTATGGGATATCAGAAGACAGGAAAATACTCTATTGTGTTACTGTAACTTCTTTTTATTTTCACTTTATTATTATCAGTCTAAATTGGCTTAATATGTTAATAATCTAAAGAGATGACTTCTTTTGCCATCATCATTAAACAACATTTATACTATTAAGTTAAGAATTTATTCACTTCTTCTTACCTGTCTGTTGGAAGCCTATAAGATGATTATTGAATGGTATCTTCTTAATAATTAATGATACTAAGAGCAGGATTATTGTTTAAGTGATTTTTTTAGGAAGGATTCTTTTTATAAATCTTCGAAGAATTTAATGCTTTTTCAAATTCAAATACACTGAATTATTGTTGATCATCAGAGGTAGCATATGATTATAAGTTATGTTGAATTTAATCTTTATGTTTTAGATAGAATTCTTTATAGAATATAAATTATTAATAGATGCTTGACCATTTTTCTTCATACATTTAGTTTGATTTGATTAATGTTTCATTAACATTTTGTAATTCCATCATTTAGATGTTCCATTCTGTTAATTATAAATCCAATTATTAATTTAATACTAATTATGCATGATATTTATTTTTAGTTCTCAATAATTCATCTTATAGCCTAGATAATAGTAATGTAAAATTACATATAAATTTTTTATTCAACACCTTCATTTGCTAATTTATTTGCTAGTAATTACATCCTTTTTATATTGAATTATTATATTTGTTAAGCTTTAGTTAAATCAAGTTTTGGTATGTGTTTTTCTGGTTCTTATTTGAAATCTTTTGGTATTTGTGACTTTTATTATCGTTTTACTTTTTGTGGCAAACTTGGAGAGAATAAAGGAGAAAAGACAGCTGATTATTACATATGCATTTTTTCATCTTATGAATCATCATCAAAAAATAATCTCTTTTATACTAAATAATTGATATTCATTTTTACATTATACTAAATTATTAATGAATTTAGATGGATCTTCATATTAACTAACTATATTAAATATATTATTTATAATTACAAAATGTTTTTGTTTAATTTCTTGGTGTGAATCTTTAAGTTCTAATTTTTAAAATTTCATTAGATAAACTAAAATTTAATTGTGCTAAATCATTTTTCTATTCAACCAATTCTTCTATTTGTAATTTCTATTTTAATAACATTGAATTCATTTATTAAATAACATTATTAAAATTTAAAGTCAACTATTCAGGTTAAGTTAACTAAAATATATAATTTTAGAAACTACATGTTTTTCTAAATAGATTGTTCCCATTATTTCATTTGAAATCTAGACCTATTCATTTAATTTCTTCTTTAATTCAGTAATTGTTTTATTGAGACTAGTAATCAATGAAGATTCTATTCTTTGATTTGATTCATTGATTTAGTCAGAAATAAAGGCCTAGAAACGCATTAAATAATTGGTTTACTTTATCAAAAGCTAAGTTTCTTTCATCACTCAATTATTCAACTTTTTTCATTAAGACTTCATTTTCTTCTTAAACATATTTTAACAAGACTAATGCAGCCTTACATTCACTACTTTAATCAAATAATTGTGGATTATAACAAATTTTTAATTATTCCTTATTTAATCTTATTAGATCTTTGGCATCTGATAATTATTATTTCATTGAATCTAATTCATTTTAAAGGTATCTACATTGAGTTTTCCATTTTTCAATTTCCATATTTATTAATATAATTTAAATTTTTTATATTTCATTTTTCAATATTAATTATTGCTTGTTATATTCTCAATCAATCTCAATATGATTTCATCTTAAAATTTCGAAAGTGACCCATATACATTAATCACTACTAAAAGATAAATATTTAGTTCTGAAAATGAATCTAATTTACATAGGATAAATAAATAGCATTCCTTAGCAGATTAAGGTGACAACTTAAGTTAAGAAAAGTAATTATTTTCAATATATAAAAAAAGCAAAAATATAAACTTTATTGAGTTAATTTAATCTAGAAGTTCTATGATTCCAACCGTTAAAGTTTTAACACCTAGAAATGACTAGATTTTGTAAAATGAAGATGGATTTTATATGTAATCTAGCATGCATTTCAATAATGAAGGGTAATATATTTTTTTTAATTGAGAGTTTGAATAAAATTTGGTTGAAGGGAGGATTAAAAATTATAAAATATGTTGCTAGATTCATATATTAACTCAAAACAAAAGCAGACAAATTAAAAATTAAGTTGATGAATAATGAGATTTTTCTGAAATTAGGTGATAAAAGTAGTGATTTTTAAAATTTTAAGAAAGGTAATCAAAAATAAAAATTAAATGGTTTAATATGTCAATTATTTAATAAGATAATTTTTTAAACTCTTACATTATGGAATTTTTTTAGTTAAAGTTTAAATAAAATAGCAATAATATATCCTGAAAGTACATTTAAAATTATTTGGGATACAGTAGTAGTTTGCTTCATAGTTATTAATATATTTTATATTCCAATGAGTCTAAGTTTTGAATTAGATAAATCAAGTTAAATCTCTACTCTATTATTTGAAACTATTCCTAGTTATATTTTTATTGTAGAAATTCTACTTAATTTTAATACTGCCTATTATAGTCAAGGAGTTATCCATACTAATAGAAGTGATATATTTTTCCATTACATATCAAACAATTTCATTTGGGATCTACTAATAGCAATACCATTTATTTTAGCCTAATTTGATATACCTTATATTCAATTTATTTTGTTATTGCGTATAGCCAGAGTGAGATCAATGATATAGAATGTAGAAGATTTGTTAAATGCAAAAGAAGAAGTTTAGGCTGTGATTGAATTAGGAAAACTAGTTTATTTTTTAGTTTTAGTTGCTCATATGTGTAGTTGTGGTTGGCATCTTTTGGGTAGAATTGAATATGAAGTATATCAAGATGAAAACAGTTGGCTAATCTATTATGGCCATTATCATTAATAATGGTATGATAGATACATAGTATCCTTGTATTGGAGTGTTATAACAACTTTGACAGTGGGTTATGGAGATATTGTACCTTAAACTTCTATAGAAAGACTTTATGTAGTTGTAGTTGCTATGGTTTTGTGTGGAGTGTTTGGTTATATTATTTCTATGATTGGGGAAATATTAAAAACATTATAAGAGAAGAAAGCTTTATTAAAAAAATCAATGAAAAAAGTCAATTAATATATTAAATAGAAACAATTAAATTTATAATTATCCCTCAAAGTTAGAAAATATTTTGAATTTAAACATCAAATAGATGAATAATTATAAGATTAGGATGATTCTGTTTTAAATAAATTAAATGGTTCATTAAAATAAGAAGTATTAATTGATATTTATAAACCAATTTTAATGAAATCAAAATTCTTGAAAGAGAATATTCCAGAAAATCTAATAAATAATTTATGTTAAAAAATAAAATAAGCTACTTTTGCTCCAGGTTATGAAATTGCTAATGTATATGATCCAGCTACAAAATTAATATTTATTTTAGATGGTTAAGTTAATAGTTATTTTATTTCAAAAGGATTTGATGCTCTTTAAAAGAATGAAAAAGAGATCAATTCTGCAATGATGTAAAGAAATTATTAAAGAGGAGATATAATAGGAGAATTAGAATTTATTATTAATTCATCATATTAATTTTATTTTAAAGCTTAGACCTTTATATCTATAGTTTATATTGAAAGAAATGATTTTTTATAAGTAATTTAAGAAGATGAAGAATGTAGATAAAAATTTCATTAATTGAGAGAAAAATTAACATATTAAAAAACTTATGGTAGAACTTGTGATGTTTGCAAATGGACTCATAGATATAAAGATTGTCCTTTTGTATTCTATTAAACTAATATTTATAAAATAGCAAGAAATGCAAATACAAGTTAAAATTAATCAAGGCTTTAATTTGATAGATAAAGAGAAAATAAAAGAAAATCAAATTTATCTGATCATCAGAATATGTTAAATTAAGGTATTGATTTTATTATTAATTTTGGATATTTAAATGAAGAGTAAATATATTAAAAAATATTTTAGTTAATTAAATGAATCATATCTCATTAAGCTTGGCTTTGATATTTAAGGATAATTTCATGAAAAATCTAATTTATCATAAGATAGTTAATCTTAAGATTCCCATTAACAAGATAATCATTCCATTGCCCAGAAGAAAGGATCTTCTCAAATTGAAAAAATGAGAACAAGTTTTATGAATTAGAAATTTAAAACTGGATTAGGCTAAAATGCTAATTTTATAAGAAATTAAAATTCAGATGATGATTCAAATCCAACAATATAGAATCCTTATGCTTAATACTAAAGAAATACTGAAAATGAAGTTGAATAAAGAGAACATTCTTATTCTAATGCAACATTTAATTAATATAATCTCACTAATAATACAATTAAACAAGGTTCAAGTCCTTTTACTTAAAATAATTTAAGAACTTCAGTTGTACATCAATTAGTAAGAACAGAAACCATTATGCCTTAAAAGGGTATTATAAATTAATAATAACATACTCATCCTTCTGTGAAAATAGCCAATGGTAATTATTATGTAGAGAATGATAATGATAAGAACCAATAATTAGGTTAATAATAAACAAATGGAACGATATTATTTATCCCAGAAATAGATATAGATAGAATGAAAAATTATGATTTTTACTTTCCCCAATTTAATGTGATTAATGTTTTAGAGAATTTGAAGAAATATTGTCACAATTAATTTAATGAAAACAAAAAGAGAAATATTAAAGAAAAACTTAGGTCTATTAGATTGAACAAATCTATCAATAAGTGCTTTAATTCATCATTCAAAAATATAGATGAAAGTATCTGATATTATTTCTAATTTAATGGATTTATCACAATATTTCAGAAATCATTCAAAATTACCTGAATGTTCATTTCTAATAATGTTACAGGATATTTCCAATCAAATCTTTCTAATACTTCTGGATGAACTACTCCCAAACCTCCGATTGGTTGATCTTTATAAATAATTTAGGCTTATAATTAATGGAAGAACAAAGGATCTAAATTCAAAATATATTTTACCATTTGATTATTTCAAGTGATAATCTGTCTTTTTAACTCTGAGTTTTATCATTAATTAATCTAACAAACCATGTAAGATTTCTAACTCACTTTTTTTACTACTAGAATGAATGGCAACTAAATTTCTTTAATTATAAGCTCCAACTTATCCTTCTCCTTTTTAAAATCCATCTTTTTCTGATTTCAATCCTTTAACACAAACATCTGAAACTTCAAATAATTTAATTGGTAATTTGCTATCAGAATTAGCTTATAAAGTGTGTAAAATTCCTGGAATGAGAGTTGATCTCACTGATTAAAATTATGGAGTTTTAGAATTGTTGATAGACACATAATTTTATAAATTTGGTCTATTTAACATTTTAGTTTATTCATCTATTGACATTAATACGAAATTTAAACATTCTACAAAACCACATAAAGCCACTTCTTCTCTTACCATATCTGATAATTTATTTAATCTATATTCTGATCCAGTTGTTGCAGTCTCTGGTACTTTAAATTCTATTTTATTATAATCATAAGCAATTCCTATTTCTTCAGCAATATCACATTATTAAAGTATATCACTTCTATAAAATGGTACTTAACAATCTAAAATATTATCATCTTTAGCTACACTTTATATACCGATAATTGACAATAGATCACTTGCTTATTAAGTTGCTAATATAATTATTAATTTATATACTAATATTTATTCCCAAAACTTTATTAATATATTAAATATTTGTTGTTAATGTTCTTTCATCTACTACAGGTGTAACAACTTATTTATTATTTGATTCATAAACAATATTAACTTTTTCAATATTTAATTTATTATTGTATATAGCAAATCCACTAATCAAACAATTTAAAGTATCTAAAGCTCTTTATTCATCTATTGCTGTGACTTCAATAAGAATATTTTTTGTTTCTGCTGACATTTTAGAATGCTCTCCATTAATTATTGGTGGTAATGAACAAACTCTCTTTTAATTATCATAAATAACAGGATAAACAGGTGAATTTTCAATTATCTTCAAATAACCTTTTAAGTATTAATCTTCCTATTATTAATTAGGAATATAATTACTCTTAATTTATTAAATAAATCAATGCAATTCATTTGTTCAGTTTATTTTAGTGCTTAAAATACAATATCTTAAGGTGCTTATGCATCATAAAAGAATGGACCTTCTATTTTATCTAAATCATGAGTTCCAATAGAAACTAGAGTTCTTTTTCTAGCATAATTTTAATGAATTTTATCTTGAAATGATAAAAAGGATTTAAAACTATCTTCTGTTAAAGTAACATCTCTCAATATTGCTCCAACAACAAATGGTCTAATTTATTGTGTCTATACAATATATATTATATTAATACTGCAGCTTTCACATAAATTGTTTCTTTTGCAGGAGTAAAACTATAGATTCTTTTTTTTTCCAATCCCATATATATTCTTAATGCATGTACTAAATTTTCAATGCATAATAAATCAGGTCTATTAGCTGCAATTTCAAAATATAAAAGATCTGGTTCTTCCTCTCTTTCTTCTGCTTCTATACCGAATCTGAAAAGTAACTCTTCCAATTCTTCCTCATTTAATTCTTTTCCTAATAGTTTAAAGAAAAGCTTCTTGTCCGATGATATTTTAGGCATAATTAAAATTTATATATTTTATATCAAATATTTCGATTGAACTATTCAAATACTATTTTCCTCAATTGATTAAGTCATTTATTCTGCTTTTTCCATTTCATTAAATTCAATTTCTTTACTTCTCAACTATTATTCATCATCAAAGTTTTATGTCTAAAAATGATAATTAATATAATATTACCTTTCTGTATCTAATTGCTCTAATAAACCATTTAAAAGCATGTTTAATGTTCATCAAACAAAATATTAATATGAGTAATATAGTTAAGATTATAACCCAAATTCCTAAATTTTCAAAAGCTAAAGCATCTTTATTTTAAGATTTTTAATCTATAATTTCTTTATAAACCCCAATTTATCCAGTCTGATAATTGAGAAGAATTCTTTTATCAATAAAAAAGGGTTCTCCTAAAAATATTGTATTTGAAGATGATAATTTAATCTTCAATTAACATTTATTCTTGAATTATTCATCCTTTTTACAATTTCCCAATAAATTATTTAGATTTATTTATAAATCAGATATCTTTAAATTAATACTTAAACTTTTAGTTAGAGATTAACTCATATTTTTACATACAATTACAAATAGTTCTGAATCAGCATACACACATGAAATGCCATTATCATATTTAGTCAATTGATCTATTAATTAATTACTTAATTCTAGAGGAAGTGAAATATATTAAGAGTTTAATGTTAATATAGCTTGATATTATTGATCTTTATCAGAAAGTGGTTTATTCATCAAAGAGATTTAATCTATTATAAATTTCCATTAAGGTTTATTTATGTCAGAATTATTTATCCAATGTAATTAATAGTTAGGTCTTTAAAGAATTTCATTTCGAATTGCTATAGTTTATTTTTAAGTGTATAGATCAAATTATAGAATGGATTTATTGCTTTAAGAATATTGAATAATAAAATTTTACTATCCAGAACCATTAAAATGACTCAAACTAATTGCCCCATCAGATAAATAACTTCTTTTCGCATATATGTTGTTTACTTATAACATTTGTAATTCAAATTATTTTCCATCTATCTATACATTAGATGTAACCAAAAATCCTTTCAATGAAAAGTTGTGGGCTATTATTTAACTTTCTATAGAAGATTATTGCTCAAGTTTTTATGACTTTATATAATTTTTTTCAAAACAGCTATTCTTCTATATTGTTTAATTAATTTAGGGCTAATCATAGAATTCGCATTCGGAAGACTTATACCAACTCCATGGACCAACTAAATCAATCTACATCATATGATTCAATTTACAAACATCTCAAAATTTTCATTCTCTTTTGCCAAATTAATTTTCATAGTGTAAAGCAAATCTGATTATTCACATATCACCTTTGAATTATTAAGAGTAAACTCTTAATTTTATAATTCTAAAGGGCATTTAAATAAACTTTAGCTTTAAAGTATTTCAGAAATATTGGCATCCTTGTATGTTTTTTTACTTAGAATAATTTCTTAGCCAAAGCTAATTTAAAATAATAGCAATAAATTAAACATATTATTTTATTTATTTACTTAGTAATATTTTATATTCATAATTAATATCTAAAGATCAGAAAATCTAATTTTATAGCTAACCTTAAAATATAAAGTATTAATTTAGAACTCTATATAATTATAAACTAAAATTTCTTATAAATAATAATCTATCATTATATTTTCAATGTTATTAGTTTTGTGGTTGATTTTAGAATCGTAAATCGTAATTTTTACTTTTAATAAGCTGCTAAGAATTAGTACGTCTATGATCTGGAAATTAATTAACTTGAGAAGGAGCATTTTACACTTCTGTTGGTTTTTGTAATTAAGACTTATGAGCTCCATAATTATTTTATTAAGGACTCAAATATCCTGAATGATTAGAATAAGGTTGGTTAATTCCTGAATAAATTTGGCTATTCTCTGTTAATTCTATCAAATTGTTATTATTATTAGTTGGAGTTTCTTAATTCCATTAATATTATTATTTTAGAGTTTATTTAAATTAGAGATTATGAATTTCACCTTCTAAATTCCTAATTCTAGATTCCATTTGAAATAATTGTTCCTAATATTTATAGATAAAAAATAAATACCTTTTTATTAGCTAAATCATTTTCCAATTAATTATTTTTATCTTAGAGCATACTATTTTATAATTGCAAATTCTAAACTTCCCTATCTTTAGCATTATTATCAGAATCAAGTTTCATTTATAAATTATCAAAATCTCTAAGTTTCAAATCATTTTAATTTTAAGTTCTAAGTAATTCTTCCATTAAATTTTTCACTTCAAAATTTAATTACTATTTATCTTATTCTAATCTATCTTAATTTTGCTAGATATTTTTATTTTACTCTTAAAATTGTAATAATTCTAAATTTCTAAATAATTTTACCTCTTTCTAATTAATCACATTTTTTTTCATAGAGTAGTAAATCATCATGCATTTCTTTCATTTTTTATATTGTAACTGCTCTTTCATTTCTTAGTTGAACTTCATTATCTTAAGCACCTTTTAACTGACTTTGCATATGTACATATTCATTTTCTAATTGTAATAAAGCCATTTCTCTTTTCTTAATTTCTTATTCTAGTGATAATCCATAGTTTTTCCATTTTTCAAGGGTTCCTTTAAGATCAGCAGATTAAATTTGTGATTTTGATAAACTATCATCAATAGTTCTTTCAAGTTGATAACACTTATTTTATAACATTTAATTTTGTGTAGTTAATTGATTGAGTTATTCTTTCATTTTCCATATTTCTTATTCTTATGATTAACTTTTTGTTGCTAACTTTTAATATTCATTTTTTCCTGTTTATATTGTAATTAGATATTGATCAATTTATCTTTATTCTAAAATTTATATATAAAAATACAGTCAGAAATTTATTATTACATCTGTCTTATTTTATTTTCATTTTAAATATTTAAATTCTATAAATTTTATAATTCTTTTTCTTTTTATTAGAGCTGAATCACTTAATTTTTTAATTGCTCATTCTAAAAATTAAGATTTGTTAGATTTTTTTATAGATTATTAATCTAATCTTTAGATCCTTAGTTTAATTGATTGATTTTTTAAATCAATACTTTGTTTTAATCTTATTCACTTATCAAATCTTTATTAATCATATCTAATGCTTATTTCATTTTTCTATTATCATTTAAGAGAGATTCATTCTTTTAACTTTGTCCATCATTATTTAAAGTTAACTCTTTAAGCTATTGTTTCAATTTCTCTATTGTTTCTTTTTAAGTCTATATCTCACTATCTGAAAAAGAATTTAATCTTTTTTATTCTTATAATTGCTTATTAGCTATTGAAAGCTATTATTCAAGATCAGATATCTAATTTTCAAGTCCTTTATTTAGTTCTACTTACTTCTTTAATTTTTATAAATCTAAAAGCTAATATTGATCTTCTTAAATTGTATTCATTAATCTCTTATTTTCATTTTTTAATTGTAGTATTTAATCCCTAGAATATTCATTTATATCATACTGAAATCCTTATATTTCTGCATTATTACTCTTGTCTCTATTATTTAATTGATTACTATTATACTCAGATTTTATACTTATCGTTTTTCAACTTTTAGTTCTCCTACTCTAAGGATCTCCACTAATATCTAATTGCTATTTATAACATACCTTAATGTTTCATTTTCCTTCATTAATCTTTGGATTTATTCTTCATGTTCTTATTCTTTCATAGTTTATTATCCCATCACAGGGTAATTGAATTGAGGATATTGTTATACTTGAGGAATATTTTACTATTATCCATAACTACATCCTATAAATATCTTACTTATTGGTTTGAGAAGATCTCATCGGAATAAACCTAAGGTTACATATAATGGGATTACTCATTTTGATCAATAGTTTTTAGATTTTATCCATTTTAGAAATTGGATCCTCCTAATTATCGATTAGAATTTGGTTTGCTTCTTTCCTGGAATGGAATTTAAGTTTAAGAATTTGTTTCGAATTGGCTCATTTAGTGAATACAGAAATTTTTTTATAAACAATATTACGTTAAAAATACTTTATGATATCAAATTAAATAATTTTATATTATTTTTTCATCATCTATAAATTTACAACTAGAAAATAAATAAATATAAGCATCATAAGTTACAATAAATATTGAATTATAGATATTATTATAATATAACAACTCATATGAAATCATATAATACTATTGTATTAATCAAAAAATATAAAATAATCATAATTTTTCATTCTTATTTAACTTATGACCATTCTATTTTAATTTATAACAAAATTAAGAAGGTTTATGCAATTCTATTTTAATGGAATGTATAAAATTATAAATTCAAAATACAGATTAAAAAAATGTTTTGTATTAAGATTAGAGCTATTCTTCAATTGAAAGCCTTTTTGAATTAGTATTTAATTTGCTTTATAAAAAATTGCTTTAGATATTTGGTATACTCTATAATAAATTATAATTTTTATTATTATTAATTTTTAGTTTAAGCACTTCTATGAATTATTTTAAGTCTTTAGGTGATTTTTTACCATAAATTTAAGGTTTGCTTGATGATTATGTTTTCAATTATATTATTCTATCAATTTCTTAGAAGGGACTTGGGGATCCCTTGAACTTCTTTTTTGAACTCTATTCATTATAATTTGAAAAATTTAATTTTTTCTAATATCTACTTTATTGAAATGAATTATCATGATCAAAATATTCAAGTATCTAATTATTTAATTCAGAAATCTTGTTAGTAATTTCTGTAAAATAATGATTTTTTTATTTTAAAGGTGATTATATCAATTGACAGTTAGAATATGAATTGATAAGCTCTTTATTTTTTTGAATTTCTTATAATTGTAACCTTAATTCTTATTCTTGTTCTAATAAATGGCGATTTCCTTTTTCAATAACTTTTTTCATAACCACCCTAATAGATTAAGTTAATTAATCTTAGTAAGATTACACATTTTTTAGGAATAATTTATAATCATCTCGTAAATTAAATAACCTCTTTATTATAGTTTATTCTTTAAATGATAAATAATCGATTTGTTCATTTTAATCAAAGTGATCAGCATACTTTAAATATTATTTTTAAGGTGAGATAAAAGTTGGTTATTATGCTTAATGTATTTTATTTTCCACTTATCTTAGTAGTTCCTAAGAGTCAATAGATAATCTTGATTCATCCTTAGATTTAGAAAACTCAAAATATTTATTCATTCTTAATTTTTATAAAAATAATTCAAAAACATATTTAAAGAAAATAAATTCATTATTTCTTCTTAGAAATCATAAAAATAAGATTAAGGTCATTTATTTTAATCACTTATAAAAATAGAAAACATGTTTTTCAATTAATTTTATTAAAGAATAAATTATTTTTTGATTATCACAATATTTTTTTCTCAAACAATTTAAGTTAATTTCTAAATCCTTCATTAGGGTTCACTTGGTGTCGTAATGCTTTCATTTTTATAAGTATAGTCTCACTATCTTTTCTTGAATATATGGTTAATTTCACTTCTCAATTTTCATTAGATAAGCACAAACAATTGTTGCAGATCGAGATACTCCAGCAAAACAATGTACCAATACATTTGTTGATTTTAAATTCTATTCAATAAATTTGATCGATTTTTAAAAATGTTATACTAAAGTATATTAGAATTTATACTTATTTAGAAATTATCATCATCATCTGCTTCAATAATATAATGATTTACATTTTTTATTGTTGTATTAACTCCTCTTGCTGCAGTAATTACAGCTTTTATAAATTTTGCTTTTAAATTATCCTCTTCGATTGAATTAAGATTTCCTAAAAATTAATTGATATTTACCTAAATATAGATTACCTTTATCTTCACTTTCTCCTTTTAGAATTAAACTACAATTTTATTTCATCTCTTAGATTAACATAATATAAAAATTATTCAATTAGAATAGTCAAATTTATAAAGACTCTTTTTCGAAATTCTCTAATTACGAAATAAATCCATTATTCGGACATGCAATTTTTCTGATAGTCTTAATTCTTTAGAGTGCCTCTTAGGCTTTTAATCTAAATAATTAGATTGTTATTACTTTTGTGTTTTCATTAAATATGCTACCACAATTGTTGCTGACCTAGAAGCACCATAAAAGCAATGCACCAATACATTAGTGTGTTATAGATTTTATTCTATAAATTATAAACATTCATTAAAATGCAGACCTAATTGAGATTGATTTTTTAAATTACAAATCTAGTATTCTGGAACATCTTAAGCTTTTATGATAAGATGATTCCTATTTGGTAAATTTATATTTATATCATCAGCTACAGTTAATATGGCACCAATTTATAATTATTCTAAATGCTATATTGAAGTTGAATGTTTATTTCCTATTTAAATATAACCAATCATACCCAAAAATAGATTGCCTTTTTCAAAACATTCACTATCAATAATTCTATTAGGTGAAGTATAACTAGATGAATACATTATGATAGGAATGATTTTGAAAAATTATTTATGTATAATTTAATTAATAAATTTCATTGAAGATTGAACAGAGATTATATTTAAAAAAATTTGAATAAGTTATTTAATATAAACATTAATCTGTATTTGAATTACAAGATATAAATAATTATAATACTAAATTCAAAGATTTGTAATCTTCTTATTCTTACGTTAATTAGATTATTTGAATAACACTAAATAATTATAAATTGTAAAAAAATATAATAAATTAATGGGTCAATTATGTATTGAGAAACCAAAACAAAAACACTCAGAAGATAATTTACGAGAACTTAATCAAAAAACCTAGAATAATCCATAAACATAAGAATCGTCTCTTTAAAATCCAAATTTAACAGAATAAGAAGCCAAAGAAAAAATTTAAGTTAAATTACTTGATTCTGTAAACACTCACTAAAATTAATCCATTCATGATGTTTATAAAATATTATCCCCTCCATTAGGAAGTGGTAAAGTTATATTAATCTCAGGTTCCTATGCTGAAGTGCGTAAAGGAGTACACAAAGTTTTAGGTATTACAAGAGCAATAAAAATCATATCCAAATCAGAAGCCACAAATGAAGAGGTTTCTAGAGTCTTACATGAAGCAGAAATACTTAAACAGTTGGTATCAAATATTTAATTTAGGATCACCCTAATATAGTAAAAATTTTAGAGATATACTAAAACTCTGAATAAATTTTCATTGTAACTGAGTTATGCACTGGAGGTGAATTATTCGATGCTATAGTGGAATCTCAACATTTTTCAGAGAAAGATGCAGCTAAAATTATCAAATAAGTATTGCTAGGCTTAAATTACTGTCATCAACATAAAATAGTTCATAGAGATATTAAACCAGAAAATATTGTTTTTGAAAGCAAAGATAAAAGAGGAACAATTAAAATAATAGACTTTGGAACATCAAGGATATTTAATCCTCATTAAAAGATGAATCTAAAAATAGGAACTGTAACTCTATTTATCTATCTTTAGCCATACTATATAGCTCCAGAAGTATTAAAAAAAAAGTATGATGAAAAATGTGATATGTGGTCTTGTGGAGTTTTAACTTATATATTATTATGTGGTTATCCACCATTTAATGGAAAATCTGAAGCAAAGATATTAGAAAAGGTAGAATAAGGAAAATATGAATTCAATTCAGAGGAATGGGATATAATCACTGAAGTAGCAAAAGATTTTATTTCTAAATTGATGGAAAAAGATCCTTTCAAAAGATACAATGCTGAATAAGCACTAAAACATCCATGGATTGCATAATAAAATGAAGATGTTTAAAATCAATTGCCTTAAATTGACAGAGCTTTAAAAAATATGAAAACATTTAAAGTAATATATTTTGATATTTTTTTAGTCAACTAAATAACTTCAATCTGCTATTTATCAGTACATAGTTAATTAATTTTCAACTTAAGAAGACAAATCAGAATTATTGAAAACTTTTAAAGCCCTAGATACTAACAATGATGGTTAATTAAGCAAATAAGAACTACTTATTGGATTAAAGAAGGTTATGAGTGAATACTAAGCTATAGAAGAAGTAGATAGAATCATGAAAGATACTGATTAAAATAATTCAGGAACTATTGATTATTCTGAATTTGTTGCTGCTTCCATAAATAGGTCAAAACTATTATCATAAGATCGATTAGCTAAAACATTTAAGGCTATTGATAAAGTAAATTTGAAACTTATATTAGGATGGCAATGGTTCAATAAGTATAGATGAATTGAAATTAATTTTTGGAAATGGATTAGTTCCAGATTAAATATGGAAGTAAATCATGAATGAAGTTAATGATAAAGAAGAGATAACTTTTTAAGATTTTTCAGAATTAATGTTAAATTTGGCATTTTGAATATTGATTGTGTCTTTAATCATATTATAAATTATATAATTATTTTTATGAATTGAAAATATTGTGAAACTGTTAAAATATTCTTTTTTTAATAAATCAATCAGATCATTAACTTAAATCAGTATCACCAGCAGCAACTCTCATGGCAATGTATTCTTTTAAGTCTCTCATGTTGGTATTCAAATGTCCAATCAAGTCAGAAACAGTTTATCTGTCTCCATCTCTTGCAGTTCTTCTTTATTAATATTCATAAGCAGCTTATTAGCATTCGGCTCTTCTGTCATCTCTTTATTAGGTCTTGGCTTCAAGTCTGGCAGCATTGTCATCTTATGAGCTGTGAGTGGCAGCGAGTTAATCAGCCAATGATTAGATTTCAGCTTCCAAATTGGCAATTGCAGTGTTAAGCTTATTCATATCTCTGTTTAAGAGAGAACTGTAGGCTTCATAAGCTTATCTTCTAGAGTCTTCAGTCTTTCTGGCTAAATCGAAGGCTTAGTTCAATTAGTTTTATAAGTCATCGATCAATTGAATGATTCTTCCTGTTAATTCTTAGTTAGCATATTATTAAGCTTTGACAGCCAAAGAAGCCATAAGTTTGATGGCTTTTCCGAAAGTTCTAATGTGTTTCATTTATCCAGCCTTGTGAGCAGCAGCATTTAAGTGGGTAGCAACTTAGGCAAAAACTTATGGGGTAAAGTGAACGGCTTCACTTGATCCCTTTTATAAGAAAGCTGGGGCTTATAAGTTATCTGTGAAGAGTCTTCTAGCTTCAGCAAGAACGCCTGAAACGAATGAGAGTTCTTCTCTTTAAGCTTCAAATTCATCATTTTATTCTTATCTCTTGGCTTAAGCTTCATCGATAACTTATTAGAGGAGAGTCTTTTCAGCTAATTTGGCAACTCTTTATCCGACCTTTTAGTCATGGACTGGTTAGAGTTCGTCAAGTTTAGCTTATAATTCTGTGTCTCTTTATTCAAGGTTGGCAATCTCTTAGTTAAGACCTGCAAGATCAGCATCACAAACTCCTTAGAAGGCTTTGTTTTCAGCATCATCTTCTCTTTAGTCATTTTGATATCTCTCTTCCAAATCATAAAGTGTAGAGAAAATTCTCTCTAATGGCTCACCTGTTTACATTTGGATAGCAATTGTGTTCAACAATGTCTTACCAAGCTTGGATTTTTCGAGTTTTTCGAAAGCAGCCAAGTTTGTGGCAAATGCTGTAGCAACCAATACTAAAAGAACTATAGATTTCATTTATTAATACTTTATTTTATTAAAATAATGGCGATTTGAATTACAAATTTTAGGAAAAACGAATTTTTTTTATTAAATTATCTAATTAATATTTATTTATTAATAATTCCGTTTTTCAAGAATTTAATTAATAATAAAATATTTATTAATAAAATAATGGCAAATAATGTTGCTATTGCTCAATCAACAATTCATAAATTTTATACTATTTTTAGCAAAAATTTAAGTACTTTATTAGCTTTATTAATCATAAATTTCTTAATTCATAGACACATTATATGTTATTAATAGTTTCAAAATATTTTTATAATATATCATACAAGTTATATTTTTTTCTAAAGATGTAATTCCTTATTGTTATTGCTAAATCATTGAGAACTGGCATCTATACATACATTGATGATGAAACAATGATAAATTAAGCACAGATAATCAATATTTAGTTTGTTTAGGATATTTTACATTTTTCTTAATTTTATAAAGAATAAAAAAATAAAAAAATAAAATTAATTAGTGTTTGGTTCAAATTCACCTTTATAATTTACAATAATATTTGAAATCTATAATATATGATTCCTTGCATTATAGCATTATGATTATACAACTCATATGTATTGATCAAAATAAGATAGTAGATATCAAAATTTGATGAGTATAAATATTCAAAAAATTGAATTATTTACCCGTAAAAATTCAAGTGAAAATCATGAAAAATATAACAGAAGCTTAAAAAAGTAATTAGTTTGACATTTCTAAGGATAAATTATAGAAGGATATAAAAGAAGATATATTGAAAAATGATAATTATGTTTATGAATAAAAAAAATAATTGTACTTAAATTTGTTTTCTAAGTACACAAAAAATAGACTAGATATACGAGTGATTATTTCATATATTGATTAGGGCCTATATTTTTATTGCCAGATCAATTACATAACTCAATAAAATACTAATATATATTGTTATAATTATTATATTCATATATAGATTTATCTGATTTATTTTGTTTTTCGAAACTTTTTAAACTCTTTTTATCCTTTCTAGATCCTTTAAAACTTTAATTTTAGAGAATTAATTCATAGTAAGACTACTGTGATTTACTTTTGTGTTTAAAATTAATTAAGTTTTAATTTGAAAGAAGAATATTTCAAAAAATAATTTTATTATTTATTTAAAGTTAATTCATTTAGAATTTTAATATATTATGGATAGAGGAGAATATATTTAAAGTTTTATTAATATGTATAAAATATGTATATCCAAAATATGATTTGAATAACAATTGAAAATAATTAATCTTCTTCTTTATTAGATATAAGTTTCAAAGTTAAATTTAAGATGTAGAAGATTTAAGAAAAAGTATTTGATTATTATCCAATAAATAATTTTACAATAGTAAATTTGTTTCAAATATTTTATAATGAATCAATTTTGATATCTATTTAATGCTTATCTTGATTGAGCTAAGACTTAATTAACTCTATTCTGAATCTCAATATTTTCTGTAAAGTCATTTAATGTGTGCTTGATTGGGCTTGCATAAGTAATTGGAGGTGTTGGAAGCAAGTTGATTTAATAATTAAGATTATCCTATTAATTTGAAGAATTTAATATTTCAGTAGGTTTTACATGACTTTCTTCTAATTGTACAGCAATCTATTAAATTTACTATTAAAGTGAAAATAATTGTCTTTACTATTCTTCAATGATTTACTATTATTTTAATTGTTATTAATATTATTATTATAATTATTATTGCTATAATTTTAATTACTATTCTAATTATCTATTTATTTATTATTCTCTTAAAAGTAATTCTTCATCTGATTTTTCTCTAAAAGAATATGATTGTAGAAAATTATCTTATTAAGCATGAGGGTTAAAGGTTGAAATTTGATTTTAGGGAGGAATTTATTTTTCTACGATTGGAGGTATTGATGGTTGAATTAAAGGTTTTTAATCTTATTCTATAATATTTTATTATCTAAGATTATTCAAATTTAATGTTGGTTTCAAAGGAGAAAAATTATTAGCTTAATTATGTTGATTTTGGTTTAATTCTTTTGAATTCTATGAATATAATATAATTATGTACTAAAATATCTCTTATTCCTATTCTATAATTCATATCTCTTTGGAGCATGTTTTTTGTTATTTTGATTAATTCTTCAGAATAACCATTCATTATTGATTCTTACAAACGCTCTTCTATTATTTAATCATGTAATTAAGGAGGATTTGAATTAAAGGAATAACAATCAAAACTACTTTTAAGTGTCATTAATTCTAACATAGTCATACCTAAAGAAAAGATATCTGATTTAGAAGGATCATGAACAGGATTTATATTTTTTAATCTTAATTGTTCAATTAATTCTGGAGAGAGTAATGCTTAGCCTTATTTATTTAAGACTATAGAATAACCACTCATCATTCTTAAGACTCCCATAGGAATTAATCTAACTTGCATATTATCATCTAAATATATAGAATCTGGTTAGATTTGCATATGCCATTGTTGTTTGGTCTCTAAAAATTGAAGTGCTTATATTATTTGATGCAAAAGCTATTTAAAAATATAATTGAGATTAATACTTTCCATAAATCTTTTTCTGGAATTAAAGACTTATATTAAAAATGATGAGCACAAATATTTTTTGATGTTTTATAAAGTGCTTAATAATACCATTTACTAATGATTAAATTAGTGGTTATTTATGGATCAATACAAAAACCATAATATTTAATTAAGTTTGGATGATATAAGCTTTAAGCTTAATTATGAAGATTCAGTAATTAACCTTCTTATTCAACAGATACAGAGTTAGCTATTCTTTTTTCAAATATTGTTGGGAATTTGGTTACTTCATTTTTTAACTTATAAAGTTCAACTCTTTCAATATGCTAGTAATATTAACCACCAAGATGTTAAATTTATGCGTTTAAAGGTTCATTTTAATTAAAAATAGAGGCATCCATTGTTTTAGCAAAATACACTTTATTTCCCATTTGTAATTATAAATAAAATTTATTTACTCTAATTTATTAATTATTATTTGTAAAGTATAAACTACTCATTAGTAATATTTATATTAAATTTAATGATTAATTCCTATAATCAAGTATAAGACTTAAACTAATAATATTCAAGTTAGAAATAATAATAGTCATTTATTTTAATTATTTAATATTTATTTATCAATGAAAGAACCTGTATATTCAATGGAATTAGGAGAATTACCAGGTAATTATAAAAAATTCATTTAAAGGAACTAGACCAAGAGTATTAAAAAAGGAAAGAAATGTAGGAGCTGATAAATTTATATAAGCTTATCTTAGTAATGAAAGTATTTAATATAAATGATAAAAAGAATTGAAAACAACTTCTAATGATATAAGAATGAGAAATCCATTATTTTCTGACTTCTAATATGCCTAATAACAATAGTTTGGGAATGGATTATAATAATAATTTAAGAGTTCACCATAATTGTTACAATCTAAATCAGTAAATCCAGAAAAAATGAGACATTTTTAGCATAATGAAAATAAAGTAGAGGATTCTATCGATCAATTTAAAAAATCAAGTGTTTAATAATAATAACAATAACTAAATTAAAAAATCCAAAAATCAGAATTAGATCTAAATTTTTAATAAGATTAAGTTTAACCAAGTTCTAAACATAATTCTAGAAAATCTTAAAATTATGAAACTCATTCTAGTAGAGCTGATGCAAATGAATATTATTAGAAACTGCAAAATAATGTAAATTAATAATCTTAGTTAATTAACAACTTGAATACTTAAAGAGAATAATAAAGAAAGTATGTTAAAATATATTTAGATTATATGTACGAAATAATGTACTTGGTAGTAAAGAATATTATATGCCTTAATATGATATGGATGTTAAATTTAGTAATACATTATTGTTATTATAGGCTTATATGACAGACCAAAATTTAAAGATTATACATATTCAGATGCATCATATAAATAAGTTGTCGAATTAAAAAATAGATACTAATTAAACGAGATGATGAATCATGAATTTGTGACAAGTTAGATTATCCTAATTGCTTAGCTAGTAAAGACTATGGATATGGATTGAAGGGTTATACAAAAGTTCCTATCTATCCTTCTTCAAAGCCCTAAAATATTGATAAAGAATGAAAAACTGAGCATATCAAATTAAATCTGTGATATAAATATAACATATATTATAACAATTATCATAGTAAAATCATATAATATGAGTATTTAAAATGGAATACATAAATATAAGTTAAATACTTTGAAAATATTATCTAAAAATTTTGCTACAGTTTTATTAATACTATCTCTAAAATTACAAAAAGAAATTAATATTTATTATTATAACTTTAACTATCATAGCAATCTAACCATTAATTATTCTAGTATCCCATATGTAAGAGCTTACGAAGATTTATCAGTCATTAAGTCCATATGAGTACTTCTAACAAAACCTTTATAATCTTTTAAGTATTCAATTGCTTTTTGAAGCAAAAGGTAATAATTGCTAAGTCCTTATAAAATAAGTCCAGGTAATTGAATCTAAATTATTTAATTATTTACCTCATCTGTAATTGGTGAATCGAGATTAATATTTTAAAAGTTTTAAGATCTAAAATAATTTTTGATTTCACTCAAACTTTATTTGATATATTATTAAGTTATTCTATAAAATGTTTCTGTTTCTGTAAAATCTTAATTTAATAGACAAACAAAAGTTGTATCTTTTTACAATTCTATTATTTTATAATAATTATAAAAATACCTGATTTAGAATTGCATAGTTTAAGCAATTTATCAAAATATTTTGTATATTTTTCATTATATTCAATGATTGCTTAAGAAAATTTATGATAGGAATCTGTCTTTTTATAAGAAGAGAAATCTTCTAATTATAAAACATTTGGTGAATTATTTTCCTTATCTGTTATTAGATTAAGTTTAGTAATTTTAATTGCTATATTTTTTCCCATTAGAAATAGCAATTTATCTTTTAATTCTGTGCTAATTACTTTACATTAGAGTAGACTTGAGGAAAACTTATAGAGAAACCTACAAAAATTAACTTGAGTAAATAAAATATCATTATTAACCTTACATTCCATAGATATTCCCTAAGGTTTGATGTCTTCAGCAGGTTAAGTTTTTTATTTTATATAATGTTTTTGAACCTATTATTGACTAGTAGATCTTTAGACATTTTATTATTAAGGTTATAATGGTTATCTATTATTATCAACTTATGGTGGATTCAGAGGTTGTTGATTTTATTACTAACAATAATTTTCTTTATTGTCTCTATATCTAATTTCCTGTTTTCCACCTTAACTAAGAGATCTTTTAACTCTTTGCTATTATTATTCAATTGGAGGAGGAGTAATAGCTTATCTTTGTTATAATTATCGTTATGGTTATTATTGTTATTAAGGTTAAGATGGGGTGATCTATTACCTAATCAATTAATGATTAGCCATATCACGTACTCTCATTCTTCTGGCATCATCGACAGTTAAACATTATTTGATAAAATCTTTAGCAGCAGAAGAAATTTATGGATGAGATGGTAGATGAAGTGTTTGATTCATAATATTTGAAATCAATGCTGCTTCTGATTGACCATTAAATGGTGTTCTTCCAAAAAGCATTTCATAAAATACTACTCCAATTGCCCATACATCACCTTATTCTGTATGTCCTTACTATCTCAAAGCTTATGGACTCATATAGAGAGGAGTTCCAACATTGAAGTTTCTTCCTTATACTCTAGCCTCATGTACAGGAACAGCAAAACCAAAATCAGCTAATTTTGGAATTGAATGATCAATTAAGATGTTAGCAGGTTTAATGTCTCTGTGAATAAAACCTTTTTTATTCATTTCCACCATGGCTGAAACAACACATTATAATATTTTGGTTGCTTCTTGTTCATCTAGTCTTCCTCTTTTACGAATATAATTATTGAGATCTCCAGAGTCACAATATTCTGTAATGATATAGGTGTTATTTTAAGTTTAAAAGACATCATGCAATTTCATTATATGTTTACTATTGAATGAACGTAAAGCATTGATTTCATTTTTTAATAATTATGAGTGAATTGATTATTTGATCATTTTCATATCAATCACCTTTACAGCAACTGGTTCTTAGGAAACATCATCTTTTCCCTTATAAACTTTGCTGCTAAACCCTCTTCCAATCTCTTCATTTAATAGATAACTATAATGATCAATTTGTTTCCTTGTTATGTTTTATCTTCGGTACATGTTAAAATTAACGATATTATTAAATAATTAAAATGCCCTTTAATTTGTTAATGAAATATAAATTTGTTAAAGACTACATAAAATTGATGCTCTTTTTATATATTATAAATTTGGACTAAGATTATGAGATTGAATTGAATTTAAGCAAAAAATATTTAAGCAATAATATGTTAAATTAGATGTTTTAATTGATTATAAGCAAAAATAATAAAGATATATATTTTAAAATTTTATTTTAATGTATTATCCATACAACAGACCCTAATATTATCCTCATTCAGTGTATCCCCCTCAACACTAACCATATAGACCTTAATACTATCCACCATAATATATGCCACAAAGATTTCCACAATAAGCTCTCTATTCCTCCTATAATGGATTTCAAATTCCTAGAGCTAATATACCACCTGCTCATCCTATGGCAAGCTAAGCAATTCAATCTCCAAACAAGAATTTTCAAAGTCCTGTCAGAGGTTTTGCATCACCTTCAAGAAACCATCCCACACAATCTTAATAATAACAGCCATAAAATAAACCACCACAACAATAATAATTGTAATCACCCACAAGACCTGGATTTTTAACCTATGAATAAGTGATGGAGAGAATTCAAAAAGCCAATTCTTAATAATAATAACCATATTAGCCTTAATAATAATAACATTATTAGCCTTAGCAAAGTATTGAATCTTTTAACTATTTTAGAATCTACATCTTTACCATAACCATAATAGACTTAATAGAAACCATAATCTGGCTAAAATTAACAACCCCAATAATAATAATCAAAATAATAGTAATAGCCAATACAATAATAAATCTAACCAAACAAAACTCCAAATAAATAAGTTTCTTAATAAATAGAAAGTTAATAAAAACAACCAACACCACCAAAAGATCCAGAATATGAAGATGGAGAATTAGAAGGTATAATTTTGTTATTATTTTTCAGAATTGGCCTTATAATATGAAGATGGTTATATTTACAGAGGATAAGGATTTCCTCCTTAAACTAGAAGTGGATTTGGAATTTTAACAGATAGTGAAGGTCAAGAAGTATATGCTGGATATTGGAAGGATAATTTCTATGAGGGTGAAGGGAAATTAAGAAATTTATAGGTAGAAATATTATCTGGTCCTTATGATTATACAAATATGACAAATATTGGAAATGGATGGGAGTTTTATGAAGGTAATATTAATGAATATAAAATTAGGTAAGTTTGAAGGAGGTAAAATGCATGGATAAGGAACATTGGTTTTAACAAATTAAGAAAAATATGTTGGTCAATTTGATGATGGAATGATACATGGAGAAGGTGAATTTATAATTAATAATGATACTGTGGTCAAGGCAGTATGGAATTAAGGAATTTTAGAATAATATATTGAATGATTTATTATTTTTACTTCATTCAAAACCAGGTGAATTTTCTCCATTTAATATATGAGTTAGGAAATGAAATACAATATAACTTCATTTCTATCCTTATGACTCTAAATCTTTCTATTTTTAACTATTTCTTCTACTCTACTTATTGTATATATATATCAAATTTCCTAGTAGGTATATTCCTCTTGATAATTTAATAATCTATCTTTAGTATAAAAATCATTACTATAGGATTTAAATCTTTAAAATTTATGAGTTGATTATCAAAATTATATCTTTACAGATGATTTTTAAAGAGATCTAACTTTAAATTATTTTAATGAAAACTGTTGGCAATTAGTAATATATTGTAGTCATTAAAATTAATGTTATATATATAAAAACATAATTTTACAAATATTATACTAAAATTGCCAAATGAGAATCCATTTTTAATAGGAATTGGATACCCTTTAAACTATTTAGATTGTTAAGACAAATTCTATAAATATTTACAATTACATAAATTCAAAAAAATACCTATATTTTAAAGGATTGAAGAATTTAATTACACTTAACCAATTAATAAATTACCTTTATGTTTTGATACCAATATGTTACCATATTTTAAACAATTAAATGATACCTTATATAAAAAGAATAGATATAAATTAGGAAATTTTGATTACAGATGTGAACTGAATGAAGAGATTATAAATTCTTTCTGTCAAGAGTTTTATAATGAAATTCATAGTCACATAATTTATAATTTTATTACATTGATTTAATAGCTAAAGCAAAAATACAACTATGAGATTAAAGATGTTATAGTAAATAAAAAGCCAGATGATCATATAAGTAAGTTGTTTAACCAATATTTGAATTTAAATTTGATTTTAATGTCCGAAATGCCTACATATAAATAATTAGTATACATTCCAGGGTTTATTTATTTTGAACAATGACTACAATAATTATTTTTATGAATTTTAATTATTTCTATCTAAATATTTTTCATTTAATCAATAAAATATTAATGGATAAAAGTGTGTATTTATTAAATATTGTCTGATTATATGGTTATTTTTAATTAATAGAATCAAATGAAAAAGTTCATATCAATATTATGATTGGAGAATAGCTTTTGAAATGTTAATTTAAAGAGAAGGATTTATATTAAAAAGTATATAGATTTAATTTATATTTGAAAATGTTCAGTTGTTGAATAATTAAAAATAAATTAATTAAGATTTAATGAACAATCCTCGTCCATCATAACTTCCAGCCTAAAAGGCAACACCATCACAATTGCCACCCACTTCTTAATAATAGGTTCCAGAGACATATTTGGCATAACCTAATTGGGTTCCTGCTAGCTCTTAAATTCAGCCAGGTATATTGGGCTAACCAATGCCACTTTAACAGACAGGATTAATTTAAAATCCTTAATATTTGTAGTAGCCAATGTATGGCTAATAACAGTTGATACAATCAAGTGGACCAGTTGTTACTTAAGGAAATGTAATAACAAATTTATAATCATATAGGCAATCAAAGGTGAATCAAGAATTGAATATATTCCTTACACTAAAGAAGTTACTGAGTATGTGACATAAGAGGTGGTCGAATATGTGCCAAGAGAGAGAAAAATTACTGACTATTATGCTGTTGAATATGTGACTGAACATATTCCATAAGTAATCTAAGAAAAATATATTGGTATTTGATAAAATTTATGATTTATGCAGAGTATGTACCAGTTGAGACAATAAAGGAGAGAACAGAGTACTAAGCAGTGACAAAACAAAGTGTAGTATAAGCACCAATAGATTATTAATAAATTCAGACAACTCAATAATATTAAGGTAAATAAATTTTATTTAAATTTATTTTAGTAGCTGCCCCAATTTAATATGCCTAAACCTATACATAACCAATTCAATATACCTAGACAACCGCATAACCAATTCAATATACCTAGACAACAACAGCATAACCAATCTAATATGCTTAAACAACTACATAACCAATCCAATATGCTTAAACAACCACATAACCAATCCAATATGCTTAAAAAACAGCCCAATTTGTACCAACTACTCAAAGTCAATATGTGACAGTTCCAGTTACAAACTCTTAATTTGTCCCATAATCCTATTCCACAGCTGCATATGGGGCTCCAGTAACAACTTATGGCTAGGTTACCTAGAATTCAGCTTATTTACCATCAACTGGATATGTCCAACCTGGAGTTGGATAAGTTACTACAACAACATAGTAGTATTCAACTGGATGGTAATAAGTATATCCAGCATCAACAGGAAATGTTTAAACTTAATTGCCATAATAATAGGTAGGTCAATTGCAAAAACCAGGATAGAGTCCTAAGTACGCATGATGATAATTATAATAAGGAATTATTCAATTGTTACAATAATTATTATTAAGGTGTATCTTTTGAATGATAATAATATGAATCATTTTGATCTAGCAAAACCAACTCTATCATTGTCTCTATCGTAAACGGAATAATATTTGCTAAGGAAAGTATCACCCAAAATCCAAGCTGGCCCTTATGGTGATGGGATATCTAAGGGCATGAATGAACCAACACATTAGCAATTTGCTCCCATTTCTACAAAGCTATCAGTACTTGCAAAAGTATCATAAGCAACCTAAATTATTATAATAATATACTTCATTTCCTTATGAATCAATTTTCATAACGTAATCATTAGCATCCAAATCATAATTAATACCATCTAATACGAATGTTAATTTTGGTAATTCTTTAACGTTGCTGCAATTTTCATCAATATTTAAGGTATCTAAATTAAAAATAAAGAAATACCTAATAAATCATATAAGCCTTCTGATGGACCAGTTAATAATGAAGTACCAGTATCTGCAACTACTTTGCATCCATGTTTGCAAAGTCCGACATCTTATCCATTAACCAAAATGTTATCAGCATCCAATAACCAATAATATTTGTTAACAACATTATGGAAATGTAATTCTCCAGTGAAATGATCATTATCCCAACCACCAAGTGTTAATTCTGATGATCTAGAGCCTTCTTATCTTGAAAAGTAGAAAGAAAACACATTTCTGTCTAACAATTTCTATTGCATTATATTATCAAATAATGGATTGAAATTGTAAGCAGCCATTGTTGGATATGCTAATCCAACAATACCATCAAAATCTGATTATGCAAAGACATCACCATTTTCTCTAACAATTTCTGCAAATTCTTATTTGGCAATTTTAACACCTCCAACATAAGCAGTATCAGCATTAATCTTTTAATTTAATATATTATTTACCTCCCCCATCAATTCACCTGTTCCAAATTCTACATCCAAATCATAACCTAAGTGTTCATAAGTTGAACTCTTTGACCCATCATATTATTTATGATTTTTACATCCATAATCATTGCATCTAGCAGAATTCAACCAAATATTAGCAGATCCTGTATCAAAGATAACCTAAATATGATTATATATTCATACCTTGAATTTATTATCTTAACCACCTAATCCAATCTCTCCTGTATATTAGGTATTCTTAAAGTTGTACAATTTTATTGATTCTTTTTATTTAGTCTAGGCCATTTCCAAATCTGATTCACCTAACAAATCAGGACTGTTTCTATATTGTTGACTTGTTGTGATAAAATCAAATAATGATTTTCTAGCCTATGATTCTGTTCTGTCCAACTTGATCTTATAAATTTTATTTTCCATTGGTTGTTGTTCTTCTAAGAAAGAAGCACAACTACCCAATGTCACTAAGACGATCAAACCTAATACCAATTTCATTTATTAATTAATCACTTAAACAAAAACGATATTTTTTTTTCAAACGCACCTAAAATAACTGAATTCAATTATTTTAATGGTTTTTCTTTTTTTTGTAATCATTCACAACAAACATAATTACAATTCTCTTAAAATTGTTATTTTTATTTTATTATTGTTATCTCCACAATTATTAAATTAAATAATGAATATTGAGTATCTTTAAAAACTTTGGGATTCCTTTAGCCATAAATACACAGCAGCTTAAAAGAACCCATCTGTCTTTTGTTTCACACTTTTAAATATGTTACGTATAGAAGATTCAGATTCGTATATATTCTTTTAAAACTATATAGTATTATTGATGCTGGATGTGGAGGAGGACATCTTCATCAATATATTATAGAAAAAAAGAAACCATATGCTAGATTTGTAGCTTTTGATTTTTCCAATCAAATGGTTAAGATTACAGCTGCCAGGATGTATAAGTATCTCACTTAACAATAAAAAGGCAGTATTGATTAAATTACTTAAGAAGAAATAGATAATGTCAATTTAAGTAATATTTATTTTTTTAAGAAGATTCTGAAATCTTTAATTAAATCAATTATTCCATATAATAGGCAAATATATAAGAATTGAATCAATTTTAAGATAATACATTTGATACATACATATCCAATTTAGTTTTCCATTTAATACCCAATCCTTAATAAGCCATGGCTGAAGCTTATCGTATACTTAAACCAGGAGGCAGATTAGGTATAACTGTTTGGGGATCCAAAAATAATAGCAAAGCATTAACCATTTATTAAGAAGCTTTAATTAAAAGTGGAATCCTTGAATAACCCTAAGGACCTTCAAAATTTTTGGAAAGTACTCAACCTATCATTGAAATGGCCTAATTATAAGGATTTACAAATATATGTAAATGTAATTAATTGATATTAGATTGTTGGACATAATAAAATCCATTTGATAATTATAATTTAGAAGATGTAGGCAAATTTTCAAATCCTGAAGTTTTGGAACTATTGAAAAATGCTCCTCAAGAAAAGGTGTAATAATTTGAGAACATTGTTTAAGAGATACTTAATTAAGAGAAGCAAAAATATTAACCATTGTTATTAGAATGTATTTTATTAGTAGCAACAAAAGCATAATGATAAATAATATATTATAAATACATTTATAAAAATAAAAAAATTGCACTGTACGAGACTCGAACTCGTGTCACAAGGATGGCAACCTTGTATACTACCCTTATACTAACAGTGCTTGATGAAAAATCTAATTTATTTTAAAAGATAAATTATAGGACTAATAAAATAGTTAGATTGAATATTATGATTATCATAATATTCAAAAAATAATAGAAGGTATTATATATTGTTATTTTATGCATGATCTAATAAAATCAACGGGCAAAATAATCAAATGGCTCTTGGTCATCTTCATAATTGGCTTTCCATAAATCTTATGGACCTTCCCATTATTCTGTGCCTGGAATGAAATCAGTGTTATGAGTTAATTCTTATGATGTCTATAATTTCATTTAAAGATATTTTATTCCCAGACCAACATGTTTAGCTAAAGGTGAGCCTTGACCATATATAATTGATGTTGGAGGATTCTAATTAATAACTAGATATATATACTTTAATTCCAAAAAATTAGGCTGTCTTGTCTAGATTATCAACATTAATCCTATAGAATTTAAAACCAACGAATTAATTAGAAATATCATTATACATTTCATTCACTTTTGAATAGCTAAGTTAATAAATATATTTACTATGGATGTCCAACTTAGTTAAAGATAATGCAATGTAAATATGGTTTAGTTTAATAAATAGAATCTAACAATTCCTTCAAACTTCCCACATCTTATACTCTATTAGCTTTATTTGAAGCAATTAATTCAGCATAAGAAGTGGAGAATCCAAATTTGAACGGATAAACCTTTCTAAAGAGATTGCCTGTAATCATTATTAATATTTATATAAATCAAATAATATGAAGTTCAGCTAATATCTAATGAAATTTTGAGATATCCAATGGCTTATGTAAAATGTTTATCATTCCTGCTTCTTTACATTTCTCTACATCTTCATTGCTAGTAAAAGCCGTCAATCCAATAATTGGGATGGTAGGTATTTATTCATTTAACATCATTCCTCTCAATCTTTTAGTAGTCATCCAACCATCTAAAATAGGCATTTGACAATCCATTAATATAAACCGATAGCCAATACAAGATGGACAACATTTAAATGGGTGTAAGACTTTTTCAATAGCTTGTCTCCCATTAAATACCTAACTTAACATTATAATTTTTTTACAATATCTACATTAAAACCTTATTATCTTAATAATAATTGTAATGATTTTTGATTAAATACTTCATCATCAACACTTAAAATAGTATTACAACATGGTAAACCTTATTAACAATTACTTAAACCAGTCTCATTAGCAGATAATTAATAAGATCCTCCTCTATTTCTTTAACAAATAGATAATTTTTTCCTTGGACTCTAATTTGAAGGACTTCTTCTATTCAAAATTTCAATTGAACAATGTTTTATTTGATAACGACTTACTTTATCCCCAACCTCACGTATTGAGGAACTTGATAAATCACATTCCTCTGGATCATTTGTTTTTGATAACAATATTTTACTAGGAGATTTTGATTTGATACAAATTAATAATCCATATTCTGCTCTCAAATTAGGCATACTTCTCATTCTTGGAAGCATTCTTTTAGAACTTTAATTATAAACCTACTCTTAAGTCTAAGCTGAAATATGATTAGATATTATAAAGGAAACCATTGTTCCAGAATCTTAACCATTTGATTCAATTTATATACTATTTCTATTTATTGGTGATAAGTATCTTAATAACATTTAACATATGATTAAACCAAATCCTTACCATTCTTATGTTTTTATTGTTGTCTATTATTCTTAATTTATTATTTATCTTATTGAATACAATTACTTTTTTGTTAATCCAATACCTTCATCTTTTATAGAAAATGTTATTTCATTTCTTTCAAAACTGTTTATAGTCACTAATACATATCCTTTTTCAGAGAAAGTAAGTGCATTTTATATAATGTTTGTTAATAATTATAATAATCTTTAGTAATCTGTTTTTATTTAAGTTAATAGAGATATAGGTTTAGTAATTTCAAAAGCTAGTCCAATTTATTTAAATTCGAATTAAAATTTAAATTATTCAGTAACTTCTTTTATTATTTTAGAAAGTTCAAATTAACTGAATTTCAAATCTAATAATTTTGCATTTATCTAACTAAAATCAATAATATCATTAATTAAATGATTTTATAATTTTAAAGCAGACAAACATGGTTATAAATATTATTCTTTAATAACTTTATTCAAATTTGTATCTCCAATGGCTGATCTTAAAAAGATAGTAGCACTATTAAGAGGAGTTCTGAGTTCATGAGAAAATGATTATACAACTTTAGTTTTGAATTTATTTTATTCTTCTAATTTTGATAATTCATTTTATTTAGTGAAATCCTAAATAATTATCATATAATCAATATTCTATCTATCTTAAAATAAAACACGACAATCAAAAAATATTTATTTTTAATTAACTGGACTTTCAAATGTAGAAAATAATTCTATTATTTAATCTTAATTATTAAAATATCTATCTAATTATTATTCTTCTAATTTTTTTATTAGATCAAAAAGACAGTAATGATCTTCTTATAAAAACTATTCATTTTATTATATTTTGTTTTATAAATTTTTTTCATGTTTTAGAATTGCTGATTAAGGTAAATCATAAGATCCAGCAAAATCAATCCTTTTAAATAATAAGCTTTTCATAAATAATTCATAAATTGATTCAAGACTTTCATCTTTTTCATCAATACAATTTTTTTTTATCAAATTAATTAATGTATTATTCATGAATTTTGGCTTAATTTAATTGCTAATTATACAAATACCAATTGGCATAGCATTCATTCTCAATCTCCAAACTTATTCATTAAATATATTAATCTCTTATAAGACAAATTATTTATCTTGACTATATGCTATTTTACGAATTAATTAGTCTATATCTATTTTGTTATTCTAATCTAAGTTTGTTTCAATGAAATTCATTTCTTCAAATTTTGATCGAATTTATGCATACTCTCTTGTGGTTGGTTTGGGACTCAAAGAATAACCTTGTTCTTCTTACTTTGCTTACCAGTATTATCGATAAATTTAGGGTAATTGAGGAATCAAATGCATTAATGGAATAAAAAGAGTTAGAGTAAGTTATACCTAATCATAGTATTGATATTTAAGATAAGCTAATAGCATTGCTCCTAAACTACTAAATAATCTCCATAATGTCATGAAATTCTTAGAATTTAAAATCTTTTGACTGAAATAATCATCCATAGCAAATTATAAAATACTTTCATTTTGTTGAGATAATACTCCACATAAAAATAGTATTACTTTGTGTACTAAAATTCCTTAGCTAACATATTTATTCATTTTTAATGCAATTAAATTCAGTATACAACAGACTAATCTGATTATTTATATTGCCTCAACTTAAGTAATAGCCTGTATTATAGAAATCCCAAATGAGACAGCAAAATAACAACAAAGGCTTTTCATAATTAAATATAATAATATCAAGTTTACAATTATTCTTTAGTTCTCTTTATATATCATAATTCTAATTTTTTCAAAACTCACATTAATAATCAAACAATTATACGATTTGAATTGAAATTTAGAACTATACTAAAGCAAATATTAAAAGCCCATCAAAAATTACTCAAATTTTTTAAATTCAAATATATTTGTGGGATTTATTTACTTAATATGTTATTTAACTATATATCACATTTAGAAATGTTAGATATCTTTAAATAAGTATTATTCTAAAGGAAAGAGGAAGTTTCGAAATAAAATAAAATAATTAACTTAAAATAAAAAGACAAATATATATTTAAAGAGATAAATAAACATAATAATTGAATATCAATCTTTATCATTATTGTTTAAATTAGAGATCACAACATAATTATTTTATATTGTGTGTATCTGAAAACTATCTTATAAGGTTTTATGTTGATCTTTTATATAAATGATATCTCTAAAAAAAATAAAGATTAAAAAAATACTTTTAATTTTTCATTTTCAACAGTCTCCTCATTTTATTGTTTAATATATGTTAAATCATCTGTAGATTTAGTTTATTTTACAACATTTCTCTCTTATCTTTTAATTTAGTAAGATGTAGTAGCTTTATTCATTTTATTAATATGAGAACGCATTTGCCATTTCTATTTATTATCGATCGACTCACTTTGTTGATTCAATAAATCTTCACTCATCAAATGACTAGATTTAAAGTTCTTTGTAGGTAACTTGGTTTAGAAATATTGTAATTCATAAGGGACATTCTTCAAACGTTATGCTCTTTTGCTTTCTTACATTGGAGCATATAATTTGATTCTTTTCCCTGAAGATATTGTAATGGTTGTCATAGTAGGAGTATTCATTAATTCATCTGACCTAACAGATCTAGTCGTTTTAGGATAGCATCCTTAATAATGTTTGTTAGCCATGCTGTGCATAGGAGTACTCAATCTGAAATCTATATCTAATTTCACACAGCTCTCAACCTTTGGTAAGATGTAAAGCTTTCTATTTAATTTCTCTTATTACATTTAATATTATGGAAAAAAAATATCAAACAACTAAGCTTAATTCATAATATAAGTGTTGAAGGTTCAAATTTTAAAATAAACAAAGAATTTTAGCAATCAAGTTAAACTTATATTTCACTTTGGATTTATTCAAATGTTCAATTTTTTAGATATTGTAATTTTTATTCTGAGAATTATTAAGTATTCATAATGTTTTAATATAAATATTTTATAAAATAATATTGAATAATTATATCATATCAAAGAATTCTCAAATATATTATAATTAACAAACGGATCATTATTTTTTAAATATCTTATTCACATTTTGTAAATAATGTAAACTTAATAATTTAATAAAATTGGTTAAATAATAGAAATAGTATATCATCTGTATCCCATATCTTATTTTACCAATGATTAAATTATCATTTAATAAATGATACTTTATATAATTATTCTTTTAAGATTAAGAAATTATCTTTATGATAACTTAATCAAGCACTTTATGTTTAAAAAACTTTAAACTATTTCCAATTAATATACTGAAATTTAGGATAGTACTTTATTTTGTAAATTCAATTAAAAGATATTAAGATTTATCATAAGTCAACCACTCTGATATAAATTACATAAAAACATGTTTGAATTATCATAATGGTAATTTAATATTATAGTTTTTACCTTTGTTAATAAAAATAAAAAGCCAATAAAATCTCAATAACTCTTTTTAAAGCTAACATCATGTAAGTTGATGATTATTTTTTCATTAATCTCTAATTAGAATAACTAATAAGAAAATCAATGCTTGAATAATTCTTCAATCCATAGTATATTTTATATTCTATGGTGATTTAGCTGAAAAATTCATTATCCCCAAAAGACTATAGTAATTAGGATGGTTTCAAATTCTTGTGTAAATAACTTTATAAATGTTATCCAATTTTCCTTATTCTATTATAACATAAGTAAAATATGAACTCTTATGAGGATTTTATTAGAAACTTTTGTAATGAGTTAAATTCTTATGTAGTATTTGTAAATCATATTTTATTTCTTAACCACATAAATTCTAGACACCTTAAATAAAATTTGATAGTCTAGTGATTAAAACTATTAATATTGTCTTACTTAAAATATATCCATACACCGAATGATTCTATTAATTTTCAATCATATGAATAATACAAAAATATTAACGACTTCAATTGTGTTGGTTTTGTTGCTAGTTTTATGCATTCAAAATGAAAATGTAAACTCAAAATTCTTAAAACTATATCATAAGGAGTAAAGTCTAATTACAGGAAAAATAATATCATAATATGGATAAGGAATCTCTACAAAATTAGAAATTAAGATTGAAAATCATAAATAATCAATTGAATCTAATAAGGAAGGCATATTTACATTTAATTATGCAGAAGGAAAGCCAAATTAATAATAAAGTGTTTCTATTACAATTACAGAACTTAATTTAGGTTTTGTATATAGTAATCCAATTGCATAGTTAAATATAGTACTTAAAGAAAAAGTCTAATTACCTAATATTATATTAAATGAAGGAGGTTATGGTGCACTAGTAATCAAGGGATAATTTAATGAGAAATTGAGTGATACTCATGTTTAATTAATTTTAGAGGAAGATAAATAAAAACTCCAAACTAATGCAATAACAACATCAACAGGATAATTTGAATTTCATATATTTGGAATCAAATCATTACCAAAAAATGCTTTATTTTCAATTTTGGATAATAACGAATTTTATGAACCAATTCAATCTCTTCCAATTACATTAGAAGGTTCAGCTTCAATAATTTAATTAAAATAAATAGAATTATAATCATCTAAATGTATTAAAATTTAATGAGTATATAGCTTGTAGATTAAAAGGATGTAAATCTTGTATACCAAATAATCAAAAATGTCAAGAATGCAATTTTGGTTATAAATTAGATAATAATCAACTTTGTAAATTTGGTAATTTTAAAGGAGTTGGGACTGCTAACTTTTAATTATAAAATTTAGGTCCAATTATGAAAATAGTAGGAACCTTATTAAATTAAGATTTTAAACCTATTATAAATACATTAATTTGTATTAAGATAGATTCAATATGTTTAGCTACTGGTGGAACTAATCGTTTTGGTAATGATTTGATAATATAATAGGTGATTTTGAAATAGAAATAATAACATTAAAACAAGGGCAATTAAAATATTTATTTAGTGTAAATAATTTCAAAAAAGAGATAATTTTATATGGAAATGAATATGTATTGAATTTAGGAAAGATTATTATTAATTGATTGATACTATTATTTGAAATTTATTGTTATTAAAAATTAATAAAAAACTATAATATTAGTATTATCATAATAAAGTCAATAAGTATCTTTTTATTTCATTATACCATTAATGATAAGGTATTTTTTAATCAACGTATTCATCAAATAAATGAGAAACTCTAGAATCTAATATTTTTTCTTCATTTAAATTCAATTTAACACATTATGATGTTAAATTAAAGAAGTCCTAATAATAATTTAAATCATTATTTACTTTATAGATATTTCTTTATACTGGTATAGGTTATTCATTTATTTAAACCTTTTTAAAATTATAGCTATTCCTACAACAAGTATTTGAAGTTGTATTATAGTTTGTATCTTGTAATTCACATTCTAATAATGTAAATTAATTCACATCATATAAATCATCTGCTTATAAATACCTTTTTTAAGATGAAAATTAATTTTTCTTAGAATCCTTTTGTTCATTCAAAATTGTCTTCTATTTAGTATTAATAGAATGTGCATTCTATAGAAATGGAGAATTAGTTATCTCCTTTAATGCTGATTATTATTTTTCATATATTTGATCACTAAATTATTTATTTTCTGATTATAACTATCTTATTTGTTATCTTTAAGTACTTAATTCATCCTTCATATCTAAAATATAATTAAATTTTACTTTTTATTATAGCTTCTTAATGTTATATTAAAGATGAATTTGATATTAATTATGATTAATAATCCTATTTATTTTATTAAATTATTGATTTCAGAGATTGTATTTATTATTTTTAATATTCATTTTCAATCTACAATTCTTTAAGTTCAAATACAAATTATTCTACATTTTGTTTTTCTCCATTATATTACTTTGATTCTAACTATCATAAAGTTAAGGATTTTATACTTAGTTTTTATAAATTGAATTAAGAATTTATTATTATTTAAGGTCTTCCTCAAGTATTAATAGTTTCTCATATAAAGTATCTTATTTTTACAATAATTCATCTTAAATACGCTAAAAATAATAAGAATACTATACCTGCATTTACATTTGCTGTTATAGATTAAATGCTATTTCAGCTCTTAAATTATCATTCTAAGCATCTAATTCTTACTAATGATCATGTTTCTCAATATTTAGTATTCTTATTTTTTCCAAAAGGATCTCTAAAATTATCAACTATTTATTACATGTTAATTCAATCAATTAATAGACATTTTAGACAACTTCTTCTTAATTTTTATAGTGAAGCTCATTTGAAATGTTATCAATAAATTTGTTTACTAATTCTTCTTCAGACATTTTTTTAACAGAATAATATTAATTAATAATTAAATCACATTAATTAAAATCAATTTATATAATAAATGTTTTAAAATATTAAAATTTTATAATGAACAGAACATTGGCTAAATAGAACCCACCAAATTTTGTATTTTGTATTTAAGTAAAATAAAAGTATAATCTAAAAATTTATAAATTAATCAATTATTATAATATAATAATAAATAGAGTTTGATATTTTGAAAGAATAACAAATTTTTAAGATCGCAGATAATCATTGTTGACCTGATAAATTTTATTTAAATTAAAATAATTTCATATATAGAATACACACATATTTTATTGTTTTAATACATAATTATAAACATAATCATGTTTGTCAAGAATAATATTCCAATTAGATTATTTATGATCTCAATTATGCAAGAAATTTTATTTTTTATTTATGTATAAGTCTTCAACATCTTTGACCTTAAAAAGCGATCCAAAAATTACTGAAAGATCAATATATACTATGAAAACTATTAGAACAGAAAGGGAAAGTTCTATTTAGAAAAGAATAGTAGAAAATGCTGAAAAATAATCACGAACTCGTGAAAATCAACACAATTACTTTTATTGTAATGAAAACAACTTAGACTACAATAATAAAATACAATAAATTACAAAGAATACTAATCATTAGGGAATTAATGATACTGAGAAGAATTAGAAAAAAAAAGAAACGAAACTTATTACTTAGATGATGTATACTAATTAGTTATAATAAAAATAAAAGGAATTCATTAAATTAATAACAATTTGCATTTGTTTACTAATGATATCTGTAATCATCTTTCATAAAAAAGAACCACAGCAGATTAAAAGCTTATTTTGATTATCACATATTAAATATATATATATATATAAATAAATTAAAAATGTGAGCTTATTAATGACTTTAATATAAACAATTCAAAATATATTAATTTTGTTGATCGAAAAGTTTTTAATATTTCAATATTTATAAAAATTTTTGTCATTAAATTAAAAAATAACAAATATATTAACACTTTTTTTGATGCTTAATACTTAGATAAAATTCATATCAATTTTACATTTTTTCTCTCTCATTTTCTAAAATCTTTTCTACAATTATTCTAGCCAAATCAAATTCACCCAAATTTGATCCAAGATGTGTTACATAATTATTCTCACTATCCATTAAATAAGTTATAATTGTATGATCTATTGTATATTCATCCGTTGTTTATTTTGTTTTTTCATCTTCTTATTAGAATTTGATTTTTGATGCATAAATTTTAAAATTTCTCATTGCTTCTTTTAATTCTGGATCATCATTTGTTCTTCCTCTTAATCCTATTATACTTTTATCAAAATGAGATAAAAATCTTTCAACTCTTTCTCCTGAATCTCTATCAGGATCAACTGAAACAAATATTGTTTTTAAATTAAAAAGCTATTTTAATAATTAGATTTATACTTTTCCCTCTGGTAATTATCTAATCCTTTATAATGCCTTTGAAAGTTTAAGAAGTGATGCAGGACAAATATCAGGACAATTACAAAAACCAAAGTATATCATATAATACGATCCTCTCAAATCTTAATCAGTCATAACTCTTCCATCTGTAGTCAATAATTTCCATGGTCCACCTCTTGAAATGAATTACTAAAATACATTTATGCCTTTCCTTTATGTTTGACAGTCATTTCTACAGGTTTAGATTTATTTTGATATCCCATCTAAGTTATCTGCATAAACACATATCCTAACATTAATCCTATGGCACCAAATGAATATAGAAGCACATTAGATCTCTTAGAAATGTCTTCCTCTTCTTCAGGCTCTTAACCTTTTAAAGTTTCTTTAACTTCATCTTTAGTAAGTGGAGGCTTCTAATCTAAATCACTTAATGGATTTTCTTTTCTCTGATCTCCAAAATAATATCTTGGTCTTTAGATCAAAAATCTTGAATTTGATCTTAAACAAGGGTTTAAAAGCATCAAAGATCTTCTGAACAACATCAATTAAGGAAATGATAATAATAATATTTCAAGAAAATTGTAATAAAAATACCTCAAATAATATTTATAAAATTGTAGATGGAACTTTTAATGATGATATATTTAAATATTAAAAAAATGAGTATTCATATGTATTTAATATCTCCTTAAGTTTATAAGTATTCTCATACACAAATATTTTGATTTATTATTAATAGATTAATTCTTTATGAGTTTTATATTTATTACATTGAAAATTTTATTATAGTAAAAACTATATATATGAAATAAATTATAGGAGAATTGTAAGGGCATTCAAAACCAATTTTATTTTATTAATAAGATAAACAAAATATAGATTTATTGATAAGTGCAGCTGAAGATGAAAAAATTATTATATGGGATTTGTAAAAGAATTCAATATTATATTAAAAATAATGCGAAAATGGTATACCATCAGCTATAGCTATAAATTATCCATTTTATGCATTATCTTATAAAAAGGACGGTAAAACAAGAATAGAAAATGCTAAAGAATAAAAGGATTCTATAATATTAACAAGAAACATGAGGGAAGTATTTTTTTTGGAATTTTATAAAGATAAATTTATTATTATTGGAAGTCATGATCTAAATATAAGTATTTGGGATTATGATAAATAAATTATTGTTAAAGCAATAAAAGTTGAACCTATTTAAGATTTATTATTAAATATTTATTAACCAGAATAGTTAATACACATTTCATATGCTGGGATTATTAAATTTATCAATTTGGTAAAAAATAAAGTAGAAAATTCTTTTATGGTAAGAGGAGCATATGAGATACAATTATCATAAGATAAATTGTTTAAAATTGTTACTTCTATGGGACCTCCTTCTAAATTTGTATTATTGAATAATAAAAATAAAATATTAAGAATATATTTTTAAAGAATTCCTTCATCTAATTTAATATTTTCAAAGATTAATAATGACATTTATTTTAAAAAGTTAAACTTGCTTTGTAAACTTGATATTAAGACTTGGTAAGAAACAATTCTTTTTAATTTATCACCTGATGAATATATTGATATTTTAAGATAAGGAGAATTATTAATAACTAAATTAGAGAAATTAATCAGAATAAAAGTATGATAAAATTATATCTAATAATTTAATTAAAAATATCAATAATTAACTAATTATATTTAATTATGTATTTATTATATTATAATTTTTAGATATTTAATTTATAAAAACTATATTTCATCATCCTGAATTATTCTCTTAATAAACAATTACTTATGATAATAAATTTTCTAATTAATCCAATCTTTCAGTTATATTTTTGCCATCAATGACTGATTCTGGAAACCAACTTGTATCATCTTATTTTATCTTTTCATATATCCAATATTCTAATCCAGTATATTCAGTCCATTCTTTTAACCATAAACATTTAACATAAAATACATAATTCCAAATTAAATGTTTTTCTTAAATATGCTATTCAAATGATTAATTTTTATTTTCCAATTCACCTCTCTATGCTGCACATATAAAACATCTATTTTTTATATCTTCTTCTATTTTTGATCTTTAATCTCTTAATTCTGCAAAAGTGTCTATCATAATACCTTAAACAATATTTGTAAAGAGTAATCCAAAAAATACTGTAAAAAGCATATCAAAAAAGAATTTTAAAGGATCCCAATTAATCATACTATTACCAATTACACCAGAAGTTATAAGGGTTATCATACAAGTAATTAATGAATCACATGTTTCAGTCTATTCCTCTTAATATATATCATCAAAATAAACACTAAAACTTATAACTGAAAAGGCAAATACAAATAATACTCCTAAGAAAGCAACAACTAATAATTGTTTAGCATTATAACTAATAGCTTAAAACACATTTTTTAATATAGTTACACGACTAAATATTTCAACAAGATGAATTACAAACACTGTACTATTAATGAATGCCCCAAAAAAAGACAATAAAACCAATAGAAACAATAATAAACAAGTATCCTCCTAAATTATAACTAATAACAGACTTAATTTATCATTGCCTTTACTATTTTTTTATAAATAAATTGGAATCCTTTAAAAACTAACCATTATAAATAAGATAATTTATGAGAATAATTAACTTACAGATAGCATTTTTATAATTAAAGAATTGTACAAAGTTGATGTTAACAAATAAGTATTCCCTTTTACTACAACTGTATAGAAAAATATCTAATTATCAATATTAAAAATAATACCATTGATAAATTTATAAGTAAGGCTAAGATTGAGGATAAATTTTGCATTACATTCAAATTATTTTAAGTTATTGGTATTCTATAATGATTTAATTTATAATTGTGTTCTAATTCATAAAATAAAATATTTGTTGCACTAAGTAAACCTAACAATTTATCTCTTTAAGTTTCTCTATTTATTTAAAACAATAAATCTTATTTTGATGATTCTGATAATAAATTAAAAAGGGGATGATAAGGAAAAAATACTGTCATGGATTTACCTTCATAGACTATTTCTATATGATGAATCTATTATATAATAAATTATTATACTAAAACTATTAGATTATCATAAATATCTTTTATTGTTGGATTTACACTTAATTACTCATGAAATTATTATATCCATCTACTTTGTTAGTAAGAAGCCATTTTTTATTCAATAATACATACATTTAAGATTCTAAGCATATCTGAATTAAAAATCTTATCTTATTATAACAAATAACTAAAATTATATATTAATGAACTATTACATTTCTAAATCGTTTATGTTTTCAATATTAAGTTGTTCAAAACTTAAACTTAAAAAGCTTATTAAAAATGAAGCTTCTAATTTATTTTATATATCCTTGTAAATCTTTTCTTCATTACCTTCTAAAACCAACAATACTGTTTATAAAATTTTGTTAAATAATTCTTACAATTCTTATAAGTCATCTTCAGTATCAAATAATCTTTAAAGTTGATTAGATTTATTAGCAAAGAAATGAGCCATATTACTAACATCTTCGAAAAAGGTAGTATGACATAAAGTGATTTAATTTTCAATACAAGGTAGTTAAATTACTTCATTAATAAAATCAAGAATTGATGCAGGAATGATTATGATAGCTCTAGACAATATTTTTAAATATGCTCTTAATTGGACACTTGTAAATTCAATAAAATTTATTGAATTTATTCTTGCTATATTTTACTATAATAATATATTATATCAATATACATCATCAGTTTATCTTCTTAAAAATTCTTTCATTTCACTATTATTATTTTCACAAAGTAATTACATTACTCTAAAGAATCGACATAATACATCTAAACATTATTTTTTAAAATTAGTTTCCTTAAAATCATCAGGATCAACAACATTCAATCTTTACATTACTTTAGTATTTGTATTATAAAAGTCAAAATTATCTACTGTCTAAATAAAATCACACCCTTTAGTATTATTATAAGTAACAATAGAAAAGTTATTATTAATTACCTTAGTTAATTTAGTTATGATAATTTTAATATTTGTTAATATTTAATTTTATGAATCTTATTTTAATTTTAATAAAATTGCATTTTAAGCTTATGTATTACCTCCTAATAAAAATGCAATTGAAAATAATAAACATTCATTTAATAATGATAAATTAATTTCTAAAAAACTTTCTGATAAAATTAATAAGATTAAATCTTATGCACCACATTTTGCAAGAAGATTTTAAGCATGATTTATTTCTGATTTATAATCAATCCAAAATTCACTTGTCCAAAGATCAACTTCAACCATTTTTTATTTATTACTTAAATTCTTTTCTGTAATTAATCTACTCAGTAATCTTAAAAAGAAAATCCTTATTTCATCAGAAAATTATTATTCTCTAGTATTTGCACAAATTGAAATAATATTTTATATATAATCTTAAAGTGTTGTAACTTCATATTTTGTTTAATAAGCATTTTATGATTATTCACCAATTGAAGATAATTTATTGCATACTTCATAAAATTCTTCATCAAGAAATTATGAAAATTAAGGTATAAAACTCCAATTATTCATAATTCTTCTTAATTTATGATTTATTAAATCATTCATATCTTATTTAAATGATTTAATCCTTTATTTAGATTAAGTCTTCCAAAATTCTAAAGTGTTATTTAATCTACTTTCTTTAATAAATTATTAATCTAATTAAAATACTTAGTGAACCAAATATTATTTGACAGATGAATCATGACTATTCTATTACATTTATTTATAAATTTCCCTATTTCTTTATATCAACTGTAATTTATTTACTTATGTTTTTGTAAGATCCTATTGATTTGTCTACTTGATGTATTAAGATAAAAGCATTTCCTCAACCATGCTTATATATAAACCTTCTCTCATTAACAATATTTTAACTTCAAATCCTGATATTATACTTTAAAATACATCTAATAATAATTAACATAAATGACCCAAATTTTCTTTTATATATATTTTTTCAATTATTAAAAGCTTTTAACAAATTTCAAATAATTAGAAATGCAATCTGTAAATTGAATGTTACTAATTGAAAAGTATTAATTCTTCTAAATACTCAAGAAACTATTCATTTAAAAATAAACTATTTAATGATATTAATATCTCCTCCAAATTCAAATAGATATAACTCATTAAATATTTATATCTAATAGGAGCTTTAATAATAGTCATTGTCATATATGAATGTTATGGCAATATTAAATAGTCTATAATCTTCTATAAATCATCAATCATAATGACCAAATCAATTTTTATAATTAAATCAAAATGATCACTTACTTTACTATAATACAAACGATTGATATATGCTCGAAGATGTCTCTTCAAAGGCCAACAATCTTGAGCCAAATGTAACAGTACTATTAAATCATTAAATTTATGAATTTTCAAACATTTTTTCATATTAATCAAATGCTTTTCCTCAATTAATTAACTAAACACAGAAAAAAAGGTGTATAGATATGTTAATTCTGGGGATATATACAACTCATGAAATCCATAGCCAATATTTTCATAACTTTTTTGATATTAATCAATCCAATTTTTAAATACTACATCTGATATCATAGTTTCTTAATCAATTTAACTGTCTTAAGAAGAAGTGACATCACTAAAACTGTTCTCTTCAGGAGATACAGGAGTTTAATCATCATATCTTTTAAATTGTAAAATTATTTTGTTAAATTATTTCTCTTACAATTTCTAAAGTATAACAGTTTAGTTTGATGTAATGTAATTTGAATTGAACATCAATAATGCTTTCATGAAGTCTAATGTTTTAGATTTAAAATAGCAATTTATAGATTATTCATTGCATACAGGTGCTACAGAGTGTAATATAAATGTCATTTCCCTCTCACTAAACAACAATGGTTTATTATTTGCATATAAAGCCTTCAAAAAATCAATTGCTCCAACATTAAATTTTAAATGTTATTCTAGACTGAGCATCAATTATTTGTTTTTTATGATTATTTATTTATTTTCTGAATTGTTCCAAATAAGAATTGTTAAAAAATCATAAATTGAATGTAAAAATTTCCAATAGATGACTGATTAATCTACACTAAATTTATAGATATATTCTAATAAAGGAATGTGAATTTCTTCTGCTATTAAAATTGCTTAATGTAATTTGTAATTTTATTCTCTTTCACAAAATGCTATAGTAGTATTATTTTCTGGTTTATAATCATCAAAATTCAAAGGATTCAAAGACCTTCCTTTATCAAAATCCTTTTTTAAATACAATCCTAATTGAAATAAGTTTTACATAAGACCAGCCTTCTAATGTTCATTAGAATGATACCAAATTAAACTAGTTCTTATATTATTACTTGTTTCTTTATACATAGTATAAAACTCTGATTAATATAGTATATTTAATTTTTTCATGATTTATTTTGCCAACAAACTTAATTCTTGAGTTTTTCCTGAAACAACAATTATAACTTTTTCAAAGTTTTATATTAACTCTTTTCTTTATCCATATGCTCTAGATAAAATTTCTAATGAATATTTTGGTAAATAGAGATTTTCATAAAATGATAATTCTGCAAATATCAATTCAAAATTTTCAAAATTAGATAGAGATCTATCAGAAACTATTTATCTAAATTAATTAATCCAAATATTTATATCATATATGCTTTTATCTTCAGCAATATTTTAATTCTTAAACTTTTATTATATAACTTTTATTATGGAATTATTCTTTTTAGGTACTTTTTATACATCTATACTTGTCTTTATACTTTTTTGATTATTATTGATATTAGCTAAATTAGGATCTACTAATTCTAATTATAATAATTATTCTTTAAATAATTTGGAACACATAAATACTCTAATGTTATTTTCTAGATCAAAAATAGTATTGATAATTTCACAAGCTAATTGTTTACATGTCATATAAATATTATTTGTTTCATTTAATCTAGTAGATTTTATTTTTTTATGAAAATGTGTTTCTTTCTCTTCAGACTATTAATACATATTACTTAAATGAATAATACTTTTTGAGCTAGGTTAAATATTTGGAGATTCAATTTAATCTTTTATCATTTTAAAATTCTTTATACTTGAACAAATGTTATACATAGCGGTTAATATGACTTTTATTTAATCCATATCAACCCAAAATTACATTTCTATTGAACATTTAAGTAATTATAGAACTGATTATAAGTTTTTTGAATATTCAAGATTATTATGTAATTAATCTATATTTTCTAATTATTATAATAAAAATCCCATGACATCTAATAATGGACTTGTTTTTGGTAACATTGTTGAATGATCAATAAAATCTCCTTGTAAATCCTTAAATTAAACCACTCTTAATTTCTTAAATTTTTAGAAAGGTGGAGTATCTATATAAGCATATCGAATTAACTTTAAAAAAGGTTTCATTAAATTGAACATGTGAAATGATTATGCTTCATATAAAATCTTACAAAATATTTCTAATGAATAATTTTCATCAATAAATTCTTTAGCTTATGCAAATCTATTCATAGCAACATCTCCTAATAAATCAAAATAACTTATAAAATAATTCCAATATTCTAAATTATCATTCATCAAACTAGATTTATAGAATTACTCTAAATTCTACCATCTAGAATATGTTAATTATTCTGCAGATTGAATGTAAATATGACCTTATTTTATCTTAAAATCAAATTTAAAATCTAAATAATAATAATAAATAAAATTATATACTTGGAGCAGCAACTTTAAAAAAGTTTTCTAGAACTAATTTTTAATTTTCTCTAATTGCTTAATTGCTTGAAATACAAATTGCATTTAAGATTTTTAGATATTTATCATGAGGTGATTATTATGTAATTAACTCTATTAATTTTTTGATAATATTTTCATTTAAAAATTTCTATATTGCTTCTTTATTATTATCTAACATTTCAGATAAAAAAGATTAGATGGCTGGTTAATTTAAAATCATATATTAATGTAGAAACATTTCAAGCCATTAGGATGCATAAAGTTTAGTTACAATATTATTTTAGACTAGCTTTGTCAATAGTTAATATGTTGATGAAAAAATGGTTTGAATATTTTCTTTTTGTTTTTTCCATACTTATAATTTTTTTGTTCCTTTTTTATAACATAAATGATATAATAATTCTACCAATATTTCAGTGAAATAAAGTTCTTTGAGGATTATTTATCTTTCAAAAATAGGTAAATCATCAACATTCTCATCACTTATATCAATTTTATCCATTAAATATTCATGTAATCGATTCAATAAAAATTAAATTTATAACATTCGCTCTGGAGGAATAACATAAGGAAAGTTTACAGCATTTACTTTTAATTATTGTACAAAGTATAGCATTTAATCATAGGCTGAAAATGGTTGTAACACTAATTTAAAAAATGTTTATTTGACTCTTTGAATAATAAATGGTTTACTAAATGCTCGATCTCTGAAACCACATTTAATACTATCTTTTTCTTATATTAATTATTTAAAGAATCCATCTGTTCCTTGAATTTTCTCAGATTTCTTAATTCGTACTTCACTTGATGTTTTCATTGATTATTTTGTTGTTATCGATGTTAAAACATTATCATCTCGAACTAAATTAACATAGGATGAATCCATAAATTCTCTTTCATATCTATTAGCCAATTGTAAACCTATAGTGCATGACTCATCAGATAATATTGCAGGAAAACAATCATCAGAATCAAATAGATCTTAGCAAAATAATAATTTGCCAGTCATTATATGTCTTAATCTTAATTATTTTGATATATTTTTTTTTAATTTTGATTGATTATTGTATTATTAATTTTCTGTTGTATTTTTTTAATTATATTATTGATTAGCATTAGGAACAAATAAATTATTTTATCCTAAAAATGAATGACGTATAGCTGCTAAAGTTCTTGGTTATAATGTTATAGTTGGTAATTCACTATTAGGTTTATCATGAAATTACAACTCCCATAAACATTCTACAGGAATTTATTAGTTGTGTTAAGTTGGTTTAAGAACTATAGCATTGTTTTATAAATCTGCTCCTAAATATGCTTCATTTTTAGGACATTTAAAAGTAACAACTTCATTAGTTTTTAATTTTAATTTGTTGAGTTAATGCTTCTCATAATTATCATATAATTATATTTTCCATTCACTATCAGAGTAATGGCTAACAATTAATTCATATCTATGAGAATCTTCTTATAATGCTCTTAATTATATTTTCAATCCAGCTTAAGTCGATTTATGATCTAATTATACTGGTGATCTCATATTTTTATCAATCCAAAATTTAGTTACATCAGATTGGATTTTGACTGATTATTTGGAAATAATTGGTCTTCCAGTTTGTTAATAACTTTTACTAGGCTCCATTTTGAATATTATTCTGCTGGATAAAAATTACTATAGTTTTAATCCAAAGCTATCACTTCTTGAATCACTGCATTCCTCCGAACAGGCTAAATACTGTCCGGATTCAACATGTTAAAATATTACTTCTGAACTACACAAAATTATTTTTCAAATTAATACCTGAAATAAACTTCTTCATTCATTTTATTATCAATCATGTTGAAATACTAATCCTTTTCAGATTTCATTCTCTATTGTAAACTTGGTGATTTATCCCTACGATTATTAGACAATTTCATTACAATCCTTTCAAATATTCATCATGAATTTCAAAGCTTCCTCGAGGTAATATTTAAAAGATTCCGTCTCTAAAATTATTGATATCATCCATATCTTCATAGGTTTAGAAATAAACAGCATGATCGAAAAAACTAACAGATCAATATTTGATGGTGTTACCCTTTGGAAGTTATAATACCTTTAGTTCCACTTATCCCTTTTCCAGCTATTCTTATAAAAGACCCATAACGAAGATTTTATGATAAATTCATATTTTAACTCATCTGTTTTAGAATAAATATTAAATTAATATTGTAATGTATTTTTATTATTTTTTTTGATTCTTAATTAAACTAATTTGCCAAATTAAGAATAGCTACTAATCTATGATATAATTCAACATTTTATTATATTGAAAACCTTTAAAATTACAGAAATTATAGATATTTATTCATACAAAACAAGAAATTAATATAAACAATATTAAGTAACTCTAAAATATATTAAGGATATTATAAGTGTCTTAGAATGAATGATTAATATTACAAGGATTTATTTTTAATTGTTTTGAAATATGTTAATATACATTTTTTCAATATTCACTATTTACTCTAAATGAAAACAAAAGTTAGTTTTAAATTAATAATTATTTCATTTTGTTGTAATCCTGATAAAACAGGATGTTTTTTATAAATTCCTTAAGTTTCCCAATAGTGACGTTAATAACTTTTGGAGTCTTACTGAAGTATATTTATTTATATATTGAGTAAATATGAATATGATTATAATTCTCTTAAAGATTACTAAATTGCTCACTATTAATTAAAAAATTACTGTAATTTTTAATGTCAAAGCAAAATACTTATGAAAAATAAGATAGTGATCTGTCAAAGGGGTCATTGGTTCGATAGAATACAACTAAAAATCTTAACGGATAGAAATCGTTTTTTTCAAAATTTTCCAATACTTTGTTTAAACCTCAAGAAGATGGTATATAAATGTGAATTTTTAGAAATACAATTTTTAACTAAAGGATAGGAACCTTGTATGAGAATTTTAATGTATTTGCTTCTAAATTTTGATGGAATGGAATAATATTTGAAAAAATAATCAGTTTTAACTCCACTTAATTCATACACACCAATAACCAAATAGGTTGAGGATATACGTTTTATTAGAACGTAAAATATTTTTATATTCAAGTGAACTAATATATTATTTCCAAATAATATCAATTAGGGATTTTCATGACTTTTATGTTGATTTTTATGCTACTTTTGATAAAAACAAAAATTTTTCATTAGAACCTGCAGAATTTAAGTAATTACTTGATATAGCTGTGAATAAATGTGTGGGACCAAAAAAATTTAAAGTTATAACTGATATTTTCTTAAGCGACCCTTCATAATATGATAATCAGTTAGATGACAAGGTTATAAATGAAATGATAGACAATTTTAGAGACTTGGACAAAGAATCAAAAATTGATTACTTATTGCTATTTCCATACATCTTAGGGTTTTTTTTGGAATTTACCTATTCGCAAATAAAATATAGATAAGGGAGATTAGATTTAATGAGAGGCACTGAAATCATAAAAGGGAAAGAAGTTGAAATAAAAAATATTACTAGTTTAGTTACAATACTTAAAGAGATGGGTATAGATTATATCAGAGATAAGAGAACAACATGTCTTACATATAGAGATGTTGAAAATGTTTTAATTAAATTAAAAAACATATAAAAATGGATAACATTTGACATTATCAAATAAATTATAAATCAACTTGCAAAATTGATGGAAGTAGATCCAAAGACTTAAAATGAAGGCAAACCATTAAAACTTTATAAAATTGTTAATTTTTTAGCATTAAAATTATGCATTCATTAGAATTGCTTAAATATTAGTAAATAAGATAAGGATAAATCGAAACCACCTTCAGCTTACTTAGAAATATTAGTTTTATGGAATACAGCTATGTTTGGGTAGATAATGAAGGAAACTACAATCAAATAATAATTTTCTAAGTTTCTTAACAAACATTATAAAGACTAGACTCAATTTTTAAGACCAGATTTAATAAAAGTATTAGAATCATTCTTTAAGAAGAAGTTTTAATTAATGCCAAAAGATTTAATAAAAGTGATTTTAGAATAGCATTCTGATGTACAGGGTAAGAAGATAATTCAAACTCCTATTAAAACTGATAGTTTAATTAATGAATTATTTGGTATGATGTGCAAAGATGGTTATAGAAAATTAAAAGAGTATATTAGAATAAGTTATGATGGAGTCAATAAATCTAATGGAGATAGAATAAATTAATATTAAAAATAAGGAAAAGATTTTTATGAAGATTCTTAAATTCATTCTCCTCCATCTAGTGAAAAATAATAAAAGTCACCAAAATTTGATGAAAAATCAAAAAAATCTTATATCTCAAGTTAATAAAATTAAAACAATCTTAAAAATGGCTCAGAATCAGAGGAGAGTGAGCATGAAAGAGAAATTACAGCAAAAGGGAAACTCAAACGAGTTGTTAAAGTAATTAGTTCAGAATAAGCTTTTGCTTAAAAGTCTGAATCAAAAAAAGATGTTCTCAAAGCTTGTTTAATTATGGATAGTTTTTTAAAGAGACAAAGTCAAATGCATTAAAAAATGCAATAAAGTAAATACAATTAAATTGATGTTACAACTTCAAAAATTGATGATTAAGAAATTTTATTAGAATCATGTCCAAAAAATGAAGATGCATCATCAGTAAAAACTAAAGTTACTAAAAAAGTATAAATGGAAGAATCAAAAAAGTTAACTGCTACTTAACTAGGAAATCCTGAATAAGAAAAAGAACAAGGAGAAGAGAAAAAAGATAAAAAATTGTTTCAATAACAAAGACCATAAATTGTTATTAAAGATATAAGAAAGAATTCAGAATCCTAATCAAACGATCTATTTACTGTAGCAGGAAAAGATGGCAAAAATTATGGACCTTAAAATTTTAAAAATGCATATTATGCAAATATGCCTGCTGTCTAAGAAGCATCTAAAGTTATGTTTCAAGCTACTTAATCCAAATAATAGTTATTTTAACTAACGGATGATGTATTGTAATTATTAATTTTTTAGGACTTTAAGGATGATGAAGGTAAATTTTAAGTAGTTATTGATGATGTATAACTACAAACTTAGATTTTGTATTAATAAAATTTAGCCAAGGCCAAAAAACCAAAAGATAGATCTTCGACATGTTATTATTGCTTTATATAATGATTAAATTTAATCTATATTTGCAATTTTTTCATAACTTTATAATTCTTAATTATTATCAATAAATTATTGATTTATTAACACTTAGTACCTACATAATGATTTAAAGGAAAGAAACATCAGTATCACAAAATAATGAGAAAGATGAAAAGCACAGTAAATTACAGAAGCAACCCTCTTCATTTTTTAAATCTTTCAGTTCCTCTAAAAAAGGAATGAAAGATGGTGAAGGTAAACATATGAAGCTACTTTATTAGACTTTTAGTTTTTTATGCGTACTTAGGATTGCAGCTTTTATACTATACTATATATGCTTGTTAACTTTTCAAAAGTAGAAGAGGATTAAAAAAAGAAAGGATTCTCCTTATTAGCCAACAGTAAACCATTAATGAATATGGAAACGTACAATGATCTAAGTGTGCTTCATCCGTAATTCTATACATTTTAATTTAGGGAACTTATATATTTTTTTTCCGTTATTTCAGTGAGGGATTTGCATGATTTCTATATTGATTTTTATGCATCCTTTGATACCAATAAAAATTTTACTTTAGAGAAGAAAGAACTGACGAAAATGTTCACTGTTGTTCTAGAATTCCTGGGACATAAGAAATTTAAAGTCTTTAGTGATAGAACTTTAATTGAAGCTGATGCTTTTGAAGGAAAATTAACACAAAAATTAATTGAGGACATTTCAGAGAATTTTCTGTTGCCAGAAGATCAAAGCAAAGTTGATTACTTACTCATTTTCCCATACATATTAAGTTTTTATTTAGAATACTCCTATTAAGAAATTAAGAATAAATAAAAACGTTTAGAGATAATGAAAGGTATTGAAACTATTAAAGGAAAAGAAGTCGAAATAAAGAATATAACAAGTCTTATTTCAATTTTAAAAGAAATGGGAATTGATTATTTAAAAGAGAAAAATACTTATAAATTATCTTATAGAGATGTAGAAAATATTCTTTTAAAGTTTAAAAATATATAAAAATGGATAACCTTTGATGTTATATAATAAATTTTATAATCGTTAAGTAAAATAATGCAAGTAGATTCAAAAACATAGGAAGAAACCAAAAAAATTAAAGTTCACAAAATTATTGATTTTTTAGCTCTTAAACTATGTGTTCATTAAAATTGTTTAAAAATCAAATAACAAAAAAATATTGTTAATCAATCAGTTTTTTTAGAAGTAATAATTAAAATAATCTAAGATATTGGTTTTATGGAATTGTGCATAGAATTCTTAATGGACATCTCAAAAATAATTCACTTTAAAATTTGAAAAATATCTTAATTCTCATTATTATGAGTAATAGACTTTTAGTAGAACAGAATTATAAAAATGTTTAGAGGGTTTTTTTAAGAAATTCTTTTAATTAATGCCTAAGCAATAAATTTATTAAATAATTTAATGTCATAAATTATTTTAAGATGACAATATTGTTAGGAATTATAAAATATAGAGGGAAGATTTGATTTAATCCTTATTTTCTATGGTATGTTGCGAAGGATTTAAGAAATTAAGGTAGTACGTTAAAATTAAATTCGATGGAATTATCAAAAGCACAGGTAATAATGCATAATATTCAAATTATGGAAAAATAATGGATTAAGAGAGTATTCAGGGTGGAATATCATCATAAAGATAGCTATTGGAATAATCACAATAATAAAATTAGAATACTTCAAATAATGTAAAGAAAAAAGAGACAAAAAAAGAAGACAGTGAACATAGTGAACATAGTGAATCAAGTGAAGAAGGTAACAGTAATGTAAAAGCAACTCAAAAATTTAAGACTGCTGTTAGAGCAATTTAATCAGGAAATGCTTTTATTTAAGAAAAAAATCAAGGTAAGGATATTTTAAAAGCTTGCTTGATTATGGATAGTTTTCTAAAAAGATAAACACAAAGAATAAAAAGTCATTGTAAAGAAACTAAATCTTTAAATTCTTCCTTTATCAAACAAGACTTAACAAAAGTAGAGACGTAATAAAATTTAATGGAAAATGAAGATTAAAGTTTACTATTCGATCCATCAGCATAAATAAATTAAAAAAGAAAAGATTAAAAGCAAAGTGAAATTTGCGGAATAAAAAAAGAGAAAGAAAAAAAAGGATGGGAAACCAGTACAAAATAAAATGAAAAGCCATAAACTACAGAGATAGCAGAGATTATTCAAAATTAGGAAAAAGTAAAAGTTGGATAAAATCCTGATTTAGTTTTTACTGAATCAAAGCAAAAACATAAAGATAGAAATTAAATATCAAATGAATTGTAAATGGTCTTAGGTAAATCAAATGATGATTTTGGCCCAAATAATTTTAAAAAAGCAATTAGGCTGTAGTCCTCAGGGGAAGTTTCGTAATCAGCAAGACCATTAATAAGATAAAATGAGGTAAATCTAATTTTAATTTAGTAATAAGATAATTTAGTCATAATTGATGAAACTGCATTAGAATAAATGATTAAAACCAATTAAAATAAGACAAAAATAATAAGTAAGACCTAAAATAGAAAATCGACTAGAGATGATTGTTAATGTAGATTATTTTGAAACCAATATATTGCTTTATATTTACCTATATTTTTTTACAGAAAAATTATCATCAAAATTGAGTTAATTATAAATCAAATAACCTATTTTCAATCCACAATTAATATACACGATATATTAAGATGATTTTTAGTCTTTTTTGAACCTATCTTATACAATAGTCATTTTTATTCATTTCTTAAATTTGTTAATTAATTAAAAATGTTTGAAGATGTAAAATCAGAATCTATCGAAAGTAATCAAAAGGTAATATAAAATAAAATTAGAGAATGATGAATTGAATTAAGAACTGTAACAATATTGGAAAAAAATTATTACAAATTTGGGCGAAAATTTTTTACATTTACAAAAATTTAGCAAAGAATGTGACTCTCTAGAGATAATTTAGTCATTAAATTTATTAGAATAGGCAAAAAGAGATCAAATTTGCAAATATGATTAGAATGAAATCTCATCATAGTTTGAATTGTTAAAATCTTAATCAATAAATAATAATTAAGAAATGTAATAGCACTTAGATGGAATGCTCTAAATGATAGAAAAGTAATAATAAATTGAATAGAAAAACAATGAAATGCTTATTAAACTGATGAAAACGTAAGTTGATAACTCGAAGAAATTAACAGATTTATAAATAGATTTGTAAAGAGAAAATACTAATAAATATTCTTCTAACATTCTTAATTTAAGGGGATCTATGATTGATAAGGCCAAATCAACGATTCCCTATTCAGCTTACAATTCACCAGACAATAGAGAAATTAGGTAGCAAAGTATGTATAATAATTTACTGTCAAATATTAAGTTAACCCATGTTTCTGGAACACATAATGATAATAATACTCATTTAAGAAAAGTTAGTAAAATAAATCCTCTTTTTTGAATTTAAATAATTTGTAACTATTAATAAACATTTAAACTTCTAAGATTTAATACAATGATTATAGTTTTCGTAAAAAAGATTAAACTAGATTAAATAATGAATAGTTTTTTATTTTATTGGATTTCTCCATAAAAACATTAATAAAGTTTCAATATTGCATCAATATAAATAAATTTCAATGGAGTTAAGGTTATAATATGTAACATTGATCAAAAATCAGCCTCCAATTATATCTCCTGTTCTTTCTATTTTTTAGAGATGACTATTCTATGTTTATGAATATTTTTCAAATGTTTTTTAAGAGTTTGCATATTTTTAAATCGTTTTTTACACCTTTGACATTCAACCCTATTATTACTGTTCTTCAATTCAAGTATTTCCTGACTTTGTGGCGAATAGTCTTCCTTAAAAGATAAATTCTAAAGCAATTCGGAAATTGGAAATATTTCTTTTTTTACTATAATAGATGAATCCTCAACTTAATGATTTATTTGAGAAATATAATCGAAAAATTCAGAGTGACTATGATAGATTTCATTTGGATTTTCTGTGTTTTCTTAAAATGCACTCAAATCGCAGACTTAATTTGCTATATTATTCTCAAAATAGTCAGAAACATTAGAATTCATGAAAAAAATATCTTCACCTATCAATTCTTATTTCTCAAATGAATCATTAAATAATTTATTAGTATTGATTAGATCATCATTGTAAATTATCTTGAAATTCAACTTTAGAGTATCTCTTATTTATCGGAATTATTAACTTGATATTTTTGCATTGGATAGTAAAAATCTTAATTGAGCCATTTATTTCAAGAATTACTAGGAAGGACAAAGATACTGATGATAATGTTGTTGGGTTAATGTCAATAGAGTTCTGCAATATTTACATTCTTAGATCATCTTATTTTTATGGTAATGAAGTAGTAAATTTTATTATTAACTATGCCTGATAAAAATTGTCTATCGTTAAAATAATTTAAAATATAAAATGGATGAATATATTACGGTATATGTATCAATTTAGTTTAGAATTATGGAGAATTAGAAAGAATGATAGATAGAATCCCTGTACCAGACATTACTGTTTCTTCTTTGTCTTAAAACTCTGAATAAGTCACTCCATAATCAAAAAAATAATAATCACTCACAAGAGAATAGGTATAGAAAATAATGAGAAAAGTAACTGAATAATCACATTATCCAACAACAAAATAGAAAATTCACACTTTGCAAACTTTTAATTGTAAAGAAAGTTAAAATGATGAATAGTTGTTTAAGTAAATTTAGTTAAGAGATAACCAAAAAAATGAAGAATTATAAAAAATGCAATAATAAGTTTCCGATTAGTAAAAAGTAATTTAATAACAAATCTAATAAATTGCATAAATGAATAATTAAATTGAATTTTTAACAAATGAGCTCCAAGACTATTAAGAAAAGAGTTAAAGTGATTTAAATACCTTATAGTAGTTATATGCTATAAATGATTAATAGAAATAAACAATTGAAGAAATAAGGAAAGAATTATAAGTAGCGAAACGAGTAAGTTCACAATAATTATATAAAGAATAAGATTCAATCCATCAGATAACATAACTAAAATCAAAAATTAATAACTTATAATCTGAAATAAATAAAACCAAAACAACCTTAACTATAACTTCTCCAACTAATGAAACATTACAAACTGGGATTTTGACTAATAGAATAGACCCAGAGTTGTTGAGTGAGGATGAAACACTTCATATGCTTGTATGTTTATTAAGCAGAGTATCGAAAAGCTAGAGAATGACATATTTGTTGAAGAAAAATACTGACTTCAGATATTTGTTTAGATTGAAGCGAAGTTAACCTAGCATAAACAAAATTTCATTTATTCAAAATAGTAAATCTGTTTGCGATAGAAAACTTTCATACAACCAAGAAAATTTTAAGTAGATTGTAAAAAATGTAGGTATTAAAAATCATTGAAATTCACTTAATATATCTATATATTTAAATTAATATGTTTTTAAACAATATCTCAGACTCAGATGATGATAAATGTGCTCCAAAAGTTTGCCTAGATACTTTAGGGTTGAGTTAGGAAATTGATAAAAATGTAGAAATTTGATTTTAGATAGCAAGCCAACAAAGATCATAACAAAAAATACGAACTATAAAAAGAATTTAGGGGTTGGAGGAGCTTACTATGAGGCTTATGATATTGACCTAAACAAATTCACTTTTGAAAAAAACATGTTTGATTAAGAGAAAAAATAATCATGTGACTCAATAGGAGAGGGAGTTGACGATTTTAAATTGTTAGAAATTCCTCAGGGAGCTTCTTAAGATATCTTAGATCCATTGATTTTATCAAAACAAGTTAGTTAATCTCAATAGTGTTAAAGGGATGCAATAGAAACAAGCAATAATTGGGTTTTAGAAGAAATTTAAAAATAATAATAATATTTAGAATAACTAGAAAAACTTGAACAAATTGAGAAATAGGAGTAAGAAGAATGTCAAATAGAAATTTGTGATTTTCTAGAAGCTGCAATATCTGATATGATTCCTCTACCTCCTATTTGCCCTTATTCTGTAAAAATTACTCAAATAAATTTGCCCGACTAATTGTTATCATTTCTGATTAATCCGATACCTACTGAAGGTATGTTTTAGTGCAAGATTGTAAGAGATAAATCAGGACTTAATAGATTTATGCCAAAATATAGGATGTATTGGTGTCAAACCAATTAATTTTTGTTAGCAGCAAAAAAATCTTTAAATAAAAACAAATTTATTATTACATAAGATAGTGAATTTAAATAAAAAGATTAAGGATTATTATTGGGGAAAGTTGAACAAAGTAAATAATCTAAGGCTGATTATTATTTATTTGACAATGGATCTAAAAAGAAAGAATAAAATTCTACTAAAAAGCTGAGAGTTTAATTAGGAAGTGTATTTTTTGATACTAATTATGAGAATAAAGGTAGACCAAGAAGGATGGCTTTAGTGTTAAGAAAAAGTGAAAAAGAAATTGTCTAATTTATTAGTCGTAAACCCCAAATTATAAATACATAATAATGTAATTTTTTACTCTATAAATATTAGAGTAAAAATTATACACTTTAGATTTTTTTGGTAGAGTTAAAAAGGCTTCAGTCAAAAACTTTTAATTGGTACTGAAAGGAGAAGAGAAGGATCTTATATATGTTTAATTTGGAAAAATTGATAAAGATTAATTTCACTTGGATTTTATGAGTCCACTCAGTCCCTTAATTGCTATGTAATTAGCACTATGTAATTTTAATTTTAAAGGCAAGGCATGATGTGTAAAATTTTGTTTAAATTGATAATTTATGAAAGTGTAAAAATAATTAAAAATGAAATATATTTTATTGAATTCACTAATTTTTTTAAATGATTTTAGTTTCTACTTCTCTTAATTGATAACTTCCAAATTTTTTATTAATGATTGAAAATCCTTAATGCCCATCCCTTCAGCTAAATGAACTTTATTAAATTTTAATTTTTTAGAAGGGATCTCTATTTAAAATATTTAAAAGAAACAAGTTGAGAAATCTGTATTTTTACTTAATATATTGAAGCCTTTTTCATTTAAAACAAAAATATAGCTAAAATTTTTACTCAATTTTTTCTTATTTTAAATAAATGAATGAATCTCTTTCGATTGAGTATCCTTTTAGACTTGGTAAAAGAAGAACAATATCATCCCAGTTATCAAATCAAAAGAGTAAAACAAAAACTTTATTTACTACAAAATTGGAAGATGTAAGCATAAAAAATGACAAATTAAAAGTGATCCTTAAGCAAAGGATAAAGTCAGATTTTGAGTAATTAAAAGAATAAATTGATGAAGTCGCAAAGAAAGAGGAAAATAAATAAATTAAGGTTTTGGCCTTAATAAATGGTTTCACAATGGCATCTTAAAAAAAAGGTGTATTTAGATATTTGGAATCTTTGAAACGATTACAAATGTAAAAAGTTGTTTACTATTAAATATCTATTCTTCCAATTGATATAAATTTGAGAGCCATAGCTTATTTTCCTTAAATCTTAAATGTAAATGCTGTTGAAGAACTAAACATATTTATAAATCCTAAGTAACACCAAAATATATCGTATGGCAAAAAGAATAGAATGATTCCTTCTGAAACTTGTAATTTTTCTAATTTAAAATCATTTTGCATGACTATTTAAGATTAGAAATTTTATGAAGTAGAAATATCCCTGTTATCTTATATTCTAAATTATTGTTCAAAGTCATACAAGTTAGAAATTTTAAAATTGAATTTTGGAAAATGCTATTTTGAAAAAGCCGAAATTTTTCAATAAATTGTTTCTAAATGTTTTTCATGTTCCAAAAACTTAAAAATTTTATAGTTAGATGTTAGTTCAGTAAATAATTTCAATAAAATAAATTTTTAAACTTATGAACTTACTTAAAATATTGAATAGCTCTAGTTAAATTTAGCAAATATACCATTAACCTCACAATTTTTTTTATCTTTGCTAGCTATGTTAGGGTCAATGAAATTTTTATAAAATTTAGGTCTTAATTTCAGCAAGTCAAACGTTGATTTTAGAAAATTATAATTTCTTTTAGATACAGTGATGAAAATTCCTCTACTCAATACATTTTCTCTAGATTTGAGTAGTAATATTTTTTGTTAATCATTCAATACAAAGATTTATGAAGAAAATCTAACAAATAAAAAATAATTGAAATAATTGAACTTAATTTTAAATGACACAGTATGTCTAAGTGATCAACATACAATTCCCTCCCCTGATTTTGGGATTTTAGGTAATTTTACTTTTAAAAAACTTGTTTTAAATCTAAACAGCACAATCTAAACTTACAATACATTAAACATTTTTGGATGCGAACTAGAGCAATCAAATTGCTCGGATATAACTTTGAAGTTGAATAATACAAGATTAAATTATGATCATATTTTATTTCTTCAAAAAGCATTATAAAACTGCAGAACCATCCTAAGATTATAATTATATGTTTAAAATAATTTGATTTAAACTAACCAAATGAGCCTCATATTGGCAGCATTTATTTAAATGAAGTTGATGACAATGAATATCCATTTTAATGAAGAAATTAAGTCGAAACTAATTAATGATTTTGCGATGAATAGCACATATTTATTGAAAAGTAATTTAGTTACAAAAAGAATTGAATCATTATTAAATATGAAAAAATTGTTTGTTTCCGTGATAATAAAGCTTGAAAAATACAATTTAGAACCAGAAGTTTTACAATTTTTAAATGATTTATATTAATTTTAATGACTATTATAGAAATATTTTCAAACTAATTTCATTTTATATTGAATCCTAAATCATATTAAATTTTTCCTTCAGAAAGAAGGATCACATTAAGAAAATATGATTAATTTTTCTTTTAAATATACATTTATATCTCATTTACAACAAGTGTCTGATGATTAATTACATTAAGATTATTGAATTTACATGTTGTTTCTGCTCTGCATCTATTGCTATAGTGATTAATCTTAATTTTCTGCTAAAGACTATTTATTTATTAATTAATATATTTCTCTAAATTAAAATCAAAATACCATTAATAAGTCTTGAAAAGGCAAGATCAACGTTTGTTCCATCAAAGGCACTAACCTCCATAAAAGCCATTGTATGATTTTCTGCAAATTAAGCAGCCTTATCGCTAGGAACTTTTCTTTAAGCTTTTAAATCTGCTTTATTTCTATTTCTTTTAGGATATAATACCCAATTAACATAGCTACTACATTAGTCTCAGCATACTCTTTCAATTCTTAGATCCATTTCTCTATATTTTCAAAAGTTTTTTATTTTGTAATATCATAAATTAACATTGCACCAACTGCTCCTCTGTAATATGCACTTGTGATAGATTTATATCTTTCTTATCCACAAGTATCCCAAATTTATGCCTAAATTATTTTTCCATTTTCTGTCAATGACCTCGTAGCAAATTCTACTCCTATGGTTGGTTGGCTATCAAAATTAAATTATCTTTTTGTAAATCTTGAAAGTATATTAGATTTTCCAACACTAGAATCGCCTTGTGCTAATTAGGAGTTTGATTACCAATTAAAACTATTTTAAATAAATGTTTTTCTTCTTATTAAGGAGGCTTATCCATATATTTAATTATAAAATTAATAATAAATTTATCATTTGAAACTTCAAAAATTATGAGTTGATGCTTTAAATTATAAAAACTTTACTTATAAGTAATACTATAGATAATCTTGAATAAAGAAAATTATTAAAATATTTAAACCAAAACTGAATTTAAATTTATACGAAAAAAATAAAAAAGAAAATTAAATGCAATCTTATAGCAAGAAGGATAATTTGTAAACTAATATTAGATGTCACTAATCTATATTATTTTAATATTCTCAAATAGGAAAAAATTTAATCTCATTTTTATAGAGGACTTTAGTTTATGGTTATCAAGTATTATTCTTAGAATTTACTATCAATTTATTTCCACAATAATAAATTATTGGACAAGTTAACTTTTTGATTTAAAAAAATTTTCTAGATATTTTACAAAAATAATTACAAAAATCATTTTTGTGCATGATTCACATTATTAATTTCAATAATTAATTCATTCTATAATTAGAAAAAAAATAATTCTTTCATCTATATTTGTTTAGAAGAATACTCAATATTTCAGGTAACTTTCTCTAACTTAGGTTTTTATAATTTGAGTTCCAACCTTTAATGTTCCTAAAAATACTTCTGACCATTTATTAATCTAAAGTTTCTCTCTAATCTCTATATTTTTTAATTGTTTTTACTTTTCTGAAATATTTCTATTCATCTATTTTTTTTTTTATATATTTTCAGAAATCAATTTATATTAATAACATTATTTTATTTTTATTATTTTTTAGAGTATTTATTGCTTTCTAAGTTCATAATCCTGATGATAGGTATAAGGTATTTAGAGAGGGATTGACGTAATATTATTTACAATTATTTTAATAAAACTTTCGCCATCAATAATTTTAAATTCTTCATGAGAAACTCTACATCTATTATAAGCTTATAAGGCTTAAATTTCTCAGGATAAGCAAAAATAAATTAAACTCAAAACGTTTCCTATCCATTTAAAAATAAGGGATCTCTTGTACTAAGAAATTAATGAGATTGATTAATAATGTAGCTGATTATTAGATTAAATCTTAAAAAAATGCATTCTCTTAATAAATTAGTTGAATATGGTCATTTTTCAAGCATGTTACCTGCTTTATTCTAGTTTTGTTTCTTTATTGTAAAAATAATAGAATTTTATTCATTTCTCAATACTTTAAAGGATTTCTCCAAACATGAATTTGGATTTTTATATTTTTGTTTTATCTCAATTATAATTTATATTTTTCCAGACCAATAGATGACAGTGTTTTATCCGAAAATCTGAGAAGCCTAGATAATTTCGTTGGAGAAATTATTTAATGCCAATTGGATTAATCTTTCAAGATTAAATCAATTATTAGCAACAATTACATAATATATTCGAGTAGTATTATTTATTACAAAAGCTCTAATGTTCTCTATAAAAATATCATCATTTTTTCGAAATAATTTTAAACATAAAGGTGAAAAGGAATTATATTGTGTACTATTTGAGATGAAATTGTGAAGTAATTAAATAAGTTCGATATCAGCTTTGATTAAATTAATTTTTCAATTAGTAAGTATTAGTGAAAATCTTTCCCTAAAAATTGCCCATTTTATTAAGGTATTTTATATTCTCTCTCAAGTTAATTTAAAAATTTCTACTAATTGATAACTCAATTTGATCCACAAAGATTAAAGGATAAAAAGTATTGTAAAATGAGATTTCTTTGACCAATAAAATATTTAGTATAAAAAGTCCAAACATATCTTGTAATCTATATTTTAAGGAGATAGTCTTAAAAATGATGAATTGTGTATTATTATAACATATGTTTTTATAACATTTAATTCGCTTTCATACTTTTACTATCATAATTAACATTTAAAATCAAAATAAATTTTAGTAATAATTCTAATATTAATAACACTTAATTATCATGGACAATTTTTGATTTTTTTTTTTGCCATAATTTTAATTTAGAAATGCTTAATTCAAAAGAAACAATTAAAATTATGTTCATTTAAAGTTAATTAAAGAGTAAACTTTCATTTTTAATAAAAAAAAAATGTTATGATGATACACATTTCATCATATTTAAGACTATCTCCTTAAAATATATATTAAATTTCTTATTTTACATGATATGTTTGGATTCATGCATGTTTATGTTCAAAAATAAAAACAGTTATATGCTCAATATAATAATAAAATTAATAATTAATTTTATACATCAAAGCATAATTCAATATAAGATATATATATTATGAATAATTCAAATTATATAGAATAGGAAATTAAATTACATTCATATGCCAATGTGAAGAAAAAATGTAACAATTTTACAATAATTCCAATAACAACTAATAAATATAGGTTGATAGGATTAACGCTGTATTTGAGGAGGAAAGGAATAAAAAGTTGTTTTTATACTGTTAAAGATGATGGAATATGGATTATTTTCATTTTAGCAAAGAAGAAAAAAGAAAGTTTCAAAATAATATCTCTTGATGACTTATTTTTTTTTTTTATTTTGATTCTAGGCATATCTTTTCATTTAAGGTATAAAAAAAACTGTCAAACGCCAAAATCTTTAAATAAAGCTACTACTAAATAGGTCTGGATAAAAATTATCACTGGAATAAAATAATGAGAACAAATAACACCTAGGAAGAAGTAATAAAGATTAAATCAAAAAAATATAATTATTATCCATATTTCCAAATATATAGAGGTGGCTCTTGTTATAATCTTATATTTATTTCTTTGACAATTTGCCCACCTAAATATTTTTAATGAATTTTTTGAAGAAGGGTTAAATTATTACTCTTAGAAACTAAAGTAACTATTGAAAATTTGAATACATAGATATTATTAACGGTACAAGAGATAGATTTCTACTGAAAGCTCTTTAATATATTAATTGCTTATCTTAAATAGCCATTTCCAAAAACTTAAATTTAGGAGAGGCTAAATATACTCTTATACTTGAGAATATTTCTTAAAATATCAAATAATTAATCTCTTCTCACTCTTTTTTATACATTCTAAAGGTTCATATTGGCTGTTACACTTTCTTTAATTTTAATCACACAAATTGAAGCTTTTTGTTTATTAGTCACATAGATTAAAAGAAAATCCACTTTACAACAAATGAAAATGAGTGGTTTAAAGTTATTTGACATTATTTCGACTAGAATATAGAAGTCGTTTTAATTAATTCTCAATTTAAATCTAATCTATGCGGTGCTGTTTTAATATTATTCCATAATTTTAAAATTTTATCTGCTAATCAATTCTAAGTCAGCAAATTCTGTTTGCATTTTTGTACCTAAAAATTTTGCAACTTTTCTTTTTCTCATTAAATGATATATAATTATTCATATTTATTATCAATTTTTTTTTAATAATGAGATTTTAATATGTTGTAAATATTTTTTTTCATTTTTTAGACATTTTTTTTAAGCTTTTTTTTAAATGAATAATCATTTTTCATTTATTCTCTTAAAAGATTGTTTTATGTTGAATTAATTATTAAGGAATAAGAATGTAAAATTGAGAGAAAAAGCAACAGAATTTTGAAAAAAATACCCATTTAAGCTTAATAATTACAAATTTAGTATTTACAAATTAATAATTTAAAAAATTTAGAATTAATAATAGGACAAGATTACAATTTTACTATTATCTTAATAGAATATTAAGTAATGATGAAAATAGATTGAGCAGAAAAAGTTAACTTGACCATTTAAAGATAAAAAAATAATGGTGAAAAAAATATTTAATAGCGTTGATATTTATTAATTATAATAAAATGTTAATCATTTTCATTTTTTTATTACAGTCTAATTGTTTTTCTAAAATACTGCTACCCTTTTGTTTAAACAATGTCTTTATATCTATACCTGATTGATTGACAAACTCTCCTCTCAAAATGAGTGCTCCTTATGCTTAAAATTTGGCTTATTAGAATATAAGGAGTGTAGTGATGTAATTTGAGGCTAAAAATATCAAAAAATTAATATTACCTTCTTATAAATAACAATTTTATTAGAAGTGGAATCTTAAATTATGCAAGAATATCTTTGTAGTTTTTATGAGAGTATTTAATTTCTTATCCTGTCTTTACATCCCATAGGCGAATAGAGTTATCAGCACTACCAGAAGCTAATATATTTCCATCAGGAGAGTAAAAAACTGAGTTGACAGTTCTAGTATGACCATCTAATTTGACTTTTTATTATCCCGTTTTGACATCCAAAAGACGGATAGAGTTATCACCACCTTTATAAGGATAGCCACCACCAGAAGCTAACGTGTTTCCATCAGGAGAAAAACAGATTGATCTTACTTAATTACTATGACCATGTAATTTATTTAATTCATAGATTCTTAAATCTTACTATTTACAATTTAACAATAATGCTCCATTCAAATTTATTCCACTTATGTCAACATTATTAAATTAGGATCCGGTAAAATTACACTTAACAAAATTAGCTCCCACCAAAGAAGTATTTTAGATTTTTATATTTTAAAAAAATTTTTTTCTAAGGTCTACCTTCATCTAAACTAATAGATGAATTAGACCCTTATTATTTCAAAGTTTCATCAATGGATGTGAGGTAAACTAAAAATTAAAGAAATTCAATGATCCTTTTTTTATCCTTGATTCTTTAAATTAGACTTAGTGTTGATTCTTCATTTTCTTCAGAGGAAAAGTCTTTGTAATTGAAGTCATGATCGTTTAATTTTTTTAATACATCTGTAATTAATTTGATGTCATTTCCAAAAATAGATAATTTCTATTCTGAATCAGATGGAGTGAAATTCCCAACTTTTTGTGAAATTTATCCTTCTGATTGTCTCTAATTCTCAATATCTGATAGAAATCCAATGCAGTCTCTAACCTTTTTATTTCTTAATATTTCTAATATGACCCCAATCGTTTGTTCATCCACATCTTTAAGTTAAGCCAAGATGTAAGCTAGAGCTTGCTTCACTTAAAAAGAGCCTTGCATTTTCTTTTTTATTTTTAATAATGAATTTATATTACTCTAACTTTATATTTTGAAAAATAAATAAAAATATTTTATGCATTTTTGCAAATTTGAAGTTCAGACTTTGTGTAGATTTAGAATTTTTTATAATTAATGTAAAATTTTTTGGATTCATTTCAACATTTGCATTGCATGATTTTTTAATAATATAGAATATCTTTTTTGTTTTATGAAAAATTTATTTTAGTTCTAAAATAATGGAAAATTATTTAATAATTAATGAATTATTATTTCCTAATGATCAACATAAAGATACATATACCAAAAACATGCAGGTTTACACAATAATAAGTATCATTGATTTTCATCTTTATATATTTAGTTTGATCTATCGATTTGATGTTGAATTGAATTAATATTGAAGAGTGTTAGATCATTTAGAGAGATGAAAAATAAAATTAGTTTAATTCTACCCCTTATGGGTATGTAACAGAATGCGGATCTCCTTTTTTCTTCTTTGTTCATTTTGCTCAATAGATTTGCTTTAAATTAATTAAGAAAATTTTGAGTCATGTTTTGATAAATTTAAATAACTTTAAAATTTTCTGGTAGAAGATTAATTAAAGGGGTATTTTGATAAGAGATTAATTTCTCATTACAATTATCTTGAAGTTAATGTGATTCTACTATGTTCTGAATCTATAAAAAGCTGTGTACTATGTTTTAGTGATTTATAAATGTGTATTATGTATAGATACTCATTAGATATTTGAAATTTGCTTTCGGATGTAGGCTTGGGTTCACTAAGACCTTTCGTTAATCAATAGTTAAAATTATTAGATGGTTGTTAGGGAATTATTATCTCCTTAAATCTTAATTAAACCTTAAAAAAATATCATCCTTTTTAATGATTTATGTAACTTTTTAGTCTTTTATTATATCTAATACTTTTAATATCAATCGAAAATAATAATAACAATTTATGAAAATATACCAAGAGTAGAGTAATTTAAAAAGATCATCCAATCTAATTTTTTTAATTATTTTTGTAGTTTAGATTAATTCTAAAATTGATTTTATTTTTTTCAAATTTCAGATGTATCTTTTTTCTTATCTTTATTTTAAATTGGATCTTTTCCTATATAAACTACAAACTAAATTTTACAAAACAATTAATAATAATTTTAAGACTAATCTCTCTAATAATAGTAATTAATTAAGTTAATCTTTCAAACAATATCCTTGTTGAGTTATAAAGAATGTTGTGTAAAATTAGTTTTCTTTAAGTAATTATATCGATCTTTAATTAAAACTCTTTATTACTGTTCTCTGTTTAGATTATTATTATATATAAATTAATCTCTATATAATATATTAATTGATATCAGTTATTATGACATCTCTAAAATAATTCCCTACACTAAACTGACCATATAATATAATAATATTCAAATAAATGTAGTTTATATATAACTTAAATAGAATAAATGTTTAAAAAATAAGAATTTACCTAGCTTTAGAAGTGAAGATTAAGAGTGATACTAATATAGACAGAATTAAAACTAAATAGAAGATATTGATTGGAAATATAATTGTTGTTTGATAATGATCAAAATCACTTTTTCTATAAATCTTCTATTAAGCAACTTCCTATTTGTTTAAATAATGTCTTTAAATCAATACCATATTGATTTATAAACTCTCCTTTCAAAATTAGTGCTCCTTTGGCTTGAAATATTGCTTCTTGGGATATAAGTAGTGTAGTGATGTAATTGGAGGCTAAAAATATGATTGGGAATAAATAGTACCTTCTGTAATATGGCTATGTTATTGGAGTGGAATCTTAAATTATGCAAGAATATCTTTGTAGTTTTCATCAGAGGATTGAATTTCTTATCCTGCCTTTACATCCCATAGACGGATAGACTTATCCTAACTACCAGAAGCTAATGTATTTCCATCAGGAGAGAAACAGACCGAGTAGACCCATTCACTATGACCATCTAATTTGGCTTTTTTTTATCCTGTTTTGACATCCCATAGACGGATAGATTTATCATAACTACCAGAGGCTAACATATTTCCATCAGGAGAGAAACAGACTGACAATATACCACTAGTATGACCATTTAATTTGGCATTTTATTATCCTGTTTTGACATCCCATAGACGGATAGAGTTATCTACACTACCTGAAGCTAATGTATTTCCATTAGGAGAGAAACAGACTGATCTAACATAATCACTATGACCATCTAATTTGGCTTTTTATTTTCCTGTTTTGACATCCCATAGACGGATAGAGTTATCATTACTACCAGAAGCTAATGTATTTCCATCAGGAGAGAAACAGACTGA